CACCATGTTTTTCAAACGACCAATGGCAGTGATGTGGCATGGAGTGTCGTTTTCCCCTCACATGTTGCGGATTCTTCAAAGCACCAAACTATTGATAGCCATGCTTATTACTAACCGAAGCCGAGCAGCAGTTTCACTGCGGAAACAGGATCTCTATGCGGTGGAGTGTGGCGTGACCAGTGCCGACAGCTTCTTTGAGCGCCACTTTACTGTCTAGACCAGTCAGCAGCATTTACTGCACCTTAGAATGCATTTTCGGAATTTTGGCTGTCGTCGAATTGTTCCCTGGCTTAGGCACTTGCTGCAGTTTGACTTTACAGTGCAGTATATAGGGGTATCACCAACATTATCGCCGACGCGCTCTCACTATGGTTCAGCAATTCACAATTGTGCACTTCCACCGCTTTGTTGTGTAATAATTTGCGTTTTCGTTTAAATTCGCATGAAAATTCGGCTTTGGAGGTCCACGTATCCCCTACTATTCCAAACTCCAGAACCGCAAAAGAAGGAAGCACTACCACATCGAGGATGGCCTGGTCTGGTTTAACCCAGAATAAAGGTTCCGTCGTTTGTACATTCTGCATTCGCTCCGCAGTGCAAAAGCTCCCAACGCACATGATCATGTTCCTTTAAGATATCGTGTGATTCACACTACATTAGAAGACATCTCACATTCTTTCTGGTATCCTGGGATGCGTTTCGCGAAAGCATGGAAGCTTGCTCCGTGCCCAGGCTGTCAGCAGCCGATGGCGCGCAGTGCTCCTAAATCCGCCCTTCCACAAACCCTTCCAGTTTCTGACGGGATTTGGACTCATTTAGCTTTAGGCGTCTCTGTTAGAGAGCTGGGGGCCGAAGGTAAGAACAACATCTACACTGCGTTGTTAGCTGACTGAGCAAAAATGTCATCCTTGCTTTAGTTCAGCAAGGCTTTGGAAGCTGCTCAAGTATTCTTACCTCATTTTTGGAAGCTCCACAGTTTCTTCAGGACCATCATGAAGAATAGGGTCCTGAAGACTGTTTGTGCGTTCTGGCATGCCCGTAGGACCCGTCTAAATACGGAATATAGTATGACCACTCCGAATCACCGTGATGCAGATGAACAGTCAGCAGACTTACATTGCTATCCTGCAGCACTATACGACTCTATCCTCACAAGTGTTCATTATTTCTGCTTGATTCTCTTTCTTGTGCTGAGTAAATTTGTAATACAGTGCAACACTTGTTTTCCCGCTGCACTCTTGCATCCCTGGTGTACACTGAAGGTCCTTTATCCGATCCGGTAACTGGTAGTCTAGGGGAAGTAGCAACACAAACCGTAATCAAAGATGTAATGAACAGCTGGCTCTTGCACGCAGAAGTATGCAGTAAGCTTAAGAGATAAACACACAGAATTATGATGAGCGGCGTTCGGCTATGTGTTTCGAGCGTAGAAGTTTGGCTCTGGAGGATGGGAGCGCTGTAAAATCGAGACCAATCGAAGAAGGTTGCAGGCAGGTGTCAAGGACCACTTGTGATTTTTTCAAAGATCAATTCAGTTTCTTTCTTTTTCTCTTTTTCTTGAAGTTGGAGATGCCACAGAATCATCAGTAATCGCTTTCTCAAGAACCAACCGACTCGTGGGGAGGAGGGGGATCCACAGTGCTGTGGAGTTGCTGCATCCTAGCACTACTGAGCGCCAAGGACATTAGATACAAGTTTCTAGTGACATGAGGTGGGGAACATCAGCCTTTTTGGCTATTGGGCGTGGAAGATAATCATCTCGATCCTTGGTAGTTGTCCCTCCCTTTGGCATGCACTGCCAAAAATGGCTATCTTTATCCAGACGGCTCGCTCGGCAAGTTCTACTTAATATTGTTTGGTGTTCTCCAGACTCAACTTTGTGCGCAGCCGTTTTGGGGTATGCTATCGGAATACTCTTCCATCTGCCTATTTCGGGGACTCGAAGTCGACGGTACTGCATGCATCGGCTGTACCTGCATGCATAGGCTGCTCTGCGGTGCGGATACCTTGAAATCACAATGCACAACATCTAGCAAATACACTTTATACTAGTTTTCTGAGAACCCTCATACATTCCAGTGCCACAATGACAGCGAGGGATCACATACCTCCAGCCACGTTGATTTGGTCTGCCGTTCGTTAGCGTTTGTGTTGCTCTTCGCTTCTATTTCCGTTTACTGTCTGAAACCCACTTTGTGCCTTTAGTTGTACTCCTTTTCGTTTCTGTCTTCCTGGAAGTGGTGATAGTTGTTGAACTCTGCCGTGTATGCAATTGGTCTCGACCGAGAAGCTCAGCAGTAGTGGGGGTCTTATAAAAAAGGGGAGAGAAGGCGTAGTGTGCTCAACTCCACTTTGGCACCTTTACCTACACTACTCATATTAGTGAAAAACCATTGAAGAATTGAATTGCTTATTTGTCTGGCCATATGCCTTTTCTATTGCACAGTAACGTGAGCCCGACTAATACGATGCACTGTTACTTACGGGCGCGCCGGTTGCTATGTGCAATTCGCTGCGGTTGGTTGGAACACTTAGAGGGTGCAGAAACCCCCACCTTTGATTGCTCTCTTCCTTCATGTGGGGAGGCTGAGGGGCGCGGGCAAGGGAATGAGGGAGCTTTCGTGGAATTACACCCAACTACTTTGTCAAGTTTTGTATTATATCTGAAGCTGCGTGTCTCCACTCGGAATCCTTAGCTAATGGGTTACACCAAACTTCGTTGCCGGGTGTATTCCGTCTTTTGTTACCCCACCAGGCCTTGCGCCTTGACTATCCTCCAGAGTCCTTGGGAATCGTTTGTACCATATCAGTGCTCATACAAGCTTAAATAGGCGAACTGCAGGCATTTTTTGAGTTGAAATCAGATAAGTGCCGTCCTTAACTGTATTGCTTCACTACTGCTGCTAACACTGGATGTTTACTTTAGAATGATTGTATAACAGCGTTCAGAGGTACCGGACCTAGTGCTCGTATTACTGCCTTACAAAAAGCTTTCGACCACAGCTATGTCAATGGTTGAGAGCAAGCTCTTCTCTACTCCTTCCCAATGGCTCCTCACCACCTATTGTCCAGTATGCTAGCAGCATGGGGGGAGAAAGTCCAGCTAGAGCGCAGTGTTGCGCTGTCTTAATACTCAGAATATTCTCATTCTGCGTTGCTTTGCAACCCACAGGCACACAACGTAGTTATTGTGATATGGAGCTAACGTTGTTTCACAGCAAATAGAATATGTGATGAACGAAACCAATTCGTCAATGCTTCTAACCTACCCAATTAAATTTAAGAACTGCACACGAAGGTAACTAAGTCTAGCCTGCCCGTTACAAACTCGCATAAAGCATAGTTTCGGAAAAAGATGGCTAACCCTGCTCTGGAACAACTTGAAGGATAGGCATCCTAAAATCGATGCACAACCAAGGCCGTTACTATAATAGTTGTCAGCGCTTTTTTTCAATTGATCCGAAGTACGGAGCGTCCGGCTGTATTGAGAGATTATCCGCACGAGGAATGGCTTAAGTTACAAGCCCAATCCGCCTCGGATCGTGGGGAAGGTCTAACTTGAGTGCATGGCTTTCCCGATCTGAGAAGCCATTAGCTATTGAATAAAAGAGACCCACCAAAATGGCGATGACAATTGAAATGGCTAGCTGAAATCCTCTGAAAGTACGGTCTAACCGAGCCAGCGTTGAGAATTTTGAGATGATGAACGTAACCCATCACTGGATAGAATCAGACCTTCAAACGATTCAAGCGTTTCCCACGGTGTACGTGCTGCGAAGAAACAATTCTAGAGGAGGCAACCCCAGTGCCCCTCTAGCAGTTCCCAAAGGCGAACAATCCGTGATTCAGTTCAGTGAAGGTACTAAGCTACTGCTTTGTATGATACCCTCATGCAGCTTTTTAAGTTGGAAGATAAGATTGAGCTACCTGAAGGTTTGGTAGTACCTGCACTGATACGCTTACGCCAAAGCACTACCGGGATTCTACACCCCTCCACAGATGGGGAGAGCGAATGCACACGCCAGCATGCCTCCGGAGTGTTGAACTCCGTCGGCCCGCAAGGGTGTTGAGGTCTGCTTTATGCCCATAAAGCAGAGAAAGAGGGCAACAAAAAGCAACGTGGGGACCTCTTGAGTGCTAGTTACTGCCTGCAGTCGATGGCTCTTGTGGCCGCTCGCGCACCCGTGGAAAGGCCAGGGCCTCAGGTCACTCCATGAGATAGTGGTTTATTCTGTGTCTGCCTTTGATTCAAGGGCAAGATACAACTAAATCAAGTGAATTTTATGTTGCTTTAGCGGCTAATGACGCAGATGAAGCGAAGAAGCAGCAGAAAGAATGCATAGAGGCCCCGAAGTGAGGCAGTGAGTCGCCGTCTCATGCCAGGGGCCCTACGCGAGCGGCAGCTCTCAGTATCTCACCGTTGGTCGTCTCTCCTGGCTCTCCCTAACCCATAGAGCCTCTTTACTCCTCGTTTTAGTGTGTCTTCTCTTTCTTCATTAAATAGAAGCGGGGGCCTCCGTTTGGCCGTGGGTTTGGCATCAAAGACTAAGAACCTAAGGGAGCGACTGGGACAACAGCCACCAGCAGCCGCTTGTTTTCGCCCCTTTGGCACTCATTTGGCTCCCTTTTTGGCTTTTTACCTCTACAGTGCATCATACCTTCAGTTAGACTCTCCCCTCCGCTGCTTTTCCTTGCTTCTAGCCCCCGCCCCTGGGCCTCCCCGCCGCTCGCGCAGTGTTTCTCTTGCTGGCTGTCGCTTCCTGCTTCTTGGGTTGCATCCCTTTCGTTCTAAATTGCTTTATGCCCTCCTTCATCTTTTTTCTGCTGCACAGGGGCCCCCGGTCGACCAGGGCCCCTCAGCAACAGAGGAGCGTTCGTCGCATTGCAGCAGCTTTTAGGGCCTCTGCAGCGGCGCCACACACTGTGCTGCGCAGCAATACAGGAAGGTGTTCACGGGGGTAACGCAACTTTATTATATGTATCCAGTGGATTTAGAAACCATGAAGGATTCGGAGGCTCCAAGAAACGGTTTCCTCCCGCAGGGCGAGGGGCTTGAAGACCCTGCACAGGAGCAGAATCAACAGCAGGAGGAGCCACAGACCCAAGAGCTTCAGCATGAACCACTGGATCAAACTGAAACGCAGCGTGAGAAACAGTTAACGCCTGAGCACGAACCACGGCAGCATCAGCACGTGGAGCAGCAAATACCCGGGCAACAGCAGCAAGATTCGGTGTCTCTAGAGGTCCCCGAGGAGCTAACGCAGCAGCTTTTGCGCTTGCAGCAACTGCTTATATCCGGACGAAGCAACGGTAGTGTGCAGGAGTTGCTGGCGGCAGCTGTTGCTTCCGCCGCTGCTGCACCCCATATGGGGGATCCCACTTGTGGCAGCAGCAGCTACGGCTGCCGCAGCAGCAATTCCAGTGGTACAGGCAAACAGGGGGATCGTCTGCCTTCTTTGCCGTTAGGCGAACATGTGATCCCGGCAACGGGGGCTCCAATAAGTGTAGCGGAGGTAACCTCGGAGAGGTCACGTTTTTCCCACGACGGGTGTGGACGTACCCTTGAGTATCAGCAAGATCATATGAATCAGAGTCAGAGGCCCGAAGGCTGTACTGATAGTCGAGGAACCTCGACAGGGTCCCCACGTGAGCCATCCAGCATACTGAGGACTCTCCCACTTCTTCTGGAAGGGACCAATTCCCTATGGGATTTCAATAGCCCACACGAGGGCGGACCGTGGGGTCCCCCTGCTCCGCCAGTGGTGCCTTCTGACTCCCCATTTAGTGGAGGCCATATTGGGCTTCATCCACTAGATGGCCCTTCGGGAGTCCCTGCTAGGGGTATGACTCCTGGATACCCATCCTTTAACGGGGAGCCTCCTGTTGCTCCAGGGTATCGCTTAAGCCCCATGGTACTTGAGGCCTATCGAGGTGCAGGGGGCCCAGGGGGCCCCTCCGCAATATCAGGGGCTGGGTCCGTAACACCTTATGAGACCCGGCGTATATCTGCGGACGGCGTCTTCCGTGGGGCAGATGCACTCAGGGGGCCCACTTCTATGCGGTATGGCATCCGCAGCCCGCAGCACACTAGGGGCCCCATGGGTGTGCCTCTTTCTAAAGCAGCTTCTATGTTTGTAGACCCCAAGATGCAGCAGCAGCGTTGGGTCCCAGGTGGTTGTCCCCCGCCTCGGACTGCTCCCCGCGGGAAGCAGCTGTTTTTCTATTGCCCCTCTTGTCTCGAGGCTTTTCCGTCTTCTGCGCTGTCTCTTTTTGCTGCTCATATATCCCAGAAGGGACACACAGTCCAGCAGCTTCAGAGGCTACGGGGCTCGGACGGGTACTTCCAGTGCCCCAAGTGTACCTGCAAGGGCAGCGACTTACTGGGCCTGCTGCGACACTGGCACGAGGGCGGCGCTGCTCATCATGGACAGAAGATTATGAAACATATAAGGAGTAGGGACATTCCCCCCGGCTTATCCGCGTTAGTTCCTCTTCAGCAGCAACACAGCATTACCACCCAGCAACAGATACAGCAGCAAAGACTGCTGCTACACCAATCCGGTATGGCAGAGGGTATACGTAGACCCCACGAAAGGGCGCTCAGACCAGGGGCGCCCAGACTCCCGCATCACCAGCAAATAAACCCCTCGGTGTATCTGCAGGGGCCTCCGAGAGACAGGGGCTCCCAGCTCTGCACAAGCCCAACTCCCGGCGCGGTGGAGGGGCACGCTTTTGGGGGAGCTTCACAAGCGGCCGCTGTTGCCGTGGGGGCTTCTAGGGCGAAGGCTAATGTGGGCACTGAGTTCAGAAGCACAACCGGCAGCCAACGAAGCAGCGCCGTGAGCGACGACAGCGAGGAAGGCACGCTGCAGAATGAGCAGCAGCAAAAGCAGCTGTCGGGTCCGCGATCCATCATAGGGGCTGGCAACGACGGTTTGGGGGGTATGTTTGATACATTACCCCTCACTAGGGCCCTTCTTGGGGGAGGTGCCTACTCTTCGTACATCATGCACGAACTGCAGCTGCAGGGGCATATGCCGCTCGGAGAAGGAGGCCCACGGGGCCCGAATAGGAGTATTGTTCCCCAAAGAGGATCTCCCGGCTTATTGTCTTCGCGATCGGATATTTGGGGGCCTCTTCCCTACCTACCGTCACGGGAGCAGCAACAGTTCCCACAGCAGCAGCAACAGCAGCATTTGGGGTTTGCTTTTTGTGCTGCGGACGTTCCCTCTCTGAAGCCCAAGCCGAATTCTGAACTGCAGCAGTTGCTACAGCAGCAGCGGCGGCGTGAAGAAGAGGCAGGGAGTTCATCTTCCGCCAATTTTCTATTCTTCGGGGCCCCACGGCATGGGCAGTGGGCAGGTGAGCAGCGCTCCCCTTTCGTGGAAGCAGAGAAGCAGCGGCAGCCGGAAGACGGGTGTTAGACAGCGACCTCCCCATGCGCTGCGACCTACCTGTCGCAGCAGCAGGTGCTGTACAGTCTCTGAGTGCAGCGGTTACAGAATCTCATAAGACGCAGACAGGGTAGAGCTTCCGCCTTCACAGCGGCTGCGTCTGCAGTAGCATCAGCAGCTCCTGCGGCAGCAGTAGGAAGCATAACACCCTGTGTCCTTGTCAGGACAAAGGGCTACCGGCGGGGCCCCTCTTTGGGAATTTTGGCAAAGGGCCCATGCACGCGGCCCCGTAGTTTATTGTGGCAGTCTCTGCCGTCATCCGTTTTCGGAGCAGCAGCAGCAGTAGCAGCAGCTATTTCTTAGGACGGACTGCGACGGGCCATGTGCTGAGGGCTTGTCACTTTTTATCGCCTCTTTCCTGACTGCTCTTGGCTTGATAGGTGTAGCCAGCTAGGCAGCAGCAGCGACCGCATCAGCAGCAAGGGCTGGCGCAGCAGCAGTCCGAAGCAATTCCCCCCTCGCATGGGCTTACTCTAATCTGTCTTGCCGCCAGCGTAATTCTCTTTTGCCTGCCGCCCCTCCCCGCGTGCAGCAGGAACTGCAGGGGCAGCAATTTCCGCTGTCTGTTCCTTCGCTCCCAAGAAGGGACTGTGGTGATGTCAGGCCGCAGTGTCATTTGCCATTTTCCCTATAACAATCTTTCGCCGCAGTGGCAATTTCTTTTGCTGTCATATCAGCAGCAGCAGAAGCTTCTATGCAGGTAGCAGCGGTTGCTGCTCGACTTGCATAGCACCAAAGGGCAGGACGGGGGTCCAGCAGACACAGCGTCTGCTCAGCGTTTTTCTTCGCTGCATGTATCCTGCGTTCGTTCGCTTCCGCTTGCATGCGTGATTAAATAAAATACGTATACACATATACATCCATATGTGTGTATGTATAATACCCAGATCGCCTAGTAAGACTTCTATAAATGGGGTGCTATAGGCCGGCCCGCAGCGGCCCCCGTGCCGTATTTTGGGGCCCCAGCAATCTTTTGGAAGCTTTGTTATACCGGCCCCTGGACCCGATCATATATAATTCTCGGGATTGTTAGCACAGTGCGCCGTGTCTTACTGTTGCACTTTTGCTGTATACAATTGCATTCCCAATTGTTGGTCCCAGCTGTTGCGTGGAGGTACACAATAATAGAAGGGATGCCCGTCAGGATCCAGATGTACAGGCATAATGCAGGCGTGCTTTGGAGGGAGGCAGTAGAAGTGGGGGTGGGTGGGAGCCGGCAGATAAAAACAAAGTACATCGTTGCCACACGTTGCATTTCGACCTATGACTCAAGTAACAGACTGAGCTATGAGATAATGCATGCTCAGCTCTTAAGTTCAAAATATTTAGGTACGGGGTAGACAGGTGAGCGACATCGGACGCTGAAACTGGAAACAGAATGGAACAAATGGGCTTCAGGGACCTCGTTATGACACAGCGCCGCTCCCACTTTGGGTCTCTATAAGTAGGTAGACACTCAGCCACAAATTTATTACCAAAGCCTGTTACACATTTTTAGGGATCCTTGCTGAAGCACTTCCTCCTACTACCCTTAGTTTCAGGGTTTCCACGAAAGTATAGGAACAGTCAGGGTGTGCGTTGTCGCAGCGTTTAAGCAGTCCCAGCATTTACAGCTGGTTGCACATCGCAAATAATATGCACACAACATTGCTTCTTTGCGTAGTGTGCTAAATGTTGATTCGATATGCTTAGTGTAGTAATAATGGTTCACCTGTAGCTTGGCTCTCTACATTATCCGTCCTGCTGCCCCCATTTCAAAATATGCTCCGTGGTGTTCCATGCCTGAAAGTTCAAAACAGTTCCGCGCGCGGCAGCGTAAAAGTTCACGCCTCATAACCATCCCCCGGGCAGGCGGAGGGTCGGGAGTTAGTGCAAGTGAGAAAATCGAATGGGTTAGACAGCCCTCAACTGCAACCGACAAGAATGAACACACACACACACTAGCTTTCGACAAGGAGAATGAAATTACCATGACTACGGCGGCGTGCTCTCTCGCTGTCGTTGGAACGCTGACTTGTTTGAGCCGCCTGCCACCAACAAACAGATAGCAACCAGGATGTGTCAAGGGAATAAAGATATACAGCAGTGGAACAATGCTTCAAGTATTCCACAAATTCTCCTGTAGGCAAGGAGGCCCGCAACCAATCATTTGTCCAATTTCTGAAAGTATGCCAATAAATTCACTAATTCGTCAAATAAATGTTTCTACACGAGGAGAGGATTACCTTATCCACTGAAAAAGTGCGTGCCGTCATTCCTGATACGGTTCCCCGAATAGTAGATATTCTGTAGAGTAGATGACCGCAGGGAACCTGCCCTTAATTTACAGCCAGTATATTGTGATCCATCCTTGCTCCACTGCCTGTGGTGGTGGCGGCGGCCTTTCGTACGCCTTTTCGCATCTAGAGGCAAGCATGAAGTTCACATCCTTCTTCAAGAGTCGCGTGCGATTTGCTACAGCGGGAGGCACATTTGTCCATTTGTGAACCAAGGAGGTTGGCTTTCCCCACCCAGTCTCACTACAGACTCCTGCCTAATGATTTGTCGGCTTCCAACAGGCCTAGAATCTACAACGTACTGTTCCCCGTGGGTCCCTCGTCTCCACCCTGGTCACATGCCTACACAAAACGCTCCAATCAATTGAAAAATTTTGAGCCTTTTTTGGAGAGCCAGGAGTGATGGCTGTGTGAGATCTCCAATTCAAAGGTAAATCGATAGAATACAAGAGGCCCGAGTTTCATGAGAGAATCGCAAGTGGTCGAGCCACCGGCCCGGAAATTGCTCCGTCTAGTCACCGTGTGCACCTCGTAAAGCCGGCTTTTCCACAATGACTAAACTGCAAAGCTTGACAAACACAGCTTGCCGAAGCTTACTGTAATTACCTGTTTTTAGCTCTCTAGCTTCGCGCATATGTGTGTGTGCATTAGCCAGCTGTTGTCTACATCGCTTTACAGCTTAGAGTGGCTGCTGAAGCGGGTACCAAGTGCAGCTCCCGATCGGAGAGTTTTCAGTGTTCCCCAAGGATACGGGGGGACAGCGGAAGGACAAGTGTTCTGTTTTATCATAAATCCTCAGCACGAGAAAGACATTCAAGCAGAGCGCGTGGACTAATGTGAAAATAGAGTCGCAAAGTAGTACCGAATAGTAGTGTAAGTGCGCTGCCTGTTCATTTGCATGAGGGTGATTCGCAGTGGTCATACTCAGGTCCGTGTCCTGGAGGGTCATAAAGGCACGCCAGAGCGCACAAACAAGCCCCGACCCTGTTCATAACGGTAGTCCTGGAGAATTTACATAGCTTCCAAATATGAGATTAGAAGAATTGAGCAACTTTTAAAGCCGTGCAGAAATAAAGCAAAGGATGAAATGGGCCTACTTGCTGAGTCAGCCAAAGACACAATTTGGATGTTATTTTCGTTCTCGGCCCCCACAATTCAGCAAAGACGCCCAGACTCAGATCAATCCAAATCCTGTCAGAAACCAAAAGGGTTTGCGGAAGGCCGGAATTAGGATAACTACGCGGCCTCGGCTGCTGGCAAGCTGGGCATGACAGACTGTTTATTGTTATCACGGGGCGGCTTACTAGACACCAGAAAGACCGTGAAATGTTTTCCCTCATAGCGTGAATCTCACTACACTGGTTCCCTGTGCTTTGCCAAAATAGTAGCCCCCAGTTTTTTGTAAATTACAGCAGGACATCCCTGATGTGATATGTCTCACCCCTTTTCCCTTTTGGATCAAGCAATCGTAGCGGATGTGTCAATGTCCATGGTGTCAGACGTGCATATTCGGTAGGGATCGTGAACCATTACAGAGAAGAGCGGACGCAGTACACAACATAAGGTTACTGGGGCAGTGCGAGAGCGAATCGGTTACCAGGTTGATGATGCCTTCAAGATACTGCACTGCAAAGTCGTAGTGCAGCCGGCATCCAAGCAAACCAGGGAACAAGTCTCAAAGTATCAAAACTAGGCGATTTCTTGTAAGGTGCGCTAAGCGCTACTGGTCAGTTTGAACTGCGAAGTGACGCTCGAATGATGGCGCCGACACTTTTCACTCCCACCACACCGCATAGGGTTACTGTTCCCGCATTGCATACTGCAGCTCGTCTTCGGTGAACCGATGAAAAAGAAAAAAAGAAGCAACAAAACAGTGCTTTGGAGAATCCAAAGCCTGGCTGCGGAATATATCAAGCACGGCTTAGTCATAGGCGTCGGCTGTTTGGAAAATATGGTACTTAAAATCGTGGTTGTAAAGTGTATGGCCGACAAGCTTCCTTGCTGCGGGAAACCCCCTCCTTTCCATGTCACGAGCTACGTTTCATTATGATCGATCAATCGAAGAAGCAGCGATTCAAACAAATTCACGACTGAGATTTCGATGATAAGATGGAAGCCCATGAAACCTCAGTGTCCATACTGCGGCACAGAGGTAAGCGTCACGGCTTTATCGCCTCAACTTTGCCAGATCGCTCTTTGCTCCTTTAGCCATAGCACAGAATACCAGAGGCACAGCTGCTCTAATCAATATTACAACTTGCGTGCCTTCGCATGCCCCTGCTTGTCCGTCAACAGCTATAGCGCTCACCGTAGGTGCTTTAGGTCATCTCGAACGTTCGGGTAAAATACTATGATTGCGTCTATAGAACGTGTCATACCCCTTTCCTTGAAAGGCTTACAAAAATTGAGGTCAACGTTGTTGCACATCAGGTGGGGCATTCACAAGTTCAAGCGGCATACAGGCGTACTCGAGTTTGGAGTGCTCCAGTGCAACGCCCTTGTGTGCCTCTCCCCAGAGGAACTGCAGATATTGACGAAAATGTGTGTGAAGTCAACTGTCGCGTAGGCTATTAATCCGTGGGAGGCGCCAAAACCAAAATGAGGGATCGCAATTCACTGCTCTCCGCAGTTCTTCTTCAGAGGCTGAAGGTGTGCGCGCTTGCGTTACTTTCCACCCTTCGTCAGAGAACATAGCATTAAATCCAACAGCAGTGATCGATTCGTACACTTTTCCTTTTTGGAAAATTATTGGCCTGCGGCTAGGCTCCTCTTCATGGTGTGGGAGTATCGATACCGCAGAAGACCTTGGTGTAGACCCGGGGGGTAAGCTCAATACAAGACGGTAGATGACCAAATGTCCAGCCTTCTAGCACATCATCATTATTCTGGACATCCACAAGCCCCTTGCTATTTGATCATTCCTGCTGTTCTTTGGTAAAATACCAAAAAACGATTTCCCAGATTCACATTAACTAGGCGGGCTGCACGCTAAGAACCATCTTCTTTTACCGGGCTGCTAGGCCGCGCCTATGAAGATGCTGCCTGGTAGCGCTGAGGCACGGATGTACGCCGCTCACCCTAAATGAGATGAGCATTGTTCAGGAGCTTAGAAGGCGCCCATGCCTAGCGCTTACTGGCGCACTCAATTCCACAGCACGCAGCTGTGGCCTCATGGGCGCCTTCCGTTGGCTCATGCATAGCATACTAGGATTACATCATGATCCATGGGTTCACCCTAGAGGTCATGGACCATGTTAACAAGAATCGATTTCGAGTTTAATTGCTGTATATGTGCCGAACCCTTGACAATCCTTGTGTCCTTCCTCCGGTCCGCAAACTTTAGGCATAGGGAATGAGCTTACGAGCGAACAGGCAGACTGCACTTCTACGCCGTTTCCTAGGATAGCAGCTTCACTTCATATTTGCATCAAGTAACGCTAGCAACCTTTGGCCTTTGAAATTGTATCGGTGCAGAATTGACTATGGTGAGCCTCCAGCTGCTTCTCTATCCTCGGAAAGCCCCTTGTGCAACATGCATCGGGGACTTCTGTTTCCCTTTGTTGCCTTCCTTGCGAGCTGGATACAGCTCCGATTCATCCTAACGCTTCTAGTACTGCCTCTGCAATTACCTAAATACTCTCTATGCTTGCTACGGTTTGGGCAGCCTCCTTTGGGAATATGGCATAATCTCTATTCTTATCCCCCAAGCAGCCTGCTTCCACTGGGCCGGCCCCGTCAGTTCAAGGTCGTGGGGCTTTAGCATATTCTTACAGTTCGAAGATGAAAGATCCATGTTTCCACAACAAGCAGCAGGTGAATTGAAAGGATTTTGCTTGCCGCTGCTAAGGAGCACGTGTTCCCACTGGCACATTTATCACCCTTAGACTGCAAGTTCACGCCATGTGGCTCAGCCCCGAGATGCATAGGTTTTGAATGCCGACATGATTCTTTTTTCATGCCAGAGACGCATTAGTCGCGCTCAGTCGCTCCGAATACAGCAAGTACCCCAAATTAGATGCCCTACCGGCCGGTTGTTTAATCGTCTGGTGTCTTCTCATCCAGTGATCACCTGGAGTGACACGCCAGGGAGACGTAAGATAAACAGCTGATACAGACAGCTGTTCAGCTAAGCTGGGGATTTTGCGAAGTTCAGCTTTCTGCTTCTCGATTTGCCAAGGTCTTGATAGTTTCTCCTGCTCGAACTTTTCCAGCTCTCAAGGCTTATTCTAAAATCGATTTCGGTATAAACCGAGTATACACGGTTGCGCAATAGAATGTAAGAAGGTGACAATCTCCACATTAAGGGAGCCACCGGTGGAGCGCTTCTCCTTCCAATAAACATGCTGCTCGGAAACGCTCGGTTCTTTCCTTTTGGGGAATACAAATTGAGGTAGATCGCTCTCCGGCTCATGAAATTATGCGACTACTTGCTTACGCTTATGGCCATCACACGTTTACACAAATCCTCATAATGTATCCATCAGCGATTTGTCGGCTGAGAAATCACGCCTTTTTTCTAACTGTGGAGCTCATGAGGTAAGATGGCCTTGCAAGCTTGCCTCTGCCGCCCCTAGTGGCATTGCGATGCCTGTAGCTTTCAATGCTAAAGCATATTTCTATTGAATAATTGCTCGAGAAAATTAAAGCTCTGAAGCACAAAACGACGAACGACACGAGTGTGCGAAAATCGTTTGTCCCATTGCATCCAGCGCCAGCGGTTTTACAGGGTCACAGTTGCACCGAACTGTGCGGTGCAGCAAATGGGACCTTCCACTTAAGGTCTAGATAAGAAGGCATTGAACCAAAAACCAAAAAAAAATTACAACTTACCCAGTATTTCTCCGAAGGCACTCCCTTTTCCCTGCCGTCGCCATTCGAGTTCTGATGTGAGTAGAGAGACAGCAAGGGGACACGTTGTCCACTACGCAGTCCGATAATTCAAAACTTTGTGCACATTACATTTGACTCGTACACATATAGCCTCCATCTTTATTTAGATGAGCTTACGCGCCTCTGCAATGAGTGAAGTGTACTGACCGGCACTCCAGGCACTCAATTCTGAAGTAGTTGTCAATATTTCTAGTGCTTCTAGAAAGTGCCTATGTGTAGCTGAACCCGCTACATCCAAATCAGGCAGAACTGCAAAGATATTTCTGTGTTGGCAGCTCTCAAGATTGGCCTTTTGAAGGTTGCAGCGTGCACGAGCAGCTGTTCAACAAGCGCGTTATCCAGGGACTGCTTGTAGAAGGCCAGTGGAGCATCCTGAAATGACAAATCGCTTAAAGGTTTGTGTACAACTAAACGCAAAGCCCACTGCTGTAGCTGGAGGGTATTGGCCAAATCAGAAACTATTAATATATGACTGTTAAGCAGTTTCCCATAGCCCTAGCATGCAGCCCCATGGGGAGCAACAGATGGAAGTTACGTGGTCCAAAGCTTTCATACAACGGCGAATAAGCTCACACCGCACATAAATATGTTGTAGGGGACAACGTCTTATGGTTGAGAAATGCAAATGCATGCAAACAGATATAGGAACTCTTGACCTACTACTGAATACAGCTGTCGCAAGATGCTCACTAAGCAAAGGAGGAGCATCTCAGAAACGCAGCGACCCCAAGAAGGGCGTGTCGCAGTGTAAGAAACACGAGAGAATGGAGCCCCATAAAAAACCCACCAAGGGCTGATTCGGACTTAGTCGTGGTTCAATTCAACGTTCAATTCTTATTGTTTTTTCATTGGACGCGAATTCAATTCATTACCCCAAAACGGCTCTGGAATAGACTTCGCTAGTCGATTCGTTACTGCAGTTCTTATCTCATCTGGGCGGCGCAAACCGCGGACTTTTATTGGGGGACCGCTGTATTCCAAACCGAATACAATGCCTACTGAAAGGTTTTGGAATGACCCCTCAGAAGGTTCCCCTTCCCTCCCGTTTCCATAATCGCTAGGAACCTTAAAGCGAGGGCAGAGCGACACCCAGGGTGCGCGTTGCTGCTTTATCAGAGAAGTCCAAGCTTTCACATCTAGTCATATCTGGTACCTAGCGGACGTGTAACGGCCTATGCTACACTGCGGCACTTTCTGCTATACTTGTTGTGCACAATAAAAAATTTTGTTGATAGCCAACTATTTGGTGTGACTTTTAGTATTCTCATTTCTTGCAGAGGCGCAGTGGCTCAGTACGATAAGAGGCAATGTTGTTTGTGTGTGCTTGCTGCTTTGTGCAAGTAGCTGTGAATGCTTGGAGTGGGCAGAGGAAGCAGCAACGCGTACGCTATGTATTCTCTTCATTCATCCCGGAGCCCTGACGGGAGAAGGCTGGAAGAGAACAAGTTCTTTTTCGCCCAGGTTTTGCATTGGGTCTGGGGCTGAGCGGCTCTCCAAGGAGACAATAAATGAACGGATACGCATAGCGCAGAATCTCACTGCATGAAGCTCATCCTGTTTATTAAATAAAGAAGATTGTATAGAGAAGCCATCTAGTCAATGCCTTTGAATTTAAATTGCATTAGTCCGTTAAAAGCCGCCATAGTGGTGTTTGGCAAGGTATAATTCCAGCCGCACTACAAACTTGCCTGTTTAAAAAATCCAGCAACTATTTAGGAAACCAGAACTCTTGATAAGAAGCGAAAAATTCTACTTTAGAGCAGGGACGAAGCTCTATGGCATCAAAGGAAGCCCATGGTACAGTGCAGCGTACATCGCTTCGCTCGTGTCACACATGCATGTGTGACATCCGAATGTCCAACTGGCACTTTTCCTCGTATGTTAAAAGTTGATTGCACAGAACTACTGCGGATCTTTCATATACGTGTACTTCTGAACAGGCATGTGGTGAGATGCAGACAGCCCTGTCAAGTTTGTGGGCCCCTCCTGTGCGTGACTTCCTGTATATACAACGCCTGCAACCCAGGGGCCCTTATGACCTTGTTATTGGCGGCTTCCGCATACCTTGTATTTATTAAAAAGGTACAACAGCACTGGATATGCTAGTTTGGGCGTTCTGAACTATTTTTGTTGCTTATGCGGGAGCAAACTCCTGTGCACACTATATTGTCACTCCACGCATGCCCACTTACTGGGTAGCTCAGCAGGCGTCAGGTGCATATGCCGAGGCAACAGGAGCAAACGCGCTCACCTATAGAGTCCTCTGTAGGTATATACGGCAAGGGGCTCTACGAAGCAGGCTGCGAAGACCGTGGTGAGCCCCCGCAGCTGCTGTCTTGCGGAAACCTGTGCCCCCGGTTTCTTGATATCGCAGGGCCCACACAGAAGGAAAGATGTTCGTTTGGGCATTACACAGAAGCAGCTGCCTCCCGTTGCAGCGAGAGGTGTTTCATTTTCACCGGCCACTGCTTTTACTGCAGAAGCAGCAGCACCAACTACCAAAGTCGCACCGCCAGCAACAGCAGCGACTATGGCTCAAATCCAGGTGCATTTCGTATCAGCCTTTTAGCACCATTTCTTCCGGCTCATCCCGTACTTCTTATGTAGCAGCGGGAACTGAGGAGCCAACAGAGTCAGCTGCAGCAACTGCAACAGCAATGGCCTCAGCAGCGGCTGTCTCACGCTCAGAGGCGCCATCAGCTGCAGCACAGCACGGTCTGGGCCCCAGAGTATCTGCACGTCCATTTTACTTTGATTACCAAGCGACAACGCCCCTGGACCCGCGAGTGTTGGATGCGATGATGGCATTCAACGTGGACTGCTTTGGTAACCCCCACTCCGGGTCTCATGCGGCAGGCTGGGAGGCAAAAAGAGCAGTGGAGCAAGCCAGGTAAGACAACGGATGGCGTTCACAAGATTAGGCCTGAATGATACCTGTCCCACTACTTGCGCTTATATTTGGCTGCCTCATGCTCTGGCCATTTTTTGCCCTCCTCTCCCTTGCCGTTGTGTGTGCTTCTGGAATGCTGCCACATGATTTCCTCCTGTTTCCGGCTGCGTGCTGTTTTTATTATGCTGCGGTCTCTTTATCTGCTTGTACGACTTCACGCATACTCAATGGCTGGCTGCCAGTGCTGTTGTTGCCGGTTGCTAACTCGTGGAGTGTGTTTTCTAATGGATTGCTGTTGTTGGCCCTGAGAAAACATATGCTGATGCTTTGTGTGGTGGTGCCAGAAGAAGTTCTAACTTTGAATGGCATTGCATAATTCAGCTGATACTGTCTTCATCGCTTTTGATTCGCTGCTTCCGCTGTTGCTGTGAACTTGCAGAGAGGTGGTGGCTTCGGCCTTAGGGCTGCCAGCTGCACGGAGTCGGGAGGTTGTATTTACTTCAGGGGCCACCGAGAGCAACAATCTGGCCATAAAAGGGTTGCTTCGATTCCATGAGCAGCTCAATCTCAGCAAACACCAGCAGCAACAAAAGCAGGTTTCAAAGGTGCGGAAAAACCACATTATTACGACCCAGATCGAGCACAAATGCGTATTGCAGTGCTGCCGTTTGCTTCATCTGGAGTGGCGGCAAACGGGCGGTGAGCGGGGGGCGGAGGTGACCTTCCTTCCAGTCTCCCCCGAAGGTTTAGTGTCTCCGGCTGCTATTGCTTCAGCCATACGGCCCGAAACTCTCTTGGTGTCGGTAATGCATGTAAATAACGAAATAGGCGTGATTCAGGACCTGGAGGGGATTGGAGCAGTTTGCAAAGAGCGGGGGGTTTTCTTTCACACGGACGCCGCTCAGGGATTTGGAAAGGTGCCATTGGACGTGGAGCGCATGCATATTGACTTACTTTCGCTCTCTGCTCATAAGATTTATGGCCCTAAAGGAGTTGGGGCACTCTTTGTGAGAGCCAGGAACCCCAGAGTCAGACTCACTCCAATCATTGACGGGGGAGGACAGGAGAGGGGACTCAGAAGCGGTAATTATTGCCAACACAATCAGCGACGTAGAGACAGAGGGACAAAGAATATCAGAAAAGTAGCGCCTAGATCATGACAAATAAAAGCGGATGTACAGCCTCGAATCAGAGGCTGACAGGCATTCTAGCAAAGAGATGGAGATTCACAAAGCACGACTGGTGCCCTCGCAGAGCAGCGGATAATGAGGAGTCCTATCATGTCTTCGTGTAAATGTGTTTCAGGAACCCTTGCAACTCCGTTGGTTGTTGGACTGGGGAAGGCGGCAGCCCTGTCTATGGAGTGCATGGAAAGCGACAGGCGGCATATTGAACGCATGGCAAACCTCCTACTACAGCAGCTGCGGCACCGTCTACTGCATATTACTGTCAACGGCAGCCTCAGTCACAGATATAGTGGGAATCTCAACATATCTTTCTCTTTCGTAGAAGGGGAAAGCCTTCTTATGAGCATCGGCGACGTCGCCATGAGTTCGGGTAAGTCCTGTACTCTACATCATGAACCCAAACCCTTGAGTGTAACTCTTATACGCTGTTTTAATGAGATCAATGCCAGTTTCTTTTACGTGAATAGACATGTCTGCCAGGAAGGAAAAGGCATTGGAACAAAAGTGCAGGCGTGCGGTTTATGTGGATTGGGATTCACGGTCTTGGGTTTGTGTTGCGCAGGAAGTGCATGCACGAGCGAGTCGCTTGAGCCCTCCTACGTTCTGCGATCTCTGGGCGTTGGGGAGGAGACAGCGCATACCTCAATCCGCATAGGGCTAGGTGAATTTCAGGTCTATAGGGTACCTTGGAGAGACCCCACACTACGCGTTCACCCCGTGAAACGGCCACCAGGAAGGCATTAGGCCATGGCCTGGGTACAGGATCTGATTGCTTGTGCTTTTACGCATTGCGTTGGCTCCTGCCCACTTTATTGTGTTTTTCTCATCATTACGGTGTGTGCTGCCACCTTTTTTACTGCAGGGCGGTTCACGCGTGAGGAAGAGGTGCGCCATTGCGCTGACCGTTTGATTGCTGAGGTAACCCGCCTTCGCGAAATGTCTCCTCTTTACGATGCAGCGATGAACTCTCTGGAAGATGATGGAGGGAGCACTCCCAAGCTCGTCTGGACATGAGGGTTTTCTCGGGTTTCCATTCTTCTGCTTGAGGGTCCTTGTGGGGGCCCTTTTTTACTGACAGAGGGAATCGCACGATTTTGGAGTCCTTTAAAAGGGCCCCCGGGGTCTTTCGTAGACGCGATTCTTTGAGTACAGGGTTCTGTAAACGAGGTCTTAACGGAGTTATGAGGCTTGGGCCGAGACCCGGGTAGCAATGCATTTGGCCCTTAATTTCCTGTCCTCCGTGTTTAGTGGAACAGTACTCCGTTTTCCAGCCTGGGGCTGCAAGAAGAGGTGCGTATAATGTATATGAGGCACGCACATGTACATATATGAGATGCGCGGATGTGTGCATATGGAATGTACTGATATTTGTGCGCATGGTTGTACACTGCAGCATATTGCAACTGCACTTGTTATGTGGTTGTATGCTACCGATTGATTTTTGCCTGTAACAACGCACAGCGCCCTACTGCTGATGGCCACAGTGGGCATGCTGTTGGAGTCACAGGGCAGAGCGAAAGGGATATCCGGCCTAACGCTCCACTTAGGGTATTTGTAGAGAGACACTTCACTCCAAGGTCTATACAAACTCTAAAGATAGTTAGTAGGTATTTTTCACATGCACTCCTTCCTTCCTTTGCCAGTGCCCCCTAGATTTTCTAATGTCAGAGGAGAGGGACGCGGAGGACGCGCGTAGCTGCAGCCTTTACGCACTCCGAGCATTTGCGGCTAGCTGTGCCTACCATCTAGCAGGCACGCACACAGCAATGCGCCTTCTTGTATGAGCTAACAGTGCTGCAATTAACAAGATTTACTGTAAGACGAAACAGGCTACTCCTTACAAATTTGTAATTACTATAGCTGGTGATGTAGAAATTGCCGTAGTGTAGTTTAGACCGCTATATATCCCCAGCTCTATTTCGAAATGCACGCCCTCAGGTTCCGTACCCATCACTAGGGCAGGTTTGCTGAGAGCCGCGAAAGAGCTCACTTCCCTGCCGCCATTCCCCAGGTAGGCAGAATTGTGAAAACAGCGTCGCTGCAGAAAGGTGCTCCCAAAGCTGAAAATCTACAGGAGTACAGGCGCACACACACTACCCAACGGCAAGCGGCGGCCGAAACCACTACAAACATGGCGGTGTGATAAATTGCTGTCGTTGGGACGCTGACTGTGTAAGTCTCTTACTAGAAGAAAATAGAAGGCAATTGCATAGTGAAAAGGAAGCCATTGTACACACTAGCTGAGCAGTGCAACCGCTCTTTACAATGCAATATCTGCATGCCAGTGCCGCCGATGCGCGCAGCTTAGTCGACTTGCAAGCCCCGAATAGCGCAAAAGGAAGAAAAGCATAAACAACAGACCTGTGTGTACCTGCGCATACATCTGAGTGTAGTGAATCCATGAAAACACAAAAACCGGGTTTTTCCAGGCAGCATCCACAAATGACAGTGAGTCTTCCGGCAGAGCACACGTTATGAAAGGACAAAAGCAAAGAAATGCGAGGAAGGCCCTCCACTGCGATTGGTCATATGGTCCAAACAAAGCCAAGAGCTCTTCTGCAGCCAGCGAAGCCGCTACCTACTCCGTCGTCAGCCAGTGGTTGACTTTTCCCACCCAGTCTCTCTAGAGACTCCTGTCAAATATGTTCAGGAGTCCACCTGACCTAGAATCTAGTACTTACGTCGCTTCCCTTGAATCCTTCGCCTCCACCCTGGTCGCATGCCTACGCGAAAAATCCGCCAAGCGATCTCAATATTTATGAATCTTATATGGGAAGCGAGTAATGATGCTTTTGTGAGATCTCCAAGTTTAAGAGAAAATCATTGAATATGAGAGGCCGGTGCTTTGTGAGGAAATTGCCACTGGTCCTAGCTACCTCGCCGCAATCCGTCGTTTGCTTGCCTTCAGATGCATCTCGTATAGCCTACCCATCCACCAAAAAGAAGCCTATAAGCTCGAAACGCACAGATCGCCGCTGCTGATCATAATTACGTGCATCATGTGCATTTCCCTCGGTCCTTTCTCATACATTTGCGTGAACTAGCCAGGTATCCTCTCCACTCCTCCACAGCTTGCTGACACCGGATCACTTGTCGGATCCCCAGACGATAGAGCAGTCCAAAATGTAGACCGCATAAGAACAGGGGCACCGGCTAAGCGAGTGCACTGCTGTTTTCAAACTCACTTAGCACAAGCGAGGACTCAAGCCAAGCAGTCGGACTTTTGTGTGCATAGAGTCGCAAATACTGAAGAAGAGTGGAGTTGTAACGCCTTATCTGTCCATCTGCCTCAGGGTGGCCTGTAGTGGTCACCGCAATGGTTTATCTGTGAGCGGGTCATTGAGACACGCCAGAACGCGCTGATCTCCGATCCTTGTCCATAGTGATACTCCAGGGGGATCTGTAGAGCCTACGAGAAAGAGTTAAAAATAAGTGCGACCTCTGGACCCGTGACATAGCTGAGCCTAGTGATGAAGCGGGCATAGATGCTGACTTTGTGGCCGGCTCAACTACACGTGAACGCTTTCTACTACACTAGGCAAATACATCATGATCATAATTACCTCAACTGTTCGCCTGTCCTATCTTTTAGCAAGTAGCGTCAGCTTGATACAATGAAGTGCAGTCTTACAGTTGTGTGCGCATCACATGTTTTGTGAGAATTGCTTCGAGTGTCTGACTGCGTAGAGGGTTTAGCAGCGTGAACCATTGCAGACCCTCTCCCGTCATGTCGTGAACTCTGAGGAGCATGGGCACTAAAGTCAGATAGTATCTTTGAAACGTACTTTATAGCGTTCTCGTGTGTAATATTTGGGGGTCAGAGTTAAGCATCTACGTAAGACAGTCTTAGGTGAAGTGTCATGATTGGTAGCATCGCAAGAAGCGATGCAGTTGTTTCCCGCTCATCGGCTAACTGTGGATCACACGGATGTCAAGTTTCCTTACCACAATTGTCCGGTTCTGATCAATTCATTTGGTAGTTCGACCATTTGTCGTTTTCCCGCCGCAGCAGTTTGATTAAATTACCTTTCACCCTGGAAGAAGACGGTTCTGCAACGCCTTTTGGAACAGCGGAAACCGGCCTCCGAGTCGTTGTAAACGCAGTAGCATCAGAGCTGGTCAACCGCCATGATTCGCTAGTTGCTACAACGTTTATAAAAGCGTCAAAGAAATTGTGTAGGGCTAGAATATAGGATGGTCGTAAGGATGGGGAAATACCCAAAGGTTTCGTCAGTCACTTGAAGATGTACCTCGCATTGTAACCCCAGATGAGGAAAAACGAGTGCTCCAAGCTGCGTGTTTTTAAAAAAAATGCACATTTATGGTGGCTCTGCTTGTGTAGAGGAACACTTCTGCCTGCAAGGATTATTGCACTCCAAGCATCTAAACAAACCCTTTCTTATCGGTTCTGCCGAGATCGGCTCCAGAAAGCGTTGGGAGTACAGAGAACGCTGAATCACGGGGACCTGTGAGTAAATTCGCAAATATGGACTCACGAACCTATGATCTTGAAAAGCCAGAGTGTAGAGTAACAGATGTTGGATCGTGGGTTTACGTCAGGTGTAACCAGCTATGTCGCTTCAGGTGGTCACCGGATGCGCCGAGGCGTAGAGATTAAACAACCTGCTGGTAAAACTTGCACTTTCGGCCTATTCGAGGCTGTGGTTGCGAGTAAGCGCACTTCCTGCGTGTTATAATAAAAGGACGAGCCAAATCAGGATTTGGACATACATGTGTTGGAAAAGCGTCACTTGGAATTAACCTGCAGTCTATGGTTGAAAACATAAAAGCCAGGGGCGCGCTCTCCTTAGCAGCTCCGCGCAAATTACTGACAACGCACCGGCTTCTGTTGTGGGCAGCTAGATATTACAACTAGGAACTGCAAGCGTATGCGAAAGCCCAAGGCTATAGACTGACCGCACAGGGCCTCGCAAAAGTAGGCTGTCCAAAGATCAAGATAGGCAAATGAGGGAAGCGCGAAGCTCCTCAAGCAGGCTGTAGAGCAAAAGGGGCTTACCGAGGCTAGAAAAACAAGCTCTAGGCTCACCATGTATCGATGCTTCATTGATACAAGTTCATGGGCCAAGAAGTGCTGGCGTTATTTGACACTGGATATGAACTATATGCAGTACAACTGAAAATCCGAAGAGAAGGGGTACAAGCGCAATCAGCCTGTCCACTCGTAAGCTCACTCCCCATGCCTAAAGTTTGCTGACTGGGGGCAGGACGCGAGGAATGTCAAGACTACGACACATTTCAAGCAATTAAACTCGGAATCGATTCTTGTCAGCATGGTCCGTGACTTCTAGGTTGAAGCCATATACCAGGGCGTAATCCTCGGTATGTTATAAATGAGCCAACGGAAGGCGCCCATGCGGCCACAGCTGCGTGCTCTGGAATTTCGTTTGCCAGTAAGCGCTAGGAATAAGTGCCTTCTGAGCTCCTGAACAACGCTCATCGCATATAGGGTGAGCGGCGTACAGTCAGTTGCTCAGCACTACGAGGCAGAGTCTTCCTTCGGGCGGCGTAGCAACCCAGTAGAAGACGGTTCTTAGTGTGTAGCCCGCCTTAGTTGCTCTGGACCTGATTTTTCATTAGGACTGTCCTTTTGATATTTCGCCGAAGAACGGCAGGGATGGGCAAGTATCAAGGGGCTTGTGGATGTCCAGAATAATGACGAGGTGCCTGAAGGCTGGACACCTGCTGGTTATCCACCGCCCTGTTTTGTGTTGATCACCAGGTCTACCCCGAGGTGTTTGGCTGTATCAATGCCTCTACATCAAGAAAAGGAGACTGAGCCGCAGGCAAATGATTTTCTGATAACGGAAGAGCTCAGAAACTGACCAGCACATCTGAGTGGTACCCGGTGTTTGTATCTAGAAAAAGGACGAATAAAGCATGTGCGGTAACCTTGAAGCTCCTGGAAGCCTACTGTGGAGCAAAAGTTTTTGATTCCTTATTTTGGCGAATTGCTTGACAAACCAAGCTAACCGCCAGTCTACTCCACATTTGAGTTTACATGCGCTATTGTCAATACCACCCGACTCACGCAGATGACAGGTACCAGACAATGTTCCAGAACAAAACAAATCCGAGCATCCATGCATGCTGCCTAAGCTTCACGTCCCGGCTGAGCTGCAACGCCAGTTTATCGACATTTTTGTGGACATTTTATCATGGAGCAGTGAATGGATGTCAACATGGACGACAGCGTAGTATTTAGCTAAAACGTTCAAGAGCATGTACTGCTCATGGTGTGCGCTCCAGCTATTTCAGGATGAACAGTAGTATGTGAAGGCACGCAGCTGTTCAGTTTTCACACTCTCAACTGCGCTTTCACATTTCCTGTTTCGGCTAGAGGAATTGAGGACGATCAGGCAAAAATTGGGGCTATAAAGTCGTGGGGTCTACCTTTATGCACTCCCAAGGAAAATGCAAAGCTCGTTGGACTTTCCTTCTTTCACTGGAACTTCATTACTAAATTTGCTTGAATTTCTGCTTCTTTAACAAGCTGTTTAAGAAAACGGAGCCTGTGGAAAAGGCAGGGGAGGCTGATAGCACAACAAGAAGGCTTTTTGGCCGCCGTAAAGCCCTTCCGGAACTTGCACTGCCCAATTGTGAGTACCAGCTTTTCTTAACGGCCTAGTGACGAAGCAGCAAGTATCATTTTCCCTGAGCAAACTGGAAGTTCTTTAAAAGGCCAATTTATTGCCTGTCATTCTCATCGCTGCACCGAAAAACAAGCAGAAGAATGCAGTGCGCGAACAGCAACCCTCTGGTGTGTGGTGTGGTGTAACAAGAGTCGGCACAATCGTACGAGCATTACTTCACTGTACGCACCGACCAGTAGTACTTACTATACCTTTCAAAGGGCTTTAGGGATTTCAATTATTTAGAGTTGTTCGTTGGCTTGGGCGCCTGCTGCACTACCACTTTATAGTGCAGCATATTAGGGCATCACCAACTTTCTCGTCGGCGCGTTCTCGCAATGCCCTGCCTATTCACCATTACCCAGCACATCCACTCTTGTCTTTTATGATTGACGCTTTCTATTTGAAATGTGCGAGGCTTTGGCTTTGAACATTCACGCATCCCCCACTACTACAATACGGAATGGCAAGTGGACGGACTACTATTGTGCTGAGGATGGCCTGGTGTGGGTAAACATAATTCAAACGTCATCTGTATTTACTAGCTCGCACCGCAGGAAAATTCGTGCGAAGTAGCTAATCATGTCATATCGAGCCATGGCAGGATTTACACTGCGGTGGAAAGCATCTCACGGTCTTTATAGTATCCTGGGTTGCGTCCCACGGCAGCGAAGTTTGCTCTATGCCCAGATTCAGTAGCCAATGCCATCCAGTTCTCCTGAATCTGGCCATTCACAAAACTTTCCGCTTTTTAATAGTACTTGGACTGATCTAACAATGCGATGTATTGGTGGACTGTAGAAGAGTCAGGGTCAAACTACCATCTATTTCGATGTCGACAGGCTTTGCAAATCTGACCACTTCTTCGCTTGTTCTAGCTCTGTCGTGGGTCTAGAGCTTGCTACTTCATGCCCCTAAGCTTTATATATACCAAAAAACTATCGTTACCCATAGGGATCCGAAATCAGTGCGTCTCGGCGTCCCTATATGGCCCGCCCACATGGACCCTAATGTGACCACTGCGAAACACCCCGGCAGGTGGAGAGACAAGACGTACCAACACCGTTGTTCTTCAGTACTTGAGAATCTATGAGCATAGAAGCCTAATTGATTGGCTCGAGTTTCTTCTTCCTTGAGCTGAGTGAATTTATAGTACAGCAGTACTCTTGTCTACCCGTTGCTACCCCCCATCCCTGGTCTATACTTAATATTGTTCCTCCGATTCAGGCCCTCGGCTGGATGCCCGCTGTGAATAACTGTCCGAAGCGGCGGAGCGCTTGAACAAGAGCCGGCCAGTGCACGCGAATGTATGGGCAAAGCTCACAAGCGACGAGCACGTATTTGTGATAAGCGGCGAAGGGCTGTTGGCTACGAGATCAGAGGTGTGATTCCGGTGGATGGGCAGGCTTCACGATGTGCACTCACAAGTGACTAGGCGAACAAGGCTGCGACGAGGTGGCAAGGGTCACTGGCAATTGCCTCAAGAATCAATAATCCGTATTCTATCAGTTTCCCCCAAGCATTAGATTCCACAGAACTGACACTACTGGCTTCTCATTGAGGAGTCGAATAATTATTCGCGAACTCTTCCAGGCTGACAGGTGGCCCGAGTAAAGAATGTAGAGGTAGCAGCGGAAGTGCTGGATCCTAGCACTGTTGGGCGCCGAGGAGACAATAGGCGGGAGTCCTTAGTGAGATTGGGTGAGGAAAGCCAACCCTCGTGGTTGACGAAGCAGTTTCGGGCTTCGTTAACTGCGGAAAATGTGCGGACTTGTTTTAAATGACAACACTAGTCGCCGCTGACTGTCTTTGCATTTTTTTTCTGTCCTTTTCTAGCGCGTACTCTATCTGAGCTACCTACCATCGTCTATGGATATTACCTGGAGAGTTCCCGGGTTGTAGTTGATCTCTACGCTAAGGTGTGTGCACAGGTACACACGGATTATTGCATCTCCATTCTTCTTTATTTATATTTCGGGGCCTGGATTTCGGCTGTGTCACACACACCGGCTGTATTGGCATGCAGGAATCGCAGTGTGAAGAATGGAGGCACTGCTGAACGAGTATAAATCTTCATTCCCATAACACATTTTAGCTGTTTCCTTCATACATTTTAGTTTCGTGCTTTTTCTCTTAGCAGGAGGCTCACACAATTTAGCATCACCAGAACAACAAGTCGCTCCACTGCCGTGGTTGTGGCGATTTGGTCCTTTGCTCGTCGTTGGCTAATGTATGCGGAATTTCCCTTTGACTGCCCTTAACAGGCTGATTCCTTCTTTTGTCTTCTCCACTCAACAATTTTTGTTTGCGTTTACGCCTGCCCGGGAGTGGCGCTAGGCCACTGGCCTTCAGCTGCCTTGTGCACAGTGGGACTGGACGGACACCTATGGAGTGCAAAGGAGAGCCCTGTGAACAGAGGGTAAGGTATGGCAGGCTAGGCTACACTTTGGCACCTCCTGCTGCACTTGTCATATCACCCAATCAACTGAAGGAATTGACTGACCGATTTGGCTCTTTGCAAGTCTTAATGCAAAGTAGCGCCAACGCACTGCAATAAGGATCGTTGTGAGCGCACCGGCTAAAAGCTATGACAAAGTAGAGGTGAATGCTCACATTGTGTTGTGTCGCAGCGCCTTGAGTGTGGAGTCTGGTATGTTTTGACAGAAATTTTAGATGGAGCGGGACACTGGATGGCATATCACGGGTGGGACGTCTCTCCTGAAACTGGCGACTGCACAGCTGTGAGTCACCCGTGCTAAACAGACACAATCAAGTCAAAGAGACGAGATTAACCGAATACGATACGTAAGAATAGTGGCGAATGCAACTGTTCCAGCAATGTGTCTGCATCTAGCAAAAAGGGCACGCTTATTTGAAGCTTGCCTGAAAGCGTAGATTTCTTTACCTTATTGCTCTAACCGCATCTGCGTATAGGTGAACCTACAGGAATTGCGGTCTTCAATATACCTAAAGTAGGAATTGGAAGCCGAGGGTCATGGAAGTGACTCCCTATGCACAAGGGCCCCTTTCGGTGGGCCCTTTAGGGGACTCTAGAGTCCCCTAGCTAGGGGGCCCCCGTCCGGGGGAGGGCGGTTAACGACTAAGGAAGATACTTTACTATCGCATTCGAAGACGCGATCTCAAAATTATCCTGTAGCAGATTGTCTATTGTTTCCTCGTCGTCCTGCTGCAGCGAGACAATGTAGAAAAGGACCCGTATTACGGGCCCTCAGATCACCAGCCTCTATACATTAAGCATCGCTGCTTCTCATGCAGCAACTCAAATGGAGAAATGAAAACTAGACTTTTGGCTTGGGTCTAAGATGTGCTATTTTCTCACAGACTGACTGCGGCACGATCGGGCACACGAGTCATAGGGTACATGCACCACATTGCTACCGCACATGGCTGTTGCCGCTGAGGCAACAGCAGCAAAAAGGGCCAGGGCAGCAACGCACTGCTGCGGCCATGGCTCCGGCTCGTCTCGGCGATCTGCATCACTGCCTGGACTCTAACCCATTAAACTCCCTAGATAGCAACAGCTTCCGCAGTAGCAGTGCGAAGATCGTGGACTCATCAGCACAACAAACAAGTACGAACACAGCCTAAGGAGCCAAGGTGGCAGATTACCTGATGTCTTGATGCGGCAGCAGCAAAAGCAAAAAGGCATCTCTTGAATGCTGCATGGCGGTAGCTCCTCTAGCGTTTTCTTCCCTTTGCTTCCAAAGGGCAAGTATCTCGTTAGGAATGCAGTACGTGCTGGTGCTTCTGCTTCTGCTGCAAGAATGCAGTAGAAGCGCTGCGTACTGCTTGGTTTCTCCTTCACGGGGGTCTGTATTTCCCACCACACGTGCCCGCTGCCACCCTAAAAAGGGATTTCTCCGGCCTTTTGTTGCTGCTTTTACTCCAACCTATGATGCGACTTGTGGTAAGGCGGCCACATCGACAGCAGCAGCCGCCGCGGCAGCAGCGCATGGTACTGTTGGTGACGTGCCTCTCTGGCCTGAAGGACGCCTCCGCGTTAGCCACATACATGCAGTAGCAGAGAGGGCGAAGTGCCAGGAGGAGGAGGAGCAGCAGCAGCCACAAGGGCAGCCACAGCGGCGGAAAGTTGAGAAGCTGCTTCTTGCGAGAGTCTGTGTTTGTGGGTGGGTAGCTTCTCTCCGTGAGGGAGCGGGGGGTGAGCTCCTCTTCCTTGATGTCTCCGACGGATCCTCTGCGCAACCGCTGCAGTGCGTTGTTGCGGCGGACGCAGCCGCTGAAACTGCTTTTGAATGTATGTCAGAAGACGGAAAAGGGTCAGCATTTGTCAAAGGGCGGAGACTCAGGAGAGGAGACTCCTTGTGTCTTCGGGGAGATATTTACCTTGTCAGAGGGAGGAGCCACACGGCCGAGCTGCGAGTCCTTCCCAACGACAGTGCCAATGTCAAAAGCACATGTTTCGACACGGCGATCAGTCCACCTGTGCAGACTTGGGGACTCTATGCATGCGAGCGAAGGCGGGGCTGTGGTGGAGCTCCAGTAGAAGCTCCGAAGAGATCAGCGGAAGCAGTAACAGCAGCCTTCGGTGATGCAAAAAGATACCCCCTCCCAGTGCGTGGAGCATCTTTTGATTTCCTCCGGAACAAAGGCATCTGCCTGAGGTCCCGGCACTCCGAGTTTGCCGCCATCTCTCGCATTCGAGCCGAGACGGAGAAGTATCTTCTTTCATTCCTAGACGTGAGGCCAGGCCCTAGACCCCAAACGTTGCAGCGTGGCTTAGCTCAGGAAGAGCTTGATAGCAAGGAGATATCTTGGTTATGCTCATCCATCGATGAAGCACGCTTTGTGTAGACCCATTGGCGGAACTGGCCTGTCATTGCTGTAACTGGTTCTTGCTGCTCGTGCATAACTCGCCCAAGACTCCCGTATGTGGCTTTCTTTGCTGCTGCTCTCGCTGTAGTCCCTGGGGTTTCTGCAGGTCCGCACTCCCATACTGACAGGCCTAGACTGCGAAGGCGCAGGGGAGACCTTCAGTGTGTCTGCTCCACGAGACGGCAACAAAAGCAGCGGCGAGGGTAGACTCCTACTAGGAAAGCCTATGTTCCTCAGCGTATCGGGCCAACTGCCACTGGAGGCGTTGGCATGGGGTCTGGGAGACGTCTACGCACTATCCCCAGCCTTCAGGGCGGAGAACTCTAACGTACGCTGTGGTACCACTGCTACTGCGTTGTTGCTGATTTTCTGCCGTTTTGCCCCAACACAGCGGGCTTTTGCTTATTGGTTCACGGTAGAGCGCTATTGCTGCTGAGCATCGTTCGAGGATTTGCCATTTCTTGGTGTCTCCGGAATGCTTTCTCTCCGGCGTATGCGCACATCCTTACTGCCGCGAAGGTACTGTGCCTGATGCAGACCCAGCGCCATCTGTGTGAGTTTTGGATGCTAGAGGCGGAGGCCTCCTTCATCAGTCGCCAGGAACTGCTGAACCTCGCGGAGAGGCTGGTCCGGCACACCCTTACGCACGTGCTGAATGCTTGTACCCCTGACCTCAATATTCTTGCTGCACACCAAGGCAACACTGGCAAAAAAGTGCAGCATACCGCTGGCCACTTGGATGTCATACGAAGCGTTGTGAGGCGTGTACCCCCACCATCAGCGATATCAGCAGCGCTCAGGAGCACCAGCTAGGGCTAGAGGGCGACGTAAGCACGAGTAGTAGCACCGGAGGAGTAGAGCCGTGAACTGATGCTGCTGCATGCTTGCTTTTTCCACTTTGCTGTGCCGGGGCTTTTCAGGCATCGGAGCCCTTCGAAATAATCAGTTACGCTGAGGCCTTGCGGCGGCTTAAAGAGGAAGGGCTGTCGCCTGTGTGGGGCGATGACTTGGGAGCAGATGAGGAAAAGTTGCTTCTTCAACACACAGCACGCAGCAGTAAGAGTGGCCATGGCAGAGGGCTGATAATAGTGGACCATCCTCGCAGCCTCAAGCCATTCTACATGCGCGTCAACCATTACGGAGAAGAAGCTCCTAACGGAGAAAGTGGTGGCAACAGCAACACCGTGGCATCTATGGATGTTCTACTGCCCAACGTCGGGGAGGTTCTAGGTGGATCCATGAGAGAAGAGCGAATTCACGTCCTTGATGAGTACATCTGAATTCTGTCTGTGACTTTTCCCCATGTTTCGCTCCCTGTGACCTCTCTTTTGACCATTTTTCCTCCCTGACTGACTCAATGCCTTTGACTACCTCCATTTTATTCTTTCTTTCACACTTCTCTTGCTCACGTTCATGCTGATCCCCTGTCTGTAAATAACACTGCATCTTTTCTCCATGCTTCTTCGCTGCCGCACGCACCGCCCGCTCTCTTTGCTTCTCTCTCAACAAAATGAGACATGCGTTCGCAACTATTGTTTGCGTGCTCTTACGGAAAAAATCGTATAATCGTATGCTTGTGTGTTTGTTTCCCCCTTGCAAACATGATTGCACGCTGTTGTGCGTCCACGTGTACACTTCTGAGCCCTTCAGCGAGAATATTATCGGGGCATTGTTTCTCGTTATACTGTTGTTGCTGCTGCAGGTCTATGCGCCAGAAGGGACTTTCCCCAGATAGTTACAGCTTCTACCGAGAGCTGCGGCTCTTTGGGTCGTCACCGCGGGGCGGCTTTGGACTCGGGATAGAGCGCCTTCTTCTCTTTCTCACCGGCCTCTCCAACGTCAGGGATCTAATCCCCTTCCCAAGGGCCCCTCGATACGCCCCCCTCTGATCATTAGGCATAATTTATACAGCAATCACGACGGCTGTGGAAGCCAGAAGGAATCGTTTTGCCCTTCAGTTTCGCACGGCAAGTTCGCAGTTGGGACATTTGCGTTGCAATTGCAACCATAATAGGCTACTAATGCCAGGATTGATAATCTCTTGGCCATTGTTTACAAGGAGGATGGGTTCATGCTTCCATTGAGCTCTGGGTCGCCAGGCCATGTACCGCCTGACTTCCTGGCTGTTAGCCGTAATTAGCGTAATTAGGGGAGAAGCGCAACTAGCGATCCCTACGGGGCAGAGGGACGAATTCTTAGGCCCTTGCTGCGTTATTTGAGAGAGTTTTGGTGCCTGCTCGAGCAGCAGCTCCCAAAACAAATTGCAACAAAGACCGCATGCAGCTCCAGGGAGATTGGCCTTGCAGGAATGGTCTTACCACCCAGAGGAGCTGAACCCCGTTTGTATCAACGGCATTAAAGGTACTGGAGATTAGGCTGTAGAAGGACTTTTTGTCTAGGTACACCTAATACCCGTAAACATCCTGATTCATTTCATTGTATACCTATGCGGTCCAGTGTGTACTTGTAAAAGCGGACTCGACATGAAAAGCTGAGGCCCCGTCTGCCTACATACAACTGTGTGGGCGAACAAAAAGTGCATCAGGCGAATGGTCGACACCGGGATCTCTGACTAGAAGGTGATAATTGCCATCGGTGTTGGACTACCGGCATGGCGTGCGGTCTCACTCAGGTGTCTTTCGCCAAGCATTGATACCTTGCATCCCCAAGTCACATTTAACAAGGCAGATAGAGTCAAGAGAGAAATAAGAGGAAAGAAGGAGATGTCGATGCTGCAAGAGCGTCACGAGGTGCCTAGTGTGGTCCAAAGGCCCCTTTGCACGGGTCCAGAGGAAAGATTCTATGTCCATTGCTGCTATGGAGACCGCTTCTCTGCTTTATTCCCTCACCCAACCATGTCCTTATCCTTACTTAAAGGTGTAAAGACCTATGTTGGCGTGCAGAGCCTTCTCAGGATATCGGACGTGTGGGTTTTTGCCGATCCGGCGTCGCTGCTCCCCTCCCCTCGTAAAGAGTGCTACTCACCATCCACGAACTCAGAGGATTTCCATGCATATAATAAGCTTTTACGCCTTCTCCTCAATATTTCAAGGAGCTCAAGGGAAAGAAAGGTGAAGTTGCTGTGTACAGTGCAGCTTGCCCACGTGGAAAAGTGACCCTGAGTTTTCCAAGTAGTTCTACTTAGCCACAAACTCTGAAGTCTTTTTGTAGCGGCGTACTGCTGATTGATATAGTGTACACCGATGCGAACCTGAGGGCCTTTTTAGCCAGCGCACAGCAAGATAGGAGGACTCTCTGTCGGCCTCCTCAATTCTCCACAGGAATAAGCCACTTGTGCTTGGTGCACGATGCCCATCTCCCTTAAGACAACATATGGTAAAAGAGATTAGCAAGACGACAGGAAGTGAAACCAAGAAGGGCTGTATGGCTGCTGTCTTTCCTGGATCCCAATGCCGCTGGAACCACGACTAGAGGGCTTATATCGCCGCCAGGTAGGTGCTGCCGTTGCTGCTGACGAGCGCCGGCAGCTGGAAGACACGACAAAGAAGCGAGCAATCGTGTCTGCAGCAAACTACGAGGAGTTCAGGGCCCTAGTTGGCACTTGCCACCTTAAGCCCATGGCAAGGGAGGAAATGCAAAACCAACCTCAGAGGCAGTTCAATCGCCACGCTGGAGCAGCGTGCGGTTTCGACCTTTCTAGTGGAACTGTTGGCGTTAATAGCAGCAACAACAATGCTCCAATAAATCTTCAGCTGCGTAACCAGGCACAATTGAGGAGAGAATGGGAGGCAAGAGACGCTGACCCCGAGGATCAGTGCAGGTATGCCTTCACTTCTCCTGTTGCACATGTGAGGCTTAAAAGCAGTGAGACTCTATCAGAATGCGCAATACACCAGCATCTCTTCGCGACTTAGGTGAAACTACAATCCGCGTAGTCTGGTGCATTGTGCGAACAGATGGCTGCTGCAGCAGCCACAGGAAAGCCTCCAACAAATCTTCAGCATGGATATCGAGCCTCAGCTTCTGCTGCACCTATTGAGAGCCCTGGCATCACACATCTCTAGTCTTGCTGCTTTACGGTGCAGCAGTTGCTGCTGCTGCTGCCAGACACGCTCTGCCTCGTTGGTAGCGACAGCCAAGGCTGTTCCTACTGACGAATCCGCATTCTGCTGCCGCATTGCTTACAGGGTCTTCCTAACAGCTGGATTTCTCTCCTTCTTAGCACAGCTGCGTGCAACGGCAAAAGCGGCTCGGCTACTGCTGAAGAACGAGCTGGAGCAGGTTGCCTTATTGTTCCGAGATGCATTTGCAGCACTGCACTCTCCCGTAGGACCTGACCAAATTGAGACTCACTGTGAAAGCCCAGGGGAAACCAGGGCCGCACATGACTGCTGCTGCAATCTACAGAAGAGGCTAGCAGACACATCCGTGCCAGGGGCAGCAAAAGGTGATTGCCCAGGGGCAGAAGTAAAGGCCTGTTGCCGTAGCAAGCATGCCATGGTGATGCTGTTACACGCATTGGGAGCTCCCAAGTTAGAAGCGTAATGCTGGAGATTCTCTCCACAGTTCTGAGAGGAGAAAGTTACAGTTTACTCCCACTTTGCTAAGCAGTATTCCATTTATTCCCCAGCAAAGCATTTACCACTACTTGCGCATCGGGTAAGCCCCGGAAAAAGAAATTGTTCGAAGCAAACGCAAACAAGCCCCGCCAAGGGACAATCCCCAGGAAAACAGATAGCATGCATGTAATTCCGTCATACCACACAAGTGAATGCACGCATGGACTTATAGCCGCACAAAGAGACGCATCAACATGGATATACAGGGGGAAACACATGCAGACAGACTTACAAAGCTATGTACGCGATGCCAAGCAACTCTGGAATGTTCCGTTAACCATTCTACAGCGAATCTCACAAAAACTAGTGCGGGCCGCAGCCGCTGGGGTGGCGTGGCGAGGGTGACTTCGGGGGCATCTACGCCGCTTCTTCACGCACCAAGCAAGGAAAAATAGCATACAGCCCTGCATGCGTTGTTTATCCATAAGCATACAGTATACGCTTTGTCTGGGGCCTTTGAAATTCCTTTGGAAACCAAAGAGCCCCTTGCTTACTCTTCGATACACGCAGCACTGGCTGCGCTTCAGTAGACACACAACCTTTAAAAATCCATTCCACGGCCCGGAGGCGCTGGTCCCTTTATGAGAGACTTTAGGGCAAAGACAGTGGCTCCGGTACTAGAAGGGCAAGAGAACGCACTGACACCACGTGTTCTCACTCCTGCAATCATTGTGTTTCACTTTTTACAATATCGCACGATCGAGCCACAGCTAGCGCTGTCCTTGGTACGAGTCCGTAGCTCCTTGCGACCCTACAGGTATCCACAGCTAGCCTTCGCCCTAGAATGAATACACAGCTAATAATGTTTGCACCGTTCATCTACAACCAGGTGCGTCCCTAATATTTTTGACACCTCAGACAGAGAGCCTGGTTACGGCCCCAGAGAGATGTCCAATGATGCAGACTTTGCTGATGCCGAGGAAGATGCCCGTTTCGACGACCCCCACCACCTACAGTGCAACACAACTAGACAGATGCTCATATATGGGCCCACAGAGATGCGTGTCAGTGTCCCAATATAATTGCATCTCTGCGTCGGTGCGCATGCAGGCAAATATGCACAGATTTGCTGGGAAAGCTATTGTTTCCAGGCAAAAGCGACAGAGCCTGTGCAGCTGCAGCAGCGGTCGTGGCAGTGACGCTAGAACCAGAAGGGGGCTGTGAGCACACGGCACAATGTGTCAAACCCTAAATCCAAATGCAGCCTTCCATCACTCTACTGCAGCAGCAACAGTAGCGGCACCTTTATTGTTGCTTGGCATGGTGCCAGTGGCTTACCTTGATGAGTCTGTCGTGCAATCGCTGAGGATCGGGAATTGGACTCTTAAAGAAGAGGTCTAGGCAGTAGTTGCCGTTGTCCGAGACGAACAACTCTGTGCTGCCCTTCTTCTGCCTGTACACTGCAGATACGCCCTTTGCCGCTGCAGCTTCCTCAACAGCTCTAACGTCGAGATAGCCCCCCTCAAGGGAAACTGCACCATCCTCCCCTTGTGCCCTCTTCTCCAAGACAGACAGAACCGCGGATAGCACCGCTAGCCGTGTGGTCCTAGCTCCGAATTGCACCACTTCTAAGGGCACGGCCCCAGTGGTTCCGAAGGAAGTGGGGTTCACCAGCTTTCCCTCGTCGGCTACCTGCTCGCGAAGCAGCAGAGAAGTAGTTCACAAGCAGCACATTCGCACCATGGGATGGAGGAGGAGAAGGAGCTTCCTTCTTCCCTTTGGAGCAAGTGAAAACGCGACCAGAAAAAAGAAATCGGAACCTCAGGCTTTTCCGCCCCCTTTGGTAAGACAAGAAAGCCAGAACCCATGGCCTACGAGGTGCCTACAGCCGAGGTACAAGAAGAAAATGCAGCGCTGACGCACACAGACAAAGGACTTGGAGTTAATCTCAACCAGCTTCTCCCGCAGCAGCGCACCCCCGCGGCCCTTTATTAGGACCAGCCTGCGTAAGCAACGGCACCAGAAGACGGAGGTGCAGGCATGGTGCCAGCAGTGGCGGCAGCAGTAACAGCAGCTTTTAGCCACGACCCCGTGGCTAGAGACTTCACGAGTTTCTCCTAAAAATCCTTTTTACTGCCCCCTTCCCCCCTGTGTCTTGAGCACGTCTTATTTCCTAAGCCCTAACCCCTACGCCCCACTCCCCACACGCCTATCACGGCCTCACTGCGAGCCAGTATTGAGCACTTCATCTGCTCCGTCAATAGTAACGTCCAGAGGCAGTTCGATAGAGTCCAATGGAAGCAATTGGATGCCAAGGGGCTCGGCCTGCAGAAAAAAAAGCGTCGCAAAGCGCAGAGCGAACCCCTGTTGTGGAACCAAGAGAGTTTTGTGCCAAAAAACCCTGCATGCCACACTCCACGGGCAGCCTCTCTCTTCTTGCCTTGAGCGGCCCTCCTGAACCCTGCGCATAGACCTTCGCACGTATTGTTGTGCCTCACCAGTCTGCGGGTTTCTTCGCTCGTAGCGGCGCAAGTGATACCCGTCAGGTCGCCCTCTCTGATGCGTTCCCCGATGCGCTGCACCGCAAAGGAAGCCGTCGAGCCTGTTCCGAGGCCGACGCGCATGCCAGAACGAATGCAGGTGTCCACTGCCTCGACAGCCTGGGAGAGCAAGAAGATGCAGCAACAGGAGAACAGAGTCACTGGCTGACGGGAGGCACGCCAGCCGCCGATCGCGAAGATGCAACATGAGCACGGGAAGCCTAAGATCGCATGAAGCGCTGCGATGGTTACGGCATCATGGAAAAACAATAGCACAGTTGAATCCTACATCAGCAGTCGATGAGAGCCACAGGCAGAGGGGCGTTAGCGTGCGACGGCACAAACATGCTTCCCTATGGAGGCTCTTAGGCCTAAGAAAAAACAGGCATGGGCAGCTTCAGTGGTGCTGCAACAATCGGCAGGAAGAGCTACCACCTGTGAATTGGGTGGCAAATTCGTTCAGACGCGAAGCGCAGACAAAGCGGTGAAAAAACAGACCACAATTCTTCTCGCGCATATTCCTGCCCAACCTTACAGCTGCTTTTTTTGCTTCGTCGGTGGGGCTCATTGCCACTTTCGCTTCAATGTGCCTTTCGCTCCCCTACTCCTCTTGGGATACCGTTGTTGAGCTGAAATCAGCACCCGTCCGTAAGCACGGCGCGCTTCGCGAAACCAAACTCTCTATATAGCACGTTTTGGCTAAGTTCAAAAGCAAGGTAGGCAAGCCGTTTTTCCAAACGATCAGACGTACCTGCCCAGAGAAGCAATGGAGCTTCCGTCAAGGGCCCCCGCCTCGCCCACCCCTGCCCCGCCCGCCCAGCCAGGGGCCCCCCAGTATTTGTTGGCTCACTACTGGGGAAAAATATATAGGAAGACACAGCTCAAACTCCGCCATATTTCTGAAAGCTCTAGCACGTGCTTCATAGACTAGCGTCGAGATGCTGCTTACTGCACGAAGTATAAGAAGAACTGTCCTTGTGTACCCGACCCGAACACCCGTTCCCCCCTCTCTCCGGCTCCTCCCCGGTGCTACCTCGCTTGAAGGCGAGATCTTCAGCAGTGGCACGCAAGACTTCGCCTTCTCGACGAAATTAATCCCACGCTTCTGCCTGCAACTTAACACACTTGCCTTGGAATAGCAGGGGCCGGCGCTCGGTCCCTGCACTGTGCATCAATGCGACCTGAGGATATCTCCTCCTCGTGGAACCAGCGGCAGCAATGGAAGCAGCCTTCTTGGCACATCGCAGAGGAGCGGCACGAGTCACAGGGCTGCGGTGTGAGTGCGAAACCTTCGCAGCGGCCTTGGCACGCCACTAGCCAGCGGGGGGGGGGATCGTACCTAAACACCCAGCAGGCAGACTCAGAGCTGCAGCCAGCACGTCCCCCGCCCTGCGCTCTCTGGCTGGGGAATGAGACGCCGAACTGGCAGCGGCAACGGGAGCAGCAGCTGCTGCAGCGGCAATGGCACCAGCAAACCTCCGACGGTGCACCTGTGTGCTCAAGCGGCCCTTCTTCCCACTCACAGGAGCACCACCACCCCTATCAAGAGCAGGGAACTGGCACACAGAATGCGTCTAGTCCGCAGTCTCAGCACCTCCAATCAAGAGCTGCTGGTGCGCAGCACCTGATGCTGCCCCCCTCGGTCCCGTGCAGACCCTCACAGCCCATACGGGCGCGAAAGTGGCAGCAACATCAGCAGCAACATCAGCACCTGCAGCAACATCAGCACCTGCAGCAACATCAGCACCTGCAGCAACATCAGCAATATCAGCACACGCAGCAACATCAGCACACGCAGCAACATCAGCACCTGCAGCAACATCAGCAACATCAGCACACGCAGCAACATCAGCAACATCAGCACCTGCAAGAAGACTCTCTTGATGTACTTGGTCCGCAGGAAGGGCACCCAGTAGCTGCAGCCCCACCCCTGTCCAAATCGAAGCGGGTTTGGGGTCTTTCAAGAACAACAAGAAAAGCAGCAGCAGCAGCAGTGTCTTCACAACCGTCTGCAGGTTGTAACTGGCATCCTCCCGCGTCTCTGGGAGGTGCTAGTCCAGGTAAGCTAGAGAATGGCGCTCATGGCAGCGACAAGAATGACAGCAACTGCAAGAAAGAGGAGCCGCTCTCGTTTAGAGGCATAAAGGCCACGACAGCCGCAGCAGCAGTTGCAGCAGCCGTGGTACAAGCAGCAGCCCAGCACCAACCCTCTGTCATGTTGCAACAAGCCGCAGAGGAGCATCTGCCAGGTCCTGCTGGTCGCTGGCTGCGGCGCAGGCAACAACAGGAAAAGGGCAAACGCATGAAGTGAGCGCACCCCTTGCAAGGCCCCTTTCAGTCTTTGCCTTTCCATGGGCTTTCTTCGTTTCGTCGTGGCTGCACTCTGAGTGTTTTTCTTGCCCATCTGCGCAACTTCCCGACTTCCTTCGCCATCGGCGCCTCCGCTGGTGTTTGGTATACGCCTCGGACTCGAAGGTGCGCAAGTTTCTGCTGCAGAGGGCAGGGAGGCGACTCCCCCTTCGCTTGCCGTCAACAAAATCGCATTCGCTCGGCGGACAGTTCGCAGTCCTCTGTTGCTGCTGCTGCCACCGCTGCTGTTGCCGCTGCAACTGCTGCTCCCAACTTCACTCCAACTCCCGGATGTTGGGGTAGCGCCTGGCTGGGGCTTAGCCACTGCGAGGCAGCGGCAGCAGCAGAAGAAGCGCGTCGAGCCGCTGAATCAGGCAGCATGCAAAGCGACCAAGCACTTGAAACCAAGGCCCCTCTACAGGCTTCCGCATCTTGGGCTCGCGCGCTGCTTTTCTTGGGATTTCCCTTCGATGGCAAGTGACCTGCGCTCTGCGCCTGTTGCTGCTCAGGCTGTGCAGCAGCGAGAGAGCTGCCTGTCCTTTTGGCTCGAAGTGCCGCGTGCGCTTTGCTTGTGTCTGCAAAGCCGAGGCCTCTCATGACGGAACCTGGTGACCCCTTTTCGGGAGTCTCGGGTGGGCTGTGGGGTGGCTTGCTGACTGTCTCAACGCGTATCCGTGTGGCTCTTTCGCAGCGTTTCATCTAGGCCTCATCGCCACGCCTTCGCCGTGCCCCCCCATGTAAGGCACAGGAGAGGACCGATACGGCTCCCCAGCAGCTTTCGCTGCGCTCTGACCCTCCCCGCTTGCGCAGGCTGTCTGTGTACGCCGCTGCTTCAGCATGTCCTTCTTGGTGGAGTCGAATGTGGCAGCCGTGCTGCGGAGCAGCGACATCCCCGTGAAGAAGGCAAGCGCGTCTCCTTCCCTTTCCCCCCTCCCTCCTTCCCCCGTTTTTCGAACGCCAGTCTTTCAGGAATGTGATGACGCATTGGCGGGGTGCGCGGCTCGTAGGGGGACGCCAGTCGGTAAGCACGCAATGCTGCTTCTGCTGCGCGTGCTGATTCAGGTGCAGCATTTGGTGTTGTTCCTAAAATACGCGATTATGGGAGACGATGAAGGAGCCCTAACGGACCGACTCCTCGTTGCAGCCGTGCGTGCATGCATGCCAAATATATCGTAACCGGCGAGTCCGTTAGTCGGACATCATTGCACGCTGCATGCAGAGACTTGTATTCGCATGCTGGCGGCCCTCAAGGCGCTTCTGTCAATAAGCCGAGCGGTTTGGGGATTTCGCCCAAGCGACCTCCCCCCTTCCCCCCCCCAGTCCCTTGCGTGGAGACGTTGAGCGCAAGCGTGCTTCGCGCCTCCAAGCCTATTCCTTCAAAAACGTGGCTTTTTCTGTGCGCGAAGGACCCCACCGGAGAAGTCATGTGTTCTGTTCACTCATCGGTCTCGGAGTCGCTCCACATGTGCCCTGGGAGTACCGTCATCCTCCAGGAGGTGCCTAGGACGACCCCCCTCGAACAACTGCTGCCGCCGCTTCTATCGTGCGAGGGAGCTGGAAAGCTCTTCTGTGACTTATCCCTTGGGATCGTCTTCCTTTTCCCCGGCAGCTCGTATAAAGGCTATCAGCGCTGCTGGGCTGGGCTAGCTGCATGCACGCATGCGTTGTTGCCTGCTCGCGAGGGGCCTGTTTGTATAGGCGTTTGCGCATGTGCGGGGGTATTGCGCATAGATGCAGTGATTCAGAGGCCTCCTTACAAACCTGCCTCTTCACTTGCATGCTTCTGGATACTCTCTTGCGCTTAGGTCACAGTATACTATGCAGCATTCAAGCTGCCTTACGTCCTCATCACGCAACGCAGCCTCGTGCGGGTAATATCATGTCTTGCCCCTGCAGCCACCACTCGCCTTTGACTTATAGCCTCTTGCGTGTACTTTTCTCTTTACCCTCTGCCCGCTACGCTCGGTGTCTCTCCTTTCCTTGTGCAGCCTCTTTGGCCGCCCTTCCGATATATTTCCACCTTGCCTCCGTGGTTCTTTCTTCGTCCATCAGCTAGCTCGCCTCGCGACCGCTAGGCCTGAACGTTGCTGCTGCTGCCGAACTTTCCCGCAGGCTTTTCCTCCGAGCTTTTTGGATGACACTCTGCGCCAGCAAGCGGAGGACGCCCGCGGCGAGTGGGAGTCCAGGGTAGGCCTGCACCGCTTAAGTCACAAAGCAAGTCTCCGACCTTCCGCCTCGTTAGTTGGCTGGTTCGACTAGCCTCACACCGCTGCGCTAAAGCGACGGCTCAAGTTTGTGCTGCGTTTTCGATGTGCAGTGGCGAGGCGTTCACGGCGAGGCCGCTGGAATGCCGGGGGGCCAACGTTCCTAGGCTCGGCTTTCAGCGTCTGCGCACTTCACGCCTTGTTCACCTCTTCGAGGCGGCGTACTCAAGTCTAGCCAGCTACTTGCTTTCCTGGCAAGCTAGATAGTTGAGAAATATTGATGGGGATTTCTTTTTCTCTTGGAAACAGGCTCATCTATGCTTCAGGGCGTACTGGTTGTCTACTCACTACGCACTTTTAGCTTTAAGGGACTGCGTTATTTAGGCGTGGGGCAAGACGGCTTAGGATCTTATTTTTCTCTAGCATAAACAACAGAAGATTGTTACCCAGGCACCTCTAACGTAGCACCGTAAGCTAGCTGGTTAACGACTTTCCAAGCCAACGAGCTAAAGAGCTCTCTGGACATCTAAGCCAGCTGGCTATCTGTAAGGTCTAACGCCAAGAATTGGCCCCGCCTTCTCGTGAATGGCACGCAGCAGCGGCTCCGCAAGGGCCTGGCGGTAATGCACATCTGCCCCGTCGAGCTCCTCCAGAAACACCTGTTGGTGATGAAGGTGCTGATGCTCCTGAGCTTCGGGGAAGGCCGACCGCCTCCACAAAAGAGCCAAAGAGTCAATCGCCACCTACAACACAAAAATCTGCAGCAGGGGGGCACCATGTGACTGGACCACTCTACTGCGGGTAGTGCTCCGCAGCAGCAGGTGACGCTCAATGGAATAACACACGCGTCTTGCCGACGCCTCCATAACTCAAAGACAGCGCGGCTGACTCCAGACCAGAAGGCGGGGCGTTGGAGTCGCTGCGAGCTCAGTGCCTTTCGAGGGTGATCTTCTCCATTTATTCGTCACATCGCCTACAGCGATGGCGCTCTACTGCGGCTCGAGGACCCCTTCCCGACAAAAGTAGCAGAGGCTCTTACCTCAAAGTTGTCTGTATCTGCATCCCACGCCGCAGCAGAAGGGCGGCGCGGTAGCAGCTGCTGCCGCCGGGTTAAGGCCAGCAGAAAAAAGCGGCCAGAAAGGGCCCATCCTTTTGAAAATTTATATGCGCGAGCCAGAAATCCTTCAGCATACACACACATGGTACTGGCCGTCGTTACGCTGGGCTGCTGCTGGTGCCCGTCACTCGAGCTGCTGCTGCTGCTGCTGCTGCTGCGCTTACGTGTGAAGTTTTCGGAGTGGAGTTCTTGCAGAGTGGCGACGAGCCCTTGCGCGTCTTTGCTCACAGGGGGGGGTTCCATCTATTTTAGAATAGCAAAAAGCAGCAGCGATGAATCCATGACGTCCAAGCGGTAACAACAGCACTAGGAGCTGAACTCGTGGCAGCAGCGTGCGTTCGACATACATCAGCAGCATGGCCTCACCTGGAGCAGCTGCGCGAATGCGTGGACGTCAGCAGCAAGACGGGTGCCTCGTACTGGTGACGCCATCGCGAGATAGTCCCTCAGCGCCGCCTCGTGTTGCAGAGACCGCTGTTGAGCGTCTTGTGTCTGACTGCACTCGTGACTGTCGGCTGCCGTGGAGCCGTCTGCAGCATCTCCCTCCAAGCGCTGCTGTTGCAGCAGCAAGTCGCAGTACTGCTGCGGCGGCTGCTGCACCAGCAGGTCCTGCTGCTCCGTGACAAACTGCAGATCCACCAGGAACTGGAGAAACGGCTGCATCAGAAAAGGCGCGCAGCAGATTATGCAGCCTCAACAACACGCGTAGAAGATCTTTGTGCAACGCAGCCTCCTGGTGCTCTACCTTAGCGCAATATTACTGCTGGAGGGTCGTCGCCAAAGGAGGGAGCGTATTCTCAGCACCAGCGGGGAACCCTGTCACTAAAGCCCGGAGACTGTGTTTGCGTGTGTATGTAGAGGCAGTGATCTCGGATCGCGGCGAGCTTGCACAAGAAGCCGTTGCATCATCAGCTTGCGAGGCCAAGTGAGCACCAAGAAGTACCTCTCTAGTCTGCTCGGCAAGGGCACGCGTCTTTGCAGCAGCAGCAGCAGCTGCTGCTGCTGCTGCAGAGGCGCTCCCGCGTGCAACTTCCACGGGAACACGGAGGCCTAACAACGCATGCAGCTGTTGCTGCTCAGAGAGCACATGCCCAGCGGGAGTCTGCAGAGCCGCTTTCTTTCGAGACTGCATGCCCTGGATGTGCTGCAGGAGGCCCCTCTCATGCTGCTGCAGCTGCTGCTGCTGCTCGTTCAGCAGCAGCTGCTGCTGCTCCTGCAGGGCCTCAAACTGATCCCTTGCCGGCTGCTCTTGCTGCCTCGCTAACAGCGCCAGTCGTGGAATCACACGAGTGGCAATAAACGAACGCCTGCAGGGAACCTGACACATCGCAGACGGGGGAGCTTGCAGAGGACTGGCAGGGGCAGAGGAGGAGCACCCCAAGAAAAGTGTTGCGCAGAGCGGAGCCTCTCACCAGACAGCATCACGGATTTTCCTGTCGTGCTTTTGTGCCGCAGCGTTCAGCTCCTGCTCCTGCTCCGGTGACACAAGCATGGCTCGTTGCTGCTGCAGCAGGTCGGGCAGCTGCTGCACGTGGTGCTGCACGCGTCGCCAGGCGAGTTTCGTCCGCTTTTCCAGCAGCCACCTCCCCCGCTTCTTCTGCTTCCTCAGAGGAACTCGCATCTGCTGAAGGGAGAGAGGGAAGCGCTGCTCGAAGAGCCGCTGGGGCTGCTGCTGAGGCAACGGGGTGTACAGACACCTGTTTTTCTGCTGCAACGCGACCCGCAGTTCATACTGCTGCTGCCGCACCCGCTGCAACTGATGCGTTCCAGGAGCGCGTGATCGTGGCTTGCTCGAGGCCATGTGTAGCAGAAAGGCGGTGTTGCTGCTGTCAATCCCGTGGCTGTAGCGTCGCTGGCTGCCGCGTGCAGCGAGCCTCATGGGCGCTTTCCGCTGCAGCGGCATGAACGATTGCAGCGAACTTCGTAAGACGAATTCGTCTCGCACTGATGCGCCTGCTGGCTGCTCTGCTGTTGCTGCATGCGACGCCGCTGTTCGCAGGACTGCAGCAGACTGGCAGCAGAAGGGGCGATCCACTGGCACCGAGGAGCCATCGACAGCAATCCTACACAGCAGCACTGCCATCAGCACTGCCATCAGCAGCTGTTGCAGCAGCTGTTGCAGCATCATTTTCATGGGACTGTCAACACAAACCGGGGAGGTATGGGGGGCAGGTGCTGCACATCAGCAGAAGCGCTGTACCGGCTCTTAGGGGCCTGCCATTGTGCCTCTAGGTGTAGGAGCAGGAGCTGCTGCCCTTTGTGCTCGCTGCGTCGCTGCTGCCAGCGCTGTCGTCGGCTTGTCTCACTGGTGGACAGCTGAAATCTGCGCGTAATAGCGCCTCCTCACAACGCACCAGCAGAAAGCTGTGCGCCTTCAAAGCCCCTCTTGACACCGGAAGGACGCGAGGTGTAGCGTCTGGTGCTGGAAGGTCGTGGCGATGGTGCAGCTGGGGAGCAGCTCGCGCTTCTTCCGCTGCTGCAACACCAGCAGGGGGTTGAACGTTCTTGGAACCTACACAGCAAGGAAGTATGCTACTGCAACGTGTCGCGCTTCAGACCTCTTCTTTCCACTCTTTGGTGCTCCTTCTATCCTCCCTCTGCATTAATGTGTGTTTGTCGCATAGCAGCAAGTGCAGCCGACTGCTGCTAGTGCATGCGCCTACAGCAGGGTGGCTGCATGCATGCATGCATTGCCAGCAGGAGCGGCCACCGTTGTTTGAGTAAGCGGACTCGGCAGCGGGTGCAGTTCAAAATTCAAACTTCGCACTAAAAAACCCACGGCCTCTAGCTCAAGTCGGCTCCCACCTTTTTTCTCGTGCCGCCGTCCTGCTGCAGCTGCTCTCTCTGCCCGTTGCTTCTGCGGCCTTTCCGCCCCTGAGCGCGTTTGCTTTTGTAGTGGTGTCCATTCAAAGGGCTTCTTTCCTTATCTTTCGTTTTTGTACTTCCTTTACTCCGTTGGCCACCCCCCGCCGAAGCTGCTAGAGCTGCTGCGGTGTCAGACAGCGTACAGTCCCCCCTGTAGTCTTTGCATCCTACCACTTGGGCGTGCGCAGCGAAAGGGCAGCGCTCTGTGCTCCTGTGGTGTCTCTCAGCAGACAGGATCAGCAACAGGATCACCACCATCAGCGCATTCAGGAGGATCAGGCCATAGGAATCCATCAAACCAGCGCTCCTCTGGCACACAGATCTCGCAAAAATACGCGCTATTCTAAAGGCCTACGGGCCGTGCACCATACGCTGAATTCGAACTCCCCTTGGCAAATTGTTTTTCCATATCATTTGTTACATCCCCTCGTGTGTAAACTGGCCCCATCGCACCTGCCCGCTGCTCCTCTCTCTTACTAGCGAAAATGTCAAACATGGACCGGTTCACCATTCACTCTCAGCTGCAGCATCTGCAGAGCAAATACCCTGGAACTGGCAATGCAGATACAACGAGACTGTACGTACACTGCCCTGCACGAATCCCAAACGAGCGACGGGCACTGCCTACAGGGGGCATAGTTGTACGGGGATTTTGTACACGTCCTTGTATACATCTAGCCATCGGCTGTTGCTGTATCTTCATGCGTGTCGGTACTTGCGTGGTGCGTTGCTGTGCAGGGAGTGGGGGCTGAACATTCAGCGGGATACTCTGGCGTCTCATGTAGGGCACTATAGCAGGTATGGGGATATCACACACCCTACATTCCGGCGACTCGTGGACTTACGAATTACCCACACAAAGCCTTTGCCCACCTGAGATTTGTCTGTGCGCCTTCACGGGGGTATGGCGCTCAAAATATCACTCAGGGCTGTAGGATCTCTGTTCTGCGTCCGCAGGCTAGCCTACTTTGCGGTTGCGGAAAATGAAAGTATTCGGCGGATACGTTACCGATGCCTTTCCGTAGGTTTCGACTATTAGCTGTGGCAACTGCGAAGGGAGGGATGGCTGGTTCTCAACATTATGGGTAGTGCGCTGCATGCGTGCGTGCTGTTGCAGCAAATGGTCAATCCCACGGGCGTTACTGAGACCCCATCTGGAGCCGCTACCGTTGGCGCCGAGGGGGCCTCAAAGGAATCGGAGATTGAACAGGATGCAGACGCTGCGAAGGATATCGACGGTGGAAAGGATGAAGTTACTAAGACCAAGGAAGAAAAAGAAGAGGACGAAGATGTAGCAATGGATGAGGGAGATGACATTTAAAGGCCTCTACTCCTAAGGCGTGGTTTGAGCAGCGTCACATTAGGCCTCTAGCAACGGGGCATGTTAATGCCGCGCCGTAGGGTGCGCCTGTTTGTGCTGCTGTACCAAGTGCAGCGGTGTTTTGGATTGGCATGTTCCGGGGGGCTTCCCCTCATGCGGTTCCCTACATACATCCTGAGTATAACCCGATGAGACGGCAAGAGAAGTTTTGCCCAGTGTAGCACGCTTACTGCTTAAAGCGAGGCAATCAAAGGATTATGGGTAGCCAGACAGCAGCCGCGCAAAGGGCGTCCCTGATGGAGCGCAGAGCGGCACGTGCAATGAACTGCGAGTCCACTCGTGGAGAGAGCGGTTTTAAAAATGCTAGTGCAACCGAAAAATTCTGCCGCCTCAAATTATTTGCCACTCTACACATCCCGAGCGGCAGCGGCAACTGCGGGGGCAAGGCCGGCAGGAAAACATAGCCCATAAGTCGGTTTACACTGCGGTGCAGTGAAGGAGACGCTGCCAGCGCACTAGCTGTACAGCCTGCTACAAAACTCAAACCTTTACGAATAGATGGCTGGGCATACACGCTGCAGGACAGGTACAAAGGCTCCCAGCTAGCTTGTTGCGGTGATACAGACCCCTAATGAAACAAGCTGGCCTGCCCCTCTATCGGCGAGGCAAACCGCGGCGGAAGATGCCCCTCCCAAAAATCAGTTACTATGGGAGCAGGGAAACAGCCAGCTAACTACTGGTGTACCGGAAGACGTTCTATGAAAGTCGGCAGTTGCTCAAGCCACTGCCGCGACGTACGAGCGGCAGCTCGTGCTGTCCTCGTTTTATGCGCCGTGCTCTTCAGCAGAGAGTGTAGTCGCACAGCCCTTCTTGGATGGCTGAGCGACTTGCGTCGCATAGGTACTAAGACACACGGATAACCGCCTAATCATGCTGCGGCGTCTGCTCTTGTTCCTGACGGTGCAGCTGCGCGAGGAGCTGCTGGGAAGGGGTAGTCGAGCTCCTGGGCGCTTCGTCCTCCTTATGCAGCACCAGCTGCTGTTGCGCCAATCTCGAAAGCAGCTGATCACGTTCAGCGCGAGGCTGCTGCTCCACCAGCTGCAGCTCTCCCTGCAGCTGCCGCTTGTCCTCTGCGCGCTGTTGCACAGGCCCCCGCTGGTCAGTCTCGCTCGCTCGCTCCTCAGCGGGAAGGTTCTCCGAGCTGCGGCGTCGCATCACCCTTACTCCACGGTGTATGTACTGCAACAAAAACGAGAGGCGCAGCGAGCACCCGCTTCATGGGAGAAAGGGAGCACCAACAGACATAACGGCCTAGCAACAGCATACGCAACTGGAGTTTTCGCAGTACTTTGCACACCCGTGTCGCATAGAATGCGTCTTTCTCGAGCACGTTGCCTGCGCTCTTGCTACGCCGGGAGCACGGCGGAACTGTTGTTACTTCTGCTGGTCCTGCTGCTGCTTTTTGTGGCTCTTGAGGATCCCTCCGAAACGCTTCCTCTTCACCGCGTCCATAGACTCTCCTACCCGCTGCATTCCCATGTCTGCTGCTGCTGCCGCCAGCCAGTGGCGTGTCAGACAGCCACGGCTCTTCCGACTGCAGCGCCACACTACTGCCGTATGTACTGCTGCTGCCCTCAGCGTCCGTGTGGAGCTGCTGCACCAGATGGCCAATCCTTACCAGCTCCTCCCTCCAGGCTCGTGGATCGCGCGGCAGACTTGCACTGCCGCCGCTGCTGATTTCGCCGTCGGAAAAAGCCTTGTCTGCCAGCGTATCCGAGAACGCAGCCTCGACAACTGGCCTAGTAGCAACCACGCTGGGCTGGCTCCCGCTGCTCTGCCTCCGCTTCTTCTTGATGTCTCCGCCGATCCCTCGGACAGAAGAAAAAGAGGCCTCTCCTTCACCCGACATGGGGTGCATGTGCCTGTGAAGCTGGTCGCGTCTGGACTCGGCGAGGCTATTCTGCTTTCGCATGCGAAACTGGTGCAGCTGCTGCTGCCGCTGCTGCTGCCGCTGCTGCTGGAGAAGCCGTCGCCTCTCGCTTGCACCGTTGCTGCTGCTACCCAAGCTGTTGCTGCGCCTGGCGGATCTGCGAACCGGAGCTGTCAGCCAATAGGCAGCAGTCAGACCAAAGGCCAAGCCAAAGCCGCGTGCTACACAAACGATGGGCATATGGAAGAAACGCTTCTGCTGCTGCTGCTGCTGCTGCTGCCAATACCCCCACTTAGGCGTTTGCTGCTGTTGCCAGCCCCGCTGCTGATCCTCCCACTGCTCCCACCGCTGCCTCTGCTCCTGCCGCTGCTGATACCACCACTGCTCTCTGTAGGCAGCGCCATGGTGCTGCTGATGACGCTGCCAGTCACTTTGTCTCCCTCTCTGCTCCCACTGCTGCTGATACGAGGCCCCCTGCTCGGACTGGGGCGTCCCTCTTGACCGCTCCTCTGCCAGGAGGTCCTGAAGCCGCTCATAGTTACACTGTAACAACGCGAAGTCTGCTGTTGCCACTGCTGCACGTGCAGCAGGCTGCTGGTCTGGGTGCCGCTGCTTCGCCAGAAGCAGGTACCGCATGCGAACGGTGCGTCTGCAGCGGCAAGTAGGAGGCAAATCAAAGAACCGCAGCAGCTGCTGCAGCTGGTGGTGATGCTGGTGCCCGCCAACCATCAAAACCAGCCAATCCGTCCGGCGTGTTTTCCATTGGCCACGCCTATTGCAGCTGCGGCTGCCCACTGCCTCTGCCTCTGATAGGGCGCGCAGGTGCTGCTCTGTTTTTCCTGCGATGCCTTGGCAGCCGCGGGAGGTGCTGCTTCAGCAACGACGCCTAGCAAGGGGAGTCTTTGCGCGCCAGCAGCACAGTGTACGCACAGCCTAGGCGCTCGGCCTGCGCGAAGCGTGCAAACGGCACAGAACCACCAAATTAGCAGTTCACAAACGCTTGGCACGTCCGGAAGTGCGGCAGCAAGTGCATTCAATGCATGCACAAGGGGCCAGCTGCAGGCAGCAGGAAGAAAACACGCGGCACAAAACGATCAGCCTTAGTCGGAAAGTGAAAACGGCACATGCCTCCGGCAGAAGACCCGCTGGGAGAGGCAAAAGAAGTGCTAAAATTTGCTGCTGAAGCTAGCCACCGCTGGCATTGTACTTCACACCATGCAGCAGCAGCAGCAGCAGCAGCAGCAGCAGCAGCCCCAAGCAGCAGCAAACCCGAACGAGCAGCACAGCCCCTGCAGTGGGGACCTGTGTGGGCTGGGGTGCGTGCGCTGCACTTGGTTGCAGCGTAAAAATGTTTCATCTTTGAGGAGGGAGCACTGAGGAGGGTTATCTGCTTTCGAGTAAGTTGTTTTGGAGTCTCTCTCCCCCCCTACACCGCATTCGGGACCGTTGACGTGCAGGCAGACCTTCTGCGGGGTATGTATGGGGCGGCCGGCGATGTTGCTGCCGTCTGGTTTCATCCGTTTAAGGGATTCCTCGGCTCAGTTGCTGTAACATGGATCTATCTGATTGGTTTGTTGCCTGTATTTCCCTCGGGGGGCACCATGGCAGCTGCGTTCTTAGCAGCGGCAGCAGCGATAGCGGGGACGGCTCAGTCCTGGCGGGTTTGCAACTCGTGCTGGCGCAGCCACTGCATCGTCTGCCGGCTCTATCGGCACAAACAGTGCCAATTACGGTGGACTTTTGTAAGAATAGTGGCGTGTGGCCAGCCCGTGTGCGTCCTCCTCCTACGTAGCGCCCCACCCGTCAGTGGGAGGAGTCGTGAGTTCGTCGAGGGCGTTTTTCGCGTGTTTTGTTTTCGAATGTTATTGGTGTGGCTCCACAGCGACGGCTGCGTCTCGAACAGGGGCTGCGTCTCCCGTTTCTAGGGGCTGGGCTGCCCTCAAGGGAGCCTTGCCCCCGACCGCATATGGCCAGAGGTCGAGCCACCACTGTGCATGCCGACTGGGAAGGCGCTGCATGCACCGCTTCGTGCTTCTTGCGTGCTGTGTATTCAGATTACAGTCAAGGAAAATGACGACTCGACAGCGGATCGTTAAAGCTGATGGCAGCCAACCCACCGACGTCGAAATGGAGGTCGAGCGATGCCTCGCCGAAATCGAGGTACGCCCCCTGTGTTGTACGTGCCCTTCTATGCATCCTTCCGCACCGCTCTCTTGCCTTGCTGCATGCAACACCGTCCTCCACCATCTGCACAACTGGCACCCTGGCTAGTCCCTGCTACCATCCTCGCAGCGCCTAGCTCTTGGCTCCATCACTTCACGTGCGTTTGCTTTCAGTCTAGCGCTCAGTCTGAGCTGCGTGCCGAAGTGGCCGAGCTGACGGTGTGTGCTGTAAAGCCAGTAGATGTACCCGCCTCCGGGAAGGCAGCATTGGTCATCTTCGTGCCCTACCGGGTCTACGCAAATGTCGTTCGTCGCATTCACGCCAGGCTGATCCAAGAACTCGAGAAAAAGCTCAAGAGACACGTCGTTATCATTGCCCAGGTTCGCCTTTTCATTGGTGGCTTCGGCTGGCTTTTGTTCTCATGGCGGCGCTTTTCGTTGCCCATATTCCAAAGCTCTATCCAAATTGCAGTGTGGATGCTCCCCTTTACTGAGGAGGCTCTATCAGCTCCGTTCTTTTGGCCGTGCCCGGTCTGCTCCTCTCGCAGTGCTGCATACATATAAAAATACATATATATCTGTGCCTTTCTGGAAGAGGCTGTAAATTCGGTCTGGCGGTGCTCAGTTCCTCGTTGGCTCCACACGTGGTACCTTGAGGGTGTGGTTTCGAGGCGGAAGAATAGCAACGCGGGGAGTGTTATCCCACGTGGTGTTGGCCTGAGAGAATGCTTGCGCGCAGAGGAGCATTGTGGGCTTGGACTACAAGCGCAAGAATTTGAAGATACGCCCGCGCTCACGCACGCTCACCAGCGTGCAGGATGCCATGCTGGACGACATCGTAGCCCCCTCCGAGGTCGTTGGCCGCAGGTTGGTTTCCTCGATGATCTTCGAACGTCCAGTCTCTTAATTTGTGCACCCGCGCAGGATGTTCGAGACGGCGTTTTTTCTAGTTTTGCTGGCCTCTTTGTGGCGGGTGCGGTCTTTCATAGGGGCGTAGTTCGTTGCTGTCCTCTGAGTGGGTGGCGTTGCGGCGAATCGGGAGGGAGCTCCGTTTGCGGCCTCCTTATTGCTCTCGAAAGCTTCGCGGTGTACTTGCATGCGTGCGCACAGGTGGCGTGTGAGGGCCGACGGGTCGAAGCTCATGAAGGTTCACCTCGACCCGAAGGACAAGGCGAAGGATAACCTCGAGGAGAAACTTTGGACGTTCGCTGCTGTGTACAAGCGCCTGACCAATAAGGACGCCGCTTTCCTCTTCCCTGACCACGTCTACTAAGTGCATAATCTTTTGATTCGGGCTTTGTTGGCAGCTTGAGTGGGTTGCGGCTAGCGCTGAGCAGTTAGCAGCTAGCAGCAGCGCCTCCTTGAGGGGCCGCAAAGGCCGAAACAGGTGGCGTTACAACGCGTATAACACTGCTCGCTACACATTCCTGTCGCCGTTCGTGGAATTTTAGCGCGTCTATTGTAGAGCCATTGGCTTTTAGGTAGTTCTTGGGAAGTAGTCGGCCTCACCGTAGGTGGTGCAGCTTCGGGCGATGATAGTCAAGCGATAGCCATCCAGCGGGGGAGACAGTTGTTTCGCCAGCGCATACGGAGAGGGGCGCACTAGAGCGCGTAGACGGGGTGACGACAGTGGAACGGCCCGTGTAGGCCGCTCGTCTGCGGTTCCTCGCGAGGTGGGCTGCTGTAACATTACTCCGAAACGGCTCAGCAGATGCTGCATAACGCCGAAACTGCCCAACTACCTCAGTACGGGACGGGCTCCTGTATCGAACCCTCTGCCTCGAGGATCCTCGCCGAGCGCTCTTCCGTATGCGCTATGTGCACTTGTGCGGGCATTTCACAAACAGTGTGCGGGGCCTGTGGGGCGACTACGTAGCGAGTACTTTAGCGTTTGATCTCCTGATAGCTGCGTCATTGTAACAGGAAGAGTCCCGCGTGCTTAAAGTTGGCTCTTCCTCACCGTGTGACCGTATCGCCCTATAATGCTAAACTTCTGCCGTGTGCCGATGTAGCTCAGTCGGTAGAGCGCGAGGCTCTTAACCTCGTGGTCGCGGGTTCGAGCCCCGTCGTCGGCTTCTTGCGTTTGCTTCTTCTGCCTGTGGTTGCCTTTACCTGCTTTTTCTCATTTTTTCGGCTTTCTGTATGAATTCTTTTGAAGGGCGTTGTGGAAGTCTTGCTTGCATGGCGTGCATTCTCCAGTCCCAACACCATCGGGCCCCACGCGCCCTCAAGGCTTCTTCCTCCCTCTCTTCTGGCTCTCTCTATAGAAAGGCAAACTGCTGCTCCTTCCTAGCCTTTTTACAGTCAAGCGCCAAGCTCTTCTTAGGGGTAGTGGCATGTCGCTGCCCAGGCTTCCCTCGCTGAAGTGCGGAGCAGACTTGTTCCCCTGGGCTTAGTGTCTGCCGCGCACTGCTCTTCGTGGTGCTGTCCCACTGGTAGTCAATCAAGTGAGTCTAGGCAGCGCAGCAGTGCAGTGTTCGTAGCGCATCACGCTGCTGACTGCAGGAGGCGCTGGGAAGTAGTCCTGGTAGCAGGCTACAGGGAACAACTTTAGCTAGGCGCATGCGACATACACCGGCAAGGGGCGCGCGTGGGAACGGCGGAAAAGGGCCAAAGAGAGAGGCAATCAAGGCGCTTTAGAAGCCATGGGGGACCGCGCAGGTAAGTGGTATTTCCCATTTCCATCACATGCGCGCTCTTCCTCCCTAGGCCTGCTCCGCAAACTGAGCATCCTCTAAAACTCCATAGAGACACCTATTCATTGAAACTATGTCTGTTGTGGTGTATCCTGATGACTCATATATCCGTTTTGCCTCATGAAGTGTTGGAGTCGCCAAAAGGTAATGAGGCCATGTAGACCAAAACCTGTGGCCGCCTTATGCGGTCCCAGAACAAAGGCTTCTCTTCTGCAATCTTGAGCGGGAAAGTTTTCGGTACCTTAGGCCGTAAAATGGAGCCTTTACAGCCCTGCATGCAAAAACCTATGTTTCCGCTCCTTTAACTTCGGGGTGCGGCCACAGGAACCGTTGCTTAGCATGGAGAGACCGATATTCTTGTACGATAACACACGTGTTCCTATTACTTCTGCTGTCTCTGTATTCTCAGAAATCGTGTCTCGTAGCCCCATAGCGCGGCCTCCACTCCGCCCTTTTGAAGTCTTCGTGACTCGCAGAGTCCCCCTCGTTGTGTATTTTAAGCGCTGCCAAAATCTCCTCCGTGGTCCATACGGTGCAGTGCGGATTCGAGGAGCTGGCAGCTGCGTAGAAACGGCGATATACTTAGCCCAAGACGTCGTGGCTGCATTTGGGGGGCAAGTGAGCTACAACTGTACGGTGACAAAGCCACAACAACAAGCGGCACCCCTGCGTGAACAGGCAGCTGCTACAGCACCACCGCCAGGAGCGCCTACAACACAACTGGAGGAAGCTTCAGGAGCGACTTTTGAGCAGAAGGCGGCGGCTGTGTTCGCTGCTGCTGCAGCAAGGTTGGCTGCCATTGAAGGGGGCGATGCGGCCCTTGTGGCAATTTCAGCAGAGACAACTACTGTTCAAGCTTATGATGAAGTCTTGTCTCTAGAGAACGTTTTAGCGGGTCCGAAAGATGGAGCGCTTGAAGCAGCAGGCATTCAGCTTGACCTGAACGTACGCGGCCCCATACAGGTGTATTGCAACAAGTATTTGCGGTATTCGGCCCTGTGTAATCTTTGTGCGCTTGCTGTTTTAACTGTTTCGATATTCATGACTCGTATCCACATTATATCCTGCGTAGTCGTCACATGCGAGGAACGCAAATCGAGGTTTTGATGCTTCTGTCTGCAGTCGTTTGTTCAACAGCGCAACATAAGCGCCATTGTAATTGAACTCCGACGGTTGTCCCCCCCTCTCGCGGGCTGCAAAAGCTATTGAACACTTCCCACTGCTTCAGCATTATTTGGTAGTTGGAATTCTGTTCAGACATTTATGAAACACCGCATCAGTGGTTCTGCGAAAATTGCTTTGTATGAAGGCTGTGGGGAATTGGGCGGGGGGGAGCGGGAGTGCTTCGCGGCCTCACTGTCTGATCCTCCTCCCCTGTAAGCTTTTAAGCCCCAATGCAGGCTGTGTACTAACAATACGGCGAGATATTCTGGTGTTGAACTCACGATGATGCTTTATTGTGCATGTGGCACCCTATACGGTTCAGATGCAGAACCCTCTTACAGAGGTATTTGTCTGACAGTCCGAAATAAACCCCTTGAAGAGCCCAGTAAAAGGGGACACACAGCAGTTGCAAAGAGGGCCCGATAGGGGCAGCAAGCGGCTACACCGTAGCCAAACACCAGACGCCTGGGCAGACTCACCCAATCCAGGACAGATTTAGACACCGCATTTCCTGTAGTGAACGCCCTTTGGCTATTCACAACGATTATTAACTGTTAATACTGTATGCCTCGAGCATACCCACCAGTAGCCTGTGGAAGGCTTCACTGGTGCGCACATACTGTGTATAGCATCAGAAAGCATCGGCAGTCATGCTACACTGATAGTTTCTATGACAGCCCCAAACTATTACGCCAGGTCACGTGTTTCTGCCGCCTGGAGAGTACATTCCTCAAATAATCATGGCTCTTGGCCCTCACTGAAGAAGGTTGCACATCATCTAGCTGATGCCATGGCTTCTCCGGGTAGCTAATCCATGGAGCCGTTAAGTTCCATGCTTCCTATGGGGCCTCCAGAAACAGACTGCTACGTGTCGCCCATTGCTGCCCCTTCACTCCGCTGGAATCTATCTGAGGGGTGCAGCAACTCCTGCATTGTCAAGAACATCGGGGTACCACCATTAGCCGCATGGGGAAGGGGATCCCCGCCCTCCCGCCGCCTACTGGAATTCCTCAGAGGGTGTAAATACCCGCGGAAAAGATGTTGCTCCCCCTCGGCGTGTGGTGTGCCGTGCGGCTGTTGCAATCCTGCAGGCGTATCGGTGGCATTCGACAAAAGACCTGGAAGATCTCTCCTCACGTTTTGAGGCGTGCCGCCTTCAGGTTCTAGGGCCCGTAGCACTACCACAGGGGTACCACTTGCGCCCACCGCCCCTTGCCTTGAAAAACTAGGCTCTTCCACTATCCCTCCATCACAGCATTGGCATGCATTTGGAGCCGATGGAGCAGCATCGCCACCCCGCTCAACAGGAGTTCCCACGTTTGTATCCCCTGCTTCGCCCGGGATCAGTTCGTTCCAAGCAGCTGTGTTTTGCAATCTCGATGAATCATGACTTGAGAGCTTCTCCTTCAAGGGCTCAAGGGTTGTGCTGTCCTTACACTTGCCGCGGCGTTTCATGGCAAGGGCCCGAAACTTCTCGATATCCCCCCTCATTGTGCCTGGTTGCTGCTCCTGATCTTTACAGATCCTATTGGGCAGCGATGGGGTTCCAAAAAACCGCTTTGAGCCGGTGTACATGTACTCCCCTTTGCCCAAGCTGTCACGGACCGCTGTCCCCTCCTTCATCCAATTACCGTCTACTTCTCTGAAAAGAACATGTGGTGATCTTTGGAAGTGTCTCTCCACCCCGAAGGGCAGTGTCGTCCGTCTCTGCACACCTATGTCATCGACAGCCCTACGTTGTGGGGCAATGCTTGGTCCTGCATTCACCCTAGGGCTCAGCATAGGTGTGCCATTACACCCAATGGCCCCCGAACGTCCCCAGAAAACAGAAGGTGGGAATCTTCCTGGGGCTGATGGCACTGCAAACGGGTCGAGAGCTGCTGGGCGCTGCATTGGAGATCCTTCTCCATCTTCATAGCCCCTGTTTCTCAGTGGTTGCGAAACGCCGTATTTTATCTCGCGGGATCCAACTGGCGTGGTACGGCCTTCTTTCTCACTGTCTGAAGACGGGGGAGCCTGGACTACTACTGGTAGGCCAGGCTCAAGGGGTACCGTCAGCACTTTTGTACTGCGCTTACACAAGGGCACCCGCCGGCCGTGATCTCCCCTATCGCTCCGCATGAGCGTTGTGTCGAGCGGCTCTTCCAACTTTTGGGTCTGCTGCTGTCTCTCAAGGACCGCCAAACTCGGCTGTCCACTTAGGGCCCTGTTTGCCAGTGGATCTACTGCTCGTTCGTAGATTGATTCGCTGGGGTGAATGCCCTGGCTGTTGTAAAGCGTGGATGCCACAGTGCTGCTAATGCTGCTGTCTACGGAAGCACGCTTTCGGCTGGGTGGAGGGCGGCCCACAAGGCTTGCGAGCGCTGCACAAACCTCCTCCCCCACTTTTCCTCCGTCTGTGATATCTACCACCATCACTCCGTTGCTGTTGCTCTGCAATGGCTCAGCCTGAGGTGCCATCCCAGCCGAAACGCTACTGATACCAGCTGGAGTTCCAGGTGCTCCTTTCATTTGCCGGCTTCCTGAGGAACAGAACCGAGACAGTGACTCTTTCGCCCAGCTGAGTGGTGCTTCCCCTGGGCTGAGACCATAGCTCTGGTCCTAAGACCTCGTGGGTGCAGACTGGCTAGTTGCTCTGGCCCTACCATAAGGGATTCCGGCAATTACACGCTTACCGTTCCCTCCAGCATTTGAAGCCCCATTCGCTTGTCGAGCCCGCTGAGCACGTTCCTCGTTGGCTTTAGTCGTCTGTTCCCTCAAGTATGTTAGGAGACCCTTACGTGCCACGTCCATCTGAGCTTTGTAATGTTGTGCACTTGGCGTAGATATTGCAGCGATTTCGCGTACTGAGTCCTCCGTCAGCGGTGCTGCGGTTCTAACCAAAAATAGCGGCTTCACCGTAAGGCTGGGTACCTCCGTTCCTTCATATGTTGGAGGCTTGCCCTCAACGGTACTTGGCGCGTCCACGGAAGTCTGTGGGCACGATAGACGCCCAGATGTACTCATGTCGGATTTTTCAGATGCTTTAGCAGCCTGCAAGGCCCTCTGTGCATCGGTGCGTCTTTTGGTCCGCTCTAATGGCGAGACCCGGAGTGGTGAGGAGCCATCTTGATCATAGTGAGCGCGATGTGAGCTTCCAGATGCTTCATTGAGCGCATCTGTAAACCGTATTTGATTTCCAATTTTTTCTGCTATGTCAGCTGCTGATTTGCATGGCTGACTTTCTTCCTTCATTCTGACTTGCGTGGGAAACCTTTCTTCGTCACGACCGTCATGAATTAGACCATCGCTAGGCTCGCTTTCCTGTTTCAAGAAAATTGTAGCTAAAGAAAGCAATATATGTTCCAATAGAGCCTCTGAGGAGACTTCTACAGTGTTGTGTCGGCCAGCTTCTCTCGTAGTAGGCTTCTTGTCACTCCTGTGCCAACGTCGGTGAGCATTATATAATTCTGTGGAGGACTGCTTGTCGGTGCAGTTTGGATACCTGGTGGATGAACAACACAATAGTCAGCTATGTCCATACGACTATTACATGCAACACAAAAATGCAAAGAATAGTACAGGTCCATTAGACCCATGCCAGTCATTTGCCACACTGGCTCGTGAAATGGAAATAAACAAACATAAAGCGGAAAAAGCAGTAACCACAGAGACCACCCGACAAATATCAAGAGGGAGCCTCACAAGAACTTCGCCAGCAGCTCTCCTTCGTCGTCCTGAGGCACTATTCCTTCTGCAGACGTAGCCAGTGCTTTCACATTTCGAGCCGTTCCGCCTCTAACAACTGTAGTGTTCCCTTGTGGTGTGGCTTGCTCCGGCAACTGCGTTTGAGGTGTGCTCTCTTTGGATTGCCACGGGCCGAACACATAAAGCAGAAGGGACAAGGCCACAAACAGCACATCTGCAAGCAGCAGCATGTGATACATGCCAGTGAGCTCCGGTGGCGCTGGTAATTGCTGCTGCAGAATCAACAGCTGTAGCAAGGAGTCGATCACCAACAGCAACACCAGTTCTACCACCTGCGAAACAACCAGAACGCAAGGCATGCCTGCCTCGTGTACGTATATGCATCCAAGAGCCATAAGAAAGAAAAGAACATGGAAGAAGAGCAAGGAGGAACTGAAAACGACGGTCTGGTTTCAAGGTGTGCAGCAATACAATTAAACGTCAGCGGCAATGTACTTGGGACACGTTCGCTGCATATTGAGTACTCCCACAGTCAGGCCTCCTTTGAACTTACAGGTAAGAGAAAAAATAGCAGAGATAGCTTGCTTGTATCTGCCAGGGCCAGGGAGAGCCCAAACTTTGCTGGATCAGAGAAACCGCTGGAGCTGAATCACCATACACACAGGCACAGCCACTGCCAAAAATCACACCGAATATCTTTGCTCACACCAGAAGACAACTATTATGTAAATAGCCAAGTATGCATGTCTGCACTCCAGGAAAACGACGAGTTGGGTCCACGAACCGTAGTTGCAGACCTAGGTATTTAGGACAGGCCCCATGTGTTTCTTTGACAGATGTATGAGGCTAGGAAGAACCTGTGCCGACGTACACAAATAATGCTTTTTGACAAACAATTCCAGTAAGCACATATCCGAGAATCAATCCTTGAGGTAGGGAGTTTGTGGCTCTTCGGCAGAAGAACTTCGGAATAAGCTCGGCTAGGAGCCACATCACCATGACGGCCAGCGTTGGCCAGTGCTCTCCTAATAATTCATCCTTTATCAAAGCCGAACGAGCAACACAATGAGTTGATAGCCACAGGAATAATCCCCTCCAAGATTTAGCCAATGAGCTTGAGACCTCCATGGTCCTTTTTTAGGAATTAGGGGTACGCGGATAGACGACAGGGAGAAGAGTGGCGCAGGAGTATATACAGACAGAGGGTATCCGCTGCTCAATGCACCGCCCAAGGTTGTTCACAGTCTTGACCCAGTGTTTGGAACAAAACCTACACAAAGCACACGCGAAACGTAGCCACAGAGATGTCGCTTTCTGCGGGTGAATCCATTGAGAAGGATCTGCCATCGTCGAACTGCGGAGAGAGGGCGATTTCATTCATACCTGCCTGCTGAGAGTGCTAAAAAACTAACAAGCAAAACATTTGCTTCTCATGGTATTCCAGCCTCGCGTTCATTACATGGTGTCATGGCTACTCAGAAAAAAATGCAGTGTCCCCTTATGCCCGAGGATGTTTGCTTCGCCCTTCTGTGTGAGCTGCTTAAGGAAGAATCACATTACTTACCCTGAATTTATCTATCGCAATATCCTGGTAATTGCACAGCTCATGTTGCATGAAGATGCTCACCGGAGGCGGTAGGTCACCGCTCGCTTGGTTACCAGAGGAGCAAAAACTGGGGGCAAGGTTCAAAGATCTACACCCCTAGTTATTCTCATTTAGATGATAATAGGAAACCAGTGTAAAGCTTTTAACATGGACAATGAAGTGTCGATGTGAGGAACACAGCCACGAGGAGCGGTGAGACAAGGTCCAATGGTTTGCTTGGATAAAAACACATGGGCCAATTGGCCAGCATGTGCATGTCTCTTCTACGTAGGAAGTCGGGAAGCAGTTAGCATTAGCTAATAAAATAACATGTAGAGGGAGTCCGAAGTACGCGGCAACGACGAATGCATTGAAAGATCACCCTGCTTCCCTCGCTGGTTGAGGATGCCCCGGGGGACGCTGCACCTCCCGCGATGCACGGGCTGCATGCAGTCGAACCGAGGCAAGGCGCCGTCTAAAACTGCTTTATTGTAAACGTTCATCAAGGATACGCTCTCACTTGCTTATGAGGCACGTGACACTTCGTGACTGGGCATTCGCAATCTTTCATTTGCACCATTCCACGCTGAGCCCCGCAAGACCCTTGCACACGGCCTACCTTCTACAATTTTCCGGAGTCTATACCTACGCAGCGAGCAGCTTTTTCTTGAATGATAGACAGAAGCACAGGAGAAACAGTCTTTTAGTGAGCTGTGCACTATCTAGCCCTATACACACCCACATATACACACGCAACAAACGGGGGGAGGGAAGGCCCATCAACCATCTTATTACCCACACATATCCGTGTCCTCTGTAGCCTAATCGCCCGGCCACTGCACTATAATCAGCTTAGCTTGCGGCAGAATGACAATGAGTGGCTGTATAAGATGGTTCTCCAGCAATTTTGCCACTGTGTCTCACTCAACGGCAAGCAGCCTTCCTGTTTGTCTGAAGAGGCCTAATTTTTTCGTGCTTTGTGCTTTTTCACTCGTAATACTACAACAAGGGACCTTCCTTAGGCTGGAAGGCCCTATTTCTCACGCTATGGCGTCTACTAATCCAAATTCTCAGTCGATAATGGTTACAGCATCCGAGGCTATGGCACACACACTCAGAATGCTCCAACCTTCTGCTCAAGAACGCCGCATGCTAGAGGCTTCTGAAAAGAAGGGATGGAAAGATCAGGACCAGACTTTGCATGTTTGCTCCCAATCAAAGTACCTATGTCAAGTTCATATTTTGCACAGCCCCGTCCACAGTCAGCCACGTCAGATGAACGGGCAGCAAGCAAAGCGAACGCCCAGGCCTGTATTTGGTCCAAGCTTCGCCTTAAGATCCCAGCGACTATCATATCTTTCTTCCAATAGACAAAGGCGATTAGTTAGCGTAACGGATCCTCAGGAGGGCGGCAGAAGGAAAGTAAAGCCAATTGCTACGACACCCCTCTTAGCCAGTGATCTCCCCCAAGCAGTTCCTGGGTTCACCATGGTTCCGCAAGTGAGTGAGCGTAGTGAGGTGTTCTTACCATTCCGAGTGCGAGCGGTGGTCACCGACTTTTCTCATCCCCTCGAGACCCAACTTTCAAACCTCAGCGATCAGCTCTGGAATATCAAAGAAACTGAGTTGGAGCAGGCGCAATCCACTGCGTCACAACCTTCCTCAATCAATGCCCCCAGCCCGTCCAAGTTAGAGAACGATACTGCAGGCATATATGATATCCAGAAAGTGCAAAAGGCTCTGCGCTTCACCCATGTGCGGCGGTTCTTTAAAAGTGACGTTGTGCCGGCAGCACTATGGTGGCTACAGCGCAGAGTTATGGTTAACCACCTGCGTGGTCCTCTCGTCATCAAAATCAACGGCGATGAGTAAGAGTGCAGCTATAATACGCGCTGAGAATCTATGGCTGTCCTGTGGCATGCAAGCTGAGAGCTTGCTTCATAGGGCAACCAATGTCGACCTTGTTTTGTGCAGGCAAACCAATGGTGCAATGGGTCGGTGCGGTCTGTGTTCTATACCACCTTTTCGCGTAGAAAACCGGAAAGGACATCAGCCGTTAGGAATCCTGGAAAACACGGATATCCTTTTGCTATTTCGCACCGCCAAGAACGCGCATGAGGAGACAAATCGTAAGCCTCTCTGCATGACTCAGTTCACTATTGGTACTACAATAAAGTGACCATTCACAACAGTAAAGATTCGATGTTCACAGGCGGATAAAGTGGGACTGCACCGGCCAACACCATGGGTGCTGTGCAACACAAAGGCCAAATCTGTAGCCGTGATACAGAGCCTTGTCTTGAGAATTGTTTGTGTTGAGCAGATGTTTGCCAAGTTGACGAATCATTCCGTCCAATTGCTGCTTGCATTTCGGTCCCGTATACCGAAGCGGAGGCTGTTTATGATGAAAGAAACAATGCATTTCCGCATATTGTTGAGCGCTTACTTACATATATAATTGGTGCATTTGCCGTTAACGTCCAAACGCTACCATATTTCTTGACATGGGACCCATCTTGGAGAAAAAAGGCGTTGAGGTATGCTTAGAGCAGCTGCTCACATCCGATTTGAACCTGGTTGAGATAAAAAGCCTTTGCGGGTTCGCAAAACTAGAAGAATATGAGCTTTATTGATACTAGCCCCTCAAATCCTAGTTAGCCTTGTACCTATAGTATCTTCCATACTAAAGACTACGCACTATATACAGCTTCCAGGGCAAGAAATGAACTCGACCCATGGGAAGACACAGTGTTCTTTTTCCTATTTTTTGTCAAAGCTGAGTCGCCTATGCATTAAGGCAAAGGTAAGCCTTACTGTTGCATGTGAATGATCCCATATCAGGCGCATTCGCAGTAAGGCAGACACCAAGTCAGCGCCTCCAATTCACTCCGTCACACGCATATCCACGGTAGATGAGGACACGCAGCCAATACGAACCATCCATGAGAAGATAAACGAAATGAACACGCTGGCTCATTCTCCAGGAACAGGCGTTAAACAGCTTATGAATCATCACTTCTTCCTGACGACCCCTGGGATCACAAATACCGTTCGGCGTGACTACGGTTGTCGGAACGTTGTTGGCTTGGAGCTTGCCTTGGACTACTTCGGCCCTATCTGTGAGATATACACACAGAGTGCTACGATCATTCGTGCTGTATACGCAGCAGTTCACAGGAGCAGGAAGCGCCAGCTAGCTTGCTCTAAGGAATAGGCCTAAAAACCAGCTCAGCCACGACGCATCTGCAATCCCCCAATGAGACACTTTGGGTCGCCATAAAAGATGCTAGGTACTCACTGTTTAGCATTCCCCAAATTTTCCTTCCTAGCTGCATGGAGACATTTCGGCGCGTACGCTTATTTAAATCAATATTGCCCCCAGTTTATGAGCCCATCCGTACCGGCGTGTCAGCGCAAGGCTTGAAAGCACTCTACCAGCGAACAGGTTAGCACGAGAGCCCGCAATTCTTCAAGCCATATACCAAATTCATGTAGTAAGCAAACAGTGCAATACACCGTCTTCTGTGCTTGACTCTCAGAAAACTACTACGTGGATTTATTGCTAGCCGCAATTGAAGATACTGGCTGGTATGTAATTGAAAGCTTATGGACAAGAAAGCCAATCAGGTAAAGAGAATCCCCAGTTGGCAATTCAAGCGGCTGCTGTGACAAGGTGTCATTACTGAGTCTTTTGGAGGCTTTGAGGTTGTCACTTGTTGCTTTTTGAGCACAAACCATGTAAGTCTGCAACTCCAGAGAGAACCTCCAAAGGGGAATCTATCTGTTGATCTTGGCAGGAAGCATACTGATGCTCAAGACGACAAGCAGTGCACGCTTCCACCTTGGGTATCTGGCCGTTTTGCCTCACTTCGGGATCACGATATGGGAGAGAGCAACCCCGAAGCAAGTGTGATTGGAAAAAGCTCAGGTCATCCTATGGTTTTCCAGAATGACTTTGATTATGCTCAGTGAGACTCTGGCACTCTATGTCTAACATCTACTGATGTTTCTAGTTCATATTAAACAGCTGGAGTCTATCCCGGCTACAGTTGACCGCTGTGCATGTTGGCCGATCAACAGGGTCTGATTGCCTAGTGAGGTATGGATATTATTAGGTGCGTTACCGGGGCAGGTGCGTGAAAAGACAAGTAGGGCTGATTTCGTCATCGGCTGGTGGGCAAGACGCATGTCATAGGCTTTTATGCATATCGGATGATGATCGAATAGAAGCACCAATGATGTTGCCGACGGCAAAGCCTACTAAGTGGGTTGCCGTTCATATACTTAGCAGAGTCCCAGATGGGACTGAGAAGACCACTGTGTGCATGCGAGGAGAAAAAAGACAACAAAAACAAGTTATTGGCCTGGCAGAACCGTTCGAGTGCCCGGACGTCGATGTTGTCTGTTATGGAAGGCCATGCAGGAATGGAGGTGTTCCAAAGCATGGAATGTAAGGCGCACATCACAATCTTAACCCAATAAATTGTTAGCTGATTCAACCATCCGACTCCCTGAGCAATTGAGCAGCTTTTTTCTACTTTCTCCAGTAGAAAGCGCTTTTGATTTGGACCCATACTTGCTGGTGTGATGCTGTGTACTTGCCGTTCACTGGGCAATATCCTGTGTGAAGCTGCATTTGCAAACCGGGCACCTTTGGACGGAACTGTGAACACTGGGACACAGAACGGAACCGACTGAGATATCCCAACCGTTTCTCCTACGGTGTCAATTCAAGTATAACCGTGCTTAAGGGGGATTTCTTTGCCATTCCTGCTTTGATACAAGGCCCAGAGCACCTGTACTTCAAGCCCATTTCGTAAGCTTTAGTGGATCTTACACATACTCCGGTTCAGAGAATGCTCTTGGCGGTACTGTTTTAAAGATTCCTTGAAGTAACTCCATAATCTTAAAGGACTATTTGCTCATCACTACACTACTTTCTTGCAGGACGCTACCTGCAGGCGTTGCGATTGACGCGCGCACCGGTTCAATATTTGGGACTCCAGCTGAAACAACTCAAGGTAGCATTAACATTGAAAATTAAGCTCAACAAGAAACAAGATGCATACTTTTAATGATGCCAAAAACTTGCTTTGTTTCAGGCGCATGTTACCACGTGGATCCACAGCAGTGTAGATGCAGGGCGGTGCTTTAGCTGGCATTGACTTTGTGTTGCAGGATGCATACCATTGGCCATAGAAGTACAAATGAAGGAGCCGCCACATGCATCAGAAAGAACGCTTATCCGAATAAGAGTTGTCGACAATCTTTTGCAAGGAAAAAGGCAGTTGCCCGTACCGGATGACGGCGATCACCTCCTTAAACCAGACCCTAGCACCGCATCCCCAAGCCCGTTGCACGTGCAAGAAGATGGAGAGAGCAAGCCCAGCAAGGGTCCCAAAGAGTGGGTTGCCCTATATATGCGACAACCCTTGGACTGTGAGCATTATGTGAGAGGGGATATGCGGTAATCCGCTGCACACGGGCAAAGCTGCCGGGGGATAGGAGGGATTCAGCCGACGAATTTCTGATAAATTCCTCTCCACCAAATATTTCTGGAGACTTATGCTAACATAGCTATCACTGGGAGCCCTAGGGTGCCCCGAAACCAAGCGTTCCCCAAAAGGGCACTCCTTCAGTGGCTGTCTCATATCAATGTCTTCATTCTAGTGTACATGTACTCCTTTCAGCTGGTCATGACAGCCATGTGCATAGAAGACCCAATGTTAAAAGTACTCTATCCTCTAAAAAAGAAATAAAACGGTCTGAAATGAAAAATGGCAGCGCCAGCCCAGCCACTGGCTGCTGCCGGGTTAAAACGAGTTAAGGATACGCTCAAATGACTGACAGCGTCGCAATGCCTTGTCAAACCGCCCTCTCATCCATTGACTTTTGCGATGAGGACTCAGTGCATAAAAACAACAGGCGCCTCAAACAAAAGCCGAAACTTGAGGCACCTTTGGCTCATGACAGATCAACGTATTTGTAGTAATTAAGCGTATTGGCGTGTGGGACATGATCAAAACCATCGTAGAAATCATCTAAACCAAATACACTACAAATCTTTGCAGTCGAATTTGCGGCTACCAGCCGTAGTTTGAGGTCCCGATCGCTTTCCTGTCAAGAAAAATCAATGAGAAATCGCAATCTCCGCTTTGCCGTAACAATGCAGGAAAGTGCAGGAGGCAGCCCGAAAAAGTAGTGCGTAGACTTTAAGCGGTTATAAAACAGCGGATGAAAGCACCAGCAATCTACTGTCCGAAATGCTCATACCCGTGCAGTCATTTCTTGAAGAGTAAACTTCATCGATTGGTACGGGGCTCCGCATAACACTGCCTGCAAACAACACAAGGGTGAATGGAATAACAATCCACACAACAATGTCACGATGTTCGACTATGCACGATTAGCATGAATAACGGTGAGGCTCACAATATGCGCTACACGAAAACAGCAAGCATACACGCTTAATGTAGTCTTGAAAAATGGTCGCACGCGTTACAGCGCATTCGGGTGTCCTCTCATGTCTCAAGCGCGGGTTGCGAGAGAATAGAGCTGGGTTCCACATGGCCCCTCTAGCGAACATTAGACTGTGAATATCGTAGGTATCCTGCAGCAAAAGACGGGCAACTGCTGTGTGCAACAAGACATGGTACATTGATCAGTGAAACAATAGCAGCAACCGTTTTATGATCCACGAAGTAGAAAATGCAACGTCCCACGTGAGTTTCGCATATGATTGTCGGATGTCGATATAGTCTGGTTCTGGGTTCGTGACACGTGAACGTGGTGTCCCTCCTGGCACCTGCGGACAACTGCATTAACTTTGAGCGGATTCCACGTTCGCAAGCCTACTTGGAAGAGAACTGCATCTTCAGGAGAGAGGAAGTCACCGTTTGCTATCAGTGGGATCTTCAGGGCACTCCGTAGTGTCTGTGTAGGCACAAGAAGCAGTGCGAAATGCCACAATCCGGTCCGGATTGCCGAAGTAATTCATACCCAATGTGGTCAGTATACAGAAATAAACCCGGTTAAGGAGGCGTGGCAAGCGCAGTGACAGATCTTTCCATCAAGTTAAGCTTCCAATAATATATCCGTCAGGCTGGTCCGCCACCAAAGTTATGCAGGCGCAATAGACTAGGCTCGGTTCCAGACGTACCGGAAAGACTTGCCAATTCGCCCTGTGGGCAGGCCTTTCGTGGCGTTTCTGAACAAGCAACAGAGTCTTCGATCATAAGATTCTATTGTGAGCAAGTTATTTGAGCCTTTTACGGTTAAAGGCAAAGAACAGAAGTAAGGGGAGTGCACGTCTGTCACCGTACTCTTGCATGAACTGTAATGGCTGCTATTCCGGCACTTTCACATTTGCGCGCGAAGTCCACAGTCTGAGGAAGTACAAGAGAAGCAGGAAGATAGCTCAGAGCCTAGATACTTCGGCTGCTGCGACGAGTAACGATGCCTCTCGTAACCACGCATCTCTAGCCCCTACTTGCTTATATCAACCAACAAATGCAACGAGGGTATTACTGGCCTTAAAAATAGCGTGCAGAGATTGGTTTCGGGCGCAATGCACGCACCTCTTCTATGCTGTCAAGAAGGCGAATCTTACAAGTCACTGGGCATGGAAGATTCCGAGTAAGGGTCTTCAGAATATCCATCGCCAAGTCTGGGGTTTGTAGTAATGCCGCTCCCATGCCACCTTTGACTCTGCGAGGCGGACGAGAGAGTAATTAAAACTGCATTATTAGTTCTAGTGGGAAAATGTTGTGTCACAAGCGAAGCGGCAACAAATGAGGACTGCTTTTGGCTGTTTGACGGTCCGATTAGCGTCACACCGCATGTGCACCTTAGACCTGTACAGCGGGAACAGTGAATATGTTGGCTTCCTCAGACTTACGAAAAGCTCTTCGGGCAGCCCATATTAATGTCTACCGCCGCGATGTCCTGACCAACACAATCCAGACAACCTATTCAAAAAGGTATGGCCATGCCCAAATGCCCTAATGGCCTCCAGCGTGAGAAATGCGCAATGCCTTGAAGCGGTCGGCTATCCTCTTTTCACATTGCGCAAGACGTGCCATGTGCACCAGCAGAAATTCAAGAGTCAACAGTTGCCATGAGAAACAAACCTGTAGGGCTGTTGTGGCAGCCTGAAGTGCGCGGGTGGGATCCGCAGTCCCTAACTGCAGCACTACTTTGCCCGCTTCAAGCTCGCAAGTTGAGAAGATGCATCGCCGATCATTCTTGCATATATACTCTGCAGCATCCGCACAACATATATACAGCCTTTTGAACTTCAGCAAAAGTGTATCACATGTGAGATGACCTCCTAATTCCATTGCTCTCCTCGTTGGCTAGAACTTGCACTTTATTGGTTAGCTTCACTACCTGTGTAGAGAAAGCCTCGAGCGTTAGGGCTCACTGCACCTACCAATAGTGCTGAAATCCTTGTTTTCATACCGCTTCGTATCTAGGAGCTTCCAATCAATAATTTCTTCGGTAAAAACGAGGTCTAGAAGGCGCACAGTCACGAATGTTTCAATATTTACGTGGAAAAGGGGCCTCCAGAGGAACTCGCTTGTTCCTCATGGTCCAGATGTTTGTCAAGCAGCAAAAGTCTGAGCCTCACCTGCGCCGTACTTGAGACATTCCAGGCGGAACGGCAACGTGCTTATTCGCACCATAGGGGCGAGAATCCACGCAGACTGATACATCGTGCTTGGATCTTTCGGAGGAACTTTTCCCACTACGTTAGGAGGTTTATCCTCTTTTGAAGCCCACCCACCGACGGCCCTGGCCAAGTCGCCATATCGCATGTCAGCCGCCGCTGGTGCATTCATGTCATGTGGCTTCGCTTCCACTGCAGTTTTTGATCTTTCATCCGTAGGATCATCGCACGCCAGCTCCTCTTCAGTTTTGGAGCACTTCCGTCGCTTACTCTGTGTAGAAGAGCTCCTGTAGGCTCCGCTTGGCAACGTACACGCTAGTGGCTCACCTGCTCTAGGTTGACAAACGGTCTCCGCCGACATCTCGGCCGCTTGGACTGCCTCTGGTGTCCCTGCAGGCCGCTTTACCGGGTGCTGCTCATGCTCGCGCCCTGATGTAGAATCTGGTAACCCTCCCACAGACTCATAAATCGCTTCTCGGTATCTTGTTGCATCCTCATTAATGGATCCAGAGTCTTTCTTAGCATTGTGGCTTGACTCAAGCGAACTGGCATTTTCAGTCGACCTTGGCGAGCAGGGGTGGTGTTCAGGCGCTCCGTGTCGCCCCTTAGTGGAATCAAGAGAAAGAGGCATACACCCGTCCATCTGAGTATCATGCCGCGAAGTGCCCTCGCTGACAGTGCAACTAGATCCTTGGGTTTCCATTGCAGAAAAAGTCAATAACGTTCCCAGTTGCCTGTTCGGCGGGCCTCAGCCGCTGTCCGAACACTGAAAAGCAAAGAGCTCACTCATTCCAACTTTCAGAAGCTGTCCTCCGCGGATTACCAAAAAGCACTAAAATTCCATTAAGCACGTATGGCGATGCTCGATGGGCATCAGGGCGTTCCCGGGTGTCCAGATTTGCGGCACGGCCTCGTCCTTCCGCATAACGGCTTAATTTGTGAGATCAAATTATTCAAGGTATGGGAATTCTGCCTTTACCACTGGATGAGATAGCCCGTTTCGGCAGGCACACAATGGGCGGATGGGGCCCCACGGTGGCAGCGCCAAGGAGCCCGAGCAGAGGGCAATGATATCGGCCAGTCCTTCAGATGATTTGCTGAGTTAGAAAATGGGTAAACTACAGGCTCTGTATATAGAGCGGTGATATTAAAGGTGCACTGCCTCGATGATGTCCAAAGGCTCAGTATCGGTGCTGTTGGACCCACGGGTAAATAAGGTATTTTTTTTCATTTGAAACACTTACGAACACTGTATTTCAAAGTGCCCTAACCAGAAACGACAGCTATATGTCAAAAGCACAATTGAGAGACACATGCTAACTCTGCATTCCGGTGCTCGGTCTTCGGAGAGGACCTGTACTGCACCGTGCATGCGCCTTGATCTAATCTGCAGCTCAGAGGGGGCATATGCGCCCCAATGTGCAGTGCATCAACAGAATCATCTACGGTTCGCTTGCCTAACTTAATATACACTGTCGCCAGGAGGGGAAAATGAACTGGAAATGTTTACCGGGAAGCAGCGTTGAGTAGCTTTCTGTTGAAAAAGATGTCAACACGAGCTGGACTGCCGTCTCCCCTTTAGTCGTTGTGTGGAGCCATTTGTATCCACGAAATGGCGGAGATTCAATTCACCCGGGTGAAAGGACTGTAACTAGACTCGGCTAGCTTATCAGCTCTCTTACACGCATCCACAATGTGTGCTCCACAGTGCCTGCATTGTGCAACCAATCTGCATGCCCAATTCACAGCTCTAGCTCTGCAAGTAACTCTCAGGAACCTGGGGTCACACATGCGCATAAGGGCTAATAAGCAGAAGACGCTGTTACGCACGGTTTTGCTTCCTTGGGAACTGTCATTTAGTAAGCGGTGGGCAATTGACTGCCACCATGTACACGTTACCAGATCTTCAGAAGTCAGGAACAAGTACGAACTCCGCTTGTACAGCTGCAAAAAAATCTTTGTCAGCGTGTAATTTGCCTTTTAAAGCCTCGTTAGCCCAGCAACAAGATGATAAAGGGTTGAGGTAGCTGTGATTTAGAACCACCAGCCATAGCATTCAAGCAGTGAAAGGTCTACGCTGGAACGCGCGTATCAAAGTCTAGGCGCCGCGCCGCAACATGTGTAAACACAAGATCTGCTACTTCTGTAGTGGGCAAAGCTACCTATGGGCAATTCTTGCCTCACCTATTATATTCATACGCACAGACAAACCAAGAAGTCAATTCTTTTTCTAATTGTGTAATATCTTGTTTCTTGCAGAGGAGCTTTACTTTCATACAGTAAGGCACGGTGCTGTGTACACGTGCGCCTCAATGACATATGCAGCCAGCTTTGAATGCTCGGAACACATAAATGATGCAACGACGCCCACCCTGGCTCTCCCTCTCACGTGGTCTTGGGTCCCTAAGGGGAGCATACAGGTGAAGGAGGGACCTCTCTTGAAAAGCACTAGATAATTTTATTGAACCTCGTTGAGTCTGCAGTTAAGCACTTGCCCGCGAAGGCCGTATACGGAAGGGTACAACAGTTTTCAGTTAGCCAGCGCATCAAAACAAGTAAATGCTAGGTGTGCTTGAAGTCAAATAAACGACTAATAATGCTCACTCCTTACCACTGAAGAAGCTATCATGCTGCATGCTACAGCAAGAAAAAATACCGCAGCTAGTCCCGAGGCACAGGTAAACTGTAGAATCAGCAAAATAGCATATCAATTGGGGCGTCACACCAAGGAATCACTCTGTGCCTACACTTCTGCAGTAGCGTTCCTGCTTTACTAGCCGTCAACCTGCTGGCAGGATAAGAGAGGCGGAGACCTCAAGCAAATGCACACTGGTACGAATCGTTTTCTCATTGCCAGGCGTTTGGTAGAACGGACGCCATTTTCATCTCAGTGACACCAAACGCCCTTGTCTTCTAACATATGTTGTCCCTATCTGGAAGATATCTCATCAGTAGTAACGAACTTCTATTTAAAATCCCCTTACTTACCGACTTTCCGCTCTCGATCGTCTTCCCGTCCTCGTTCCAACTCAGAGTAGCTGTCGGGGCTTTGCTGGGCCGACGACAATCCAATTGTGTCTGCCGGCAGTTTGTCACCTATTCCTTTGCCCAGTACATATTTAATGAGTAACAGTCTTTGTATTGCTTGTTATGGGTCTTAAATTATGAAGCTTAGACCTGCCACAAAATGGAACCTGGCAATGGCCCGAGCGAACAAGGGACCCTCCCTTCACACACTGAATCCACACATCATGCAACGACTGAGAGGGAATTATTGATTCAGTCAAACAATTCTTCAGATCCCATAGCTTCTCAGCAGCGGCATCCTTCTGCTAGCAATCTGCGCCCCTCAGCCATACTCGAACTGGTCGAGGGTGAAGCACCGCCACATGAGGGACACGAAGACGAATCCACAAACGATGCACCAAACACACGAAAGCTCGAAGAATGTCATGCAATCTCTACAAGTGCATCCTCTCTACCAGTCTCACGAGCTCCCCAGGCCTGTACAGATGACCGAAGTTACCCCATCCCACAGTGCCTGGAGGATCTTTCCAGACTTAAGCAGCTCAGCCTGAGGCCCAATACATTTGAACTACTTTCCGAGGCATTCCGTGCATCCTTGTGTGTCATTCGCTGTCTTCGGGCTGTCATTCGTCTGCACGGAATGTATGCGTGCTGCGGCAATATGGAGCAGCTGCGAAACCGCGATACTCTCGGAAGTTCTGATGCCGAAGCCCTTTCACTTGCTGCAAGCATCATGGAGAAGCAGATGGAATTCATTGCTGACGAAACCGCATATGATTCTCTGATGAAGTGGCCAAATACTGCTTCTGAGACTCATGGCTGCGTGAGTGTGCCAAGCGTCCAACCCGGCACGCATTGTACGGAAGGGGAATTGACGACTGACGCACTACCAGACACAACATCCAGTCCAGTTATAGGAATGGATGCAGCGAAATCCATGCATGGGGTTACAACTACGCGAAATGGACAGATAAAAGCAGTAGCAGCCACTCCTGAAATCTCCGAGTTGCCCCCTTCTACGGGCCCTACGAGTAACGGGGTACTAGAGTACGAACTCTCTGTGTGCAAGGCACTTTTGTTACTACAGCAGCTAAAGCCAAACAGCTACTCGACTGTTGAAGAGTCGCCAACTCCACCGTCGCTGTCTCCACAATCAGCTCTTTCCCCACGCGCAGCGCACCGTACTATGGTACCTGCACCCCACAGTGCCTCTTTCAACACAAAAAAACTTATGGGTTTATCAGCATACAGGAGCGGTGTACCCCCAGATGCAATTGTGGATGTCTTGTTGCGCGTACGGCTTCTACAAGGAAGTCAACAGCTGCTGCGGGCAGACTTCGCGCGCCTTCTCCATCAACAACGCAAGCATCAGCAACAGCTGAAGAGTGCTGTACAAACGACGGTGATGAAGTTGGGTCCGGCAGCTTCCCCTATGAATCCTAAAGCAGTTATTGAAGTGATTAAACTTTGAAGGAGCCAACTACCTGCGTTGCGAGGAGACTATTCCGGCAATGTATTGCGAATTAGCATAGTGTGGGGTCCCCAAGTAACCCCTATACAGTGTGTGTATATGTGTATGCCTTGCAGAGGCAGAGAGAGACGCTCTCTTGGGACGCATGCAGAAGCTTTCTACTGCCGTGAACCGCAAGTAGGGCGTTCCGGCTCATCACTGGAAAGCGGCCTAATTGTGCGTGTTTCCCCGAAGGGCAATGAGCAATGCTTCACCCAGTCCTTCTTGTACATGGCAACGAGATTGCTATAGGGCGGCCCGATTAATGCATCACGATTCAATCCAGCGTGATATCGTGCTCGAGATAACCAGAGCTGCCCTGGGGGAGTGCAGGAACACAAATTCTAGTGAGACCCTCAAGTCCAGTATTAAATTCCGCCACACTTTTTCGTTTTTTGTGACATTAGATATAGGGCGATCGGCTATACGTATTCATATGAATGAATTCAGATTTTCATTCAAGCCATCCCGAAATTTGTCCCCGGCAAACGCCTGCACTTCCTGAACACACCCATGTAGAAAAAACACGAACGTCCTACCCTAATGGGTACAGCATCCACTGCTGGCGACCTTTGACACCTGCGCTGAGAGCAGCACAATATGCATACGCTACAAGTTAATTGCGAACAGCTGCGCATGAACTCAAATAATCAGCTAGGCAATTAAATCCAAACATTCCATGCAAAAAAAAAATTACGCAAACTGCTAATGTGACCAAGGAATCTTGGCTTCAGAACATTTTTAATGTCAACAAAGCATGAGCTGGCTGCTTGCTGAACAGGCAAAACAAGTTGCGCAGTCATCTGGCACATTTTAAACATAATAGTCCGCATTCAGAAATAAATCCACCCTACCGCATCAGGATATTCACCTAGATCTTGCAATCCCGGGGTAGCCATTCATAAAGCGAGAAACGGAATCCTTAACAGCTTTGCAGGAGGCGAATTCCCTCTGTAGCGTTCAAGGATGACGTAAGGAGACTGTCGCCATCATGTGTCACTACCCACTAAATCCATCTTTGTCCTCAGCTCTCACGCAGCCAGTTTACGCTGGCCTACCACAGCATCCGCCTGTAGGCCACCGCGCGATACAAGCAAATCCTGTAGTCTTGACAGATTCACTTTCTCCTGTAACCACCAAACCTGCGAAACGGACTGCTGCATATAAGTATTTAGTGTGCTTTATCCATCAATGCGCATCTCGCGTCTTCACGTTGGCCTAAACCCCACCTGCGCGCTGTGAAAGGAAGTACTGCATTCAGAAGCATAAAAGATTTAGCACACCAGTGCTAAACACTGGTCCAGCTAAGCAGTTCACCTTCCTTAAAGTATCGACTTCAGTATTCAAGCCACACGCAACCACTGCAATTAATTATTGAAGGACAGCAAGTCCACCCCACTTGAATTCTCGCCGTGGGGCCCAGACTTGAGGTGAGCGGTAGTTATCACGAGACACCCCGGTGCGCAGCACAACTCAGCTGCCGGGCAGCCGATAGCGAAACATCGTCACCTGCCAGACTGACAGGAAAGCGTGCTGAGACTCCACACTCCGTCAAGTGACAGTGGAGAAAACGGAGATCATTGAATCCAAGTTGGTGAGCAACCAATTAATGCGTTTCTACGCTAACCCACTACTTATTGTGCATGTAGCTTTGTTGGCAAGATAGATGTGGGATATATGCAACAAATGGCGGTATTCTTATAAGGGCTGTCGGTTTTGCACGCAAGCTGCGTCCGATGCAGCGAAGTTCTTTACAAAATGAAAAATTGTCTACAAAATAAAATGTTCGAGAAACACGCTCTCCTGTTTCCTAATACAGGAAAACGCTTTTGGTGTCTGCACGCCGCAGAAGAGAACAGCGATTGTCCCAGTTCTGCGCAGTCTCCGTGAACAAGTAAAATGGCTCTACCTTAGACAAGGCCTAAACTAGCAATGGCATCCGCCAGCACAACGTGGATAACGTTCCTCAACACACAATGGTAGCGCGGCATGAAACAGCGAAACCCACAATCCACCGAGCTTGCTGCGATTAACGCGTAAGCAAATGCCTGTTGTAGCCCCCCTTGATTTGGCGAAGGAACCAATAGGATAAACAGCTCTGCCATACCCAGATAGGGGGCCAAAAACCAAATAAAATTCGAACTGGCTACAAAACACTGGCGGCTGCTGCAACCTGCTTCAGAAACCAAAGTTCTACTTCAACTAGAGTAATCAGAAACACAGACCAGTGTTAAACTCATCCCAGGGATCCAGCAAACCGCATGCACGACCCAATGGCAACAAAACACAAAAACGCGGCATATCAGACAGTACGAATATGCTTGGGAATTCACACGCAGCGACAAGCATGCGTCATGGGTGTCCTAAGATAGTCATCATGCTCACGACCTGCACCAAACATTACGCTACAGCAGGGCTTTCGCCAAAAACTAGGCACGTGGCCCCATAGTACACGCCAAGCCAACCTACTCTGGGAGAGCCAATAAAGGACCGACAACACGGTTAATAGCTTGTACGGCTTCGGAGCTTGCTGAAGCTGCTGCGGCAACCTTCAAAAGACCGCTCAGATACAGCACACACCAAAGACGACTTGAGTCTGCCGCGAGTGGGTAATAGGAAGGCGCCATATGAACCAAAGGAACCTGGCGCTGCCTGACCATCTTCGCGAAAGCAATATCAATAGGCCCCTCATTCGGTGAGGCCAACTTCATTACAAATCCACTCAATACTACAGTTCTATTATGTGCAAGGTATACCTAGGACTGAGAAAGTGTGGCGATCAGCAGTTTATTTGATGGATGAATTTTTGCTTGCCTCCACACCATTGGATTCAGCGGTGGCAGTAGATTTCATCAAACGGCCACCACCTTGTGCGATACCCTGAAACACAGGACTTGGGGCAAAGACAACGATTCATACGGAATGAGATGTACAAGGGGGGAACGGGAACACCAGAACAAATGCTACAAATGCGCAGCAACCTAGGTTCCAACTTTGACCCTGGTAGTACGATATTGCACGCCTACTGACACACGTAACGAACGCACGCTAGCGCAAGCATTACGCATGAATTTGCAACGTGCTCAAATTCAATTACCCTTCTGTTGTGACAAACGAATATTGTAATCCAGTGAAAAGTTTTCAGCAATGCAAGACCTCCGCAAGGCGGCAACTATGCCCCGAAAGATGGTTGAATAATACTCACCTGCCGGTGTCAAAGAAAAGGATTGTATTACTCTGCCCGCTGGCTCTATAATGACAGTTGATGTAGTCATCGAATGCTTTCTTCAGAATCGTTCTACTTTCGGCAGCGACCTGAGCTGAGACCCAAGCCTTCCGCAGACCGTCGTGAATGTAGAACTTGATTCATCCTTACGGCATAGAGTACGAATGGAGCACGTACACAACACCATCATCTGGCCCTATGTCACGAGATTTTTGTACATTTTTCTGGACACCTACGTGGAAACTTATCTACTGGACGACAGCGGCGCACAGCTTACGATGCACGGGATTGCCAAGGATACCGAAAACATGCATACCAAAGGTAGGGCTGGTCAGAAACAGTTTCATATACGGTCGCCATATCCCTTCTAGCGTTAAGGTGATGCCGTTGGGGAAAGAATGCTGTCATCACCAAGCCCGTATCACTAAATAAGCAATCGCTTGCGTCAATGCCGTTCAGTAATCTCATGTTGATACTGTCCGCAACTGCCTCCTGTATGGAGGCGCTCGGTGACCATCTTATCATCAAGCAAAAATGCGTAAAATAAAGGATGTGGGAGGACCACGTGATAATCATGAATTAAACCATCCTCAAACTGAAAAGAGGGAATATGGACAGCGGAAGTTTACAACTGTGAGATGAACCCCTAAAATAACTGCATTCACGAAGCCACATGGATCTAGAAACGGGATGACTTGCAAACTGTACGCAAGAAGCGAAGCCCACCGTTGGGGAAACAGCGACGGGCAGAAGACATGCAATCAGTTTCCGCCCGAGGCCAATGCATACCCACGTACTTTTACAAAACAACTCTGGGCACTTGGTATACGGGCAGTTATGCAGAGCGACGCCGTTGGGTGCTTCACCCGGAATAAATCCTCAGATTTCGACAGAAAATACTCAGCATCGCTACGCAATTAAGCCAGCAGCCCTAAACCATGGCACCAACAAATACGCGCAAGGAACAGCAGGGATTGAAGTGGAACACTGGAAGACTTGCTACAAAAAACTAGGTTCCAACTATGAAGGGGAAACCAGGATATTGCGAGGCAACTAGCATGCAATAAACGCATGAAGGCCCAAGCCCTACATATGAATATGCAACAGGCATTTAGTTCGCTTGTTCGCATAAATACATGCCATACTGATCCTTACAGATATGGATAACCGGCTGCTCAGATATGTCGATCCGCATGCGCCAGTAGGCAATCACACGTTACCGTAAGTGCCCATGGCATAACGCATTCAGACGGCACTTCCTAGATATTTGCTTTCATCAAGTGCAGTCCGCAACACATACACTTGCGCACGAATACCGTGGGTTCAGAACTCAGTCATGCTTTTTCAGCAACATGCTTATGTCCCGAAAGATGGAAAAATAACTATTCATCCTGAGAACCCCGACAGCAATGCCAGCATGCTAGTGGTATTTAAGCCGCATCAGATTTGGTAAGCAGTTGAATTTTCTGCAGCAATCCGCAGACCCTCAGAATTTGATGGTCAAAAAGGTCATCCCAACAGTTAGCTTTGCCAAATATTTACAGCATATACACCTAAAAACACACTCATCTACATGCCAATGTCCTTGCCTTATGGATGCAGCGCCCACTGGTTGCGGCTTTTAACGCCTGCTGCGCTGCGAACGAGAGGAAAGGTTCTCTTTTCCGAGCATGGACGCTTGAACACACACATTCAAACCCGCAATGGGTCAACAGCAAGAGGCTGCGCGTGAATTCAGACTATGAGCTCGGCAAATAAACCCATATACACCATAAGCAAACACAACTTCACAAACAAAGTGATAGTGGAAAAGTGCCTTCAGAATCGTTCTACTTTCGACAAGAACCCGAGTTAAGACCCAAGAATTCCGCAGACCGTCGTGATTGTAGAACTTAATTCATCCTTACGACATGCAGTTAGAGTAAATCAAGCGCATGAGACAACCAGCTGGCCCAATCTCAGCAGTTTTCTCGTCCACATGTACCTTTTCAGAACAGGTCTGTGGAAAACACATCTCATCTTCTACTGGCCAACAGTGAGGAACACGATCGATGTTACAAGCTTGCCTGTAATGCGGGCATGCATACCAAATGTGGGGATATTCAGAAACAGTTTCGAACGGTCGCCATATTCCTTCTAGCGTAAAGGTAGCTCCGTTGGGGAAAGAATACTTTCATCACAAGGAGCCCGAATTCGCCAAGACATTCGACCAAAAACAGCTTGAAGGAGGTGTTACGGCAAAAGAGATTATACACGCAGTCTCCTTCATGGACTACAAGGCGTCAGTCAATCAAGCTTTTCCTGCTCATAATTAAATCACCGTAGAGGTGTCATTTGCCTCATTCATCCTGCCGAAGAAAAACAGCCGTTTGTCGCAAGAAAATATTGGAGGAAAAGACTCGAGGCACCCGGTTATAGAACAGCGAGGACGCGGAAATCACCAGGGAAGCACAACAGACGCATACGCAACATAGAAATACAAATTCCGATAATCGAAATGTTTCGGGAGCCCATGAGAGCAAGCAAAGCGTAGCGGTGGTCAGAATTGAAAATAACATCACTTTTCAGATGCAAATTACCCTAATTGTGACAAGCTCATCAGTCACCAACTTATTCGCGCTCAGGAGGCCCCAAACTGCTCACATTTGTCTTCCATATGTACCACACTGCCGGGCTGTCCGGGGCAAAACAAAGGCCCTCTGTGACGGACAGACGGGAGGCGTAAGGATATATTATCCCTAGCATTCCAAGAGCGACAACTGCGGTGAAGCGCAGCTTGCTTCTGACCAAGCTAGGCGAGTACGTGCAATGCAATTGAGCCACATTCGATGCCACGAAGTGCAGTAAGAATGCAAATGCAATTTCCGAGCCCGGGGAGAAGAACAGCGGAATAAGAAATCTAAATTAAAGAGGCCGAATCGATTTATTACTTGCATCGAAATCTACATGATTACATGCACATGGTATGAACGCACACACCGTTGTTCTACCATTACCCCCACCAAGAGTTGCACTCGTCAGCTGCAGTGGTTGAATTGCCCGAGCATAGCACGAATTCGTGCTATCAAGAGGTGTCAAGAGTTCAACGATCATCACGAGTACGCGCCTGCTCTCCGTGGAATGGCGTCGCAAAAGCACGCAATGGCCCAAGAAATTAAACAATACACAGTAGCGACTGTCGTAGTGACTCCACATCCAGCTGTGCACAGAACATCCCAGAATCCAAGCTTTCTGCCGAGGCAGACGCGCTTGCATCCAACTATGCATCGTTTGTGCAAGCTTTTTTCACCTACAACACGACCGCCCACGGCACCAGAACAGCACATGGGGGAGATACTGTAGGCATAAGAAAAACTAAACGTACTTGACTACAGCAAAGAGCTTTACTCGCGATGCTACTACTTCAGTGTTGGTTCGACGCACTGTAACTAACCTACCCGCCTAGAACGGACTTTCAAACACTAGATACACCATATTGTAAGCTAATTGCTGGCTACCTATCCATTAAACTCATCTGCCACTGCCAAACCAGGCGCAAAACGTTGTCGCATGGTGTAAGCGCAAAATTGTCATTCCGGTAGGCAAAAAGACATCGCAAACCAGGAAGTGCCCCGTCCGCAAATTAGCAGCCCGCACACAGCATATTTCGCGCATTGGAGAAAGCTATCTGTTTGTCATTCTTCCATCTCGAATAACCGGATTTCACGCACATTCCGTCATCTGTTCGAGAACCATTCGCACCTGAGGCCGGACACACAAACATGGTAATACATTCGTCCCTGTGCGCTACAGTCAAGACGTTATGAAAGTGCCGGCATTCGGCACTGATAAGGCGTGGTCTCGTTTGAATGCTTTACCTTTCGCATCACACGATCTTTCCTGGTTTTGTTGTCGATCTTGACATTCCGTACGTATTGAGACTTAGTAGTCTTGATCATGGCACCCTGGCGCACCCTCTTGACCTCCCTCGCCTCCTTCTTCACAGGATCAGGGTTCGCACGGATCTTCTGGAATGCATCTTCGTACATCTTCTCGAGGCAGTTGGCATCAATCTTGTTGCGGATGTACGCAGAGAACTGAGATTGGTACTTTTCTGGGTCTTCGTCCTCGAGCACGCGCATGTAGTCTGCAACATGGGAACCGTATATCCTCGCGCGATGGACCTCGGGGTTGTACGAGTCCTCGGAACCCTCACTGCCCTTCAAAAAACCAGGAAACCGCTTGTTGTTGTGTGGGATGTGGAGGCCGCCGTCACAGGCTCCCTTCATGGCGCCGAAAACACGGTTGCCTGTTAAACAAAATCCATATACATGGACAGACTATTCCCTGAGAGGATCAGCCAGCAATCACAGTAATCACATCAACAGCCGAAAGATCAGCGAACCCACCAACGGTCGTCGAAACAATCCCCACATCAAGGACACATTTGAAGGGACGGCGTTCCTCAGATTCCTCCTCCACGTGGTATTCCTCGCCCGTCGGCTTTTCAACACCGGGGAACTCGTCAGACAGGCCCTTCTGCGTCAGTGAACGAAAACCGTAAAAGATCGATACCGACTCTATGAAGATAAAGAATATAAACCAAGCTCATCTCGGCAAACCACCAGCTCTGCGCAGTAAAACTTGCCTGTTTCAGAAGTCTGCGCGCCAGCAGCAGGCCAGTGGCATATGCCGCCGAGTAATTGGTGAGCCCCACTTTGATGCCGTAGCGCGGCAACTCCATAGAGTCTGCACTACAGACCAATTGGTCCCCTCGCATACAGGCGTACATCACCTGGCATAGAACCCGTGTGTTGGTAATGCGCACGACGAAGCGGTACTTGGGGGCATTGTACTTATTTTTATCTTGAAGAGTGAGCCAGCGCCGCGCTGCATAGTCAGTCTTTCCCGCTGCATACACATAGGCGGACGCAAGAAAACATCGGTACAAGTCAGCGCAAACATAAGGGCAGCATACCTTCTGATTATACGTGCAACTTTGCTGTTGGCGTGGACAGGTCAGCGCCAGTCTGGATGAGGGCGTGAACCGCCCATTGAACAAGCGTTGGTTTGAAACGCCAGAGTTGTGTGCCGAAGGACGAGGAAACGTTCGAGGGACTAAGCGTGCGGAGGCAATGTGCCCCAGCACTCTTAGAGAGCCACACGCACGACTTGCCCTTCGGGAAAGGTCGCCAGTACACAGCATGTAAATCAAGGAACTGTTTGCAACGTTAGCCGCTGGCACACTTCGGGTTCAAATACCAGTCTTCGGGCGGCTGGTAGGGATATCTTATGAGCGCAGCACATAGCACCCCATGAAAACGTGGGACAGGAATCAACCGTCCGTATCACTTTCCGAACCATGCACGCATTCCACACCACATATAGGAAAGTCAGCAAAAGGTATAGTTCGTGCCGCATTAATAAACAATCGTAAATCTTGTCAGCGAGAACCGCTCTTCGGAAGTAGAAACGGCCACGCTCGGGCTCCCCACAATCAAGCGTACAGAGCAGGGTTTCCCGTCAGAAAACGCCTACAGTATATACGACAGAGCGTCATGGACCAAAAGTATGCATCTAACACATAATTCCGGCAAAAAAAGTCGATTTTCGGAGGCAGCTGCCACCAAACTACAAATACTGATGTCCTTTCCCCATGGTTCCTGCAGTGAAAGCCGCTCACCCCTGCGCCGGCGGTACTTGACCTGGAAGCGCTTAAAGTACGCCTTGTTCTTGATTGCCTTTACAAAAGCCATCTTCGCGTACAAAAGCGACGGAACGGCAACACAGTGCGCTGTGGGCAGACATGCGGTGCCTTCCAAGACTGCCTATGAAGGGCGCTGCACAGAGGAGGGGCTGCCGCCCCTTTCCCCGTTGTCCTTACAAGCCCCACTACATATAGCGCCAGCCCCCAGTACAAAAGATGGTGGAAAGAGGTTCATAAAAAGGCATCCCCATACCAATTTTGAGTTATCTTCCAATATTCTGCTACCTTGGTGATGGCTGTTAAGTGACGGAGAGCACATTCCTAGTGGAATTTCCTTGTGCACAGCAGCTGAAGTTTATTTCTTCTGGTGAGTTGGCGAGACTCCGGAGTGGTGAGGAGTGCTCTGCATTCTCCCTGGAGCATTGCATTGCAGCGAAACCACTTTACTCGGTAGATTCATTATAAAGCTGCTCCGGTATCATTTTGTACGGGTATTCTCCGTGCAAACCCTAAAGAGTGTCAACGTGGGACCCAACAAGATTGCCAGTTTGCAAACTGCGGAAACAAATTGAAGACAAAAAGAAAGGACAGCCTGTTTCAACAGAGGCTTCCACAATTGATCATGGTGGTACTGATGGAATTCACGCTAGTATTATCAGATTTTGAAACCAACATAGTGGGTAATGCTCCACAGTGGTCTCCGTAAGAAGGCAGCTCCCTTCAAACTAATTAGAAAGCTGAGTATTTTTTCATTAGAAGTCTCGCCTTTACTAGCCTAGGCCCACCAGAGCTTCCAAATGACGGGGGAGGCAGCTGCAGTGTGCGTGTTCGCACCCTCTGAGCACTCCTAGCTTCAACGGCTGGTTGCACACGGCACGGAGCAGGCACGCAGACAACATTACGTCTTCTTGCATCAGGCTACGAGCACTCTGCAAAAAAAACGATGTGCGGATACACAAAGCTATTCATCAATTCTTGAACAATTTCTAGTTACAGATTATCAGTGCATTTTTAGGCGCCCAAGTATAGCTCAGCACGCTACATCGACCCCCGCAGCCCCCCCACCCGCCACCCAATTCCAGCTGCAAGCCCTCGTGCTCCTTATCTGTACGTCAAGACCAACGATATGCGACACACAGCTGCGGCTTTTGCCCAAACCGCTACTTCCCAACCAAGTAGAAACGCAAAAAGCAACATGAATGAGACGCTCAAATGGGCAACAGCCCGTAAAGAGAAATTAAAGAAACGAACGATCCACACACTAGCCAACAGTGACCGAGGGACCACCACCGCAGTTGTCCGACGATCGCTCTCGTCGGAGCCCTCAGGTGTACAGGCCACCTGCTACGAGAAAACAGAAGGGCCGTAAAATGGGTACCGGGAATCAAAATACATACTAGTTCAGAAGTGCCTCCATGACTTATTGAGCGAAGCATGCACATAAAAATGGCCAGAGGACGCACTTTCTTGATTTTAAAGCCGCCGAAAATCGCTGCACGCCGAAAAACTCTGCACGAATGTACAGACAGCATACTCGAGAGTGCCTGTGCATAAATCTGCTGGTATAGAATATCCTCATAATAATGGGGGACTTCGGCCACTACCCCTAGATTGAGATAGCTTTTGCAAGCAGAATATGCGCTGGGGAACCACAATTCGAAGGAAAGGGAGGAACACCTTCCACGAGGACTTGCGTTGTGGGCCAAACATAGCAGCAAATTATCTTGCGGAGAACGAAGCCTTCAGCCGCTTCTCTGTCAAACACCTAAATTGGCGTTCCCCAGCTCATTTCAATGAAGATCCTCTCCGGTGTGGCCTCGTGCTCAACAGCCCGAAAATCCAGCATTTCTACGGCACCCTGCGGAACTTGCCACCTCTATCCATGGCATTGAACAGCCAATTGTAATAGTTCTGTGGCAACACCAACTATCGGGCAAATCGATGGAAGGGTTAAGAGCAATAACTTTGGAGAGGGCAGCAAATCGCCCTGGCCACCTGACAGCAAATTTCTGCCAGTCACTTTCTATTGCACCTTGTGCAGCCTGCAGATTCACCAAAACAAACTTTCCGGGCTCCAAATACACCCCTAACCCCCCCTTCTCATAAGTCCATGCTTTTTGCCTATCAAACTTTTGCGCACACATCCGCGTGCACTAACCTGCGGCTTTCTGGATCCCTCCGCCACTAGGAGTGGACGTTGACCTTAGACCACCAGGTCCAGGCACAGGTCGAAGTGAGACTACTCGGCGTAGACCAAGGTGGGAGCGCAACAGGAAGACAAGTGCGCTGTTAATAATAAACCAGGTGGGCACGCAAAAAAAATGCTCAGGCCACGTAATTCGATTTTTGTGAGCATGGAGATGCAAAACCTGTTTAAAAATGTGGTTGGTGCGTTGTGTGTCCATCTGCCTCATGGTGGTTCGCAGTGGTCGGAAGTGGTCGGTGTGTAGGCGACTCATTAAAGCACGCTAGAACTCACTGACGGACTTCTGATTCATATCCGTGATAATACTCCAGGAAGAATTGCGAAACTTCTAGGCATGGGTTAAGAGTAATGAGGCATCTTGCCTCCTGGGGAGTGATGGATCTGGGATAAGGGGTGAGCTAGGTCTTCTTGCTGAGTTTGTAAACTACGACGTTGAGCAATCCTCAACCTTGATTTCCAGCAGTCCAACAATAAAGCCCATGCTCAAATCGGTACAGATTTTCTCAGGGATTACAAGGCTCTGCAAAAAGTGGGGTTTGGTAGAAGTGCGCCACTTCAGCTGCCCACAAGAAAGGGGCATGACACTGGTTAACGCCTTGCCGCGGGTCGCACCCCAGGCCAACTTCAAGACAAGAGAGCTTTTCTAGTGCAGCGTAGATTCCACCACGGCCTAAAGAGCAGCGTCAAGTGCGGTGTGGAAAGCAGCACTGCAAATCAAACCCCCAATGTACATACGACGGAGTCCATGCTTTATTTTAATAGACAGTAGGGCAGCCTCGGCGTGTCAATGTTTAATTCCTTCGCCATTCTGGATCTTGGCAATAGTTTCAGATGTATGGGTATTAAAAGCACAAGACTCACGCAGTTTCGGTAGGAATCGTGAATTATCACAGACAATTGCAATTGCTCTGCACAGCAGTGAATCGTCGGGGCGTCGCACGAGCGTGTCAGCGAGCACCTTTGTAATTCCTTCAATTTGCTTCAGTGTAAAGGGGCACTGCAAGAGGCATCCGAGCAAGTGAATGAATGTAAGATTGGCAAAGTTCTGAGGACTCGTTGTGACATACATCAATGAGAGATGGTTGGTCTGGACAGTAAAAGAACGCCCCTAGAAATAGTGTCCGTATTTTTCCACGACCACCACACTGCATAGAGTTTCTTCTCCTGAACTCGATACCACTGCTCGTTTTTGGTAAAGTGAAAAATCAAAAGTAATAGATTTGGTGTTTTGAAGAATCTATAACTGTTTGAAGATATTGGCATCCACCGCTATCTCACTAGCATCGGTGGCTAGGAAGAAGCGATGCTCATAACCGGGCAATGTAAGTAAAAGAAGAGCTTCAGGGCGGCCGATGAGCGTCCTTGCTGCGGCATCAGCCTCCTCTCTCCAGGTCCCGAGCTGCATTTTCATGGGTAGATCAGTCAAATGAGCAGCGGCCGAGCAAATTCAGAAAAGGAATTTCGTCAATAAGGTACCAGCACATTGGACTACTCAAAGTCTCTGTGGGTGCGCAAAGGTAAAGGCCACGTCTTAGGCTACTCAATTTTCGCTCGGTGTGTTTCGAATCGTGCATCCAAAATACGGAATCCCAAACGCATGGCGGTCATCGTTCAAAGCGAACACGTGATTGTGTAGCGGAAGCGCACGCTATAGGTTCTATAGATGCGATGCAACATTTCGACTGATTACTAATAGATACTCCATTAACAGCCAACCGCATTACTGGATGGGCTCATTACAATTCCAAGTAGCTTTTCAGTTCGACTGCAGCATTAACAAGTTTAGATGGCATGTATACTCGAGCTTGCGAGTACGAATGTGGGTCGCCGTTTCGTGCCTGTCATGTGAGTGGAAGGCGGTTTGTAATAACGCGTCTTTGGGCCAAAGTTAATAAGCCGGTTGATTCGTGTAATGCATCAAGCACTTTGCCACTAGCAAGCATCGGAGACTTCCGCCTGACAGTGATCTTGCTCAGGGGTATAGTGTTAACGCATATGCGCCACCCTCCGCCTTTATTTGGCGTCGACACCGGGAATCCACTCTCTGGACTCAGCGTTTTTGAGCTTTAATTCCACTGCTGTCTCCCGGGCAGTCAGGGAGAGTCACGTGAAGCTGAGTGGCAGCAGTGGAACGGGAACACAAAAACGCTAGGAGTCCAGAGGGTGGGTGCCATGGCGGTCCCTCGAATGGGGACAGGACACGTTTGCACGCACGAAAGGGCATTCCACGTTTGCACTTACAGACTCGAGTGTGCATGCCATCTGAACTTGTCAATGCTCCGCTTGAACTGAAACGTTATGTTTTCTTGGGATCGTGATGAGCCTATCAAGAAGGGCGGTTGTTTTGTCCGAAGCCGCTGGACAATTCATGCTGTTTGCCTTTTCGAGAATTATCTGCCTGCCCCCCAATCGTCATTCTGTGGGGACTTCTGACCCAGCGGCGCATGGCTCGGGGCCAGCCCAGAGGTTTGCTCAGTATGGTGCCCTAGACAACGAGCAGGTGGTCAGCCTGCTAGCGCCTCGTCATTACTTGGCGCATCTGTGAGATCCCCCTTGACATTTACCCATACCTGCTAGGCTAAAAGCCCAACTGAAATCCCTAATGAACGCCTAAAACCTTCTTCACTTACTGCACTGCTGAGCCATCCGCATCAAGACGCTGCTTCATCTTGGGGGCCATCGACGCTACACCACTCACCCTAGATGTAATGGGCTCTGTTGCAAATGTCAGGACTTGCTTTTCCCCAGAGCTTCTTGGCATGCCGATCTCTACAGCGAGCACCTGTGGCTACATGTGCGCCTTCAATTAGTCACCCGTTGCATGCCAAGGACTCCAGCATGGTGCACGGGGCGAGCACAGAAACCATGCATCATGGTTATCAAATCGAAGTCCGATGTTTTGTGAAGTTTAACTGCCGCACCTCTGACAATCCTTGCGTCCTGCAATCCGTCGGCGAGCCTAAGTCTTAGGGGGGCGCCAACGAGTAAACAGGCAACTTGCTTTCCTGCGCTGTGTCCTCGAAAAATAGGTCCACCTCATCCAGTGTCAATTAATGCCAGTCCTGATTCGCTTTCATTGATGTGACCTTGTATACGCGCATAATCGACCCCTTGCGGACTCCAAACTGCGGCTCTATTGGCTGTGGTCTCTATCCACTGCGCGGCAGCCCGGGGGCTTTCCTTTACCTTCATGCACCTTCTTTGCATGCCAAGCAGCCTGCTTCCAATGAGCTCAGTCCCCGTCCGTAAGTTTAAAAATATGCTGCGTGCGCTTGTAGCTGCGTGAACACATGACCCAAGGTAGACGTGGGTGCGTTGTTTGATGATTGTCGGGGGCTGCTCAACAGCGAGCATTCCCTATTATTTTCTTCTCGCGTTCACCTTTGAATGTAACCAATAGTGGGTTGACACGACCCTAGGTCCATAGGTCCCAGCTGGTTCTTCCTCTTCGCCCATAAAAGCAGGAATTATCTCCGATAGCTCGTGAAATTCTGGGGACTTCACCATCATTGGAAGCCCCATTGTTATGTTCGTTCACTGGCATTGTCTTTGCCCAGCCTTCGGCCAGCGGACGTATAACTTTGGGTACACTTTAGACAAACCACTGGTAAAGCAGCTATTCATATACAACGTGGATCTCACGAACCAGAACTTCATGGTCATCAGTGTACTAGTCTACTGGTAAATTCGCCCGTACAAGCTTTCTCAGTTCCTCGAAGGCTTGCTGTCAAGCTTATCTAAGCATGCGCTTAGGCAACAGGACATGTATAAGGCTTAAGCTGCAGTAATCTCTGACGAAAAAATAATTTTGCATTCGAAAAGCCGCCATTGATGTGTTTCTCCTTGCAATAAGCATGCCCCGAGAAGCGCCTGTTTCTCTTCATCCATGCAGTACCACGCGAGCTAGGCCTCTAGCCGGCTCATAAAGATTTCAAGAACTTGCCCATTCTCACAGCCGTCACAGCTGTTTGACGGGTAGGCTCATCGGCGCAAGCTTAAACACAATAGCGGCAGACAAATCATATATTTGTACCAGCTGTTTCACAGCGGCTTGCAGGCTGCCCTGTGGCGCCCTAAGGGGCATTGCACCACCGTCTACTTCATCTTTACAGGGGTATTTTTTCCAAGAGGGTTTCCAAAGGGAAAACCAACACACTGAATTTTTAAGTAACTTGATCTAACCCCCAAAAGTTGTAGGGAAAGATGGCATCATAGTGCCTCCACAGCAAGTAAATGAGTGGGAAACAGCTGCTGCGAACCTTTTCAGTGCTACCAGTTGTAACAACCCATCTAAGGTCTCCTCAAGGACACCCTTAACTTCAAGCTCAACCCTTACTGTAGAGATGTCTATTGAATTTTAAGGAAAAGTTTTCCCTTCTCGCAACTGCGCCCCTCAGATCTCCCCAATGAAAGGCGACAGGCAGCATTCGTGCGTCAAGCGGCACCCTCTTAGCACTTCAAAAGAATACTCACAGCTCATTGAAGATAGCATCTGCCGCAGGTGCACAGAACACTGCGTCTTCTCCAATCGAAACAGCAGGACTCTGCAGTCCAGTTAATAAATTCTTTACTTAGCTTCATTCAAATAAAACTGATGTAGTAGAAAGTGTTTGGATGTAGCCTAGCCCCATACAAGCTTGATCTCGTATAAGTGTGTTCTAGAGTTGCTTTCACCCCTTTACGGCCTCTTTCCCCTTCATTCTTCCAATGCGCTACCAAAGAGATCCAACAAAGCTACAAGAATTTTAGTGCAATGGTCTTCGGATTGCACTCGATTGTGAGGCTGCCTGGTTAATACCGGTGTCAAGCACAAGCGCTATTGCAGGCATGTATTCATGTGTCTCATCCGCTGTCCTTGCCTCCTGTGCACCTTATGCCCATGCAAATCAGGACCACATGTTCTAAATCTATGTTGGCATATAGGCAATTAATGCTTTTTGAAAGTATGTCGCGGACAGTGACGCAGCAGCCCCCTTTCGCCCACCCACCCCCACGGCATTCTTCGTGCGTACCGGCCTTAGCGGCTCACGACAAGCGGGAACTTTTGGGACTGCATACCACAATGGCTCATTTTCTACACATTGCTCGATATATCAGACAATACATATTATGGCTCTAGAAACACCGCCCCTTGCGATTTCCCTGGCATTCTCGTCATCCCGCTGCCGCTACCCCCCGCTCAGACAAGGCCGCCAGCCTGCACACTTTAGGAAGTCAATCAACCATTTCTTGGCCTTCCTGAGTCACCCGACTACCAGCATCCCTATTATTAGGTGGAGGGCGGCTTCCAGGTTCTCTCTTCTCTAACTGTTCACACAGTATTGGATCACGAGACGAACGGCTGCTCCGTGCCTGTCGTGGTTCTTCTAGGAGGCTTCGTGTTGACTCTCAGAAGTGCTCAGTGTCTCCAAAAGCTGAGCCATAAGAACCCCCTGCTCCGTCCCCAGGGCTCTGGGGCCGTTGAGTGGCACCCCCATAGACCAGCTGGCAATTCAATAGCAGCGGGAGCCCTATGAAGAAACGGAAGGCAACTGAGGAACTCCCTCGGCAGCTAGACTCCCAGGATACAGCTCCTGTGGAGCTGGGGGAGGGGGAGGATCCGAACAGGCCCGTCCGGATATACACCGATGGTACGATGAACCATGTGCTCCCCCTGTTGTCAGGAATGAGCTATGCACTCCTCACACCCACGAGGGTTTTTCGTGCGTGAATCTTCGTAGGCGTGTATGATCTTCTGCATCTTGGTCACATGAGGCAGCTGGAGCAAGCCAAGAAGATGTTCAAGCATGTCCACTTAATGGCTGGCGTCGCGTCTGATGAAGAAACGCACCGTTTGAAGGGCCAAACTGTTCAGAGTTTAGAGGAACGAGCAGAAACACTTCGCCACATTAAGTGGGTTGATGAGGTTATTGCTCCATGCCCCTGGATCATCACTCCGGAATTCGTGGAGAAATATCGAATTGATTATGTTGGTGAGCCTGCAGCATATTTGTTCCTCGGCACATCAGCTGCTCCACGTGGCTGCCCGTGTGTTTGCTTCTTGAGGAGGCAGTTTGTCTTCGCTCTCTTTGCTGAACTAAGCGACTGCCAACACCGATTAGCAATCCGGAAGTTCTCCGCTGTTTGCTTGCTACGCAGCACATGATGCGGAACCCTATTCTGCAGTACAGAAAAGCAAGGACAAAAAGAAGGACGATCGGAAAAGGAAAAAAACTAGCAGTCCTGCGGAAGCAGACAGTGGCGACATTTATGGATGGCTGAAAAGCAGCGTAAGCTCTTTACCTTCAATTGCTTCTGTGTATTTCGGCGTAGGTCCCCAGCTTTGTAGCATTTGGTTCTTGTCGCTCCCTACCTCAAAACCATCGGAGGATTTGATTCTTTACGACGAGATCATAGTGCTGTTGGGCCTGATGGCTATGAACACTGCGTGCAGAACAAGTTTCGCGCCACGGTGCGCACCCAGGGAGTCTCTACGACGGATATTATCGTCCGAATCCTACAGAATTACGAAGACTATGTCGACAGGTAACCTTTTGATTGCAGCGAAATCGATGCCGCGCTCAGCTTTTGCAAAGATGTAATGATGAACTTTTGCACTTGAGCGTTGGGTGTTTCGCACGTGGCGTAGGTCTCTTTCGCGGGGAATCAAGCCCAAAGATATGAACATTGGCTACACGAAGGCGAATGCAATAAAAGTCCGTTTCGAATCCAGCTTTCACCGACCCCCTTTGTCCTTTCCACATAAGAATAAGCCATCAGTATTTCTGTCATGTGCTACGTCAGCGTTCCTGTTTTGAGGGTTTTCAGATGAAGAAGAACATGCAGCGATGGGGCGAAAAGGTTTCCGACGAGCTCACAAAGGTCACTCTAACGGACCGGCCACTGGTGAGTCCTAATGTGCCGTAGAGGCTGCCCTGCTCTATGACGGTTTCGCTAGTTGTTCATTTCTCGCTCTACCTCCCGGCATTCGTGCTGTTTCTCAGGGTGTGCACTTCGACGAAAGTGTTGAGAAGCTCCGCAACAGCATCCATCAGACGTACGACAACTGGAGGGGCCGCTCTCACAGATTGCTTCGGGGCTTTGCGAGGAAATTCGAACCAATGGTAAGCACCTCTACCATGCTTGGTGGTTGGCTGCTCCATTAGGCTAACAGGTACTCGTGACAAATGATGCACATCATGTCACGTAGAGTGCGTGCGCATGATTTTCTTAGAAATCACTCATCGGGATCCATATCAATCATCACCAGTCGAGTGATGATGATGCCGCCATCTCCGATGGCTCAGCTCTTTCTGACTCCCCGGCTCGGCACGCCAAAGAAGGCACTGGTGTGCAAGCCGGTGAAGAATCAGATGCACCGGAGGCTTGACACTTCTTGAGCTGAGCCCGCGCAGTCTTGACACTTGACCTCGCTGCTGTGAAAACGCCTGCCAGCCAAAGGGCGCAACTCCCAGAAACACTGTAGTATCCGGTTGTTTGTTAGACACGGGCTTCGGTTCTTGCATAGTTCAATTCATACAATACTGAATGGTGGTTGGCATGATTTTGTATGGGGCTGGTTGGGTTGCGCTCGCATGGGCGACAAAAAAAAATCGAGTCTCTTTCAAGGAATCGCCATCTACAATACAGCAACACCCGTTTTCAGTGCCGGGTATGTCGTGCGACCGCGGTGCTCAGGTGTTTTCCGTAATGCCAGATGCCACGGCATGGGCTTTGTATAGTTTGCGGCCTAAATTATAGTATTCTTCTCCATGTTGTGATAGTCTCACATACATCACGGGCGGCGCACTCTCAGTTGTCGTGACAGCTCAGCGACCATGCAAGACGCCACGCTTTCTTGCCAGTCTGCATCTTCGCGTTTTAACAACTTTTCACAGCAGTCGTTAGCTGTACGTTTGCTCCAATGGCAAGCGTTTTTCTTCGAATTTTAATACTTGCAACGGCGATAAGTTGGTGGACGAGAACAGCGGCATGGACACTGTGGCCAAGGGAAAGCTCCAATGATCCGCTTGTATGTTGAAAATTACTGTTTCCCGACTGTTCTAGTGTATGGCCCTATTTGCATCAGGATAAAATCAAGCAGCGCCGCATGCGCATGCCATGGCTTGCGGTATGATTTTCACAACGGCATATCTTCATCGCTGCAGCCTCATGGATTTGCAGAATTACGATGACCAAAGCGTTGATTCCGTCCCATCATCAACCGGAGATTTTCAATATACAACCGCTTACAAGGCTACACCATTCTTTCCTGATTCAGAAGTCCATGCCGTGGAGGTGCAGCCACTCCAGGAAAGGTTCACCGGCATGCACACTGCCGAGGTGGGAACATTCGATTTCCCGACAATTCAAACTCTACGTGACAAGCGTGTCCCTACCAGAATGAGCTGTTTCGCGTGGAGATGCCTGTATCAGGCGAAAAACTAGTTGGGGATAGAGTTGTAAGTGGTCTAGCGGTTGATGAAGCAGGACGGCAGTACCAGGCTCACGGGCCGGCGCCATCGCTCATGCCGGTTCCCGGACTCACCCCGCTGTGCGAGACATATAACAATCCTGCCATGTCACTCGAAGGTATCTACGATGCTAATTTGACTTCTTTACTCGGGTCTGTTCACAAACATCAGATTGGGAGAATTCTAGTATGTGGCAGAATCTGATGGAGCTTGGCATTATGCGCTTGACCCCTTCTTCCATTGAGCCTTGTAAGGAATGTGATACATGCGCTCGCTATTGTTAGTGCTTTAGAGAATGCACATATTTCTAATCAAGTGGCTAGGCCTATGAGCTTGTTGCTGAAAGGCCATGAGTGCAATGTTGCCAAAGTGACTGCATTTGTTCGCCTCGGCAGTGCTTCAGCTGCAGGAATCATTTTCCGAGCCAACAGTCAAGAAGATTACGTTTCAGCAGTGCTGGATACTGATAAAAGAGTGAGCCGTATTCTTCGAAAAGTGGTCTTCTGCTACCAAACGGATTGCAGGTTGCAAGCCTTCAACTCAAGAAGGGTGGTGTGGAAACAACCCTTACTGAGGCACCTATATTATATATAAACCCATCAATTCGTCACGAAATAACAGTCGTAAGTACAGAGCTACCATTAAAAGGTGTGCTAGCGTTATCACGGCCAGCAGAATGACCGGGGGGAACATGGACCTCTCGAGATGTTCGTAGACAATCGAGTTGTGATTTCCTACGAGATGCCACACAAAGGTAGAAAAGATTCAACACAATTAAGCTTATCTTTAAGGCTTGTACTTGCTCTGACAGACAGAGGTCGCTTCGGGATCGAAGTGAGAAGGGGCAGCGCTCTATTCGATGGTTTCGCAATCGAGCGGTAGACAGCACCTGCTTACAACAACCCACCTTCCGCAAGGGACTAGTTTGTTATTCGTGTTAAGTTCATATTTCTGTGGAGCTGCCAAGCACATAGCCATAAAACATGCGCAACGCACCAGTGGAAGTAACAGGAGCAGGCGCTCCAGTGCACGCCCAAGTCATTTGCGTCATGAAGTTGGAAGCTCCCAAATTAAACAGTGCTTCATAATGACCACAAATTTTATGTACCCCTTAAACAATCTTTTTCTATGATGCATCGAACGAGGTCGCAATTCAGTTTCCTTTCGTGGTTATGGCCGCTTGCTCTTGTTAAAAGCAGCACATACTTCACCAACCGCTAACGTAGAGTGACAAAAAAGCATCTTTTTTGCGCTTCCTTATCGGAAGAAAGGGCCTTACTGCTCGGACGCTGTAGAAAACATGCGGCTAAGCGGTATCTGTCGGGGTGCAATGCCTTGTGGCCCTTTAGAACTGGAGTTCACCATACCGTCAGGCGAGCTGTAAATTAGGGCTTTTTGCTGTACGGCGGGCGTGGAAAAGGTGCTGCAAGCTCGTCTCTTCGGCCTATACTCAGTGGGCTCATGGATGTGTGAATACGGGAAGACGCAAATTCAACTTATAGAGGCGTTTTCAATACCCAGCGAACAGCTCTAGCCCTGTCAGCTTGCATGTATAAACATTAGCTTACCACAAGTTTTTACCATGTCGCGCTCCTCCTCAAGGCGCCTATCATTGGGCACACTCAGTTCTCGAGGTTCTGTCAACTCCTTTCAAGTTGCTGGCTTGGAATTCAATAGGAACAAACAGGGAGAACTGGCGCAAGCCATGCTTTCTGAGGTGGATGAGATACTCAGGGCGTATGATGCCGAGCTTGGAGCGGTCCTTCCCAAGGCTCAGTGCTCCCGTCGGCGAAGCTTGTCAGATGATCGTTTTCCGAATGCTCAAGCAAATGCTTCCTCCTCCCTTGACATTACTTTTGGTGAGCATCTAGTGTGATGAAAGAAACCGCAGCGTTGGGCATTCCGTGGAGGCACACCTAGATTTCGAAGGTAGAATCATCAGTTGACTACAGTTCTTTGTCTTCGATGATGAATGCAGGACGGTCTGAGAGCAGGCGTCATTGGGGTCTTTGCCAGTCGGATATATTTCGCATGCAGACTTCAGCTGCTCAGCCAGCTTCCACGGACCTTCAGGTGGACGGGGATGCAATAAATACGCTTTTGGCGAAAGTGCATACACTTTTGTCTACGCAGATGGCTCCAAAGATTCAGGAATTGATGACGGAGGTTAGCGCAGTTAGGGATTTTGTCGAAAATACGCTATCCCGTGATGTATCGCGAAGTGTTCGCGGAGAATGGAGACGATCATTCATAACTACTAAACGACATCCTTAAATGAAAGTTTTTGTACTTTGTGCAGGTTGCAGAGCTTCGTAGGCACAACGAACTCTTATCCGAAAAACTCGAACAGCAGAGACAGCGCAACGAAAAGCAGGCAAGTGCTTTAGAAGCTTTCCTAACATTCGGCGCAAATGGCAATAGCTCTTTTTCCCATGATGTATAAATATGATTGTGTGAGATTGTCATGTTGGTGTGATTGGAACTTCGGCCGCCTTGTAGGTTACCTCGTACGTCAAGTTTAATCCTGTATCCAGGAATGACACGAATTCCGTTTTTGCTACTGCTCTGCAGCTTGAAGAGTTTGAAGAGCTCCAGTCAGAACTCCGGGCCCATGAGGCTCAGCAAAAAAAACAGAAGAGCTTTTTGAAGGAGTTGGACATCTGTCAAAGCGAAAACGCGGTAAGTGTTTGTATCCTTCTGACTTCAGAGGTGCCAATAAAGGCAGGCTCCAATTCCTCCTGTACTTAGTTGGAATCGTATGCATCAAGCCATGACGGGATGTTGTATCAGTTCGCTCTATTCAACGCGTAAGACATGATTGATATGAGTGCGGGCGTGATAGGGTACACAGATGTATGCAAAAATGACAGTTTTTGCTAGCGACAGCTCATGATGCTCATTTGCTGGTGTATTTTGGAGCAATGTAGATGCTGAAGGTGGAACTGAAGAATTTGCACGTCCTCATTGCAAAGCATAGGGATCGCAAGTCGGCCCAGTCTCCACGACAAGCGCATCAAGAAGATGCGACTGACTATCAGAAGGCCTCGTGAGCTGCGCACTATAACATTTGCATTCTCTCTGCTTGCTGCACGGTTCTGGGTATTCTAACCAACTATTCCCAGTGCAGTGCTGAGTTTGATCAATCATACGTTGCGGAATGCACAGGAGCAACGAGTGGCTCAGAAAAGAGAATGAGGATCTACGCCACGAAGTGAGACGAACTTCAGCAAGAAACTTTTCGCTGCAAAGAGTGTCCAGGAGCGTAGTGTAGTTCATCGCCTCTTACTATATTGCGCCTTAATTGTACGTCAATGTTTGGCAACCATTTCTTCATCACTTCAAAAAGTTTTGTATGTCGGTATGGTGGCCTACAGGTGTCGCGTCGTCGTGTTGAGATGGCTGAAAAGGAAACAACGATTAATCAGCTCATGGATGCTATCAGGTCTCTCTCGTGTACTGAGAGTCGGAAATGGTCAATGCAACGCAGGAAATCCTCTGTGCAATGCCTTCCGGATTCCCCTCGCTCTCCGCAGTCACTAGCCTCCTCTATATCGCCAGGTGTCGTCTCACTGGATTCTCAAGTAGGAGAAGCGTTGTGTCTGGAAGGACCAAGGGAGCGATCCCGCAGCAACATACTTGACAGGGTGGGCTTTGCAGCTCCTTCAGTCATGTCAGGCTCGGTTACCACACTAGCAGAAGACCTAAGCTTAGCGTCCACCCCAGCGTCGGACAGTTCAAGTGGACCGCCTGTGGCCTTAATCTTGCCTGCTGAGAAGCGCAGCAGCTTTAGAGGAGCTGTGCAGCCTTCAACGCTACGCCTGGCAGTCAAAAAGACAAATTTAGCACCCAAACATATTCAGCTAAAGGAGGCCAGTGGACTGGCGAGCGACGGGAGCGAATTGCAGCAGCAGCTTAGCAACGCATTGGAAGCCATGGAGAGAGCTTTGTTTGAACTGGAGGACCTACGTTCCTCGCAACTAAAAGAAACCGCTAAACTGAAGACAGATATGGATTTCTCAAAGCAAGCTTTCATTCAAGCAAAAGAGCAGATACGCACGATGACCGAAGAGGCGGAGAGACTGAGGAATGAATGCCAAGCAGCAAGGGCTGAGCAACGCGAGGCCCAGACAAAACTGGATGAATCAACTAGGCAGTTACGTGAGAGCTGTAAGAAGGTAGGGGAGCTTCAAGACACTTTGGAGAGGATGCACAACGCAAAAGAAGAAGCTCAGAGGGCTGCAAACGACACAAGCTTACGGCTCACTAATGCGTTGCAGTCAGCTGAAGGCCAGGCAGTAATTTTCCGTGACAAGATTTCGAATCTCGAGGGAATGCTCACATCTCTCCGCCCCAAACAGGGGAGCTCTGGAACTCTAGAGCCGGCGATTTATCAGGTGACTCCCCGGGAGGCTTTTGACATTCAGGACGATACCCGTGATGTGTCAAAGCTGGGAAGTGGGACTGCGAACCTGTGTTTGTTACAAGTAGGTCAAGCAAGCGCCTCTCGACCTAGTGCTTGCCCAGTGCAAACCAGCTGCAGCAGTGGGCAGCTACAGCTACTTGAGGCGCCTGTCCATGCAGAGGAGCTGAGCATTATTTCCCAGGTCCCAAATGTTGGCTGTTGTTCGCCTTTTGGATGCTTAAATATCTGGTGAGTTGTGCTGCAGTGCAGCTTGCCGTTACCGACAGATGATGTCCCCCCTCCCATACCGGTCGTCCACTCGGGCTCTTTATGCTGCTGCACATGTGCCGTAATTAGTGGTAGACAGCATTTGTCTCGTGCATATGTATTTTAGGATCAAAGACGTTCTAGGTCACAAGAGTCTGAAGGCCCTACAGACCAAACCGCCTAACGACGTGCAAGCAGCGTCCTGGTCCTCCCAGAAGTTGTTTTTAGATGGAGAAATCATGCGTAGGAACTAGCACGGGCAATGTGCAGCCGTTTGATAGGCTCGTGTGTTGCCAAACTGCGTGAAGGGTGTTGTGTCGGCCCCCTTCGCTGAGAGGAGTGCGCTCATCTAGCCGTTGCAAGTGCAGATACATCCCAACGCGTTTGAATACGAACTGCCCTTGTCAAAGTTGTTGCACTCGACAAAAGCAATAGTGGTCCGCCCGCGAAGTCACTGAACTCGCAATCTCGTGATTGGGATGACCTGAGCCTGAAACAACGGGGCGCCTTCATAAGGGATTTGGGCTTGTATGTTAAATATCCTACTGGAGTTAATGCTTGAACGCGAGTGGAGTTTGCAGTGCCATAAGCCTACTGCTACTTTGCTGCGGTTGGCTCCATCAGCAGGCGTTGAGAAACATGAAAAAAACTGGATCTACCACGAACTGGTAGAGCCATTCAGCATGCTTAGCTTTTCCTGCCAGTAGTACGGAGTGCGTTCCGCTGCCACGCAAATGGCGGCTTACCACCACGGCGGTTGTTAAGCCGCAAACGAAAATTAAATGGTTAGACTTGTTCATGTCCGCAAGCCAGAAGATGCGCCAGCTAGAGAGCGAGCGAAGCCAGAGGGCCGAATCTGAGCCTCGATCATAATAATATATTGTGCAGTGCATTGCCTGCATGCATGCATGTATGCACGGCAGCGGAGAGCCGCATGCCAACTGAGGCAACACGAGCGCTCGCATACACATCGTGAGCCTAAACTGCCGTCAACCTCTTCCACCACTGACCGCCATGGCAATGGGGATTTGCCGATCCTCTGGACCGACACCAGAAACAGAACACCTAGTTCGCACTCTCACCCGCCCCTACAAACTCCTCTCCTTGCGCGTCACTGTTGCTGTTGACAACAACGCTCCTGGGGGGTGCCTCGGACCCCTCAGGAGCCTGCGACCTCTTCTGCCAGCGCCCTCCAGGTCGAGCCATGCAGATTCCGAGCGAGGGGAATGCGGTTTCGTCGTCCACATTTGCATTGTACGGCTTTGCCGAGGCGACGACAGCAGGACGTCCACCGACTCCACCCCGTCCCCTGACCGAAGCAGCAGCAGCAGCAGCACCACCACTACTCCCGCCACGGCTACTGACATCACCTCGGCCTCCCCGACCTCCTCCACGCCCTCCAACTGCTCGAGGACGTCTTCCGAGATCGCCTCCGTCGACTCCATTCTGCGCGCGCGCCCCTGTGCTGTTACCGACGATCTCCTGCACCATGACCACTGCCTGGTCGATCGCCTCTTGGGAACCTAGAAGGTACACTGCCTGGGGCCGACCGTCTATGACGACACTGTCCAAGTTGCAATCGCTCTGTAGGCGGCGCACATTCGCCCCCTGACGACCGAGAATGGCGGGTACCGCCTCGCGAGGAACCTCGATTTTATGAGCAACTTTGCCGCTGCGCGCAACCTCGTCTTCCATCCGCTTGATGGCATCGGCCACGACATCGTAGCCTCCTAGACTCCCGCGAACGATGAGGCGCTCCCTGGGAACATCGACGCGGATGCGAATGCCATGCTCCTCCTCCAGAGCACGGTGCGCCTTGTCCGCAAGGAAGCACAAAGCGGCAGCCACCGACAACTCGAGCTCCTCTTCCTTCATTTCATCCAGGATCTGCTGAGCCATCTCGACCGCCTTTTGCACGGCGTCCGGGTGACCCGTGAAAGTCAGGGTAGCCTTCTCCCCATCGAGGAGAGGTGGCTTGCATGTAGCGCCGCTCAGCGTCTCGATTTCGTTCCTCTTTCCACGGTCAAGGATGCGCAACTGCGTTGCCTTGATCTCCAAGACCTCCGTCGCCCGACTCAGCTGATGCATCGCCGCTTCAACGGCCTCGACTGCCAGACGCAACGCCTCGGAAGGAGCAACCAGCAGCACACCCTCATCGCATCGCAGCAACGAGATCAGCTCGTGCGACCTGCATGCACCCCAACAACACACCGAAGCGGCATTCCCTCTAGGCGCTGCTCGCAAAGCTTCCAGCCCTATCTATACGCGGCAAACATCCCCATGGTGGCCATCTCTCCGTTCGCACATATCGCTGTGGATATACGCATATCGCTGTGGATATACACATATCGCTGTGGATATACACACATCGCTGTGGATATACACATATCGCTGTGGATATACACACATCGCTATGGATATACACACATCGCTGCGGATATACACACATCGCTGTGGATATACACACATCGCTGTGGATATACACACATCGCTGTGGATATACACACATCGCTGTGGATATACACACATCGCTATGGATATACACACATCGCAATGACCATCTCGACATACCCAAGACAGAGCGCCCTCCCCTCCAAAGAACGCCCCTCCTTACCTAATATGCGAGAAGTCGACAGCTGTGCCGCGGAGAATTCTAGTGGCCTTGAATCTGTCGCACTCGACAACCTCCACGCCGAATCCGCCAAACACCTCCTCTAGCTCCGCACAGGCCTTCTTGCACTCATCAGCACTGGCTCCCCTGATCGCCACAGTCGTCGTCTTGCTGAGGTCTCCTCGACGCGGCAGACGCACCAAAATGGTCACTCCCATGGCAGTCTCAATATCCTGAACCTTAGAACGTGTTCTTGCACTGCCCTGAATCATGGCCCGTGCCACTTCCGACTTGAACTCGCAGCGGCACTGAGACTGCCCTGCGTCGCTTGCCGAAGGGGAGCGAGACTCCTAAACATGCACATGCACACACATACATACACATACACATACAAACGGCCTGCATTGCGCGTGCACTCAAAATGCAGTAGTTGGTAAGGGCGCACATAGGCGTTGAGACAGAGACAATACACACACATACTGAGACAGAGACAATACACACACATACTGAGACAGAGACAATACACACACATACTGGGACAGAGACAATACACACACATACTGGGACAGAGACAATACACACACATACTGGGACAGAGACAATACACACACATATTGAGACAGAGACAATACACACACATACTGAGACAGAGACAATACACACACATACTGAGACAGAGACAATACACACACACATATTGAGACAGAGACAATACACACAAGCACAAATGGACAAACGCACATAAATCCACGCACACATACAAACGCACTTGCACACATCAGTCCCCACACATACACATTACGGCAGCTCGTAGAGGACAGCAATAGGCTCTGTGAGCACTGAGAGGAACGTCGCACGCGGCGATGTTAGCCTCTCTTGGCAGGCGCGAACGGAAGAAGCAGCACGTCTATTACCTTGATTTGGGGAATAGCCTTTTTGACAGTGGCCTCGTGACCAAGAATAGTAATCCACTTGTCTTCTAGCCAGAGGAGGACGTCGAGCTCTGCCTCGAGCTTCCGGAGGTTGCTTCCAGCGCTGCCAATGAAGGCCCCTATGTTTTGCCCCTCCAGTGAAATGCAGTTGGGCGCGGTGCTGAAGCCTATTGGGACTTGCGGAAAGTTGCATGCATTCAGGAATGCAGCACACTTGTCGCAAGCGTCTTGCACGTACCCAACGATGCTCAGGAGCAGACCCCTGTCACCCAGTCCCTTCTTCTCGACTAGCACACTGAACTTCCGCTCAACCTTGCGCAGCATGGGAGAAGGCTGGCCCTGCGGCGTCAGCAGAATGAAGCTTGCGTCGCTCGGCAGCGCAACGGATGCATTCACGAAGCTGGAAACTCCGTTCGCCTCGGGAAAAGCGGCCCCCACTTCCTGGAGCCGCTTATGCCACGTGGCCTCTCTCTGCTGCGCTCTGCGGTTGTCTGGGGCGTTGGCAGCTTGCTGCACAGCCTTGTGTGCGCTTCTCACGATCTGCTCAAGCGTGGCTTTCAGCTCTGCTGCCTGCTGCTGGAAGGCGCGCAGGTCGCTCTGCTGCTGGGTGAGCGCTAGCTGCTCCCTGAGGTGCGCCAGGTAGCGCAAGGACTCCTCCAGCTGAGCGTCACTGGTCGCATCTGCGGCGCCCCTTACCTCTGCGCCGTGTTTGTTTTGCTGCCCAGCTGCCCGCTGCTGCTCTTTTTGCTGCTTCTGAATGGTTTGCTCGGCCTCCTTGATCTTTTCTTGCATGTGCTGCACCGTAGAACGCTTGTTGATTGGCATCTTGGCCCCCGCGACCTCCTCTTCTTGAACCTCCTGCATCTCCTTCTGCAGCTGCGCAGCCGACTCAGCAATGCGCTTCGCACCTGCCCCATCAGTGACTTTTGCGCAACTGGCCTCGAGCTGAGCCACCTGCTTGGACCACTGCTGCGCGATCTGACTGAGGCGAGACGCATAGGTGCTGCCCCCCGCACCCGCCCGCATTGCGCTGTTCAACTCAGCCTCCTGCTGCCGCTGCTCTTGCTTCCTGATCTTCTTCTTAAGATTCTTCTTGCGGCTCGCGGACATGCCCGTCATGTCAATCTCTCTGCGCTGCGCAACCCCCAGTGGCGGCACAACAGCGTCTGTGTTCTCTGCAGCAGCAGCAGCAGCGCCTCCTGACTGGTCCGCTTGCTCTTTTGCAGCCGAACCGAATGATTTTGGTGTTGCAGCCGTAACGGAGGCCTTCGTGTCGGTCTCCGGAGGCGCAGCGGCGGAGTTCGGGGTGCCCCCTTGGCGAGACGCGCCCTCCCCCCCTTTCCGGGGTCGTCCCTGCTCAGCAACAGCGCCGCCTTTGCCGTCGCTGTTGCGTCCAGCGTCACTGCCCTTCGATACGTTTTCCCCAGATTGTTTTGCTATACCAGCAGCAGCAGCGGCAGCGCTGCCGGCAGCCGCTTCTTCGTCGGTCCTCTTCTTGCGAGCCATTCTGAGATGTCTTGGCCACCCCCGACGTCTACGAACTGTTTGTGGAATACGTAGGGGCTACGAAGAAGATCACAATTCTGGGAATAAACTATTAATTGCGCGTGCAATCCCCAGCCTATCTCCCGGGTACCACTCTGTGAGATGCCGAGCAGTGCGCCACCCGTCTGCTGCCGCAGCCCGTCTGGCCTCTATATCATCATCATGCGCCCCACAAAGCATAGGTTATTGTGCCTCACCAGCGAGTAGAACGCATCTAAATTACGTTTTATCCCCTAAATTTTGATCATAAAGGCAGGCGGAGCCAATTATTCGCACAAAAAACCAGCTACCAGAGCTGCGCACTCTCCGCAGCCCCTGTCCCAGTCGTTCTTGAGGCTTTTCTAGAAGGGGATTGTTCAGGCTCCAATATCCTACTCCGCGTCGATGGAAGCAACTTCAAGCTACTTGTGCAGTTTCGCCGCTACTGGGCCCTAATGTGCCCTTTCATCGCACATAGTGTAAACTCTAGCTGCTGGTCTCGCCTCCCCAGAAAGCTCGACATGGCTTTTCATGCCTGCGGCGATGACCCTCGATATCAGACAACTGGCAGACCATGAAAGGTGCCTCGAGGCATACGAGCCACGCGAGTACGTCATAAGTGTAGAAACGATGTGCCTCGTGGAAAACCACCATACACAGCAGATGCCGCAGTGCATGTGTCGCCGCCCAGAAACTCTTGACACTTCCTAAAACGTTAATAATATTCAACTAATGATTCGGGAGGAACTGGTAAATGCATTTTCTTCAGTGCTTCCTATTAATTGTAGAGCAATGGTGGCTCAACACATCAAGATGCAGTGGTGTGCGCATTTGTGGTAGATGTTACGTGCAAGCCGCTGTGAATGCTCGGAGTGCTTGGAGGGTGCAGCTACGTTGACTCCAGCTCTCCCGCTTCCCTCAAACTGGTAACTTTGAGGGGCACTGGCTAGAAGAGATAGTTTTGGAAGCAAAAACTTTTTCGTCAGCTTGCATTCAGTCTGGCGTTAAATGTCTCCTTACAGAGACCTCCGATGGGGTGCTACAGCTAGAAATACCGCAAGATTCGATGTAGTTGTTTTCCGCTCATTCACTGACTGTAAAGGCACCACGATTGCAGCTTTCTCTACAACTGTTATGGGTTTTCGATAGTTACTTTGTAAGTTAGTGCGCTAAGTCCCCATCAAAACATTCTGGGAAAAGAAATCCTATGGAGATGAAGTAGCGCGTGGTGCGCCGCCTCGTGGGGCGCCACAGGGAAGCTTTCAAGCTGCTGTGAAAGAGCTCCATAAAAAGACTTGTCAGCCGTTATTGTGTTTATGCATGCGTTGAGGCTATGCCAGCCAAGAGCTGTGGCAACTAAAAGAACAGGCAAGAGTCTGAGGACTTGATGAGCCGGCCACTCCCGTAACTCGCGTGGTACCCCATGGATGATAGGAACTTGTGCTCCTTACGGCGTGCTTTTCGCAAAGAGAATCACATCGCTGGCGGCTTAATCATGGCAAAATCGTTTTTCTGCCAGGGACTATATCAGCTCAAGTCTTACACATGTCCTAACTCATCGGCGTATGTTTAGATATGCTCGACGGCAAGTCTTCAAGAGAACTGAGAAAGCAGGAGAATGTGTCAGTAGACTGATGTCCTGATAACCATGAAATTCCGGTCCGTAAAAGCCACGCTGTAGATGGATAGCTGCTTTACCAGTGGTTTGTGTCAGGTGTATTCAAAGTCATACCTCCGCTGGCAGGAGGCTGGGCAAAGTCTAAGCGACGAAACTACAGAACGGTGGGGGCTTCAACATATGATGGACTGTTTGGGGTTTCACGAACTAAAGGAAATAATTCCTGCTTATACGGATGAGGAGGAAGAACCAGCTGGGACCTATGGACATAGGGTTGTGTCAACGCGGTATTGATTACATTCGAAGGGGAACGAGGAAAAATAGGGGATGCATGAAGGCAATGCATGGGGTATATGAGCCTCAGAAAATCCCCAAACAACACGCCTGCATCTGTTTTAGAAGTTTGAGTCATGTATTCACACAGCTACAAGCGCACGCAGCATAGGTAAAAACTTCCCAACTGGGTAAGCTCACTGGAAGCAGACTGCTTGGTGTGCAAAGAAGGTGCATCAAGGTAAAGGGAGGCCCCTCCGCAGGCTGCCGCGCAGTGGAGGAGGGCCAGAGCCAATAGAGCCGCAGTTTGTAGTCCAGAAGGGGTTAATTATGCGCCGATACAAGCTCACATCAATGGAAGAGAATGGGGACTGGCATTAATTGACACTGGATGAAGTGGACCTATGAGCCAAGGACACAACGCAGAAAAGCAAGTTGCCTGTTCACTCGATGGAGCCCCCCTTAAGACTCAGGCCTGATAACGGATTGCAGAACGCAAGGATTGTCAGGGATGCAGCAGTTGAACTCCATAAAAAAAACGGCATTTGATTTGATTACCATGACGAGTGGCTTCTGCACTCGCCCGGTGCACCATGATGGTGTCCGTGGCATGCCACGGATGATCAATTGCAAGTGCACATGTCGACACAGGTGCTCGCTGTAGAGGTCGGCATGCCAGGAAGCTCTAAGAAGAAGCATTTCCTCTCATCCTCAACAGAGCCCATTTTATCTAGGTTGAGTAGTGTAGAGTAGATGACCCCCAAGGTGAGGCAGAGTCATCATGCGGATGGCTCAGCAGTGCAATAAGCAAAGAAGGTTTTAAGCGTGCACCCCGTCTTCTCGGCACTGCAACTGCCATCAGGAACTTCGATTGCAACTTTAGCTGAGAAGTAGCAGGAATGGGCAAGTGTCAAGAGGGATCTCACAGATCAGCCAAGTAACGACGAGCCGCTAGCAGGCTGGCCACCTGCTCGTCGTCCAGTGCCTCGTATTGCGCAAACCCCTGGGTCAGTTCCATGCCGTAGTCCACTGAGCCAGAAGTCCCCACAGAATGGAGGTTCAGCGGTAGACGGATAATTAATCAAGAAGGAAGGTAGCGGTTTGTGCTAACTCTAAAACCCTGAGCAAGATCGCTGTCAGGCAGAAGTCTCAGATACCTGCTATTGGCAAAATGCTTAATCAATTGCACGAATAAACAGGCTAATTAATGCTACACTCAAAGGAGAATTTTCGCAAATCGCCTTCCGCCCATATGACAGGCACGAAACGACGTCCCACATTCGCACTGGCGAACTCGAGTGTACCTGTGGGCCATTTGAGCCCGTTACTGCTACAACTGAACTAAAGTGGGGAGTCGCTCAAGATCTTTATCATCACACCCAGAGAGGCGGTTGGCTGGGTGAACAAAATACATCTTAGTATTCAGCCGAAATGTTCGATAGCGACTACGGAACCTACAGCGTGCGCTTGAGCTGCTTTTTGGCAAGCAGGGAAGGTGAAGGCAATTAAGTGTTCGCTTTTAATCATAATCACTAAATGTCTGGGATTCCTTGTTTTGGCTGCGGGATTCGAACCACAACTGGCAAAAATTGAGCAACCTAAGACGTGGCCTCTACCTTTGCGCACCCATAGGGGCTTTGAGTAGGTCGATGTGCTGTATTACCGAAACTGCTTTTTCTGCATTTGCTCGACCGCTCCTTATTCGATTGATCCAATTAAGGAAACGCAGTTTGGGACTTGGAAAGAAGAGGCTGATGCCGCAGCAAGGACGGGTATCGGCCGCCGTAATGCTCCTCTGGTACTTACACTGGCCGATTATGAGCCTCACTTCTTAGTAGACAGCAAAGTTATTGCTTATCGCTCCCATCACTTCATCAAAACCAAGAATATACAGCGCAGGAGAAGGAATCCTATGCAGTGTGGTGGGCCGTGAAAAAATACGGGCTTTATTTCCACGGGCGTCCTTTTACTGTGCAGGCCCACCATCTGTCATTAAAGTATCTCACTAACAGTCTTCAGGACTTTGCTGATCTCACATGCATTCTTTGGCTTGGATGCACGCTGTCGTGCTTTTGCGACGCCCCGACGAATCAGTGTTGTGCAGCACAGTCGCTATTGTGTGTAATGATTCACGGTTCCTACGATATTGCGCTTAGAGCACGTTAAAACACGCCAATCTGTGCGCAAAAGTTTAAGAGGAAAAAGCACGGACTTTTGAGAAGCCGCGGTCAGGGGTGTGTTTGGAGCCCGAAAAGATGTTTTTGGTGAATCTGCATGCTGTGTACGGGTGCATTAGAAAAAGACTAGGCCAAATTTTTCTGCCAGCTAGTTAGCGCCGCTTGCTGCCCTCTCGAAAATCAATGCTTTGCCCCATCGATCTTCTAAAAGGTAGTGGTGCCACAAAACGATCTTAAATGGCTTCTTAAAGACGTTTCAGCTCTTCTGGAATTGTTCACCGATTTCACCGCGCAGGCAAGTGACCCGAATGGAGGTAAAAAGTTCAGCAGGATGCCGTAGAAAATCTGAATTTCCGGCCTATTGAGCACGAGGGCACGCCGAACTGGAGTAGTTAATGAAGTGTGGTGGGGAACGCTTACTTACGCGTTTGACGGAGCTGCAGCTGCCGGCTCTGTTATTTGCGAAAGGACTTGCTGCTCGGTTTGGCTAACAATAGTACCTTTTGTGGACGGTATTCCTCGTAAACCTTGTCTTTCCCCAGTGCATGTGCTGCATATGAGAGCTACCTTTATGTATGAATATTGCTGGAACAAATCCCAGTCACCATACTCAAACCTACTTGCAGGAACTCTCAAGCATATTGTGTCCACATTCTTTCTTGTGCCTTTTTTGAGGCATAAAATCCGAGTATTGTGCATGAACCGGCTAAAATTGCATGCAGATACTGCTGCATTAGGCGCGGAGGCACTGCTGGACAGCACGTATCTCGAATCCCTTCACACGTATTACTAGTGTTATGTTTTCTAGTAGTACGAGGCTCACTCATTTTAGTGCTTTGACGACAGCGAGCCATCGTGAGGCAGCAGGTGAATCGGTTCGATTTCTTGTTTACCGCTAACTACTGCTCTTGCTTATGCCCTTCTATTTAACCTTGCCTCGTGTCGCAAACTTCGCCCTTGTCATTCTCACTGATTCAGTATTGCTGCCTGCATGGCAGGTGGCGATTGGCGGAAGTATCTGTTTCCTGCACGCAATCGGTGTTGAAGGCAGGAACGGAATACGCGGCTGCATGCTAGAAATAGGGGAAGAGAAGTAGCGTCCTGAGCTACACTACACCACTTCCTAATCTGCTGTATTTCATTGCAATAAGTAAAGTTTTTAACTGCCTTTTTGTTAGTAGATTGTGTTTAGTACCGACTACTGGACCCTCAATACAAGAAGACGCAGTGTTGCGTGCATCTGCGTTAGTTGTTACGTGTAACTAGCTATTTCTGCTCACGCTCCGAGTGTTCTAAGGGTGCACTTAAGCGCCCGCTTGATGTCCCTCTTCCCTCATGTCGGGAACTCTGGCAGGCGCGTCATAAAAAGGAAGCAGCACTTTTGAGAAACATCCAATAACTTTTATTTTGCCTTTTTTGAGTCGAATGATACGCGACTCCCCAGATGGAACGTTACTTCCTACGTCCAAAGCCCAAGCAACGCGTAACAGAAAACAGTCTTTTTGGACGCTTGTTGTGGTCCTTCCCGTTAAGCCAGAACTCTGTAGATTGAAGGTTGCGAGGTGTCTTAATCTCCTTTTTGGGAAAAAGCCGGTGGCTGTACGTGCAGGCCAGGCACCCGCTAAAAAGTTGTTCGTAACAAGTGGAGCAAACCCCGGCTCTACAGAGCGAAAATGGAACAACGGATAAACTAAGCATTGGGTCGTGGACTACGTCTTAAATGGATGCAAAATCGTCTACTGGAACCTGCAGACCTACAGGTTTACCCACCACAAAACAACCGAGAAAATGGTAAATGGACGCCTGCCTCGGTCCCCTTCCTTTCACTCTTTACTCGGCGAAATTATCTGAGAGTGAGAGACAGGAAGCTCACACTGAATTCATTGAACGACCCGATGCCTTTTGCCCCCAACTGTAGCTTCGTAAGTGCCTGATTGGGGTCACTTAAACTCTAGTACTCGCAGTGTATTGGCAGCTTTATGCCAAACGAGGCACTCTGGCCGAGTTGACAGCAACTCCATAGGGGTTCCCATCTGCACTCATGCGAGGAGATTATGTTCTAGTTAGGTAAACTAGGAGACTTTGCAGAAGTGCCTTCTCTGCGCTTAAGCTCGGGCCTGCTTCAAGGCTGCGCGCTGGATTAAGGAAGAGATAAGGAAGGCAGTTCATGGACATTTTGCCCAATAAATTGTGCCAACAGGAGTGAAAGAAGAATATACTTCAATTGCCTTTTTGTGCGCCCCAGGAAGCTCCCCAGACACCGCAACAGTTGGGTGAGAGTGACTATTGACCGATAGGACAGAGGCAGCAGCAGCGTTGTCGCTGGGCGATGGCAAATTGTGCAGCTTCCTTCCAGCAAGCAATCTCCTTCAAGCTATAAAAATGACTGAAAGGATATAGGTGAATGGTTTTTGGTTCATGGAATTGTTCGCGGCAGCTGTATCTTTATGTTGCCTATTGTCGGCAGCTCGGGTCCCCCCTACAGCTCTGGGATTTGCGCTTGCTCGGCCTTGCTTTCTCTTTAATTTAATCCTAGCACATCATTAAATCTCTTGTATGTGCATTCAAGATGATGCTAGACACAGCTGGAGGTGCCGCAGGCGGTGATCAGCTGTCCGCATCAGTCATAGACGACTTCTATGCGAGCGACGCCCCGGACCAACATGTGTTTTCGGGTCCCGTTAGCCCCTCAGCCAGCTTCAACAATGAAGCAGTCACACAGAGCCACCCACCAGACGAGCTGACCCATGCTACTCACCCAGCGGCCTCACCCGCCACTGTCTCCTTGGGTGGTAATACACCTGATTCTGTGGGTCTCGGCGGGAGCCTTGATGGCAACAAGATCCCCGGGGGCGCAAAGTTTGCAGTTTCTCAGGTGCACTAGAATCCTCTGCAGTCTGATCACCCTTGCTCGCCCCTTTCCAGCCGCGAATGCACTGGCTACGTGGAGGAAGTCTTCCACTGCAATTGGATTGACCGAGGCGAATAGAAGCATTATTGCACAGCCATACCTTCCCGCGCTTTGTGTCTCAGCAAGGCTAAGTTCAGCGAAGCTAATTGGAGCCTTTGATCTCGGTCTTTGGGTTGTGTGCGTCGCCATCTGCAGATCCATGGGGTGTACTTGGCGCTGCACCGTTCGGTGCTGAGCCGTTGCGCGCCATGGAGCGAATTTGCCATGACGTCTTCTTTTCAGCGGCCGGGCACAGGAGCCGCGGCAGTTGACAGGATGGAGAGGAACATGCGTTATTTCGCCACCAACTATTTGTGCATCTGCGGCGCCCTTGGTGGGGTTTGTGCCCTCCTAAACCCCTCGGTATTATTCCTTTCTGCTCTTTGCGGGGCTCTATGTGCCTTCGCTTCATTCAAAGGAGAAGTGCAGGTGGGTTGCTCGCGCAAGCATTCTGTCGTGATGCTTTTATAGATGGCGAGGTCTCGCTCTGAGTTGTCAAATTCACAGTGGTGTTTGTCTCGGTCCTAACTCCCGCTAGTGGCCGACTGACAGCTTATTTGTGGTGTCTTTTTTGATGCGGTAGCGCACGAAGTCTCTGTCATTTTCTTTTCCCCCTGCCTTCCCTCCCACCTTGCCTCCTGCTCCTCGTGTTTCTGCACCGCGTCATTGAGCCCCCTCTCATCGCCGACCCCGTTTGCTGTGTTGCTTCTGCCTGCATATGCCGCTGCTCAGATAGGGGATACGACGCTCTCTAAGCGAAGCTTTCAGACCGCGGTTTGCGCCTGCGGCGCCTGCTTGCTATTCCTCTTCGCTGGCAACGCGGTGCTCACGCTGTTATTCGTCTGCTGCCTCATTGTGGCTATACACTCGGCACTTCACAAGGGTGTCTCCTACCAAACCATCGCACAGAAGAACGCTCCCCCGCACGCAGACCTGGGAGTATAAGGGTTGACCTAGACACAACGTTTTGAACTAGACTGCGTTGTGAGGAGGCCGCGAGTTCATCTTTCGCAGTTGGGGGCGTTTTTCCGAAGACACACGAGGGACCAAACTACTTTGTTTTCCATGGGCGAAGAAGCAGGCGTATTCTGCTCTCGCGTAAGCTTTTCCTGAGGAGGCGGCGCCGGTGGCTTTGACCGCAGGACCAGTAGGAGATGGGGTTGTCTGGGAGTACCTCAAGATAAGGGGTGGTTGGGAGCTAGAACTCAGCGATGATATGAAGGGGCCCTATCTAGTCCCGCTGAGCGCACTGTCTCTGGGTGGCCAAAGGATGGGCTGTTCACTGAACCCTTTGACCCCAAGCGAAAACTGGCCTTGTTCGCGTCACCTGCTCTTTCTCTTGTGCCGCAAGCAGCGGTCGCCGATAAAACGTTGCACACCATTAGCACGACAACCCGCCTTTGAATGGTGCAGCGCAAAGTCGAGGCATCCCGTGATGCCTTCTTTAAGAAAAATCGCGGAGAGCATTACGCAGAGGCAGGCGGAAGCACCGGGCTAATACGCCTTAATATCACGTCCCTTAGGGCCTGCGGCCAAAAGGTTTTCGAAATTCCAGACTCCCATCGGATGCAAGTTAGAGTCACACGCTTCACCAAGCTACAAGTTCCCTGCCCCCGCTGCTAGCCCCCGACCAGAAGGGTTGACGACAGAGGTGTGATTGACTGCACGCGTTGAATGCTCCAGTGCATAGCTGTAGATGCTACCACGGCAGCAGGACGCTTCACGGCATGCATTGCTTCAGTAGTACGGGGCGAACCGTGGTATGCCACATAAACTTGGGGAATGAGAACGGTCAGGCCCCGAATGAGAATACCTCATCAAGTACTGGCAAACACGACTTGTTTATTCAGAGTTCTTAAGTGTAGCTTGGTTTACTAGCGGAGAAAGCTCAACGGGTGCCGGTAGAGGGTGAGATACGGCCACGGGTGGGCACACGCATTAAGGCAAAGCGGAAGAAGGGTTGGAGGGAGAAGTTACATTCTGGAGCAGATGACGGCTCAGTACTGGATGCTGCTAGGGGTCCAAGGCCCACATGCAGCTCTGGGAGTTTTCTACAGAGTCGCTCTTTCTCAACCCCGCTTCCCGCCAACACCTGGGTTGCATAGCCATGCACTGTGGCAGCGATGGAAAGACAGCACCAGCTGTCCTCATTACAGCACGTGCTTCTCCACTCGCTCTGCGTGTCGTCTAGTAGACCTATCAGCGGCAGCGGCTGGCTTCTGCTGTCGCTGTCGCCCTCTAGGCAATAGGTGTACCAATGGACTGCAGCCTATACTGCGCAGGCGACATCAGCCCTTCCAGGCCATATTCAGCAGGCCTTACATTTGGTGAAGGATAACGGAGATCCTTGCATATAACCCGCCTTAAGCTCAGTTTGCAGCGCAGGCTGGTGTCTACAGAGGGGCCTGCCGGCTGGAATGCGAGCAGGACGTTCGATCCAGGCTTGCTGCGTGAACAGGCCCAGAATCATTCAAGGGGTGGCATCGCTTTCTAAAACTCGCGCTGCCCATAAAAACCTACACGTGCACACACTCAGAGGGAGAGGAAAGACCTAACAAGAGGAGGAAAGCCTCCTCCAAACAAAGCCGCCAGAGAAAGAACGCGGGGGAAGGGCGCCACACCCCCACCTCGAAAATCCCGGGAACCCCTCTACAGCACGAACATCTCTGGCGCTATGCGGCTAGTATTCTGTTAAATTTTGCATTTCTCGTGGCCGGTGAGACTCTGCAACTGGAACCTACAGAGCTCTTTGGAGGCTGCTGCAACCGATGCCCCTCGAGGTGCTCAGGTGAGGGGCCCCTCCTTCGGCGCATCGAGGCGACCAATTTGAACAGCAACGGCGTCTTTTCGAGCGGCACATTGACAACACCTCATTTTCTGCTACACGCTGCCTGCTGCAGATTTTGAGGATTCAAAGTCCTTAGTATTGCTTTCAGGGGGAGGGGCCCTCGAGCGTGCTCGAGGGCCCCTTACCCTCCCTGTTTGTGGCATTGCCAAGTATTATCGGGATATTGCCATCTCCATTCCCTTAAGCTCCAAGTTTTAGGTTCCTGGTGTCTGCCCCCCTCTGCTGCCTGTGAGGACTTGTAGCTGCCTGCCTAGGCGTGAGGGAGGCAGCTACGCTACCGACCGCTGAAGAATTTCGTCTGCCTAGGGACCCGCGCCTCCCTTTTTTCGTAACTTCCCGCACTGATAGTCCTTAATATCGCGTGCGAGTGGTGATTACTGGAGCCGCTGACGCTTCCAAGACAGGGTGTTCTCTGGATCCAGTGCCTCATGGCCCCTGCGCCTGCGTAGGGAAAGCGGCGCGAAGGCAGAAAGCCCACCCCATTGCTTGACGTCGAGGCCTCTGCTGTACATACAGAGGAGCTTCTGAAGAGACTGACTGCGGCAGGGTTAGAGGTGCCCAGAGCAAGGCTATGACCGCCACAGCGTCCTGCCGCTTTTGCGGCAGTGAAGAACTGGAGAGGAGCGAGCACAAGGGCGAACTTACCTGCTGCAGGTAAGAGGCGGCAGCACGAGCTTACTATACAGCCTTCAAAAGAGCATCCGCAGTACCTGTGTGGGGAGCAGGTGGTCCTGTGGGGTTGCCTTTCTTGCTCGACGGCTGCCTGCACACTTCGAAGTCGTTTTTTCACAGCGCACAAGCTGCTTGTTGCCCCCGCTGTCTATCCATGAGGATGCGCGTCCTCGCCACTCGCGAAGAATCTGAAAGCGGAGAAAAAGAGACCTCCTGGCCTTTTAAGGCCTCCGGTACTGCTGCTGCCTGACACTGATGCTGCTGCCTGACACTGATGCTGCTGCGGATGTGGCTTCTTCCTGATGTCTGTGCGCAGATGCGGCGCTGTTTTGGAGGAGAGCGGCGTTGTAGAAGGTCTCCAATTCGCGGAGTCTTCGGGAGGTGGCATGGCCATGGCAAGCCTCCTCCCGTTGCTGCTCAACGGGCTTGCTGCCCGCATCCCTTGTAGTGTTGCTCAGAAGGGCGCACAAATAGCGCTCTTTGCCTATCTTTCTTTCTTTCTTAACTTCTTAACTTCTCTCTTTCTCTCTCTCTAAATATATATGTATATATATGTCTCTATTTCTCTCTCTATGTATGTATGTACATATGTATAGCTCTATTAATCTCTCTATTTCTCTCTCTCTGAGCGGCTAAGCCTCTGGAGTCTTCACGGAGCCACTCGCCTCATAGCAGTGCCTTAGCGTCGCTGTGTATCGTCTGCGTGGGACGTCTGTATCATGCATAGCCACCCTCACACCGTCTCCTCGCAAAAAGGCGCACCCTACTTTCTGAGATGGACGCTATTATTATCGCGGCATCTTGCTTCCATAATCTGTTGCCATGCGTGGTGCCTGCGGCTCTTGAGGTGTGGCTAATCTCCGTGGTTATTGTTTGCTGTCTGCGCCCTCAGGTAGGGCGTTTTGTTCCAGCAGGTGGCACTGGAAGGGGTCTTGGATTTGGTGGAGGGGAAACGCGGGAGCAGGCACTTCAAAGAGGACTCTCCAACATCCAGTCTGTTGCAGGTATGTGCGGCTTTACCGCTACTGCTACTACTGCGCTCCTGCTCACCTGCTCCTGCTCCTTCTACTCCTACTGCGCTCCTGCTGCTACTGCTGCTACTATATATGGTGCTGCTACTACTGCTACTACTGCGTTCCTCCTCCTACTAATGCTCCTGCTACTACTGTGCTCCTGCTCCTGCTACTGCTACTACTACTACTGCGCTCCTACTGCTGCTAATTCTACTGCTACTACTGCTACTGCGCTCCTGCTGCTGCTGCTGCTACTACTGCTACTACTGTCACTGCTACTACTGCTACTGCTACTACTGCTACTACTACTACTGCGTTCCTCCTGCTACTGCTACTACTGCTACTGCTACTACTGCTACTACTGCTACTGCTACTACTGCTACTGCGCTCCTGCTGCTGCTGCTGCTACTACTGCTCCTGCTACTACTGCGCTCCTGCTGCTACTGCTGCTACTGCTCCTGCTGCTACTGCTCCTGCTGCTCCTGCTGCTACTGCTGCTGCCGCTACTACTGCGCTACTGCTACTGCGGAATCAAAGCGAGGTCCTCTTCACTTCCGTAGAGCGGCAGCTGGGTAGGGCGTCTTTGTCCTTGTGGTGGCGCTGCGGTTGCTGTCTCTGCGATTGCTTCCACCTGAGCCTTTTGAGTTCCTCGATGAGGGGTCACGGGAGATGTTGCGCGCAGCAGCGGCAGCAGGTGTAGCCTGTTGGTGCTGTCTCGCTGGGGTGTCCGTCCGTCCTCTTTCGCCCTTCCGTGAATCTCCCGAGCTGCGTTTGGTTGCGCGATCCCTAGCGACTCTTGCAAGGGGGGAAGCTAAGCATGCAGGTTCTTTTGTTCGACTTTCATGGCCTGTTTTGTGCCGCTGCCGCTGCTTGCTGCAGACCGACTGCGGCTCTCCCCCCAGCACGTAGCCTCCGCTCACCGGTTGTATCTCATGGCCTCTCAGCGCAACTTCAGTGTGGGGAGGCGGGGATCCGTGGTGGCTGGAGCCTGCCTCTATGCAATCTGCAGGAGAGAGAGGACTCCGCACCTCCTCATCGACTTTTCGGATGTTCTTCGGTAAGAGGAGGCCTTTGAGGCAGGCCCTAGACGAAGAGTTTTAGAAGCAGTGATTCCTTTTTACAGCGAGCGGTGATAGGAGGAGAGGGTTCTTCGAGCAGCGACGCCCCTCTCCCCCTCCTTCCCCCGCAGAGTGTGCCACGACGCCGTGGGATAGTCAGTAGCCTTGGGCTGGTGATATCCAGCTGCTGCTTTGGATGCTGGTTAAAGGTGGCTTGTGCTCGTGCACGAGGGTGTGGGTGCCTCTGCTGCGTGAGTTCCTGCTGTGCTGCAGCGTCAGCGTTCGCTCTCTAGGCCAGGTGAAGACACACTCCCTCCACAGCGGCTAAAACCTGCAGTCGCATTTTCCCCGCAATTGCATGATCACAGGCCTCTGTACACGTTTTGCTGCACAAGACTGCGCTGCCATCCCGTGCCTGCTCCTGCTTTTGCTGCTCCCAAACCACTACACGGTGGCCAGCAGTGCGTAAAGGGCGCGCGCGTGGTATCGCCGAGGCGTAGATCGTTTGTGGCTTACCTTCATCTTTCTCTCTCTGTCACTTTCCTCCTCTCTCTCTGTCTCTTTCTTCCTCTCTCTCTTCCTCTCTCTGTCTCTTTCTTCCTCTCTCTTTTGCTGTCTCTTTCTTCCTCTCTCTCTGTCTCTCTCTCTGTCTCTCTCTCTGTCTCTTTCTTCCTCGCTCTCTCTCTCTCTTTCTTCCTCTCTCTTTCTCTCTCTCTGTCACTTTCCTCCTCTCTCTCTCTCTTTCTTCCTCGCTCTCTCTCTCTCTTTCTTCCTCTTTCTTCCTCTCTCTGTCACTTTCCTCCTCTCTCTCTGTCTCTTTCTTCCTCTCTCTCTCTCTTTCTTACTCTCTCTCTTTCTCTCTCTGTCGCTTTCTTTCTCTCTCTCTTCCTCTATCTGTCTCTCTCTCTTTGTCTCCTTCTTTCTCTCTCTCTGTCTCTGCAATGTCTTGTCTCTCTCTCTCTCTCTTTCGCGCGCTCGCTCGCTTGCGGAGAGGCTTTTGAAGGCTCTGCCAGGGCATGTTGGCTTCCATCTTTCCGCTAGGATTGCGAATAATGTCGGCGAAGTGAAGTGTTTGAAATGCTGCGATCTCAGCAACTCCGTGCACGATTTCATGCGGTGTGCCATTGGGTATGTGTGTGTATGTGTGTGTGTCTTGATCAGGTATTCATGAAGCTGTTGCGGGTGCTTCACGTCCAGGTACCCCATGTAGATCCGTCTCTTTTCCTTGACCGCTTTGCTGCACAGCTGCAACTGGGGGAAAAGACGCAACAGATCGCACAAACTGCCGTCCGTCTGGTGCAAGTAAGCAGCATGCGCGCTCAGCTGCTTTGTCCGCTTCCCGTTCTCCCGCGAGATGCCTGATGCTGATGGCTTTTCTTCTAGAGCGCCTGCCAGACGCGAAGAGAGCAGCTCCACACATTTCTTCACTACGGCTTTCTGGCCACCGTCTGCATGTTTTGCATGCGCTCTGCTGTGTTTCTGCATGTGCTTCAGGCTATGAGGAGAGATTGGATTACCACAGGACGAAGACCAATGGGACTCTGCGGCGCGGCTCTCCTAATTGCGGCACGGTATCATGACGTACAAATCGATGCTGAAGAAGTTGCTACCGTAAGAAGCGAATGACACAGCAATCAAATTCTCCTCCCACACCGTGTCGTCTTCTTCGCGCGCTGGCTCGATTTCTCCCTCTTTCCAATTCCTCTCTCTCTTCCAGTCTCTTTCTCTGTCACTTCCTCTGTCTCTCTCTGTGTCTCTTTCCTCTTTCTCTTTCTTTCTCTCTCTGTCTCTTTCTCTTTCTGTCTCTCTATCTTTCTATCTCTTTCCAATTTCTGTCTCTTTCTCTTTCTGTGTCTTTCTCTGTCTCTTTCCCTCTCCTTTTTCTGTCTCTTTCTTCCTTTCTCTCTGTCTCTTTCTCGTTTTCTCTCTCTCTCTCTTTCTCTCTGTCTCTGTCTCTCTCTCTGTTTGGCGAGTTGCCCTCCTTTGCCAGACCCCCCGGCCTCCCCTCCTCCTTTTGGCAGATTTTCGCATATGTGCGCAATGCAACTAGCACTTCCGGCTCTCTCCTTTGGTGCGTGCCGCCTCTAGTTCAGTGTATTTCTTTTTGTACGCCTGCATTCGGAGGCGCTTGTCCTTTGTTGCCCACCGTCGCTTCCTTCTGCACATCTGCTGCTCGCGCTTTCGATATTTCTTCTCCACTGTGCTGCTCTGCGTGCAGGCGGTCCGTGTGTCTTGCCCAACCCTCTCAAAGCGGCTGTACGAGTTCAAGAAAACGGCAGTTGCACAGCTGCCAGCCTCAGCCCTGGGGGAGACAGACCTGCTGCAGCTTCCCGCCTTGCCTCTTCCACCGTGCCGCCTCGCTAAAAAGCGGCACCAGCAGCAGCAGTCACCGACTCAGCAGCAGTCGCAGCAGCAGGCAATTCGAGACAGTAAGCGATGTCGCTTCCTGAAGGCGGAAGGGCGAGAACATCGGTTCTGGGAAGGACCGTGGCATGACGCGCAAGCGTCATGTTTTTGGCTGTAGTTGCATACTCTGCGAGCACCCTTCGCAGGACGGGCAGAAAAATTCTTCATGGCTAGTGCATGCGGACTGAGGGTTGTTTTTAATTGTCGGAGTCTAAAGTTTGGGGTTCGATGTGTCTTGCAGAAAGAGAAGCCCCTTTGCCCTTGGGAGATGGACCTGCAACAGGTACTCCAAGGGATTCTCTTCCTGTCACTCATCCCTACCTGTATTTCTGTCTGTGCATTTTTTCTTAAGCGACAACCTGTGTATAGAGAAAGATGTACCTATGTGTGTAGAGAGATGTACCTATGTGTGTAGAGAGATGTATCTATGTGTATAGAGATGAGCTTATGTATATAGAGATGGGCCTATGTGTAGAGAGAGATGAACCTATGTGTAGAGAGAGATGAACCTATGTGTATATAGAGATGAACCTATGTGTATATAGAGATGGACCTATGTGTATAGAGATAGAGATATGGTCCAATGTGTATAGAGATGAACTTATGTATATAGAGATGAACTTATGTATATAGAGACAGGCCTATGTGTATAGAGAGATGAACCTATGTGTGCGCTCCCTTCAACACAGCCGGGCCTCGTTTTATACTTGTTTCCTTACCCTTGGAATGAGCTCTTCTTTACCATATTCCATCGCTTTGCCTGTGGCATTTCCCCTGTGCTTTCTTCTGCTTTTCGCGTCTGCGGGGATCTTAAGGCTTTGCTAGTCTGCCTCGCCCCTCTATCCCCAGTTTCCTGCTTCCCTGCGTCTTGCCGTGTGTTAACGCAGCCGATGCAGCATCTCCTGTGGAAAAGGCTGCATCCGAGCTTCCTGCGACTGCTGGGGACCCGCGGCCTTCTCCAGAAGCTCCTTCTGCTGCTGATCAAACAAGCGGGGGGGGAGGATATGACTCCCACACAGGAATAATTCCGCTGGCGTCGCAGCGCGTGGAAGGCAGTGAGGCCCTTTGCAAAGAGGTACGCTGCTCTGTCTACCATCTTTCCACCATTGCATCTGTATTTCTGTCTGTGTGTGCGTCTGTCCATCTATGTGTCGGTCTGTCTGTCTGTGTATGTGTGTGTGTGTGTGTGTCTGTCTGTCTGTCTGTCTCTCTCTTTCTCTCTATGTACTGTTTCTACGTGCGTGTACGGGGCTTTTTCTATCGTAGAGAGCCGCCGTGTGCCGTGTCAGGGCCTTTGCGTTCTGTCTCCACGGCCAAAAGAATATCCTTTGGGCTGCTCGTGGCTGTGTGCATGCACAGTGCGAGTCTCCCGCGAGAAGGACGCACTCGATGTTTGCTGGCTCGTCGCTTCCTGCCTGGTCCTTACGCTCGCCGCATGCAAGGCCTTTTTTTCGTGTGTCTCGTACGGAGACTTTGCGTCTCACGACCTCGAGCCTGCACACTTACGTGCCTTTGCTGCCGCAGCTTCCGTCTTCTGGAGACATCCTCTCTGTGGCTGGCTGGATGGTCGAAGTCATCAGCGCTCCTTCTGGAGCTGCAGCAGCAGCATCAGGAGGCGATACAGCTGTAGCTGCTGCCGCAGTAGCAGACGCAGAGGAAGACGATGGCAGGTGCAGGGCAGGCAGTGGTGGAAGCTTTGCGGGGGTGGCCGCAGAGACAGCGGAATGCGAATACGCTGAGAGGGGAGATCGCGAGGAGGAGGAGACCATCAGGGCAGCAGATAGCGTGAACCCTCTTGCGGATCTCTTGAGATCAGTGCGGGTATGAGCTTCTCGAAGGTGCTGCTGCTGCTGCTTTATGGCTGCCTCGTGCAATCCCCGTCTTGCTGCTGTCGCTGAAGCATGCGTGCGCGGAAAAGTTTCTGGGAAGGGGGAGGGGAAAAACCGCTGGAGGACTATGCACCTAAGCAGATCACTGGGCTCGTTGTACTGCTGTTCAGTTTGCTGAAACGTTTTACAGAAGCGATAGTAGCAGCTCCCGGAGAGAGAGTTGTCTTTGTGCGCCTCTTGAGATGATGCCGCTGCAGGCGAGGGTCGACGAATTGCTGCCAACCTCGGAGGTGTCGCGTATCACTGCAGACGGTGGTAGTCGACACACAGTGCCCGTGCTCCTCTCTGCAGCAGCGTCAACAGCAGAGGCAGCTCCCACAGCGAAGGAGACAGCAGCAAGCGCCGCATCAGCCTCCAACGCAGAGAGAAGAGGGGCTGCTGTCGAGGACGAGGACGCAGGTGATTCAGATGACGGCCTTGACGATATGCTGCTCACAGAGCAAGAGCGAGAGGCAAAGGCCCTTATCTGGTGCGGAGATTCTTTTGCGGCACGAGCGGCTGCGGTTGCTCTTTGCATTTCTCACAGTTTCCTCTCTTTCTTTCTCTTTCGCTCCGTCTATTCTACACTCTTGTCTGTGCCGCCCTCCGTACCGTAAAAGTCTCTGGATTTGACATCCCTCCACTTCCTTGCCCCCTAACCTAAAGATGCTCCTCATGGGGTTTGCGGTTGCAGAGGTGGCGGGTGCTTTCCCTTCGCCGATGACACGGAGGATGCATGCTTCTCCATCGCGCTCGCTCTGTGTATGTGTATGGTGTTGTATGTGTGTATTTGTTATGTTATATATATACATAATACATACATATAGATATATATATGTGTGTGTGTATGTGTATGTGTATTTGTTGTATGTGTATGTAGTGTTATATATATATATATGTCTACATATATATATATATATATGTATGTTGTGTGTGTCGGCTGGCGCTAGGGACGACTTAACACGCGACATTATGCCCGAGGTGCATCGGCGTCTTCGGCAACGGAAGCAGAAGGAGCGAGAACAGCAACACAACCCCAGCAAGAGGTGTGTATGCGCTGCTCTTCTTGTGCGTACGTTGTGTTGCCTCGCCCTGTGTGCCTCTCTGCATGGCGTTTTGGGCCACATGTGCTAAAGTTGCCGGAGGACTTTTTTTATGAGTCGTGAAGGCTCGGTCCTTGTCGCTCTCGTGTCAGTTCGAAGGATCGCATGCCTCTTTCATGAACTCGCAACACACCGCTCTTCAGCGCCTTTCCTCTCTGCTTAGTCATGGCTTGCCAACGCACGAATTTTCTGCTGCGTCTCCGCAGGCGCCGTCCACAGGCTCGACGAACAGCAGCCCTTGCAGCTGCCGCCAGTGTATGTACACTTCGACGAACACAACGCATGCAACTAGAGCCCTTTTTTTCTGGAGGCCACAGGGAGCACCACGAAGCATCCACCTACCCATAACAGCACGCCTAAATGCCCCCTACAGTTGTGTCTGTTTGCTTGCCCTCCTGACACCTTCTTAAGAAGCAACGTGCGTGTGGGGATGCTGCGCGTGCATGAGGGCCGCTCTGCTGCAGGCAGCGGAGTCGGTTCGACTTTCGCTGGAGAAGAGAGGAAAGGGCCTTGCTCAACGCATCGATGAGGAGGCCCTTGAGGCACTTTTTGCTGCCAGAAGGGTTGTCGAGCTATAGGACTGTCGCCACACTACCAAGCATTTAACATGGACGGTAACCCCATGTAGTTTGCGTTCTCACGAAAGTCGGTGGATGCTCGGGGGTGTCTCTTACGGAGGCCACTGTGTTGCCTTTCGCAACTTTGGCGATTTGCGTTTCACTGGCAGTTACTGCTGCGCCTCCCAAGGCTCCCCAACCAAACTGGCAGTTCCAACACGTGTTAACCCTACCCGCGCAATCTACAGGGGCCTCTAAATGCACACTGAGTGCTGCTTTTGCTGCCGCTCTACAGAGCTTTGTGGGGGCGCCACTATTGCTATTGCTGCTGCTGCTGCTACTTGAGGGCTAGCGGATATACACTCGCACTACAACTGCAGAGGAGGACAGACAGGCTTGTAGGCCCTACTGTTCTATCTGAAACAGTTCATGAATTTAAATCGCTTCAGTTGTAGAGGGCTCGTCCGCTGCGGCGGCAACGACAGCACCAGCCGTGTCCATAAGCCGCTCGTACGCCTCCGCAAGCGCAGCAACATCGGCAGCCTGCAGCAAGTGCCGAGGTGTAGCGACAGATGAGAGAGCAGCGAGGGACCTCCGCGATGCGCGAGACAAAAAAGCTGCCTCTTCTCGCGAGTGCTGCTGTTCCTGTGCCTGCTCCTCTTGCTGACCTTCTAGCTGTTGCTGTCGCAGCGACTGATGATGCAGCAAAAGCTGCTGCCGAATGTGGCGTGCTGCGTTTGCAAGAGGGGGGAATGCAGCAGCGGGGAGAGAACTCGGCAGGGGTTCAGGCCCGGCTACAAGTGCTGTTGCGGCTTCCTGAAGTGTGTTGAGGTGTCGATACAACGAAAACGGCAGCGCGTCGAGTTCTTTTACGGCTGGCGACGCAGCAGCCGCCTCCGAGCATATCCGCTTCTCCTGCATGCAGTGCAGCAGTACCGGTAGTAGGTGTGACAGTGCAACAAAGAGCCTCACGAAGTCTTTAAGGACCAACGACGTGATGTGCTGCGGCGGCAGCTGCTGCAGCAGCTCCACGCTCAGAGGCCCTATAATCACTGCCGCTGACATTACGTGCTGCTGTTGTTTATTTACCGCGCGTTGGAGCTGAGCTAGGGCGCCGAGGCAGCGGACGAAATGTCTGGCGGGAGTGCCGTTGAGGCTTGTACGGTTAAGGCTGTTGAGGCTGCTGCTTGGCTGTAGCTTGAGGAGCAGAACCTGCGCTGCAAGCAGCAACAGCTGCAGCACCGTCTGCGGCTGCGTCTGCAGCTGGTGCACCCCACGATCTGCCTTTCCCGCTGTGCTTGAAGGCCTTGTTTCTTCCGCTGTAAGGAACGCCTGATGCGGGAGAAATCGCTCACCCTCTGGTCCTGTAGCCTGCTGTCGCTGCTGCATGCGCACAAGGGCTGAGGTTAGCTTCAGCAGCTCGGGCAGCGGCATCGCCAGGAGATTTCCTTGGATTTTTCGAGTGTCGCCAGTCCTCTGCAACAGCTGCAGCTGCTGCTGCAGCACTGGAACGGCTGGGAGCTGCCGCCGCAGGTGCTGCTCGCGCTGCAACTGTTGCAGCAGCATGACGGAAAGCCAGCAGCGCTTCAGGACACGTCTTCCGTGCCGAGTGAGGGAGGTGGCATCAGCAGCAGCAGTAGCAGCAGCAGCAGTAGCAGCAGCAGCAGAGCTCCTCCGTACGGCTGCAGACAGGACCGCTGAAGCCTCTGGTGAAGAAGCGCTCTCTGCCGATTTTGCTGCGGTTGTCTCGGGAGCTTCTGGTAGGGGAGTTGGGTCTGCTGCTGCTCCCGCAACTTTTAGTGTGATCGTTGGTGGCTTTAATTCTGCAATATGAGCCGCCAGCCTCGAAAGCTCTTCGCTAGCTGCTACCTGAGTTGCTGCTCTAGCCACCTCCGCAGTCTCTCCTCCCGAGGGGGAGGGTGTTACTCCGCCTGCCACGGGGGCCGCTGTCACCTCGCTGCAAATGCGTGCTGCTGCAGCAGAGAGCGCTGCTAGCCGTCCGACTCTTTGCACATCTCGGGGATCTGTTGCTGCTGCAGCTCCGTTTCGCAGCTGCGTCTGCTGCTTCATTTGGCGGTGTGCTGCCTGCAGCAAGAGCCGCAGGCTCTTCGGCTGAAAGACTTCGAAAATCCACGCAGTTTCGCCGCCTTTCTCAGGAAGGCAAGGATTGCTGCTGCTGGCGCTGCGCGCATGCACCAACAGCTGCTGTTGGCCAGTGCTGACGAAGAGGTGCAGCAGGCTCTCTACGTCTCCTAAGGAGGCATGCGGAGCTGCGTCGAGAAGAAGCTGTTGTAGGAGCAAGCACAGGGATCTGGAAATCAAATTTCCGCCAGCGCTGCCATTCGGTTCACCTGCCGCTGCTGCTGCTGTCACTGCTGCGGAGGCAATAGCTGCCGCTTTGAGCCCCTCCAAGTCTTGCTTCTGCTCGAGTCCAAAGAAGGTGCTGCGGTGTACTGCCAGCTCCTGCTCGAGCTGCAGAAGCCGCCCGCGCCGTCGCGTGAGGGGTCCGCCGCTGTATTGCTTCCGCTGCTGCAGTTGTTGCTCTGCATCTGCCAAGTCGCTTAGGAGGGCCAGCAACAGAGGGAAACGTGGCGCTGCAGAAAAGCCAGCATTCAGAGACTGATGGTGTTGCCGCTTCAGTGTTCCCCGCAAAATGGCATTCGCGTATTTGCAAGTTGCGCCTCTAATGGCTGGCGGCAGACAGGAGGGAAGAGCATCAGCTGCAGCAGCTACTGCTGCCTCCGCTGGCGATGTGCTGCGAGCTGCACTTGCCCTCCTTGTCGCCGCAGATGGAGTTTCTCCACTCTGTGCAGCTGCACGAAGAGTGCGAGAAAAACGACCACAGGGCTGCAGTGGCGGCCATGACGCGCGCGCACAGCGTCCCTGCTGTTGCTGTTGCTGTTGCTGTTGCTGGACGGAACCAGGGCGGTGTCTCTGCAGCAACAAAACGCCGATTGAGCGGATAAGCTGCTGCCCCTTTCGCCCTTCTAAGTTAATACGTATGGCACCTCGTTCGCGCTGTCTGTGTTGCTGCCTTGGGAGGCAGCTTTCTGTGTGGCACTCCAAAAATATATCGGGAGGGCTTTCTGGAGAGGCCGATGCAGCGGCTTCTGCCGCTCCACCAGCCTTGGCTGGTGGTGCTGGTGATGATGCTGCGACTGCTGCTGGTGGGAGTGCTGCTCTCCGGGGGACCCCCGTTGTGACTGTTCGAGCTACCGCAGGGATCGCAGCGGCCGCAGTAGTAACAGCGACAGTCGCAAATTTCCCTTCAGCCAGTCGCCACATGCTCTGGGGACGGTGCAGCTGTGCGGCTGTGGTTGCTGCTGTGGTGCTCTTGCCTCGGGGGAGGGGGGCGGTCCCGCCTCCTCGAAGGCAGAAGGCGAAGCCTCGGCCCGTTGAAGAGCCTTTGTTTAAGAAAGCATGCCGTTGCATGAACCCTTAAGTCCCCTTTAATGCTTGCCTTCGAGTGCTGCGATGCCTCGCAGACGAGGCGACTTGCATGACCAGAATCGGCGACTGCTGTATCCAGAGGCACCGGGTGTACGTACACTGGTTCTAAAGCCCATAGTGCACTCCTTCAACTTGAAAGGCCATCATTATGTCTGCTTTCCTGTGAGTTTAAGGCGTACAGAGAGGGAAGAGCGTGTATTTCAAGGTCCGTGACACTTTTTGAAATCGATGCGCATGCAAGCAGGGCCTGGCACCCCGCCTGAGCGGTGTAGGTACACTCATTACCGCACACTGGTATGCGAAGACCTATGCCATGAGCAGAAAGCTCTCTCTGCATTTCTAGGCGCAATTCGTGCGTTGTGGCACTAGGCACTTCTGTCTATTCGAAGGCTTAAGGTTCAAGGGGTTTGTCCACCAGGGGCCCCCTAGGGCCCCTGGCCTTGCCCCCGCCTTCTTTCCCTCCGCATTCCCCCCAGCCTTCCTCCTCGCGGAATGATGATTGCGGTCAGACAGATGCAGCTGGGAGCGCAGCATGGTCTTGCACGGTGTTTCAACGGCCGCTCTGCAGCGGCAGCAAGGCCTGCAGCAGTCATTCCTGCAGCACCAGCACCAGCAGTGATGCTTGCTGCAGCCAGAAGAGCAACGAGGGGGGACTTTTTTTGGCATCGGGGTGCTTCAGGTGAGGTAGATGCGTCTTCCGAGGGGGTCCTATACAGTTGAGAAGAATCCTTAGGCGATAATCGAAGCCCCTAGCAATATACGACTGGTGCGTTGCGTCTGCCGTTTTGCCGCTATTATTTTCCAGGACGTGTATCAGCGGAAACAGCAGCAGCGGCGACTGCCTGCGTCGGTCTTTTCTCTGAACACAACGGCAGCACCCGCACGCGTAATTGGCTGCTGCTTCCTCTGCGGCGGCAAGCGCAGCAGCAACAGCACCAGCAGCAGCAACAGCAGCAGCAATGCAGGCACAACAGTACCAGAAGGGCCGCTGCGACGGTTTTTTCTAATTTTGCCGCTGCAAACGAAGAAGCCGAAGATTCGCGCACCCTAACCATGTTCTGTGTATGCAGCCCGGGGGTCGAGTCGCTGCTAGCTCGGGAGTTGCAGCTATTACTGTTATCTCCGCAGTCGCACTTGGCCGCTGCTTCTGAAGCTGCAGCAAGGGGCGACTCTGCAGCAGCAACTGCAGCGGCAGCTGCAGCGGATGCCGCAGCGGCAGCCTCCTCCGTGCTCTCCGTGGATGTACAAGAGGGCGGCATAGCAGTCAGGGGTCCCCCTGAGCTCCTGTGGAATATTGCTCTCCGGAGGTGCGTATGAGGACGGCTGCTGCGTTTCTGCTGGCTGCGGCAACACAGCAGCTGCAGCAGCTCCAGCAGCAGCTGCTGCTGTTGCTTTGTTGCAGCACACAGAGCGTGCGGCAACGCACAAACCTTTCGCAGAAGGTGCTTCATGGGTAGCGGCATCTGACACAGCTCCTTGACGTTCTTCTTGTTCTTCATGGATGCTGTGCCGCAGTCGAATTGCCGAAGAAGTTCGAGTTGCCGTTGGGCATCCCTTTCCTGCCCGGTAGGTGTCCATGATGCTGCTGCTGCTTCTGCTGCTGCTGCTTCTGCTGCTGCTTCTGCTGCTGCTGCTTCTGCTGCTGCTGCTTCTGCTGCTGCTGCGCTTGGTGCGGTCTTTCCTCTTGAGGGTGTGGGGGTCTGTTGAGGCTGCATCGTGTGCTGCTCTTGCGCAGCCTTTCGCTTACCCACGAAGCTGCTGTTGGTCTCTGCTGCTCCTGTTGTGCTGCTGCTTAGGGGAGAGAAAGAACTTATGAGAGGCGCGGCATCCCTGCCCTGGTACGGCCTTTGAATGCGGGAGATATATCCATCACCGGAGTTGCGCTGCCTTTATTGCTGCACAGATGCAGAGGCGACTGTCTGCAAGGCTAGGTTGCTGCTCGAACAGTGCTTGCTGCTGCTGCCTCTAGGGAAAAGTATGTGGCCTTCTCCGCGGCCTTTGAAGAGCCGATCATCGCAGTAGGCAGCACCTGCTGATGCACACGCAGTCACGAGCACTCCTGTCGTTTGTATTTTTCTCCGGAAAATAGATAGAAGCACGGACGGGGGAGCTGAGACAGGCGTTCCAGAAGAAGTAGAAGCAGCAGTTGTATTAACCAGTGCTGTTGCAGTGCGGGCTGTGATGGCAACTACTGCTTTTTCTCCATCTGGTGCTCCTGCTCTTACTGCTGCCACCGTTTATCAGGCTTCCTCTAACGCGTCTCGGCTGTATAGCCGCTCCCTGGTCTCCTCCGCGGTCCTGGACGGCTTGAAGGAGAGAAGAAGGCGCTTGCTGCAGCATGCAGAGCTGCCCGATGCACTTCCCAGCTCCATGCAAAAGAGAGGAGGTAGCTTGCTGCTCTTGCTGCTGCTGTTGTGCATACCGTGATGCTGATGTACCTCACGTGCTCCTCCGTTGCGCCCACGCGCTGGCAGCGGTGGTCTTGCCAAAACGGCCGCGTGTCGAGAATTTTCGTGGCCAGTGCAAACAGCACTTTATTGCTGCCCCTTGTTGCTGCGGCAGTGCCGAAATTCCTCTCTGCATCCCCATTCAGACATGCCCGTTGGACAGACTTCTCCGAGCACTCTCGAGCAAGGCTTCTTACGGCTCCCTTCTGCCTTTTTTCTCGGCCTGTCTATGCGCCTCTGAGACGCTATCCTTCGCGTCGCCTATGTCTTCATGGTCCGCTGTGTGTGCTGATTTGTCAGTGGCTGTCGAGAGTCCTTAGCCTCGCACCCTCCCCTTCCATCTCTTGCAGTTTGTCTCTTTTTCTGCGATGTTGCTTAGCCACCACCGCTAAACTTTTGTTGCAATCCTTCCGCTGGGCACAAGAGGCGAGGCGGCCTCTGTCACCGTTGTTCGGGTTATCCCCTGTATTTTCGGTAGGCTGTGTGTGCGCCTCTCAAAGATGGTCTCGCTCTTATCTGCGCTTGTTTACGGCCTCCGTGCATCGCAGCTGGTTCAGGCGCGTCAAAAATTCACGTTCTTCTCCGACACAACATCTGCTATGTCCGCCTTGCACTGCTACGGCTAATTGCGCTCCTACGGCTAATTGCGCTCCTACGGCTAATTGCGCTGCTACGGCTAATTGCGTTACTACGGCTAATTGCGCTGCTACGGCTAATTGCGCTGCTACGGCTAAGCTTCTCGCGCTGCTACGGCTGATTGCTGCTTTTTCAACGCGTACTGCTGTCCAGTTGAGGCAGCCCCCTCCTTGCAGATGGCCTTGCTGCCGCAGCAGCCTCTGCATCGCTTGTGCCTGCTTGCCTCCGGCTATTCCAAACTGCTGCAACTTATGCGGGTGCTGCTGCAGGTAAGTGTGGCTGCTTCGGGGCCACTAACGCCGCGCCTGTGGCGCGTCCGGCAGGGCACTGCCCCCCTTAGGGAGACTTTGGCAGCAGCAGCCGTCTTTCTTTCGCCAATACTGAACCGACTTAGCCTGCAAGATAGGTCAGTGCAGGCGAGCGGATGGCGAGCTGCTGGCTCTTGTTTCCGTCGTGCCGTTCCAGTCTGCCCTTCTTCCCCTATGCCACGCGTGCCTGTCGTACCTCTGTCTCTTCGCCATTCTCCTGTCAAAGCGCATGCATGGCCTGTGCGGTTGCGATTGCCCGGGGATCCGTGCCGCTCTAGGTGGCCTCGCGTAAATCTGTACTTGCACCCATGAGCCTATCAGTCCGCTTTTTCCGTCCCTCCGAACTGCTCTACTTCTCACGGTTTTTCTGCGCTGCCGTTTCCCCTCCTTGAAGCGCTGCCTTCTTTGAGCGGCTGATGCAATAGTAGCCGTTCCAATGCAACTCGATGCCTCCGGATTGAGCGACAGAGGGACGGGGGGGAAAGCGGGGAAAATGTTTGGGTGTGGCACCGGCTGTGCATATGCATGTAATGTAGAGACATTGGGGAGCATCAGGGCTGGGCCTGGCAGCGATACGTTCTCTTTTGACTTGACGCGCTCATCGTAGAGACCAGACAAGGCAGCCCCTCCACATCTGCTGCTTGTGTCAAACTGTCCTTCTTGTCAGCCTCACTGTCCTCGATCCGATGTGTGGGAGTGGCGCCCTCTTGCTGGAGCTCATGGGCATCGCTGCTGGAAGCCTCCCAAACTCCCCCCGCAGGAGCTTTCCCTTTTTCAGTGTGAGCGAGCTCTCTAGCTAGCCTCTGCACACGAAGCAAGCGAACGGGGGAGCTAGCTTGCCAAGCAGGGCACAAACAGTCGAGTCTCCTAGGCCGGGAATCAGCTTACGTGACCAGCTAGCCAAATAGACACGCAGGCAGCACGACACCCACACCCGTAAGCAGCACCTCCTGTAAAAATAGTTTTATTTTTCTTGTAAGGCTCTGAGTTCTCCGGTTCTGTGGCCTGCTGGCTAGCTGCTGGGAGGCTGGCTAGGGGCTTTCTACCGCCTTCTGGTGCTTTGCTGTGGGCTTTGTGTCTTTGCTTCTTCGCAGTTCCCCAACCACTCGATGACGCGATTCAACTCCTTTCTTGACTGCCTGGATATCCTGTAAAGCCTCAAACCTTCGGCTGGCTTGATCCAGCCCGAAGCTGTAGATTTGCAGCCTTTGAGGCCTCTGTTCTGAACAAGCGGCTCCCTTGGGAGCTTCGTTCCGTGAAGCGAAGGGCCTCCTTTCTCGCAAGACGCAGCCACAGTTTAGCTCCACAGACGCTCACATGCGGCTCCTGTTGTTGCTGCAGGCCCCATCCAAAGGTGGGATCGCTTCGGCTTCTTGGGTGTGACAATAACAAGGAGCAGCTGGAGGTGCGTGCGCTGTTGTAACCCGACCCCAAAAATTTTGCACAAGTTTTTCGCGAGGGTTTCTGCGAAAGCTCTTGCGAGCGCGGTTTCACAAAGGCAAACTTGGGGCTGGCGTTGTTCGCAGAGTGCCAAGCTAAACGTGGAGGCTTTTCGCTTGAGGTCTCCAAGACTCATGAAGGCGGAGGAAGGACTGGACGATGGTTAGTTAGCAGCAGCGTTCTCAGTTGAGCTGCAGGAACACAGAGCTACGTTTTTGCCGCCAGGATATAGCGGCGCTTCTTGTTAGACCTTTCTGCTTCTGTAGATGGCGTTTGTGCTTGTCGACGGGGCGTGTAAGAGCTGCACGCACTGGAGTCAAGTGTCCATACAGTGCGCGCGTGGCTTTGCAGAAGGCGGTCTGCCTTGTCCCCTCTCGCTGACGCACTCTGACTTCTCGCCGGTAAGAGCCGCAAAACGCGATAGTGCCACGCAGCGCGTCGACTCTTTGTGTGGCTTTTGTAGCTTTTTTATGTTTTTCCCGCGTGTCTTCGTCTTGGAAGAAGGGGCGGAGGGAGTCGAGCACCTGCTGCCTCGAGCTATTTACCTTTCGCGGTCTTGTGCATGCTTGCCCGGCTCTTCTTACTGAGCCGGTTGATTCCGGGTAGCGCGCATGCACTGCACATGGGGAGGTGACTGCATTTTATGTGTCGAAGTTGCTTGGCATGCGTGGGCCGCTTTGCAAACAGTGTGTCACTGTCTGCTTTGCCGTTTATCTGTATCTCCTCGGTCCGCCTTGTTTTCTTCGCGAGCCTCGCCTTTGGAACGTGCGGGGTAGCGCATGTGGGGTCTTTTTGCCTGTGGAGTATGGAGACCTCGCGCTGTTGCATTCCTGCCTCCCTGAGTGCAGGTGCTGCGTGCCCTGCCTCCTCAATCTGTAGTGTTGACGAATGCGCCATACGGCGTGCGGAGCTTGCGGGGAGATAAGCGACAAAGGACGATGAGGCGGCTCGAGAAGGAGATCGCATCCAACCCAAACATCCGCTCTGCCTACCTCATTGCCCGTATGTCCCCCTCATTACTGCAGAAATAGTGGCGCTGCCGTAAAAAATGACTTCTGACTTTCAGGCCAAAAGAGCCTTCTCCGCCGGTATCTCTAGCATCTCTGGTTTCCGAGCCGTCTTTCTAAATACCCCTCGCACTAACCCGTGATTTTCTGTTTCTCAAGTTGTCTTCCCGACTTTGTCTGCCCGTCTACGCGCTGTACGCTGCTTCTTTGCACTGCTCCTTAAGAGAGCCCCCGCGACAGCCCTGTGGGCCGTCCGCACGAGTGCAGCCCACGCAGGGAACGGTTCGCGCGTGCTGCATTTTCGAGAAGCAAACACCTCGTAGATATGTCGACTCCCTCCTCATCCCTGGCGTGCATGCAGGGCTATTTTTGTTTTCGCACAAACAAGGGGGCGTGTGTGTCTGGGGCTTTCTGCGAGTTTGTCTGCAGCGGGGCGGTCCTTCAGGGCGGAGGCTTTGCTCCCCTGGAGGCCTTTGGGCCGTTTCAGCAACTCAGGCATCGACGTGCAGCTTCTCGAGTACAACAGGGATACACTGCCTAGTAGTACTGCCTCCCCAAAGTAGGGAAGGCAACAGCAACAACAAGCAGCATTGTGCCTCAGGAGCGCGTCGCAACAACGCACTCCATATTTCTGTTTGACTGACTGCTGGAGGACTCCCACGCATCACTCCCGCACAACATAGTACCCTAAGCAGCTCGCAGTGACATAAATGCGTGGCGGAGTATGCACAAATTATATATATAATACCGTACGTAGGTACATACAGATATCGTATGATGTATCTGGATTCTACCTGTATACGTGTTCGGCAAGCAACACTTGAGTTCCGGCACCCGTGTAAATCGCGAGAAGCAGCTACGGATAGCCAATCGCCAGCCCGAAAAAATTTGCCCTGCGCGTTCAAGAGATTCCTATACAAGCTACATTGAGCACTCTCCCAGCAGTGCCGTCTAGCAACGTGGCGAGTTCAGCGGCGGGAGGAGCCCTTCTTGCGGGAGCTGGCTGCTTTCGCAGCCTTCGTAGAGATCCTGTGCAGTGTCAGTGGCGCTAGGCTCACACCGAAATTCAAGTCCCCATTCTGCATGCACTTTATGCAGGTCAACGATCCAACGTTCAGAATTTGTCGTGTAGGTCTCCTGAGAGTAGCGCATGCAGAGTTCCCTTTGCCTGCAACAACTGCTCGAAGGTCCCCGACTCGACTACTGTCCCTCTGCGCAGAACCAAAAGCCTAGAGGCACATTTCAACACCGTGGGGCTGTGAGCAATCAGAAGTGAAGACAGCAAGCGCTGTTGCTGTTGCTGCTCTTGTTTCTGCTCTTGTTTCTGCTCTTGTTGCTGCTCTTGTTGCTCTTGTTGCTGCTCTTGTTGCTGCTCTTGTTGCTGCTCTTGCTGCTCTTGTTTGTCTTGTTGCTGCATGGCTTGTGTGAGGGCCTCGGTGAAGAAACGCTCGCTCTCCGCGTCTAGGGCACTAGAGGGCTCGTCCAGCAGCAGAATACGAGGCTGCTTGTATAGCGATCGCGCGATGTCGAGTCGCTGCTGCTCCCCGCTGCTGCAGCAGCAGCCTGCCGAACCCCCTACAAGCGTCTCCATACCCCGAGGCAGATGCTGAACAAAGCCCAAGCAGTTTGCCCTCTGTGCCGCCGCTTCCGCTGCTTGCGCTGCAGCAGCAGCGGCGCAAGCAGTGGGGGCTGGTTCCCACGCTGCATACTGAATGTTCTCTCGGATGCTGAGGCTCCCAAACAGTTTGCTGCTTCTGTCGCTCACTACTCCCAGCACGCGACGCAGCCACATGCCGGTGGGAATTTTCTCCAGGTCGATCCCTGCCGTAGCACCACAACACAAGAAGGCCAAAACAGCCCTTTCCCCCTCCACACCGCGCGCCGTTTGCAGCCACGATGCAAGGACGGGCAGGGAGGGGAGAGGTGGGACGGGGTCATAAGCAACAGCAGATAGTGTGCAGCAGCACGTCATGCGTAGCCGTACCGTCTACGGTGATACACCCCTTTTGCGGTCTTAGTTCCTTAGTGAGCAGCTTCATGATGGTGCTCTTTCCAGCACCTGAAGGACCTGCTATGCCCAGCAGCTCCCCGGGAAGGAGACGGAAGGACAAATCCACGATCCCGCCTATGCCCTCTCCGCATCGGCTGCTGCTGTTTCTGTTGCTGTTTCTGTTGCTGCTGTTGCTGCTGTTGCTGTTGCTATTGCTGTTGCTAGTGCTGCTTCCCGCTGCTGCTTCTGCTGTCGCCGCATCCTGGTCGTAGAAGTAGGAGACGTTGTGGAATTCTATCTCGCCCTTGAGTCCTTCTAAGGAGAGCACTTCTTTTTCCTGCTGCTCCTGCTCCTGCTGCTGCTGCAGGGAGGGCTGAATAGCAGCAAAGAGACGCTCTGCCGCTGCGCGTCCTTTAGCCCACTCGCCGGAGAGCGACGCAAGGCCGCTGAACCCCGCTGCCACCATCATGCTGTATGCGACAAAGGACGTCAAACTCCCGTATGTCAGCTGCAGCGCATGTGAGGAGGGAAAGCAGCATGAAGGCACAGCGACCCATTACGGCAGCAAAACTGTCGTAGCTGTAAGAAACCAAACTGCAAAAAGCAGAGAAGGACGGAGGGAGCGTCAAAGGGAGTCTCTCGCAGAGGCAGACAGCGCGCAGGACGAAAGGCGCAAAGGAGAGGAGAGAGGCAGCACAAAAGAGGCTTTTGCAAAGCCTCCGACTGAAGAGACTCCTCGAGTCTCCCTACTTCACCACCATCAGCAACGTTCAGAAGGGGGATCACCAACCACAGCAACAGCAACACCAACTACAAAACAACCGAAGCTCGCCACATGAAGTCTTTCTGCTACACATGCGAAACATGCCGACATGGAGAAACCTACAGAACCTTTCCTGAGGAGACTGGCTCCAGCGGAGAGCACCAGAAGCAACGAAAAGTTTGTAGCCACCGTTAAGGACCCCATGAGGGTGCCGCTCGCTCTGGAGGTCGCTGCTGCAGCCGCCAACACCTGTTGCGATACATCAGCAGCGCGCGCAATTTCCTGCTGCTGCTGCTGGTGTACGTACACCGCGCTGTGGGCGTAGAGGCGGTCCAGAGCGAACTCCGTCCACCGACCCTCTGCAGTCTGGCGTGCCTCTCGCAACCGCTTTAGACGCCTAAAAAGCAAAAAGGCCCCAAATAGCAGCCTGAAATAAGCGCGGAAGAAGCTCGCAGTACAGAAGCGAGAAGACGAAGAAGCGTCAGGCTTGAACCGTGAAGGCACCCCCACAGCAGAAACCCCTCTTCGTCCAAGGGCGCGCGGCCTCTCCTGCCGCTAAAAGCAGAGCCTTAGGCACACCCCACAAAGTCACGTGGAGTCTTACTTGGCAACAAGGATTGCAGTCGCCGCAGCTGCCGGTAGAAGGAGCAGCGCGGCTGCAGTGAGCTTCCTGCTGATGAGGAGAAGAGCGACGGTGCCTCCCAGAGCCGAGTTGGAGTACCTAAGGAGAGTGGGAAACGCGCGGCTTACTACTGAGGCCAGTTGCCGGCAGTCCTCTCCGAGAAGCGCGCAGAGTATTCCTGGGGTGTGCACTGTGAAGAAGCTCGGGGGGCTCGTTATACACCGTGCAAACAAGTAGAGCCTGAAGGAGCGAAAGAAGCGCCTTCGGCGTGTAGATTTGGTTTTTTCTTCCAAAGAGAGGGTGTGCCTCGCACATAGAGGATGCAAAGAGACTGGCACTCGAAGAGACGAGCACGTGGATTGGATCGTCATGCGATTCAACTAGAGACAGGCCCCTAAAAAGCCGCCATCCGCCCAGTGCGTCCACACACAACCCGCTCCTAAGGGCTGGCTTAAGCACTGGCTCACCGAAGCCTCGTGAGGATCTCCTCCTCCGCACGTTCCAGTTGCTCCGTCCTACACGCGCTGCCAAGTGCACCGAGGAAAAAAATTCCTCCGGCGAGAGCCAGCTGTTTGCCCTGGGGCCCCGCTAGGGGCCCGAGGGCGAGGGGCCCCCGCAAGGGGCCCCTAAGGAGCCCCTCTCCCGTGTAGGCAGAGTCCACACAAGTTCCCAGGATGTAAGGAGTCAGCATGTTGCATGCGGAGCACACAACAAGCGCCAAAGAGCCTAAGGCCAGTCGAGCCTTCGTGGACCCCTCGAGGGCAATGCGGCAAAAGAAGCGAAGGGGAGATTCATTCTCTTTGGGGCCCCGAAGGGTCTCAGGGGCCCCTAAAGCCCCCAACCCCCCCGGGGGCCCCTCCGGCTTGGACAGTACTGCAGGCATTTCAGGTGCTTCACACCCAAACTGTACACGTTGACGTTGCCCCCCTTATCTCCCCACACACACACATACACACATCAACGATCCCTCTGTGTCCCCCTGCTTATCTTGCATTTAAACACAATTATTTCGCCTTTCGAGCCGATAATGGGCGCTCTCGCCGCTCACCCTTCCCTGCGCCCCCGCAAAGGGTTCCCACCAGCGACACCGCAAAGGGGCTCCTGCGGGGCCCCTAGCGGCCCCATAGTTCCAATGACATTTCTAAGGAAAGCTTGCACTGAGTTAACTGCGTTTAAAAGGCAAAGCTTCACTTGACTCATGTTGCGCCCTTTGAGTGTTCGAACACCCCATGACGCTTCGACTGAGCTGTTTGCGCCGTGAGGTGGCTTTCGCCGCTTTCTGCGCCTTCTGCTGCGTCTTTGGGGAACTTTTTCCCAAATGAGGAACTGCAGGGACGCAGAAGCCCTAAGGAGCCACCCATTGAGCGTAGAGAGGCACCGAGAATGCCGACATATAACTGCCAACGGCGCCATCAAAGGCCATCATACATGGCATGGGGGCACGGCGGCAGACGGATACCATTTATTGCAGACCGCAGTGGTTAGTACGCATGTTGAACTGCGAAAAAATGTCCATAAGCGAACGGATTGCGACCAAAGTAGAAGAAGGCGGAATCCCTGTCTCGGCTTCCCCGTGAGGCTAGGAAAGCCGCAAATACAGGGACAGCCTGAGAACTGCAGGACCCCTAGCGAACAGGCAGACTTGGGACTGCATCACTTTTGCACTATGTTATCACCCTGATCTGTTATATGTGATCATAGGGTTGTTTCGTCGTCTGTGCACCGATTGCTACCCAACTTACGGGTAGCCCAACCACATGTTTATTGTAGGGTGTAGCTGTCCCTCCTCGATGCTCGCCGTAGCGAGACGTTTCTAGCACCAAGCTGATGCGAAACTACGTAAAAAAATGTCATGTGTCCCCTTGAAAGAGCTCCTGCCTCGAGGCCCTCATCCGAGAAGGTTCCAGCTTAAGGGGAAGGAGTGAAACGGCTAGGCTGCGCAGGCATTGATGCTCCCTCTCATCACTCTCAGCATTCACATCCAGTTACACACAGCAACCTATGGAGCACAGAGTCCACGGGTATAGTATTGAGCCAAAGCCATACTCGGCAGCACATAGTGTATGTGCAAGGGGCCTTACCACTGAGTCAGTTCTCCCCTGAAAACTATTCGAGCAGCACTGGGGTAGTGCAACGAGCCGAAGTGTAGGCTCGTCCTGAAATGCAGAGGGCTAAGCTACTTCTACACATTTACTATCAGGACAATGATGTCAAGTCAAGATTATGCGGAGAATTGATCCATTGATGAAGTTGCTCTTTTATTCTATATGCTGCATGGCAGAGTTGGCTGCAGTTTTTACAGATTGTGTGCTTTGCGCTTGAGCATTGCGCTATCGCATGCGATGGTAATGCGTAAATGTCCAGAGTACTTGGGGAACGTTGAGGACTGACACCCTGGTTTCCCTTCCTCCCAGCACGCCGGGGACCTTGTGAAATGAGGGCAAAGAAAGGGCGACGCTCGTGTGACGGAACTTATATTAGCTTTCTGTGCAGCTTTCTTACCGAATGTGGAGGCTGAGACTTCCTTGTTGAGGCCTTAGAGGGCGCGCCAAACTTGTTTCTAAATGCCACCTCTCGGAGGTAAGGGTCTTTGGATATCCCCTTCCATTTTGCTGTAGTAACGCAGCACCCATGTACACGAAGAGCCAGAGAGCCTTATTAGAGGCTATGTGTTTACTGGCCTAGCCAGGAAACAGTGTCTGGGCTACACTGTTCGTCATTTAGGGGGCGGCATAGCCGCGAGATCCCCATGGAGGTATGTGAGGCTCCAGGGTCCCTTCAAGCATGCACATCGTCTTGGCGTTGATTAGAGGCCTACCTACCCCTCTCCCAGCATTTGGAAGTGCCAAAAGCTCTGGCAGTCCAAGATTTTATTGGAAACACTTACCAGGCAGCCCTTCGGTTCGTAGCTGGCTTCGAAACAGGAAGGACCTGTAGAGTAGGAGGCGTAATGTGTCAGAGGGGCTCCATACGCAATTAGCCGCACTCACCTTGAGTCACTGCCAGTGTGTCAGAGCGCAAAAGTAGATGCAATGGGCCCCAGCGACTTATTTCAAATGCCCCTGGCCAAATTGAACTGTTTTTGCACGTACGGGAAAGTGAGGTGCTCCATTCATCAGGCTGCCCTTAGAACTGGCTTGTCTAGCCCGTTGTCCCCTCACACCCCCAACTTACCCACCGACCCACCAAAACGGTGTTTCTTAGTCTATAATAGCGGTAACTGTGGAGCGTTGGACAGGTAGAGGCCCACAAAACATGGAAACTGCAGCCTTAAGGCAGCAGGTACATTTATAGTGAACCTCTAGTCATGGGTCGGATCAGAGAGGACGAAAAGTGCATGGGATCCGTACAGAAGGCTCCTTTAAAATATCCCTATCTCCAGCTGTTAAAACTTTTGAGGGCATGTAAGGGAAGACCCACACAATCGAACAGCCTCATTATTCGTATGCTGAGCTAGCCCCGCTAAATTTCCTACTAGCACATTCGGCGGAGGGAGCTGCCTACGTAGGCGGCTACAACAGGGGGCTCCTGTCTCCATTTCTTATTGCCATTCGCTTCTGTCACATGGAAAGAAGCCTTCCGAGGGTCCCTTGGCCGCTCCGTTCCCGTGTAAGACTCCTCGTACCGTGCATCTATTTGCCTCGGCTAACTTCTCAGGCCCGTGGTCTGTACCCACCCGACGAAATAGCAAATTCAGAGTTCGTACACATTTCAGAAGGCCAAGCTAGCGCTTTGGGGCGTACGAAAAAGACTGGATACATGGAGATTTTTGATGGGAGGTCTCTCATGTGCTCCTCCAGTCAGGATGTGCGAAGAAGTGGCAAACCCTAACAACCCCCTGAATGGATCAGCCTATGTACTTGCAGACTTGCTCAGTTCAGCAGTAATGTGCCGAGCAACAATTGCCTTTACCTCATCTCGGTGAATCACTTTAAATACCCTCACGGCCAGAGGTACCACGTACTACGGGGATCTGATGCTCAGGGGAGCGAAAGGAGTGAGCGCAGGCTTTCAAGGTAGGGAATATGGCCTACTTTCTTACGTGGTAGGAGATTTCAACTACGTTTCGGCTCCTACGTGCTCTCGTCTGCGCCGTGGTGGCCACAGCACCGCCCAGGAAACAGATCATGGGTACCCTTTCTGCCTCTCCTGCCCCCGACGAAAGTCAAGATCAACATATGAACAAGGACAAAAAAGCATAAATGTTAAAAAGAAGGCAGCTGCAGGGGGCCTCTGAGACGTTGCTGGTGGCCAAACTGCAGTCCACTGCGGCCCAGTCCAGCGGTCAAGAGGCGGCGCTGGTCCAGGTGCCCCTAAGCGCAGTCCCACAGTACTCGCTACTTCCACGAGAAACTCACCAAAATACATTAATTGTTCATGCTGTATGCGTTTTATTGACAGAGAGGTAGAGTGCCGCCGCGTCGCCTCTAGGGGAGACCCTGCCTGCGGTGTCTCGACGACGCAGCAGCCTCGTGTCTCTGCCCTGAAGTCAGAACCACCGAATGCAAAGAGCCTCAAAACTCCCTAAGGCCCCGCACGCTCTACGTTTACCCATAGACACACAGGCGTTCGATAATAGAGACCCGCAGCCCCAGTTTCCCAGATCCAGCAAGCACATGTTTTTGACGCAGTGGTAGCTTCGACGCATCTGGCATTCGAACACGAGCATCATAATGAGGCCATGCCTGTTCGGCCTCGTGGTGGCCCAGGCAATGTGGGCCCCTGCCGCGGGCCTCCGAAGAGTCAAGAGTTTTAGGGATGCCGTACTGAGCAGCCCGCAGTACCCATGGATGGACGAGGAGGTTTCCCAAGAGGGGCCCTTTGAAGCACTGTCGCAGGAAGACAACAGTTTTTTGCAGAGGGATAACGACTTGCCGGAGGAGCCCCTCGACGAGGGCAGCGGGAGTATGCAGGAGGAGGGGGCCGAAGCGAATGAGCCCGAAGACACAGACGACAACCAAGCAGCACAGCAGCACGCCACCAACAAGGAGACGGGGCCTGTGTCAGGTTCTAAAGCTGAATCTGACCCCAGTAGCAGCTCGCCTACGGCAAATGGTGAGGAGAGACCAGGAATAGCAACAGCAGCTGCTGAGGATACTAAGGAAGCGTCAGAGGTTGCACCCGAAGGGCTTGAAGCGGCATCGGAAGAGTCAGAAGGAGCATCTGAAGGGCTAGAAGAGGCATCCAAAGGGTCAGAAGACGCACCCGAAGGGTCAGAGGGGGCATCCGAAAGGTTAGATGAGGCGCCTACAGGGTCAGAGGAGACACTGAGTGAAGCTCAAGGTACACAGGAGCAAAATGACGAAACAGCCGAGCAGTCAGAGAAGGCAGACAATGCAGTAGAATCAAGCCTTTCGCATCCAGCTCCCAAGCAAGCGTCTCTTCCAGGGGCAGCGGCGGGATACCCAGACCAGCCAGTACAGGCTCCCGCCGCCATTCAAGGACAGCCCCCCCCTCTAGAGCAGGTGCCTCTTCAGTCTGAAGGCTTACCGCAATCATCTGTTCATGAGACGACCGCAGAGACACAGAATTCCGCCCTTGCTCCCAATAAGGAGTCTACTGAAGCGGGTATGCCCCCCGCAGTTCCTCCTACACCGGTGACGGAGGAAAACCAGGATGTCCAAAATGAAGCAGATATACGTGCATCGCCAGAAGAAATCTTGTCTACACTCCCTGCTGAGGAGGAGGCGTCCCAGAATGCTGCCGCTACTCCTCCACCCCCCGAGAACGCAGAGGGGCCCCCAGCAGAGGCCCCCAGTGGTCGTTTTTTAACCATTCCCGGCTCTGAAGACAGCCCTGAGGTACCCGAAGTACCCGGGCAATCTGATCTTGTAGTGCGCTGGACTCGGGCGTTTCTTTCAAAGGGCCGGGCAGCGTTGCACATGATGACGCATGCAAACATCCTCCGGACCTTCCAGAACCGTTCCGAGGAAGTGCGCCCCAGCCACGCTCTGATGCGCAACCTGGCTAAGAACTTCCAGGCGCTAAAGCAGCAAGTGGAAGAGGCAAGAGCCCTTCAGAGCCAACCAGCAACACAAACAGCAGCCGAAGTAGCAGCAGGCAATACCCTTTGAACCAGACGAACGCAGCCACTAGGTGCGCGTATTGGAAGGTTCTTGAGAAACGCGCCAGTGCAAGGCGCAGGGGTCCCTCTACAAGGCTCGCCGGAAAAAGCGGTCACAGCAGCGGCAACATGATCCAGCAGCAAGCTGACTGCCGTAGCAAACTGTCATAAGGTAGAAACCAGGGTGACGTGTGGCACTGCTACTTAACAAGGAGGAATGAAGGGACGCCTCAGCCAGGCTCTGGCGCATACGCCGCACTAGAGGTTTCCAGCGAATGGCGCAAACAAGGGGGCCCGTGCAAAGATACTGCGCAGGAGTCTCGGCATGAGACTGCGCTCCCCGGGGTGCCTCTGCGGCACCTGGGGCCTCCTTCAGGCACGGTGTACTGAGGCCCCTAAATTACCCCTTTGCAGAACCACCATCTAGCCGTCACCGATGAGAAAATGGAGGCACATAGACCACCAAATTCGGTGGGCGGGTAGTTAGTCTTTAGGGCTTGTGCTCCCTCAAGCACTTCATGGAGTGCTTCGGAGGGCAGCACGTAAAGAAGTGGCTCTGCCTCTACAAGCCCTTTAGAGAAAACTACAGCCCCACAACAAGGGTGGCCAAGCGGCTTCCAGAAGATCCTTTTTCAAGCCCACAACAGCCCCTCTTACAAGAAGTAATCCGGAGGGGGTTTCTTGGAAGGAATGCCACGACGCTCCTGAGAAGAATTCCATGCACGCATGTGAGTACGTGCACATGTTCAGATCACAATCCTCAAGCTGTATGCGAAAAATGGAGAACATGTGAAGGGCAGAATCGAACAAGGGGAGCTAGTAAAGAAGCGCATCAAATAGAAGGGGTAGTAATAATATATACAACGCCGCGTAGAATGCTTTAAGGGACTTCCGCCCGCGTGTACCGGAGGCGCAGCTTCAAAAGTCTTAAACTGGTAGTTCAGGTGCTCGTCTAACTCCATAACCGTCGCCACGTTCCCGCATCTGAGGAAACGAATTCAAGGAGTTAAGGGTGCCCCTTGCTAAAAAGAGGTATTTGTATGGCCTGAAGGGTTGCCGAGGAGCCTCCATACGGATAGGGAAAATACTCGAAGCGTGAGGCTTCCCAGCAGGCTGCAAGCATGTGATGTGTGTAGGCCTTAGTACGAACCTATAGCAATAGTTGGGTGCAGACCACACCGTAACCAGTCGCTTGTCAAACCACCACTTATAGCCCTGAGAAAACACGACGCAACCGTGTAGAACTTGGAAGGCAATTTGAGAGGGCCGCACTGCTTGGGGAACGCGACACCCGTAGGCACGCCTATTGATGCGCAACGAGAGTGAGAGGGAGCGAGAAGAGCCAAGGAGAACGGTAAATCGCCGAAGATCTAGCAAATAATCCTGTGAGAAGGGAGGCTATCAGGTATGACAACGCGGAAGAGAGCAGCGAAGCGACGATGATCGGAAGTTGATCGCTCACATCCATGACTAGCTGGTGTGCTCTGGCGATGATTTCGATGTTGTTTGTGTGACAAAACTGCATCCACAAAATGTCAACTCAGCAGCTCGAACTAATATCGCCTCCAACGAGGATGGGTGCCCACCAGAAGGCACGCGCAGCCCCTTTCCCTCCACCATTGTGAAGTCTTGGGAGTACAGACTGGGGTGTACATACAGCATACCGTCTTAACGATGTCGGAACCAAAGAGATAGCCAGCCCCTCGCGGGCTATACCCCCAGCCTTTCATTTCTGGAGAGGCAGAGCAGCAGCAACGTCACAAAATTCGCGCATTATACAATTACCAAGCCCCTTGGATGCATGCAGCAAAGAGCACAGGCTGCTGCGTTAGAACTTGAAAAAAAACCTGCCTTCGGGGTCGCTCCACAAAAGATCACACATAGGCCCCTCGTGAGGCACTTCTTGCTTTCTATCGATTGAACGAATCTGCAGATTCACAGAAAAATTCAAACTCGAGCAGGCATCAGAAACTCGCAGACGGCCTCCCCGAGATAAACATAAAAGCAGTAGAACGCAGAGCCATGGGAGACGCCGCGGCGCAGAAAGCGCCTCACGAAGGCATACACACAAGAACAGAACACAGCGGACAGCACCAAAATCACGCCTTGATGCAAAATGGCGACTCAGCGAAAGGATAAGCAGCTCTATAATATATACAGACGCATGTTACACACACACATATATAAACACAGGCAAACCAGCACACCAAACCAAGTAAAACGGCTCACGCCACAACAAGGCGCATACGGAGAGGCACCAGGAGACGTAAATAGTGGCAAAATGAGCCCACACAGAGGAGCTGCGTACATATACGTGCAAGATTATGGAGGGATGCATCCCCAACGGGAGTCGCAAGACAGTCAGTACCATCATGCAAAAAGAGGAGGGCAGGAGAGGCAAGAATTTGACGCTCGCTAGCACGTCTATTTGTCTATGTAGTGTATAGGGAAAAAACGTGAGGGCTGGATTCTTTGTTGTGCCCGTGTTCGAGAAGTGCTGTCGTGGACAGACTTCATCAATGTTTGAAATCGCCGGGGAAAGGCCCCCATGGAGCGCGAAGAGCTGGTCGTCAATGATGGCCGCTAGCGACATGAAGTCAAAGACTTCCGTGCAGTACCTCCAAACGCTGCTGCTCCCGTATTTGCGCAGACATTCGTCGTAAAAGCCATACACCTGAGCGGCAGACAGGGCGCACAAAGAGAAAAAAGGACGCAGCATACAGAGGCATGCAGTTCATTAGTTCTCTGCAGTAGAGACGAAAGGTGTGCAGATGCGTGCTGCGAGCAGCCCGTATAGCATGCATATATATATATATCTATGCCTGTGTGTGCTGTAAACCTGTGGGTGTGTTTAAAAAGTCTATGGAGAAGCCATGGAGCAGCAGGCAATGAACTCCATACCCAGTTTGCAAAATTGACATGCAGCTGGGGTGCCAAAAAGCACATGCGTCTCTTCTTTGGAAAGCGGTGACCTTGACCCCTTTCTCTACGTCCCTCTATCCTTACCTGCGTAATTTGTCTGCTCTCATGGTTGCCACGAATAAGCGTTATCCTATCCGGGTAGCGAACCTTCAGGGCGAGAAGTAACAAGAATGTCTCCACAGAGAAGTAACCGCGGTCAACAAAGTCCCCTAAGAAGAGATAATTCGTCTCCGGCAGGAAGTTTCCGACACGAAACAGCTCTAGCAAATCGTAAAACTGGCCGTGGATGTCTCCACAAATCTGTATTTCACACCGCGAGGCGCACGCACAGACTAGGAATCACTTATTACGGGAAGAAAACAAAGCTAATACAAGAAAAGCGAATGGTCTTTTGAAGGACACTTCCTCTCTCTCAGACCGCATGCTGCCTGCTCACCGTCACGGGCACGTCGACCCTCTCTACGTTGCTCTCTTCCACCAGGATTTCTTTGGCTTTTGCGCATAACGCCTTCACCTCTCTCTCCGGGATGCACTCGCACCGACGCAGCTGCTCTATCTGGCGATCCAAACTGCTCATATTCCCCCCACCACTGCTGCTGCTGGTTCTGCCACCCCCACCAGCGGGAGCTCCGCATGCGCTGCCGCCAGCGCTGATCAAGAGGCCTCCAGGATTCGCTGAATCAACGCCTGCAGCCCCCTCGGGAGCCCCCATCTTGGAATCCGCTGACGGGGAGGTCCCTTGGGAAGAAGACCCTGTAGCTGCTGCTACAGGGTCTGCTGCACACGCTGCTGATGCTGCGTCTGACATCTCCATTGAAAACGGAGAGTAATGACCCTATAGCCCCGAAGGGGCCCTGGAGAGGTCCAAGTCCAGCACAGGGAAGAATGTCTTCGAAGGGCTGTCCAGCAATGCGATGCCGCGTTGTGAAGCAGCGCCGAGACGCAAATCCTCGACCGCACGCTGCCCCCAGACAGCGAAACGGAATAATTGAAATGCAGCCAACCAACGCTGTGGGTGGCTCACCTATAGCGGCTAACTGATGCAGCTGATCCAAGCAGCTGCGGCTGCTAGTGTTGCGCGCTGTGCGGTGGTGGCGATTGCTGATGACGCCGCTGCTGCCAAAGGGTGTCAATTATGCACGCTGTTGGTGTGTGAGGAGTTTGTTTACCGATACGAATGGAGAGAAGATATGCGGGACCGTGGCTGTGGCCTTTTATCGCGACATGGGCTAATAAGGAAGAGGATGACCTGCGTCTGTACACTGAGAGCACTGAGACTCAGTGGATGTCCTTGATCTCCTTAGAAAATAGCTCTTCTCATTCGGTTTCGCACAAATAATCAAAAAATGCGAAACGTGCTACCGCTGCCTCGCCAGGGCCCCCCTGGAAGGCGAGCGATACGCATGCAGCCCTCGACGTCAGCTGCACGGGTCTGCACAGCAACTGCTTGAGCACAAGAGAAAGTTGTGACAAAAAGCGATTTCTTGGAAACGATGCACTTTGGGCGCCTAAAGATCCTGCACCTCCGCGTGAAGGCGATTTCAGGGCCTAATAGCGGTCAAGCCGAACCCTGAGCTGTCTAAGCAAAGAGGCCTCCCACGAAAAGCCTCATTTGTAGGGCCATTAGTAGGACACGAACACGTGTGGCGCTTTCGCAAGACTGAAAGCTCCGCGGGTGCTGTATAAGCTCGCTGGGCATAGCTACACAGAGCGGAAGACCAGTGGTTTAGGGGCCTCCTCCTTGCCGCATACACACAGTGGCTAGACTCCCTACAGGCAGGTACCAATACTTTCACGAAGCATAGCTTGTCTGCCTTATCTGACCCATCCTGGGGGTGGCTGCTCCTCCTCTACCCTGGCTACGGTACCCCGTTGTTGTTTCCGTGGGGAGGGGCCCCAGAAACTGCACAGCCACACAAAAGCGAAAACGACAAGTGGTCTTCGTGGGCACAAACTTTGCGAGGAATAATCCTATTTAATCCCTGATATCCTGTCTCGATAACTTTTTGCAATAGCGGAAGGAGAGACAAAACCAAACTGTAACTTCCTCACCAAAGGCCTGCCTAGAGAGAAACCTGAAGCCAGAATTAATACACGCTTAACGAAAAATCATGAGGTTTTCTAAGGACGTGTCTCCCTTTGCTCGCCAGCGCCCCTTCAAGTAACCCATATAAGGGGAGAGGGACATCAACGCAGCACACGCTCTTTGGGCCTAGAGCATTTTTAGGAAATTACACAGCATCTATCGCATGCTCACACAACGGTACGTCTCTTTTTACTTAACTTACAGCACTCCGGGACTAATATGAGATACGAACATGCAAGCCAATTCTTTAAAATGTTCACTAGTCCCTGGTTTAAAAAAACTTGTCCGGTAGAAAGCGCTAAATTGTACCTTTGTCACTTACTGCCAAGGCCTAATAGAGGAGCACATGCGAGCTCTTGGACCTTTACGAACATCTGCGCAGCTTAATTTCATTTATGGCGGTAGTCGCCATTAATGGGATTCCTTGCGTCCCTGTGTAATTGCCATGTTCCAGTCCAGGTCCTGCCTGAAATAGCTACCTTCATCCATAGTTATTGTTTGAAAAGTTGTTCATTCAAAAGTCGAGGTGTTCGATACACTCGGATGTATGTGAATGCACTCTTATTCTGGTAAAACCTAAATGGTCGATGCATCTGTTCCCTGTTCAACCACTGGCTGCGGGTGCAAGACGATATCCGCTTTCCCCACAACTGCTGTCGAGATTCAATAAAGTTATTTGTTAGTTCAAGAATTTGAGTTTCTTTGGCAACTACATGGGAGAGCAATCCACTGGCTATGGAAGTACACGGTGGTGCAACCCACTTCTGGAGGAACAGGCCTGCCTGAAAGCCGCTTTGACACAACTGGTACAAAGGCATGGTCTGCGAACCAGCCAAATGTCTATGGATGCGTTGAATAGGTTATATTGACCTCAAAATTATGGTGGCCATAAGGATGGTCAAGTACTCCAAGATTTCATCAGCTGATGGGAGATGTATCTCGCAATGCACCCCATGGAAAAAGAGAAACACGTGTTCTTTGAAGCATTTCTTAGTGGAGGGCGAGGCTCTTTAAAGGACATCTCCATCGATGTGAAAGAATTCTGCCTGCAGGGATTGCTACAGTGTAAGCATTTATACAAGCCCTGACTCATTGGTCTATGCCAGAATCAGCTCAACAGCAAGCGTTCGGCGTTTGAGAAAGCTGCCGGAGAATTGACCGACAGATAGAAGCATCAACAAATGTAAAAGCTTGGCTAGCGAATGCCATAACATAGACTAAAAGCTCCCTTGTCAGTAATTTGCCTCGGGTCTAGCCGCCTTGTGATGTTCAATGGTTGCCCGATGGGCAGCGACGAAGTGATCAAACGACTGATCAGTGGGTTTTAACGTGTGATAGACTACTTGAGGTTTCAGGAGCAAATGAGAGCAATCGCTTTGTCTTTGGCTGGATAAGAGGAGCCAAAGGGAGGGACTTAGAGCCTATGGATGTCGGGGCTGTGTCGACAGGCCTTACTCGATAATCTAAAGTAATAGAGAAAAAGCAGCTAGAGGGAACCTGTCGTCCGAGACGGTCGCAGACACCCCCAAAACAGTGCACCTGTATTTTTGTAGAACATTGGGGCATATAATTCAAGTCTGCAAACGCATGCGCAAGCCCACGAACTTAAGCAGTGGGACTGAACCCAGCGGAACCAGTCAGCAAAGTGATTAAAAAAGGCGCGTCAAGTGAACGAAAGCCTTCCACAGGCTGCAACGCAGTGAAGGGGCTTTAGAGGACAAACACTCAGTAAGAAATCCCCCATCCCTCAATCATGCACTAATTTTTCACATTAATGATCAAGACTTGCTAATGATACTTCACACCGATATTTAGTGGAGCTGCTATCGAGGAGACGGCGCTGCAGTGCAATCTAGCTATTCATTCGTGAGCGCAGTCCTTAAGACCCGAACATGCTGAAGAGTGGCACAATACAAGCATTGCTAAGGCTATGCACCTGAATATTCCTTCAGATCGGAATCGTGATCCATCAGAATAGTCCGTGACTTCTAACCTGGACCCATGCATCACGTGCACTGTTAAGGATGTCAAGGGTGACCGCAAAAGCAGCCACAGGTGGTCATTATTGCGTTCTGTTGAGTTGATCCGGCAAGCGGTGAAAAACAACAACCGCTAGTCTCCTGAACATCGCACATATCATCTGTGGTGAGCGGGGTCGAGTCCGTATCTCAACAAGGTAAGGCAGAGTCTCCATATGGCAGCTCAGCAGCGCAGTAAGAGAAGACGGTTTTGAGGCTGCTTTCCGTCTTGGTGGCTCTTCAACTAGTTTCGCATTAAGGATTGCAATTGATTTGTCATTCGAGTAATAGCAGGAATGGGCAAATTCCAAGTGGCGGCTCGGGCATGTGCTGAATAATAACAAGCTGCTGACAGGCTGATCACATACCGGCAGTCCAGCTTGCCTTATTGGCATAATTCATTGGTAAACCCTAAGCTATGATTCGCGGTGTCGGGAACCCCCGCAGCGTGAATAGGAGTATGAGCCGCAAGTGGATGGGCTGTGGAAAAACGGCAGAGTAAAGGAATGGGCTAGCACCTTTTGGCAAGAGCCTGTGTAAGTGCCGAAAAAGGATGTAAGGTGAGCCATGTGCATAATTTTAAGCCCCTGAACAAACGTAAAGTCTAACAAAAGTTTCTGATACCTCATGGTGGCGAACGGCTTGACAAAGGACACGATTCTACAGTCAAATCAGCATTAGATTCCACAGGTGCCCTCATTCAAAACCATTCAACCTAATGATAGACACAAAATGGCCGGGCCGAGCTACAACTGGAAGTTGATCGGGAGTTCAGTGAGCCTAGCATGAAAGGATGGATGGCTTTCTACACGGGTGATGCCTCCTTTAATTGAGCAGGGCGCTCAAGTTGCACCAAAAGTACCTAATCCTTGCACTAAAGGCCATTTATGAAAAGAATTGATATGGCAAGGCATGCAGCTCATACGCATGAGGACAAGAGTGCAGGAATCAAGTTAGTTCTGGCAAAAATTGAAGCAAGCATGACGCTACCATTAACTTTGCTCACCTGCAAGAGCGTTGCGAAGCTCTATTGTTCTACCTCTCACTACACGAATTTCATTCCTGGGTATTTTTGGATTGCTGCGTTAACTACTGAACTGATTATGAACCGCAGTCTGTAAGCTCGACACAGAAGGCTGATGCCGTGACAAGGACGCTTATCAGTCGTTTTACAAGTCCTCCACTGCATACACTGCTAAATTGTAAGCGTCCTTTCCTACTCACACCTACTTACAACGGATATAAGTGGGGTGTTGGTGGGTGGCAGTCTCTCCCACCAGACTACGGGTTCTCCAAAACACAAAACATTGCTGATCCTTTTCATCATTTTAACCCAAACGAGCAGCGGAAATCAATGCGCGCTATTTTGCTTGGTGCTATTTGGCGTGGTGAGGGTGTCAAGTGTTCCCGCAGTGCTATATGGGTGTGATTTTACTGTCAGATCGGTTATTAGTCTTTTCTGTTTACGACAAGCTTTCAGGGCTTTGATTATCCTAGGGCTGTGCCGCCGGCTTTGACGCCTCCTGTTGTACTTTAGAGTGAAGCATTTTGAGACCGTCTCAAATGCGGCCTTCGACGCGCTCGCGCAAGGCTCCAGAGATTCATTGCTGAGCGGCGCAACCGGCCTTGTCTTATGTCCCTTGAAATCGCTTGAGTCTTGTGCTTCTAACATCCATGCATCTGCTGCTGTTGCCAAAATACAGAATGGCAGCTGGCTGAGATGCAACCACGTTGAAGAAAGTCTGCTGTGGTTAAAAACAAAGCCCAATCTCCGTCGCCTATGCAGTACAACTTCGCCCCCCAGTGCCGCTCTGCGCAAACCATATGGTCACGTTCCTTCGGAGCACGGTGCGATACACGCCCCCATGGAAAACCTGCCTGGTTCTTCTGACAGTCCGCATGCATCGTACGGCAGAGATGAATGCACTGTCATGCCCAGCCTTTCGGCAGCTAAAGCCACGAAATTTTTCTGGATCTGGCCGTTTGCAACTCCTTGAAGGTCGTTAAAGGATTTGAACTAATCTGACTATAAACTCTTACTATTGGACTTCCGGAGTTCAACAATGAAGGTACCATCTACGTCGGTCTCCGCAGAACGCGAATATACCCATTTCATCCCTTGTTCTAGCTGTGTTGCGGCTCAGGGAGTCACCCAATTATCCTAAGCTCATCTCCGGAACCTGCAGGGATCCTCAGGGAGTATGACCACCGTAGGAATTACGTTCGTGTATGCGATGTGGCGTGCCTTAACGACCCACCTATGAACCACCACCCTTAGGCAGACGGACAGACACGCAGAGCGCACCAATCTCAAGCTTCTGCAGTATTCGCAACTCTGTTCGCACACAACTCTAATTGCGTGGCTTAATATTTTTACTTGTGCTGAGTGGGCTTAGAATACAACAGTACACCCGTGTAACTGTGCCTCGCCCTCATCCCTGATCTACGCTGAGGAACCGCTCTCCAATACGCGACCAGGTGCTGGTGGTTCGGTATTTGCACCCACCTTCTGCAGGGGCGGAATCAATGAATATTTGGCTAGTCTACGGGAACATGTGCGCAATAGTTCGAGAAAAGCACGAAACTTTGAAAAAGCCGCGGTCCGGTGTGTGTTTCCAGTCTAAAGGGTTGGTTTGGGTGGATGGGTAGGCTGTATGATGCCCAGCAAAAGGGGGCAGACAAAGGAATTTGCCGCCAGGTGGCTAAGACTATATGCCATCATCGCAAGAATCAAAGCTCTTATTCTACCCATTTCCCTAGAATCTGGAGATGCCGCAGAATTATCTTTATTGGTTTCACTAGCAAGCTTCAAAACACCCCGAAGTGTTCGTGGACTTTGTGGCGCAGGCAAATAATCCACATGGAGGCAGAGGATTCACAGGGAGCCGTAGAAGTGCTGGACTCTAGAATGTTGAGCCCCGAGGACCTCTTAGGCAGCGAATTCCTTTAAAAGGGATGGGGACCACGAATATTTATTGTGCCACTTTCATACAAGATCTGCTCAGAGGGCCACTTACATCCCGACACAAAACAAACTTAATAGAGTTGTTGAGTGCATTCCCAAAAAACTCCCGCCTTCCCTGCTCTCGCCCCCCCAGCGCTCTCGACGACAGGAACGAGGGGCAGCTAAACTGCCACAGCTGCACCTTCTGAGCAGTCCGGCTGTTAACAGCTGGTTGAGCGTAGCACCAAGCGCACAAGCCCGCACCGTTGCGTACTGTGGTACTGAGCTACCAGTACATTGGAAGAAATTAGATATACGAGCATACAAAACAATTAGTCAGCCGTTTACCAATTTCTGTTTCAATAAAACTAGTGCAGCAGAAATGTCTAGATGTGGCTTCGGCCGGTGCAGGAGGAAGAAAGCGGCAAGTGTCCAGAAACCTGCGATATAGGGGTTTGGGGTAGGATGACTGCATGCGCCTAAGGTCGGAAAGGAAAACAACACGAAAGCGACAGCAAGAGGCAAGAGGAAGCAAAGAAGTAGAGCAGTGGAGTGGGGATGCAGGTGCACGAAAAATAAGGCTACGTGCACTCAGCCCGCAATGAGCCCTTCAGGCTACCCCCTGAGATGCCTCTAAACAAGGACCCTCCCTCAGTTCCTGTGACTCCCCGATCACTGCCTACTGTCGCTTCAACATTCAGGCAGCACCGTCGAGTAGGGAGGGGCAGCGCCGAAAAGTGTTGCTTCTCGCAGTGTGGGGTATCCTGCCACGCGAGCAAGGACTGCCCTAGTTGAGTTGCTTTTCGCTCTGTGGATCGAGAATCAGACTCCACGACCGCGTTACTTTTACGGGCAGCTCCTCTGAAGTTTCCTCTACGTTCCTGAGGAACGACTCCAGGGATTCTATCGCCTTATTTCTACCAAGGAAGGTTGCGGCAGGGCACCCAGCGCGCCAGTGTTTCTGCAACGCTCCCCAGTGCCGATCTACCCATGCAGCGGCTGCTTCTTCGCAGCTCTCAGTGGCAGCCAGCCTCAGAGGCAAGCTCCGCGAGCCGACAAGTATCTCCGCTGCCACAATTACGCAGTCCTCAGTGGCGCTGTGGGGAGAAGGCGGGAGGGGGGAGGAGGCACCACTCACATTCACCTCGGCGGCAGCCAATGTCGAGACACCGCCTGCACATGCGAAAGGTACTGCCCCTGGCGATGCAATATTTGTTGCAGGGTTCTCGCTGGAAGGTGACGGCAGCACTCGATTTCGTAGATTGCATCGCTCCGAGCTCAAGAGGCCCCCAGCATGACATTCCTCCTCACCAGCACCTGCCCTCGCATTGCTGCCTCTTCTACAGACAGCCTTTTGCAAGGCAGGCACGTCGGCGATCCTGGTGCTGTCTTGTTCCGGTGTGGCATCTCCGTCGCTCCAAATGCGGAAAAGCTGAGCGGCGGGAGCCTCAACGAGCGGATGCTCTTTTCCACCATTTTGCTGCAACTGCTGCTGCTGCAATTGCTTCTGCTGCATCTGTCGCTGTTGTTGCTGCAGTTGGTGCGAGGCTGCAAAAGAACGTCGATGGACGGCTGGTTGAGGGGGGGCTGCTACGAGGGGGGGGGCGGTAGGGTCACTAAATAGATGCTGCAGACGTGCAATAAGCGTCTTGTTTCTGCATGCCGGAGGGGCTTGTCTGCTCGTGGGAAGAAAAGAGGCAGGAGGAGCAGCCACAGATGCTGGAGCACACGCTTTGGCTGCCGGCTGTGGGTGCTGCTGCTGTTTTTGCATGTGCTGCTTCTTGAGTTTTTCTATTGCTCTGTGTTCTAGGCATTCTTGCTGCCTGAGGATGGCTTTCTCGCGAAGCGCGGCCCTCCTCTGTGCCTCGGACTGCTTTTGGTGCTGCTGCAGGTGGTGCAGTTCCTGCTGCAGTTGCTGCATTCCGTGAAGGAGTGTGGCTCCCAGTTGCTTAGCCGGCTGTTTATAGCGACCAATGAGGTCTCCCAGCATTGCTGGAAGAGCGACAAAGGGGTCTTCCCTCAGAAACTTGGGCACATGCTCCTCCGTCGCAGAGTCAGCTGCTGCGGGGGGTGCAGCGGGCGTTGCCGTTGCTGCTGCAGCTGCTGCGCTGCAGCTGCTGGGGGAAGGACGACTCACGGGAGGCAACACCACTCTGCCCTTGAGCTCTGCTAGTTCTGCATCGAGGACCCTGCGCTGTCGCGCATGCAGCAGCAGCAGTTGCTGTTGCTCCTCTAGCTCCTGGCGTAGTGCAACTGCAGCCCGGCTAATTCGGGTGTAGGTATCCCTTAGAGCCTCTTCGCTGAGACCAGCCATGGCCGACACAGTTGCTTCTGTCTTGCTACTTAGAGAGCCGCCGTCCATCGCGTATTGCCTTTCCAATGAACTCTTTGCGCATGGGAAGTCACCCGCTGCCGTCCCGGCGAGGCCTCCTCCTGCTGCTGCTGCTTCCGACATTCCGCAAAAAGTGCAGCCTCAGAGGTTTATGACGACGGCTCTCATGCCAGATCGGGGTGCTGCAGCAGTAGCGTCCCCTGTATTCCCTCCAATCTTCTGCGTGGCAGCGAGTCGGCGGTGGCCAGAGCAGTGTGCGTATTGTTGCAGCCGCTATGGTGGCAGTACGATGACTCTTCTGAAAAAGTGTATGAGTAAATATCGCTGTAAAAGTCACTTAGGCGGCCTGATGCCGCGCTTCGCATTTTTTCCCTGGTTTCTGAACATGTACTGACCCTCTGCTGGCGGCGAGGTAGTCAGCGGCTAACGTTGTAGCGGCGCGCTGCGAGTGTGTCTGTCTACGTGAGTCCCCGCTGCACAATCTTTAAACTTAAAAAATTCAAGATTCCGTCCAAAATCAAGCGCGTGGAAGAAAGAACTCCCAGCATAGCTGCTCGGACAAGAAGGCCTGCCGCCTCCGAGACAACCGCTGCCGCCTTTGACCCCAGGGTAGTAAGTATGGGCGGAAACGTAGCAGAGAGCACCACACGAGATTCTGCTGCTCGTATACGTTACATCGGAGTATTAACACGTGTTTTGCAATGAGAGAGAGTTCGAAAAGAACCCCGAGCAAGAGAAAGGATTACCATTTGAATGGTAGTCCTGAAGAGGCGCGGGAAGGGCGTGGCAGCCTCTTGAAGACAGCCCTGCATTCCCAGTATTTAGCCGTTTTCATCAGGCGTTCGTTACAGGTAAGACGCGCCAGCAGTTCCCATGCCCAGCTGCCTCGCCATAAGGATGCTGCCTCTGGTTCAATGAAGGAACCACATGCACGCAGCACTGTCCAGCAGACGAGCTAGCCAGGGCTAGCCACAGTTGCAGGGGACCACCACCCACCATCCCCTAAGGAGCAATCTCGTCAGCTATCTAAGCGCGCCTCTGTCGTGTTTAGGCTCGCTAAGGGGGGAAGGCAGCGCCTTCGGAGCTCCGCTCAATACACACACCTCCCTGTTTGCCAGTCTAGCAGGGGCATCAGCCCGCTATCATCGCGAGCATACCCCAAGCTTTGGACACTAACGCTCTACGTCCTTGCGCCTCCAAGGAGACACTATTCTAGACAGCGCAGCATTACGAGATATGCCTGCCGCAGCAGGCATGTCTGCTGCAGGGGGCCAATATCAGCAGAAAGCTGATGCAGCAGCAGTAGAGGTGCAGGAATACTGAGGCGCTGCAAAGAGCGCATGCGTGATTAATTTTGGCAGCAGCACTAGCAGGCACTGCTTGCCTTTGCAGCCGCGCGCTGAGGCTGCTGCTGTCCCTGCTGCACCCACAGCTCTCGACGCCGTCTACGCACCTTGAAAATCTTTCAGACACTGAGAGATGGCTGCAATCCGCCGCTTTGCTGCTACAGCGAATAAGTTGCCCGTGTGCTGCAGAAAAACGGACAGCGCGTGCAGCACGCATACCAGTTGCGTTCACAGACCGCACGAGAGCGGTGGCAGCGACGGCAGTTATTGTACTCGTAGCGGCTAGTGCTAGGCTTATATGCGCATCCACAGCAATAAATTGAAGCGCGAGTAACAAAGGCACACAAAAGATCATGCACGAAATTTTTTTTGCCGAATATTTCAGTAGTGTCGCTGCTTCGGCTGCCACCTCCGCCGAGTTAGGTGCAGCCTCCTCAGCTCACCTGCCGTAGCTGTGCTGCGTACACGCCGTCCAGCCTCGCAGCGGCCTCAATGCCGAGCGTTACGAGGGCCTTGGTATTCTGTGCGAGTTCGACGTCTTCCACGCGTCTCCGTTGCTGCCGCTGCCTTTGATGCTGCTGCTGTTGCTGTTGTTTGGAGGTGTTTTGCGGCTGCTGCTGCAGTACAACGTCCTGTGAGGCCTGTAACCAAGACAGCAGAGTTGTGCCACCCCCCTTGCGCCCCCAAAACTTGATACCGCGCGCAGGGCCGCAAAAAATTTCAACAAAAAGGCAAGAAAAGGCGATTAAAACACACCACTAACAGCGGAAAAGGTAGCGGGGAGAGAGAGAGAGAGAGAAAAAAAAGACGGTGAGGCAGCACACATACACACACACTGCCCCTCATCGTTGTGTGAAGTTTTTTGCACGGCGTCCGCGCCGCAGGAGGATGTAGGGAGAGGGCGTATTGACACGTTGGCAAGCGGCGAGAAAAAGAAACGACTTTCTTCAAGCAGAGGCACACGCCTTACAAGCAAGAGATTCCACAAGGCGCGCGGGTTGCCAGCGTCCATTAAAAGAACGCGTGAAAAGTAGCAGCATCCTAAGGCAGGCTGCTGCACTGCACACTGCAGCTGCACACACATTTGTCCAGATGCAGACAAAGGGGTCGTGTATACAGCGCTATTTCACGTGTACAGCACTGCTGTGCACATAGACTCGAAAAATAAGCCGAACAAGCCCTCGAGAGGCATGCAGCAATCACCAACAGCAGCGCCTCTTAACAGCGTCCCTTCGAGGTTCCCGTAGGGGACTGCAAATACCGCGCAAACGGAGGCGTGCAGAAGCTAGCAAAGAGGAAAACCCGCAGCAAGATCTGTAAAGAGCTCGCGCATCGTAGTAGTAGTAGCAGTACCTCTCCATAAGTCAGGAGGTAGTAGAGGTTGTTCGACTCTCTAAGCAGCAGTTCCTCCCACACAAATGCCGCCTGATGGAGGAGGCCGAGATAGAGATACATCTCCGCCAGTTCATGCCACGCCTCCTTGTCTGCTGCGTATTCTCTCAGATGCCTGTACAGACACCCCGCGCAACCACCGAACGGCCACACAGACATCGAGACACAGCAGAGCCCACTGCATGCTGCATGCTGCGTGAGATCTGCAGGTGCTGCTCGTGGCGCTTGTGCCGTTCAGGGAAGCGAGTGGGACCTTACGCGATAAGGAACGAGATGCAGTTCTTATAGTTGCCCTGCAGGAGAAACACACACACACACACACATACACACATACACACACATCGAGCCGCGAAAAGTGCCTTTAGAGAAAATCCTCCTACCGGAAACACCGACATTTTGCAGCATGCGCAGCTAGAACAGGTGCACACCACCGACGGCAGCAGCAGCAGCAGACCATCAATTTGTATGCAGAAACAACTTGTCGCCGCGCTGCAACATCGCCGGGGTGTATCTGGAGGTGATTGGTGAGCAGCCGAAGGGCCTCAAGGGGCTTGCCTTCCGCCTCCTGCTGCAGCAGCAGCAACCCCCGAAGTCGCCTGCTGCCGGTGCCTCCCCATCGCGCAGCGAGAGCGTCATAGCAGCTCTGCAGCGAGCCCACACAGACAGCGGCGGCGGAAATCGCGCGGATGCGCAAACATAAGCCCCCAAATCAGCGCACCAATGCGTGAAGAAGCTGTTGCTGCAGGGAAGGGCACACGACTCGCCGCAGTATTCGAGGCACGCCAGCGCGTCAAGGGCTCGTCTGGCGCATACCTTGATAGCCGAAGGCCTATGCAGCGTCAACGCCGCCAAGTACACCGCCTCATAGACTGACCAGACTGCATGCGCACTCGCAGCACTTCACACGCACAGCAATACCAGACACGTATTCTTGCCGCAAGCGGCGGCGACGTGACCTGCCGCCGCTGCTGCGAAAGCTGTTCGCAATGCATCAGCAGGCGGGTTCGAGGGCAGCAGCAGCAGCAGCGGGAGTGGCGCTGGTGGCATTGACCGCCAACGCGCACTCTCATCTTTGAGAGATCTTGCATGTTTTTCCAACAATTCCTTGCCAAAGGCGAAGGAAATCGCGGGCGCCTGCCGCGCCTGCGCATGCAGGAGCCCCTCCCTTAACGCTGCAAAGCTCAGGGCCCGGGGATCTCCATGGGGGGGGCCCCCGAGGGGCCCTCCCGGTGCCATCGCGAGGGGACGTGCTGCAGCGCGTGCGCGTGAAGCCGCTGCAGGAGCAACACGGGACAGCTCGCGACACGAAAGCCTCGCAGCTGAGATGGGAGAAGCAGAGGAATCCCCAGCGGGAAGAGGACGCTTTCGCGCAGACGTGGAGGGGGGCTGCGGTTGCACGCAAGCGAGGTGTAGCTACCGCGGGATGGGAAGGGAGGAGGCAAGAGCTACGGCAGTAACACAGACCCAGCAGGCGAAAGAGGAGTGCAAAGGCAGAGGGCGGTCCCTGTCTGTACTTTTGTTGCTGCAGCAAGACGAGGCGAGTTGCTCGGCCAGTGCAAGAGAGGAGGGTGGCGAGGCAGGCGGAGCGCTGCAGAGCAACCACTGCGAAAGACACCCAAGACGAGGTGCCGCAGAGTCGTACTGTCGGAGGAGGTAATAACTTGAATGATGGTTTCAAGAGCGCCACTCTACAGACATCCTGCATGTACAATTCGGGGCTGCTACCCAGCCCCAGCGCGCGCGAGGTGTCTGTACACCTCAAGGAGGAGTGGCCGGACTTACAGCAGGGAGTTATCTATGCTGACGCAACCAATATAAGGGGCCACTGGATGCAGTGCAGTCCCACAAGAGGGGCGTTTTCGCTCTGCACACCGAGTCTAAAGGGCCTCCGGTGCATGTATATATATGCACACGCACTGCAGCAGTTGCAAGCACGGCGACGGCAGATGATCCGGAGGCAATAGCCGCACCGACGTTTCAATTTCAACACTTTAGGCGCACAAGGGCCGCCCGGTGCCAGAGTTGCAGCAGACCCCTTGGAAACACACTCGACGTCGAGCGCAGCCCAGTCCCAAGTATTCGCATTGCGCTAGCAAGACAGCACTAGCGGCAGCAGCATACAGCAAGGGAAGGGGCCAGCGTGAGAGGGCAGCCCTCTTCTTGCAGGAGCAAGACGGACAGCAGCCATTGGTGGAAGCGCCACCGCCTTTTTTTGGGGTGGGAAGACGCTCAAGATCAGAGGCCTTAGCAGCAGCAACGCATGCAGCGACACCATTACAGACGCGCAAGAGTGTGCTTTCAGGAGCTTCTGAATAACCAACCATGCAGACGTCGAAGGGAACGGCTGTCCGCTGGCGAGCTGGTAGTCATGCGGAGAAGCCGCTTGAGCAGTCGGAGCCGACAGAGCAGCCACAACACAGGCAACGACGCCCTACCCTGAAGGAGGTCTTATGCCACGAGGGGAATAGGGGTGTTATGAAGGAGTTTGTGGTTTGGTCTTTGCTTCTGCTGGTGGTTCCGCTTGGGTGTCTCTGGGGGGGCTACAAGTGGCTGCAGGAACGACGGCCAGATGCAGCGGCAGCAGACAACATGTGGCTTTCTGGGGTTGGGGCATGTGTCGTTCTGTTTCTACTGACGCTGGCGTATTCTGCGCTAGCCGTAAAGCACGACTTCGCCGATGCTGCTGCTGCAGAACCCCCTGAGTGTCACCCCCCGCAGCAACCAACCCGCGGCAGTAGCGGCGGCCGCCACAAGGGGGACTGACGGAAAACGTTCCTCGAAAGCATTCGAAAACATGGCACTCTATGAGGTCATGACGCACTAGCTTTTTTAGATGCCGATGCTGCAGCAACTAGCAGGGCGCCTAGCCTAAATACGTAAGGCACCTAGATCCTGACCCCCCGCGCGATAGAGGCGTGCGCCTGTGGGTGCTGCTCCGGAAGTAGACAAGAAAATAGCTTCTGCGGAAAGAGACACTGTCGTTGCTGTGTCCCCGTCGCCGCCAGCCCCACTAGCATCTAGCAGCAGACAAAACACTAGGTGACGCTTGCTGCTGCTGCTCTAGCAGCAGCAGCAGGGCGTGAGAAAAGTGCCGCACGGCGCTCTGGAGCAGCTGCTGGCCCTCTGCAGACGCCGCGGGAGCTGCAGATACCGCAATCCGCGCTGCCATAGCAGCGACGGCTGTACTTAGCAGCGGCCGTTGCTGCAGGGGCCCGGTCTTGGCGTGTAGATCCTGCAGCAGTCGCCGCAGCAGCACAGGCACCTCTAGAGCCACCGCGCGAATCCACTGCGGTAGCAGAGGCAACGCGTGAAAGGACACGTAGGCTGCACTGGCGGTGCTCCTGCAGCTTTGCAGCAGTGCGCGTAGCTGCGTCTGAGCGGCAGCCGGCTTGCCGGTTGGACAGCAACACACACGGCCTCCTAGTGGAGCGGGGGGCTCTTCTCTGTCCACGCATTCCTTCAGCGCTGCTCTTGCTGCTGCAAACAAGTGCTCTTGCCGCTGCGAGGCTGCCTGCAGAAGGACCGTCAGCGACTGCGGTTGCATCTCCCGTGGGATCGTGCGTCCTCGGCGTTCTCCGGCAGCTGCAGCAGCTGCAGCAGCTGCTCGTGATGTGGCATGCAGGCAACCTGCATAGTATGCCAAAAAGGCACAGTGCGAGGCACCCTTCGACCGCAGTGCCTGCGCTACACCGTTGCTGCAGCGGAGAAGCAGCGGCCGTGTTACGAGAGGCGTTACAAGCTCTTTGCATGCGGGGCCTCCTCCGGTGCTGCTGCTGTTGCTGCTGCTGCTAACGACTCCATCCAGCGCCTCAGCGTGCGGCGGCAGAGACAGCTGCAGCAACAGCCTTAGCTCTCTGAGCTGCTGAGGCTCCAGATGGATGCTGTTCGAGGCTCCTGATCCTCCTGCTGCTTCCGCTTCGGCTGCGACTGCGGAAAAGTGCTGCAGCAGGGGCAAGGCGTAGAGCTTATCCTCCGCTGCACATTCCTGCAGCAGCGCCAGCAGCTCTGCAGCTGCTGCAGAGACGTCTTTGCTGCAGAGACTCCGCACCGCAGCGTCCAGCTGCCGCTGCATCTGACTTCTTCCGGCTGCAGCGGAAGGTGTGACGAGAGCAGCGGCTGCAGCCGGACTGCCATGACCTCCCAGAAGGCACTCTAAGGCTCTGTCTTGGTGCTGCTGCTGCAGCTGCAGCTGCAGCAGCAGCACCAGAAGCAGCGCACCACCGCCGCCTCCAGCAGAAAAGGGCGCAGGAAAGTCTGCTGCTGCATGCGGCAGTAGCTGGTGCAGTGTCTCGATCCAGGGTTCCACAGCAGGCTGCCTTTCCCACGGCAGTGCAGCAGCCGCACCCCTTGCTGCTGTTGCTTCTCCTGCTGCTGCTGCTCCTCTCGAAGGTGTCAGTACACCCCAAACACGCGAAAGCTCCTGCTGGAGCCCCTCGAGCGTGCAGCCTTCGGCAGCAGAGGCCAGGTGCAGCAGCTGCAGCAGCCTCTGTGCGAACGCTTCGCCGCTCACCAGTCGCTGCTGCAGCTGCACTGCTAGCTGCTGCTGCTGTTGTTGCGGCCAAGGCTGCTGCGCCTTTTGCTGCTGCATGCACCGATAAGGCACAGGCCCCTGAGGCAGAGCGAGAGCCCTCCTTTGCACGAGCAGCAGCCCGCCTTCAAGGAGACTCTCGATCTGACAGCAGCAGCGTCTTGAGCAGCAGCAGCTTCCGGCAGTGCTTCTGCGCGTGCTGCATCCTCCCCTGCAGCGGCTAATAGACAGCGGCCAGTATTTGTTGCTCGACACACGAATGCCTAAGATCGAAGAGGCCTCGGGGAGACTTGCAGGCAGCCACACGCGATGGACGTCATAGGCTTGCATGCAGCTGCAGTCTGCTGCTGCAGCGCATGCCGTTCCGCTGTCACGACAGGCTGCGCGTTGAGGTCGCACCAGCAGCAGCTCTACAGGGAGGGAGACGGCCTTTCCGGAGTTCACTTCCGCTGCCCTCAAGAAACGAGGCTCAGCAGCTAGGGCGTAGAGATGCCTTTCGGCTTGCAGCAGCAACTTGCTTCCGCATGCATCTGTGGGGCTTCCTGTGGGGAGGGGCTGCAGAGACAGCACCAGCGCCGCGACAGCAAGGCTGCTGTCGCGCTGCAGGGACCACTGGCACCCCCCCATGAACAACAAGCCGACGCAGTGATGCAGTAGCAGCTGGTCGGCGTAGCCTTTTCCGTCGCTGCTGCCACTCGTACTGAGGCGGTGTCTCTCCCGCAAGAGCACCGAAAAAACATCCTGACGTCCTGTCCCTGCAGCGACGCATGCAAGGGCGCAGCAGCAGCAGCGCAGCACTGTGGCAGCTGCTGCCGGATCCAGACCGACCTCCTGCTGCAGCTGGGAGCTGAAGATAGGCAGGGAGGGCACCCATACGAGCTGCTGCTGCTGCTGCTGCTGCTGCTGGGGGTCTTGCAAGGGGCGAGGCTCCACACTGCCGATCCGCGCAGAGGCAAACGCCGAATAGTACTGCAGCAGCATCAGCACGACAGCAGAGTTGCCGCTGCCAGCGTACCGCAAGCCAAGACTCCACAATAAGGCCCCGATGCAATGCGCTCGCACCAGATTCGCCTTATAGAGATTCAAGCTGCCGCCGCTACTGCCGCTGCCAGTTGCCCCGTTCTTCGCTCCGCTAAGAGGAGTGGTCATGGTGGGGGTGGTGGTTGTCATGGGGGGGGTGGTGGTTGTCATGGTGGGGGTGGTGGTTGTCATGGTGGGGTTGCAGGAGGGGTCGCGGCTGCCGGTTCGGGGTGGGCAAAGCAAGCCGCTCTGGCGATTCACTAAGCCCGCATATGGCATTCTAGGGGCCTCGCTAGGTGGAGCACGAGGGGATGCAGGGGCATCGCTGGGAAGCACGCGGAGAATGGGGGGAAGCTGTGTGGCGATCCACGCATGCGAGGGTCGTGCACTGCGGAGGCGAATCATGCAGCGAGCCAGCACCTGCAGCACGCCGCAAAAAACGGAGCACAGAGATATACTCCTCGAGACTCTGCGTTGAACAGCGGCATTTTTCACCTTGAAAATGCACAGCGAAGAACGTTGCCTATCGCGTCCTCGACGCCACGCCACCTCTAGAGTAGTGTGGCCTTCTTTTTCTAGAATTTCTGTTTTTTTGCACGGCAGCTGCGTGCAAGGGAAGGAGAAGGGCCAGGGGGTAGGTGTAGGTGTAGGTGTAAGTGTAGGTATAGGTGTAGGTGTAGGTGTAGGTGTAAGTGTAAGTGTAGGTATAGGTGTAGGTGTAAGTGTAAGTGTAGGTATAGGTGTAAGTGTAAGTGTAGGTATAGGTGTAGGTATAGGTGTAGGTTAGGTGAGGCCCCAATCGCTCGAAGACGTTTGCAGACTCTGCAGGCGAAGACACGGAGGGGTGAAGAGCTTTTTTTCTATACCTTGTGAGACACAACATGCGGAAGGCATTCGTTGAGCTGCTGCGCAGTTGTTGGGAGCTGCAAGGCCCTCGCGATCTCTTCGTCTCCTGTGCCAAGAAAAACGAGGCCTACTGCGAGAGCGGCAGGTGCTCCAAGCAAGGAGGCATCCACTCCCCCGGCGTGTGCGTTGTTGTTGCTGCTGCTGCTTTTGCTGCTGCTGCTGCTGTATCCGCCGATCTGCAGCTGCTGCTTTTGCTGCCCGTCACCCCACGGAGACAGCAACAGGCGCGCATGTTCGTCTCCGAGCACGAGGGGGGGCATGCCCCTGCCGCTTCCCCCCTCCCCCGCTGCTGCAGTCGCTGCTGCTGCCGCGGCAGCACTCACAAGAGCCAGCGAACGCTGGAGAGGAGTAGTCTCTGCTCCAGAGCGCTGCCTTCCCCGGAGGCTGCAGTGAGTGGAAGACACTCCTGCGTGCCCCCCCCACAGCCTTGAAGTCGTCAGATTTGCGATCAGCAGCAGCTCAGAAATCCAAGGCTGCACGTCTTCCGCGCTGTCTGCGGCTCCCTTTCGCCGACTGTCGCCGCAGCAGCGATTCGCGAGCCGTCCCCGACATCCTGCCCAGACAGCCCCTAAGGCCCAAGCAGCGCTGAAGGCATAGGCGTGTCTCTGCTGCTGCTGCTGCTGCTGCTGCTGCTGCTGCTGCATCAAGAGCCACGGGGGGTGCAGCAGGTGCTGCAGCAGCGTGCGCGTCAAGGCTGCGTCTCCCGAGCCGAAGTGGAGTACACCGAGGCCTACAAGAGCTGCGGCTTCTACGGAGCCGCTGCCGCTTGTATTGTTGCTGCTGCTACTGCCGCTGCTGCTGAAAAAGGCGGATGTCATGACGGGGGAGGGAGGCAGATGGAGGAAACAAAGCCGCCGGATACTGGTGCTGCAAGTGCCAATGTTGCTGCAGCAGGCTGCGAGCAGCAGACCCACGAGCAGCGCGCTATTATCCGCAGACGCTGTCTGCAGCAACCGCACCCAATCCGCACTCCGCAGCTGCTGCAGGTGCCCCTGTAGAGACAGTCCGAAGCAGACTCCTCCGAATTCTGCCCCCGTTAGCGCGTCCTTGTGCCGCAGCAGCCACTGCCAGAAGCGGCTCGTCTCAAACTGCTGCTGATCCGGAGGAAACCTCGCACGCGGGATGTCTCCTCCCGAAGGGGGTTGCGGCGCCTTGCCTCTCGTCGCGGCGCAGCATGCACAGACACTGCAGCAGAGAGGCTTCTCCTCACCGTGCATCCTTCCCGCAGCGGCTGCCGCCGCTTCAACCCGTCGCCGACGCTGCAGGCTGACAACAGCCAAAGCAGCAGCACATGCGTTGCTAAAAGCCGGCCACGTGAGTGCTTCCGCAGACACTCGCACTTTGGCACGCTGATATCCTAACGGAAGCTGCATGTGCAGAACACGTCGTCGCTCACAGGCTCGGCGACCTGTGCCTCTCACAGCGGGGGGGGCCCCTGCGGGGGCCCCCCCCAGAGGGGCAGAGGGGGCCCCTGTCTCCCCAACGCCGGCAGCTCCCGCAGCGCAAAAGGCTTCCGGAGAGAACTGCAGTGGCAAGGTCTCTTCGTCTACAACGTCCCACGAAAAGTCAGTCGTAGGCTGCTGCAGCAGGTGCTGCTGCTGCTGTCTCGGCTGCTGCAGCTGCTGCTGCTGCTGCTGCAGGGGAGCAACGGCCACGAGCTGGCAGCGCAGATCCATGGGAGGCACTGCTAAACGAGAATGAAGAAAAACCTCGGGATCCGCCGATCCCAGTCTGAGGGCACCCCACCCCAGAGGAAGGGACAGCCGACGCTCAAGCGCTTGCTGCTGCCTCTGCCGCAACAGATCCTCGGAAACAGCAGCAGCTGCTGCGGCAGCAGACTCCAGCAACACCCGCGCACTGCACTGCAGCGTGCAGTCCAAGAGACGCTTCGCCAGACTCGCCAAGGTACTGCCACTGCTGAGCAGCCTGCTGCCCTCCTGCTGCTGCTGCTCCTGCTGCTGCTGCTCTTCTTCTTCTTGCTGCTGCTGCTGCTGTGCAGGCAGGCTGTCTGTACCCAGCTTACTGCTGCTGCCGCCTCCTCCGCTGCGCCCTTCGCTAGAATCCTGCTCGCGAGATCTGTAGCTCGATGCCACAACAGCACGCACCAGCATCTCCCCTGCAGCAGCCGCTAAGGCCTCGTTCTCGAGGCTTGTGCTTCTGCTTCTGCTTGTGCAGCATGCAATGGCAGCACGCCGCTGCACGGCTCGCAGCAGCAGACGGTTTGCTGCAACATCCGTTCGGCGAAGCAGCAGCAGCTGCTGCTCAGTAAGGCCCCGCCTCAACAAATCCTCAGTCACACCCAATCGACGAAACACCTGACTCAACCATAGCCGCAGCGGCAGCATCAACTGCTGCAGTAGCCTGTTATCCAAGCCTGCTCTGCTGCTGAGCTGCAACACCTCCCACAAAGCGCCGTCCTCTTGTTGCTGCTGCTGCTCTTGTTGCTGCTGCTGCTCTTGTTGCTGCCCGTTCGTGGAGAGGCTGCACCGTGGGGGCCCCTGGGGAGTTATTACGTCGGGAAACAGCTGGTGCACTTTTGCGCCGTAGGCTGTAGCAACAGCACAAGCAGCAAAGCGTGTTAATGGCAGCATAAGGGACGGATACAGCACTGTGTGTGGTTGATGTGGCAGCGGCGAACTCCGTAAGTCCATTGTATCCTCGCTGCAAGGTACACTTGCGAGCGCTTCGATATTTTGAGTGTTGTGAGTTCTGTTGCTGCTGCATTCGCCGCTGATTCTGCCGGTGGCTCGGGGTTGCTGCTCGGGGGAAGCAGCAGCAGCAGCAGCAGTAGTAGTAGTAGCAGTAGTAGTAGCAGCAGCAGTAGTAGCAGCAGTAGCAGCAGCAGCAGCAGCCTTGCGTCTCCTTATAAGGCGCTGCAAGGATGCTGCTGCTGCTGTGCAATGACGCCCCTGCCCATGTCTACTGCTCGCCAGCTTTTCCAACAGTGAAACACAGGAAGGCACCTCCTGCAGGTGCCTTAGCCAGACGAGCAGCGGCGGCTCACAGCTGCTGCAGCTGCATGCTGCAGCAGCTGCAATTGCTGCAGCATCGGTGCCGTGTAAGTGAGGGCCTCCCGTTGCGGCTTGAGCAGCAGCAACGGCGAAATGCCGAAGGAGGTGCACGCATCTCAAGTTTCCTGTGCAGCAGCAGACGCTGAAGGGGTTGCTGTTGCTGCTGCTGTGCTGCTGCTGCGCTTGCTGCAAGGCGGGGAAGTAGCACTGGTAGTAACTAGCGAAGAGAGGGAGTTTAAAAAGGCGAGCCAGGGTGTGCAAGAGCCGCGCAAGTTGCTGCACCTCCTGGTGTACTGACACCTGACGCAGGAGAAGGTCCTCGAGTAGCAAATGCAGCACCAAAAAGACACAGGGCATCTGCGTGCGGAAGCCAAGCTGCTGCCACTCCCCGACGGTGCAGCAGCAGCAGCTGCTGCTGCTGGCTGCAGAGGCCTTTGCAGGCAGTGACGCAGGAGGCGTGGAAGATGCTGCTGGAGAATCTGTCTGCGACGCCTCGTGTTGCTGTGCCTGCTCTTCTTGCTGATCAAGCTGCTCTAGGCAGCCGTGAGCGCCGCGAATGATTGCAGACAGTGATCCTAGTCCATCCTCTTCAAGAGATCGGAGGAGGGCTGCTGTTGCACTTGTTGCTGCTTGTGTTGATGCACTTGCACTTGTTGCTGCTTGTGGCCTACCTCGATCGCTGCAGCAGCGATTCGCCTGCTGAGAGCGCGGAAAAAATTCAGCAACTCGGCGCCGCTTCTGTGGAATCTTTCGCACGTTGAGGGGTGTCTGGTGTTTTGCGAATTGTGTTTGCTGATGCTTCTGAGAAGGGAGGGGTAAGTCGTCTTGGCCCCCAAGAAGCGTATCAGAGGGCTGTTCAAGCAGCTGCACCCCCACTTCCATGACTTCAAAGTGCTCGTTTCCGCTGTTGCAGCTGCTGCTGCCTTCGCTGCTCTCTTGACTGCAGGGGGTGACGCATGTTTCGAGGCAGAGGAGCGAGCAAAAGGCCTTCCACTCGAACGTCGCGAGGTTGGCGGATTCAAGAGAAGCACTCAAGATGCCTGACTGGTAGGAGGCCAGGGCATGTGGAGACTGGCAGAAGCGGAAGACAGCAGGCAGCAAAAGTGCAGCTGCTTGCGGCTGCAGCAGCGCCGCAAGGGTGTGCATGCATGCGCGTAGCAGCCAGCTGCTCTGTTGCAACCGCACGCTGCAGCGGAAGCTCTTGAGGCGGCGCAACTGCAGCTGTCTCCGGTGCTGCAGAGTTCGACACTGCTGAGGAAGTTGAGGCAGACAACCTGGTGAGGGCGGACGCTGCTGCTGCTGCTGCTGCTGCAGCAGCAGCGTCACTCGGAAGGTGTTTGCTGCTAAGGGGCTGACGGCAACTGGAGCAGCAGCTGCGCATGCCAAACCTCTGTCTGGATGCAGCAGCACCAGCTGCTGCAGGAGCAAGTCCCCTGCATACAGCCGCAGCACTCCGTCCAGGTGTAACCCCACAAAATGCTGTGGCAGCTCATGCTGCAGCACTGGGAAGGAGCAGCACTTTGTTGCGCAGGAGCTTTGGCACCGCCCTTGCTGTTGCAGCGACACAGCAGGAAGGGAAACAAGCACACGAGAACTGCCGTCTATACGACCATCGCGCGCAGCTGCATCGGATAGCGGTAAAGAGGCTGACGCTGCCGCCGTTTCCGCCGAATTCTTCAAGCAGCAAAAGGCAAGGATGTCAGCAATAACGCTATACGTGCTGCTGCAAGTTTTGCTGCTGCTGCAAGGGCTGCAGCTTGTGGGAAGAGGCAGCAACAACAGTTTGTGGCATTGCTCCAGCAGCAGAAGCACCCGCAAGCGTGTCTCCACAGCATAAGGACTGCCATACGGGAGCAGCAGCAGCGCAGGGGGACAGAGTGGAGCTGCGCAAGCCTCACGCATCGCTTCAGGTGGAATCGCAGCAGCAGCAGCAGCCCGTGCTGCTGCTGCTGTCGCTGCAGCTGCCTTAGACGGAGCATCTGCTGCTACTTCTCGTGTCTGCTCCAAAGAAAAAGATGCGATTTGCTGCAGCTCATAGAGAGGCGCACTCCCGAGACACCGAGGCAGAGTCAGTTGATGCAGACGCTGCTGCTGCTGCGAAGTGAGAAGAAGCTTCTGCAGAGGCAGCCCGCCTTGCAGCACTCTCTCATCTTTCCCTTGTGATTGCTGTTGATCTTGTTGGTACTGTTGATATTGCTGCTGTTGTTGTTGATCTGGTTGGTGTAGGTGCTGCTGTTGTTGATCTTGTTGCTGCTGTTGATCTTGTTGCTGTTGTTGATCTTGTTGATCTTGTTGTTGTTGATCTCGTTGTTGATCTCGTTGTTGATCTTGCTGTTGATCTTGATCTTGTTGTTGTTGATCTTGCTCTTGTTGTTGCAGTTGCTGTTTTGCATAGTGCTCCTGTTGACATTGCTGATGCTCTAGGGAGAGTGCTTCTTCTTCGTCTAGCGGCAGGAGAAGGAGCAGCAGAAGTCGCTGCGTTGCAGGTGCTACTGCAACGGCCAGAGGCAGCTCATTGAGAATTCCCAACACCGTCACTGAATAAGTGTCACTGCTGCTGCCTCCTGCGTGGGTGAAGCGAACATACGCATCAGCACTCTGATGAATACTGCAGACGCCAGTGCTGCAGCGATCGCTCCTGCGAATATTACTGACGCAGCCGCTACAACATCGAAACATAACTGGCCTTGCCCTGCCACCTCCCCGTACAGACACAGAGAAGAGGATAACACGCGCACAGTTCCCTGTTGCTACCATAAGCGGCTCTTGCTTGTGCTGCTGCTCTTGCTGCTGCTGCTGCCGCTCTGGCTTATGCTGCTGCTGCTGCTCTGGCTTATGCTGCTGCTGCTGCTCTGGCTTATGTTGCTGCTGCTGCTCTGGATTACGTTGCTGCTGCTGCTCTTGCTTTTGGGAGTGTTGCATGGGGAAAGGCATCGTGTTAGGAAGGATAAATGCAACACTTGCCAAAGCTGCAGTTACCCAAATGTGGCGAGCCGCAACGGGAACGTCGACAGCCAGCTGTCGCTCCGCTGCTGCGACTTGTATGCCGCTGCTGCTGCTGCTTGTGCTGCTAACATCGAAGCATTCCACAAGCGCGCGCTCCCCGCTTCCGTCTCTCTCTAGAATCCAGAGACGCAGAGGCTGCCCACTCTGCCGTGAGCTGCGGCTCTCTCCCGCTGCTGAAGCAGCAGCTGCTGAGCCGCTAGCAGCAGGTGCTAGAACGGCTGCAATAGGCGCATGCGCTGTACGCACAGCCTTCGCCACGACCGTCCCGACCGTAACAGCAGCGCGCCTCAGGTGTCCATACAGCTGAATATGCGCGACTCCCTCACGTCCGCATGCGAGCAGCGGCTGCTGCCGCAGCAGACAGGGAACCCTGTGCTCCTGCTGCTGCAACAAGCACCATCTTTGCGCAGCAAATAGTGCTGCATCTTCCGCTGCGGCTTCTGCTGCGGCTGCTTGTGCTGCCGCGACAGCCGAAGGGCTCAAGGCCGAAGTTGCTGTAGCGGCTGCTCCTCCTGTAGCTGCAGCAGCAGCTGCAGCAGCAGCTGCAGCATGAACACGACGCGCGGCAACAGCTCTCAAGGACTGACTCAAACATGCCAAATCACTCAGAATGACATCCTGATGCTCTCCTACTCCCCCGCAACCCTTTCGAGCTCCAGCCGTTCGTGCCGATGCCCTTGTTGCCGCTGCATGCGCAGCTGCGCCTCTCCTGCTGTGGGAAGCAGGATACGCGCTGCCATTGGAAGTCGAGGTGCCTGGGGGGGAAGCTGCTGCTGCCGGTGGTGCTGTTGTGGACGTACAGCGCGGCGCAGACTGCAGGGGAAGCGAGCCGTCCTCCGGCTCCCGAGAGAGGTGGCCGCTGTTGTTGCTGCTGCAGCAGCAGCTGCTGCTGCCGCACGGGGTGCCGCTGCAAAAGCAGCTGCATTCTCCAGGGAAGGATCCCTCCTCGCCCCCCAGGATAAATGGAGTGATGACTGTGTCTTCCAGCGGGCATGGGTAGGCGCGAGTTACGCAGCCTTCCGCGGCTGCCACGTCCAGCAGCATCAAGACTGCAGTGTACGCAGAGCCGCAGGGGACACCCACATTGCCTCAAAAAAAAAAGTCATGCTGCTCACGATGCAGCGCCAGACGCTGCCGCTGCCTTTGCTGTTCGTTGCTGAGCTTCGCGGTTCTAGCAGCAGCTCTGCTCCTGACAGGAGAGTGCACGACACCCAGCAACCGCCCCCTCCCTCCGGGCCTTTTCAGCCACAACCAAGTGCCCTCGAGCGAATAATTCACCAAAAATACAGAGAAATACCATCCATGGCGCCTCCTTTAGGACCACACAGTCACAGCAACAACTGCCAGGAACCCGCCACCGACTCCACCCTCCAGACTCCAGCAGTCTCAGGCAGATCCCCGATTAAATGCTCTCCGTATTTCGGCCGGCAATGTGGTATTATTGCTATCCTTTTTGATCTGCTAAGAAGATTGGACTCCCTCTAGCCCTCGGCAAACCCAGCTCCTCATGCCCGACCGCGATTCGGTCGTCGCTGCTCCTGCTACTACGGCTGCTACGGCTGCTGCTGTGTTTATACCTACGTTCACACGTTTGATAATCTCCCCTGCCTCTTGCAGCTGCCAGCCACCCACCGTTCCTCTCTGCCGCTTTTCTCCTCTCCTGCTGTGACTGTCTGCGTGTGTTGCTGCTCCCTGCGCTGCTTCCCCCAACACTCATAAAAATACCTCCTCGCGCACTGCAACCGCGGGAGCTGCGAGAAGGACAGCAGGCTCCCCTGAAAAGGCCTCTAGTGCCTTTGCGGTCGGGGATCCTGAGTGTTTTTCGGGGGAGGAGTCCTTTTAGCTGAGTGCACGGCGTATAGCGAGCCGCTTCCTCAGCTGCACTTCTTGGCGACTATTTTAGCTGCAAACTGAGGGCCGTCAGGCACAGCTTTGGCTTAAGGGCGTTTTGCTAGGGGGAACTAAGGGCCATTGTCTGTGAGAAGAGAGGGGACTGGGTACACAGAAAGGCGACGAGGAAGGGGATTCCAACTGCGCACATGCCTTGTGCTGCGCCCCTTGACCTCCGACACCATAGCGCCTAGAAGGCTCAGGGTTATCCCGTGCAAAATAGGCTGCACTGCACTGCACCGCGAACTTCTGTGACGCCAAAGGCACGTACTATTTGCGGTTGGCTCTGCCGAGTGGTGTCCAATTAGATACCTGCTACATGCAACTGAGGAAGCTATTTCGAGCTCCCTCAGTTGGTAGGCTCGGGCGCTTTCCAGCAATTATATTTCACCATGAATGTGCAGAGATTTGACGAGTCTGTCGGTCTGTCCATGCATAGACCTTGGGTATCGCAGAGGAGCGTCAATTCGAAACAACACGCCGCAAGGTCGTGCGCCTTTGTGCTACACGCTGTGTGTAATTAGCTGTGAATACTCGGTGCGCTTGGAGCTACAACGACGTGCACCCTGGCTGTCCGTCTCCTCTCATGCTGAACTCTGAAGGGCGGGCCGAAGAGGGAAGAAAAGGAAGCTCTTTGAGGAAACCCTCAGTAACGTTGTGGTGATCTAGATTACGTTTGGAGGCAAGCGTCTCCCCGCGAAAAACCATAGAGGGGGAGTCGCACGAGTTGGTTTGTGGTGCTGCACAGATCAAAGGTCCCGTGTGTTCTAGGAGTGTCGCCCCTACATGCAGCTCTCTCTTTTGCTGCCGACCCTTTAACGTAACAGCACTCGGCCTTGCGCGAGCGACTGCCCGCAAGACTGGTGCTCAGGAGGCTCAACACTTCGCGGCTGCCAGGAGACAGTGCGTCGATAGGGGGCAGCCTTAAATACCGACTTGTTAGAAAGATCCCCTCACGCTGAATCCGTCCTTGGCCCTCAGGACGAAAGGGCGTTCTGCCAAGCAAGGTCATGTTTGGCGTTCCGTCTGCCGGGGAGGCTAGACGCAGCGGGCTAGCTTAGATCCTGGTCTGCTTGTTGGTAAGTTTCCAAGTGTCTCCATCGAGTGCTGTTGTCGCTTCTCACGTGTGGGTGCCGCTTGGGTAGTTGTTGCGGCTCGTTGTTGCAGCCTGCAGCAGCGCCCGTAAAGCCACCATGAAGCTCGCACCGATGGCAACAAAACTTTGCAACACCCTACTGATATCGCAACGGGCCTGCGGGGTCAGACTGATCGACTGCTCCTCGAGCTGCGCTTCTAGCTGCCTTGGATGCTGCTGCAAGTGCTGCTTCTTTTCCTTCTCCTGGTCCTTGTAGAGGGCATTGCCGTGGCTGCGAACCGTGCGAATTGGCAACTCGAATTCTCCTCTAGGGGCCTTGCGCCCGCGAGCTCGGCGCTCGGACTGTGTGGGGTTGGGCAGGCTGTAAGACATCCTAGGAGGGAGTTGCTGCTGCTCTTCGGATGTCGGCAGTTCTGCTGCACGCTGTTGAGCCGGCAGGGAAGCGAAGGGGGAGGAATAGCGTTTGTGGGGGCGCCGCAAGTGATGAAGTAGGCCGCGATGATGCTCCGTGGGTGTCGCCTCTCCAATATCATCCTCTTGGGGAGTTGAGACCGCTGATGCAGAGCCAACCCTCTCGACCCTGTGAAGCGCTTGCTGTTGCGCGCGCTGGTCGCCCTTCTCGTGGGGTGTGGCACCATGTTCTGAGAGGGGGGCCCTTCGAGGGTCCTCTACTGCCTTCGCTTGCCGAGCCTCAGCCTCGTCGCGTTCCCCCGCCGCTCCGGATGCATGAGGAGGCTCTGGCTCATCATGCGGCACTCGGGTTGCCTCTGCTGCTGCTGCTCTTGCTGCCAGCGCACCGCAGGGCGTTGAGCAGGAGGGGTGTGCATGGCTACTCATGCCACACGGGAGGAGCTGCTGCTCCCTCTCCAGTGTTACTGGCAACAGCAGCTGAGACATGTGTAGGACTTGCAGCTCGTTATCGTGCTCTGCGGACTGAACAGGAACCGTTCCAGGAGCGTCTTGATGCTGTGGCTGGTCTTCGATCGGCTGCTGAAACTGTCGCTCTTCTTCTTCTTGCTGCTGCTGCCGAAGCTTTTGCTGCTTCTGGAGGCACGGCTCCTTATCTGCCTGCCCTTGCAGTGCAAGTGCAGGCTTGTGATTCTTCATGTATTGGCCAACCTGGCTTGCTTCGCATTGATTCTCCTGTAGCTCCTCCGACTCTTCTTGAGCCTGCATAGCCTGGTCTAGTTCGTGGTCTGCAAGGTGCCTAGGCCACCTTTGCTTCTTCGCCCTTTGAGCATTGAGCCTTTTAAGGCTTTTCAGGGCCTTTTCTTCCTTCTTTTTGCGTTTGCTGCTCCGCCGAGATTCCGGATGCTGCTCCTTCTTTCCGTGCTCGTATCGCCCCTCATCATCCCCATGCTGCGGCGCATGCAACGCTTCGCGCTTCTTGTCTTCCTCGAGGCTCTCTTGAAGCTGCTGCTGCAGCGCCTTGTCCCCGTAGGGCGGCTGTGTCTCTTTGGGGACTGGCCGATGGCTCTTTTTGTGGTGTCGCCTGCGATGCGAATCGATGGCGCGGGGGGAGGACTTTTTCCCGGAAGTCAAGGTGTTGTGTCTTGCGTCGACCTTGAGTGCTCCTGTCTCTTGCTGCTGTTGCGTTTGCTGTGCAGGAGCCATAGCTGAGACGCTATCATTGGTGGCGTCTGAGTGAGGCGTGCACTGGTGCGCTCTGGCTGGTACTTGTTTTTCTTGCTGCTCTTGCTGATTATGCTCTTGTTGCTTGTACTCTTGCAGATCGTGCTTTTGCTCCTCGCGTTGCAGCTCACACTGCTGCAAGACCTCGTGCGTTTGGATGCAGGGCAGTGTCTCTTGCTGCCCTAGCGGATTCGTATTGCGGCTTCGCTGAATTATGTGGAGGGTATGGAGGGGCTTGCTTCTCTGGGTGCCGGTCCGCGCTGCCTCGACTTGTTGTTGGAGCGGTCGCTCACTCTCTGGAGCTTCGCTCTGTTGCTGACTTCCAATGGTTCGCCTCCACGGCAGGAGCTGCTTCTGCCACTGCCATCGCTTTTGCTGCTGCATCGTTTTTAAAGTCCTATTCCTCCGGCTTGTCCAACTGAAGAAGCCCAGTTTTGCGTTGTGCTTGTACGCCTGCAGCTCTTCTGGCTGCCGCTGTACCTCGCTTGCCTGATGCAACTCGCCTGTGATGGTGCCTTTGTCTGTATGGCGCTTGCGACTGAACAGACGACGCTTCGGCTGCGCTTCCACTTGCTTCTGCTGCTCCTGCTGCCCTTGTTGCCGCGTATTCTTGGCCTTGCTGCTCCCAAGGATTCTCCTCAAAAGGCGCTGCTTTTCACGTTGCAGTTGCTGCGTGTTCTGGTCTTGTTGTTGCCCTTCAAGTTGCTTCTCCTTGCGCCGCTGCCGGCTGAGACTGGCTAGTTTCCGCCCCCGTGGCTGCTTTTGTTTGAGGGCCTTGGGGCTGAGATCGGTCTGCTTGGTGGTCCAGCTGAAGAAAATTCGCTTAACTTTGTGCGAGTTACCGGCACTGCCCTCTTCTGTCTCTCGTTTGCCGCAGTCCCCTACAGTGGAGAGCCCCTCCTGTGTGGCCGCTGGTCGGCGCCTTAAGGAGAAAAAACGGCGACTCTTTGCCGTTGACGTGAAAGCTCCTTCTCCTGAGCCGCCTTCAGTCTTCTTTCTGTACTTGCTGTATTGTTTGTTCCGTAGCCACCATCTGGTTTTGTCGCCGCTGCTACTGTTGCCGGTGCCTTTAGCTTCTCCTCCGCCAGGCTTCATTCGAGGGAGCGTGGTAAGGGCCGAGCGTAGGAGGGCGCTGCCTGAATATGTTTTCATGGCTTGGCTGAAATCTTCTCTATGTGCTGACCCACGGAGAGGCCAGCAGTAGAAAGGGGAATCTCGGGTCGTAATCCAGCAGTCCTTTGACTAGAGGTTCCCCGTCGCAGCTACCTGATAAGCCTCTCCGGCTCACAGCAGTCGCACCAGAACATGCGTACATGCATTCCTACATACATGCATGCATACATTGATACATACACACACACCCCCCTCTGCCTTCCTCTCCCGTACTGCTGATGTGGCTAGAAACTACAGTAGCGGGAAAAGCGGCAGTAGGTGTTTTCAGCGTCGATTTTTGCGCACTGGTGGCTCCGTGCAGCCGAAAGCCTTGTCTCCTGGGCTCTCATGCAGGCCGCAAAGTGATCCCTAGACGAGGCTTCTTTGAAGGACTGCTTAATTAGATGAACTAAGCCGTTGCAGCCTTAGGGGCTTTGGAGTGCAGGGATAGCCTGCAGGACGTGAGCGCTCCGCAACCGCCCCCTGTGTGGTGCCGCAGCGGCTGCTGCCGGTCTCCTTGTTGAAATCCCCTGAAATAAATGTAGAGAAAATTTAAAAGTAGGATATTTCGGCCTTAAAGCGTCTGTAGGGCCCCTTTAAGCACTCTCCCGAGCACGGTGTAGGGGGCCCCGCGTGCACTCCGCCACTCGATTTGGGAGCTCCACCAGAGCACGGAACCCCTGCCTCTTCTGCCAAGCAACCAGTACACAGTGAGGCATTAAAAAGATTCGGTTAAAAAGCAAGAAGTGTTAGAATGTCAAATGGGGGCAGAAAGAAAAGTTTCAGCCTCCAGGATTCCCGCCGCAATACCACCCACTACCAGGGGACGATGCGCAGGGGCCCCATAGCCGACGACGTCGCTTCTCCCTTGGGGCCTCCTGAGGCCAGCTACTGAGTTTGCATTTCCGCATCCAGTGTACAGAAAGGTACTTCGCAACAACAGAAGAATTGTCTCCGTTTTACCGGATAGACCTCTCCTTCCCCAAGGGCGGCCTTGAACGCGACAAGGTCCCGAGAAATCCAGCACTGCGCATGCAGCCGCGCACAAATGGCTAGGAGGCGGTACTTGAGAGGCCATGCTTAGAGACTTGACGGCGTAGAAAGAAGGGAACCGAGACAGGAGTCGCCAGTCAACAGGGAAGGAGGAAGCGGGGGGAGCGACTATTTCCCACCCTCGCTCGCAGGAGGTAATGGGCTCCACGAGGCACACGTCCACCTTTTCAGCGGCCTCCAATGCCGCGCTCAAGCAGAGGCACTGCACCTTTTCAAGAGGCGCTTCGGGCTGGTGACGCCCTTAGGGCCGCGCAACAGTTTCCTGGAGCCTTCCAAAGCTACACGGCAGCGGTAGCCGCAGCGGCAGCCGCAAGAAACAGGCACAAGTTGGCAGAAGCTCTCTGTAGGTACGTCGAATGCAGGTTCAGGAAAGGGTCAATTTTCTAGCTTTACGCATTTATTTTTTCTCCTCGACCTTCGGGGGCCTAGCGAATGACGCAGATTTGCCTTCCTCTATGCAGATTTCTCTTGGTTCCTCCATGGAAGACGCTTCCAAGGACGTATAGGCGCTCTACAGGGCTTTCTAGCGATGCAGCATTTGCAGTAGAGGGTAGTAGGAGTACTGCTGATAGCAGCAGTAACGAGTGATAGCAGCAGTGAAAAGAGTGAGAGCAGCAGTAAATAAAGGGAGCAGCAGTAAATAGAGTGGTAGCAACAACAGAAAGCCATGGAGTGTGGACGTTGCACACGTGTTGTGTCGCGGGCTCTCTTTCAGGTCTGCTGTTTGCTGCTTAGACGCTGCTGGCGATCTCGAAGGTGGCGCAACAGTTCTCTCCTTCCTGAGAAGAAGAAGAAGCTCACCAGCACGAGCGGCAGGTGAGGCAACAGCCGCAGCCTGTGGCAGAAGAAGCAGCAGCAGCAGCATAAGACACCTCCGCAGCCGCACAGCGCCCCCCCCTAGGCCTTGGAGCCAAAGTGCAGCTCCCATAGCCGCAGCACGCGCAGTAGCAAAAGCAGCTTTTGCTGATTCGCCAGAAAAGGCAGCACGGGGGAATCCACAAAGGCTGCTGGTGGAAGCTCTTAGATTTGCTTCTAGGGCCCTGCGCTTCAAACCTCACAGGTGAAGAGCTTCTGCGTATTCGGATCGAAAACTTCTGCTGCTGCAATGACTATATATCTATATATATATATATATCTATATATATAAATATATATATTATGTATATGTATGCGTTATTCGAAGCACGGCACTTGCGGCTGCTGCGGCTTTCCTGTCGCAGCGTTCTGAGCTTGCACGCAGCAGCGCAAGCAGCTCTATTGCTGCAGCTACCAGGGCTGGCGGCCTCTTTAGCGGCCCTTCAGCTGCGGCACCTGCGGCAGCCAAGCCTCTCGAGGGTTTGCCATGGACTGAACCAGCAGCAGCAGAAGCAGCAGCAGCAGCAGAAGCAACAGCAGCAGCAGCAGAAGCAGCAGCAGCAGAAGCAACAGCAGCAGCAGCAGAAGCAGCAGCAGCAGCAGAATCAGCAGCAGCAGGGAGTCAGCTGTTTAGTGAATTCCTTCACGCTGGACTGTGTGAATCCTGATGTGGCATTGGCAGCCCTGCAGGGGCCTACTTACAAGTGGTGTCGACGCCTGCCTGCTGGCTTACTGATGCTCCTTCGCCAGCACAAACATGAGCAGCAACAGCAGCACGAGGGGGGGGTATTGGTATCACAGCAGCAAGGAGAAACGCAGCAGGAACCCGTGAAGCACTCTGATGCAGGCAACCGTCGGCGGAGGGACGTGTGGCTGCTGCAACAAGCGCTGCGAGTAGCTGCAGTCCTTGCGGCAGCAGCGCCAACAACAGCAGCAGCAACAACAGCAGCAGTAGAGGCTTTAAGCCAAGGGGAGGCTTTGACCAACCAGGAGACTGCTGTGCAGGTGATGCGTTGTCTGGCACTGCAGCAGCTTATGCGCGCATGTACGAATAGTAGGGCGCGTTGCCTGGGAACTGTCTCTGCAGGCCTTCGGCTGGAGGCCGCTCTAAGGCTAACCTGTTGCCACGGAAGCGCTGGGGAGATGATGAGTCAGTGCTCAAGAGGAAGCTTTGCGATGCTTTTATCCCCATGGTGGAGGCGTACAGCCCTCTGTGAGGCCGGGCTGCTTTTGAGCAGTGCTGCCTGTTGTGCATTGACGAGGGCAGCAGATCTTGAAGCTGCGTTGTTGCAGGCAAGCCCCGCTGTATCGCATTTGATTTTGTTGATGGCGTTTTCTGATGCTGATGCTGCCGAGATTTATTTCTGGGCTTTGCTCGCTCATGGGAATGGGAAGCTCCTTCATCGCGACGGGGTATCTCTTGTGCTCGTGCAGGCGCTAACGTCCATGGAGGCGGCCCTCAGCGAGCTTCATCAGGAAGAACCCACAAGCAGCAGCAGCAGCAGCAGCAGCGGGAAGAAGAAGAGCAGCTGTACAAGTCCTCCGGACGTTCTTGCTACCCCTACCTGGCAAAGCAGCTCTATTAGCACCAAGAGCACACTCAGAAATCTCTGCATGGCTGTGCAGAGATCTCTAAAGGAGGCCCTAGAGCACACCGAGAGGCGCCTGACAGCAGCAAGCGCTGCTTCTGCTTCTTCCGGACTCAGTTCGGCGTCTTTCTTTGCTGCGTCAGAGGCCTGGCGTGCGCGGTGTCTGGTGGCCCTTGGAGATCTCTCAGGAGTAAGTAGTTTCTGCGCGTGCCGTTGTTGCTGTTGCGGCTTCGGCTCTGCAGCACTGCACGTTCTGAGGATGGCTTACACAGCCATCCTCGGCGCAGGTAGAAGCTGGAGAAAGAAAGATAGAGAGAGAAAGATAGAGATAGGCAGACAGACAGAAAGAGAGACAGACGGAGAGACAGACAGAGAAAGAGGCCCTCTTTGCGTGTGCGAGTTGCAGGCCCTGGAGGCTGCCTCGGCGGCTGTGTCGCATGATATCTGGGCAACTGCGGGGAGCCTAGAGAAAGGGCATACACTTTTCAGCGGGAGCAAGGCCTCCGGGGAATATTCCAGCACGCAGCCCTTCGGCCTACTCGGTAAGACGACACCTTGCAGACAGCCTTGAACACAGGAGCCGGAAGATTCTCGGAAAAGCCAAGGGACACAGAGCCGACGACTGGGAAGCCTTGAGGGAGACAGACAAACAGCAGCAGCAGTATTTGTTCGTGCAAGGAGATCTGCACAGAAGGGCAGGGGCTGCTTGACCAGGAACGCACGGTTGGCGCTAAATGATGGTGTGGCCTGGTGGACGGTCCTCGGTAGCGACACTCTGGGGAGCTCGAGAGAAGTGCAGACTTCATACTCCACACTGCCGTCTGCTGAAGTTTTTGTGTGAATACGTTGTTCTCCAGGGCCGTTTACAGCACTGCGACTACGAGCCTTGACCCTGTGGGGCCTTGGCTGTGCCGCGGAGGCTTCGATTTCCCTTCAGCTCTGCCGGAAGCTGGAAGAGGCTCTCTGGCTTGCGCATGCGCGTCCTTCTCAGCAGCAGGGGGAGAAGGAGAAGCAGATGAGGATGGCGAACTGTAAGGCTGCTGCCCCCCGTGTTAAGTTGAAAAAGGCGCTTCTAGGACACGCCTCTGTAACCTGAGCAAGTCTCTGCCCTCTTTCGCCTTGGGCTTTACGGCTAGGCGGGGCCTTGTGCGAGAGTGAGGCTGTGCAGCTTCTACTATGGCCAGCCGCTACCACCGTCGCACCCCCCAAGAACTTGAGCGTCTTCGTCTTCGTAGGGAAGTGCAGCGTGGGGCCCCTGTCACGCTGCATTTTTCGTGCGAGATCGGCAAGGGAATCTCCTGAGGAGATGGACCTAGCAGTCCTCGGCAAAAAGCCTCCAGAGAGGCGCTCGAGGATCTGCAAAAGTAAGCCTCATCAGTACTGCGTTCGCTCCAGTGTGTGGCACTCACAGCTACAGAACCTAAAGGACCAAGGGCCTCCACAGAACTGCTCACACGGTAGATAGCCCTGAGCGGAAGGCTCCCCACTAGAGGCACAGCTCTGCCTTTGGGGAGACGCATGGCGCCTACCCCGTACATTGGTGCCTTCTACTTACTCCTTGACGTGAGACAGTGGATGCAATTGCGTAGTATTTCTCGTTTCCTGCCGTTTTTCACTCTGTCCGTCGGACCCTAGCGACCCATAGGCGTGTGCCTCTAGCGGTGTCCCTACAGTTTCTCCCTCTCTCGCTTTGTGTAAATGCCAGCCTCTCTGTGGCGGAGTCGCTTTTATTCAGTGGCATTGGGGGGAGCGGGGGGAGGGCCCGCTGAATTCTGCGTAGCTATCTCTGCCGGCACTGCTGCTATGCCAAATTTTCAAGCGGGCTATTCAGAAATTTTTGGCGTGTAAAGAGGCTCACAAAAAGTGAGCCCGCCCTTCATAGAAGTTCTGCCGTGCAACGTTCTTTTAAAGGTTTCTTGTCCACGGGGAGACACTTAATTTGAAATGGGAGGCAAATTTTATCAAAGTCATGTAGTGCTTCTCAAAAGAGCTTTCACCTTCTCCTGCCCGCGCCCCTACAGAAATGGCTCCCGCCATGAAAAAGAGGCACAGGTACGGTGCATGTAGCTGCACTCTCGAAACATTTGAGCATTTAGGGCTGTTTGCACATAGCATCCAGCGCACGGGTACACAACATTGCACCGCCTTTTTATATCGGGCAAATACTGCTCTGCAACAAGAAGATATACGAAAATACACACTCACACACCCTGAATGCTGACATATCCTTGATCAGATATAACCAGTACATCAGAAAGTGCCTATATGTAGCATTGCGTGTTACACATGCTACGGGGGGAACCGGCCAAATAAGTTTATCTAGGGCTCTCTCGTCTCCCAATGCTAGCTTGGAACCAGGGTCCCAGTAAAGTGGACACGTAAATCATCTTCACCCCTTGTAGATGAAAGTCAGGTGTCTCGGGGGGCGAATTAACCGTATGATTCAAACTCTTCTACGTAATGTATGCAAAACAAAGGCGGGGCAAAGGTCCCTAAGAGCGACTAAAGGCACATTAATTCTCAGGTTCTTGCTGTTGAATTCACTCCTAGTATTGTTTCTGTATTTGCTTTTGCGTGTCCTGCGTCTACTGGGGAAGTTACGGGAACGGCTGGTGCTGGACTCTTTGCGCTAACCCGAATAGCAGGACCAGTGGTGCCAAAGGGGCACCTTTCATTAAATTCTCTAATGAATCGATTTTCAGTATTTCTTTAGGATATTAATAAACCGTTATAGGACAATAATTCGGGCATACTGGGAAAAACGAACCCCAGGAGGACATGCCAAAAGAGTGTTTACAGTTTGGGGTGATTCCCCCCTAGTGAAGGGTCGCTTACACCCTCCCACGGTTTGCTGCCGCAGCAAGCCGCGGAATATTCATATTTGGATGCTATATCTTATTATGGTGTGTCAGTCAAATGTGGTCATAAAGATTTCACTCTCTTTGCCCGAGCGGCCAGAACTTGGCGGAGGTATCCCGAACACCCCAAGAGAGGAAGCGCTTCCCAAGCGAACGCACATATTCCCTTGTCTTTGTATCTTTGATGAAACTTTTTGTCAGTTCGAACCTTGGTATTGACCTATACTGCATAGCCTTAACTGGGCCCCGTTTCGGATGTACCCCTTTGCCACCTGGTTTTTCCGTCACTTCTTCCGCCTTCCGTAAAGTGACCCCCTCCGTATCCCTCGGCTCTCGCTGCATGTTCTCAGACAAGCCTCAGCGCTTGAGCCACAAATCGAATCGAAGGCTTCGGCGCCTCACAGAGGAGCGGAGAGGCACCACTTTTTGTAGCAAACGCAGCACTTGCTGTCCAGCAGCTTCAGGAGGCTAGAGAAATCCCCAGCCCTAAGATAAGCACAAACACAGAGCCAAGAGCAGCAGCAGCCGCGCACAGGGAGCCTCAGAGCTATATCATGAGTTTCCCGGAGGCAGCGGACCATTCATTCCACCCCCTCATTCTTCGGCCCCCGTCAAGACACCCCCCCCCCGCTGCCGAGCAGCGGAGGATCTCAGTTGGCTGCCGCCTCTTTTCAAGTGTAGAGGACTCTTCTTGCATGCGCCTCCCCCCCGATGGAATTGGGGGCGCCGCTGGTCTCTGGGGCCCCCATGACTTGCCCATGCGCTCCTCGAAGGCAGCAGGGGCCCCCCTCATCCTCCTCTCGCCGCCGCCGTTTGCCGTTTGGGGGCCCCCCTCCGCTCCCACTTGTGAGGGCCCCTATCCGGGTAGGAGGCGCTCCTGCCTCGACGCGGAGTTCCCTGGGCGCCTACCCATAAATCCTCCCCCCGAGATCTTGAAAAACACGCTTTCCAGCACAGCCTTGCAAGGCCAGGAGGCCCCTTCCGACGGGCAGCCACGTCTAAGATCCAGCAACTGTCATTCGCTGCGCGGCACTTTCGAGCGAGACAGGTGGACAAAGGCGTCCTCCGAGCAGAAGGCATCCCACGGATCTTCCGCATCCCGAGAGGGATATAATGGGGGTGGAAAGAACGGCCTTTCCTTCCTCCGTTTCCCTGATGGCTGCCCTCCCTGTTGGGAAGGGGGGCACACAAGGCTACCAACGACTACCCAGGGGGCCCCCCCCCCTGCGCTGACATTGGCCAATACCTCTTCTCGCTCGCGCTGCGGCTTCGCACAGAATGCAGGCATGGGCGACACCCGCGAGAGTCAATTTTACTCTCCAAGAAGGGGCCCCCGACATCTACCCCACCGGGCAGTCGCCGTCGGCTTGCCAGAGGCCTTCCTCTCGGGTGGGGGCAGTCACAGCACAGACAGCAGTCTTCCCAAGAGCAGCAGCAATCTGAACCGTGACAGTAGAGCAAGTGCACCGAGCAGCTCTGTGCTGCAGCCGCCTTCACGAGGAGGGCGAATTCGCACCAACGCCAACTCCATGTGGCAGGGATTCCCCTCCCATCAAGGCCGTCGAGAGGCGTATGAACACTTGCAAGACCAGTTTCGCTACGAAAAGGTTCCCCGCCTTCCCCCCCACTCCTCGTTCGCAGAGGGTAAAAGAGTCTGGAAGGCTCATGAGGCCCCCCCTTGCAGGGCAGAGAGGCCGCAGGGGGCCCCCCGCTACGCATACAACGCTCCGACTTCGGCTCTTCCGCCAGGCAACACCTCCACCAAAAGCTGCAAGTCCAAAGATTTGAATTCATGGCCTTACAACGCCACGAGGGCAGCTCTCGCAAAGCGAAAATGCAGCGTCAGCAGCAGCAGCAGCATTAGCGGCATTGTTAGTAGCAGCAGCAGTGTCAGCAGCAGCAGCAGCAGCATTAGCGGCATTGTTAGTAGCAGCAAAAGCTCGACAATGCTGATGAATTCTCTCAAATCTGAGCACCCACCACCACCACCACCACCACCACCACCACCACCAAAGGAGACCGCTTCTTCAGCTGCTGCAGCTGCTGTAGCGGCAACAGCGGCTGCAGCAGCTGAAGAAGCGACCCCAGCAGCAGTCGCAGTAGAAGCAGCAGCTGCTCGAGCACCGCATGCTTCAGTCGAGCTGGCAAATGCAACAACAGCTCCCTTCAGGCAAAAGCTGCATCAGCAAACAGCAAACACACCGCGCCAGCAGCAGTTTCAGGCCGAGCAGCAGCTACAGCGGGGCAAAAAACAGCCGCAGGACCAAAGCATGCAGCAGCAGCAGCAGCAGCAGCAGCAGCACCCTCCCCATCGAAAACGTGAATCAATGGAGACACAAAAACAGCAGCAGAAGACGGACGTCGAGCAGCAAACGATGCAGGAAGGGCTTTTCCAAACGCAGCAGCTACAGAACAAGTTGCTCGAGCATCATACTCAACAAGACGCAGCACATGAGGTGCGTGAAGTTCAGCAACAGCAGCAGCAGCACGAGGAAGCAGCAGCTGAGCAGACAGCGCAGCAGGAAGGGTTGCAGCCTCGGCATCGGCCACAAAAGCCGAGTCAGCAGGAGCACGTGGAGGGGACTCAGGATTGCCTGGAATTTTACTACCACCCCCAGCATTTAACCCGGCTGCAAAACGAGCAGCAGCAGCAAACTCAGAGCAAGGCGCAGCAGGCACAAGAGGAGTACCTCAAAGCTCCGCAGGAGGAGCAGCAAAGCCAGCAGCAGCAAGAACAGCCACAGGAGATCCTGTCAAAACTGCTCCGTACATCTGACCTTTGCAATGAGGAGGCCACGCAAGGGCCTGGTATTGTAGGTGTAAAGCTGCAAGAAAAGGTACAGACACCTTGCTGTAGCAGCATCGAAACCACTGAGCAACTCAGAGCTGCTTCGAAGGCACCCGCCATCAGCAGCTCCCCCAAATTCCCAAGACGTCAACTCCCTCGGCAGCCGCAAAGGCCACTGGTGCAGAAAGACATCTGTAAGCTTCGAAAAGCGCCTCAGCGACGATCCCAGAACGCCATGCAGCCACCCCAGCTGGTGCTGCAGCAGCACCGTCGCGTAAAAATGCTTTCGGATCAAAAGTTGCGGAGAGAGCAGAAGCAGCAAGGACGTCAGTGGCTCAAACAGGAAACGATGCAACAACCAGAAGGCAAAGACCTCCAGCTGCTCCTTTCCCAGCAACAACAGCAGCAGCAGATGGCGATGGATTTGCAGCAAGAGGGTCCTTGTGGCTTCAACGTGCCTGTGCAACAGCAGCAGAAGCCGCCGGTGCAGTTACACCCGCCACATGCGCATGCGGGGCAGAAACACCAACAGCAAGCGTCCGTACAGTCGGGCTATGAAGAAGGGCTTGGAGGAAGTGTTTCTCAGCCTGTTGCCTGTGCTGCTTCTCATGTGACGACAACAAGGGGTACCCTTAACGGCTGCTGCAACCATCTCTTCCTCCCAGCATCTGATGCTGCGGATCTTATTATTGCTACGATGTATCCGTACGAGGCTCCAGCAGCAGCGTTCGCTCCTGCGGCCGCCTCTGAAGTCGATCCAAGGGCCTTTTATCCTTCTCCGCAGCAAATGCTGGAGAGTAATCCTCTAGCGCTCCCTCCGCCGCAGCAGGAGCAAAGTCTGCCTAAGCAGATGCGCACGCAGCAGCAGCCACTTTACAGCGAGAAAGAAGCGCAGCAGCAGGTGCACACGCAGCAGCAGCCACTTTGCAGCGAGAAAGAAGCGCAGCAGCAGCGCATGCTGCACCCGTTGGGGTCGGTGTCTGCAGCAGGCATGCAGCAGCAAGGAGTACTTGGGGCAAAACAAGGCCATGCACTGCTGCTGACGTTCCCTCTGCATGCGCATCACACAGAGGCCCCTGCAGAACCGGCGGCTGCGACGCGTGGCTTTGCCGCTGCTCATCACGCCGCAGAAAATTCCAGGAGCACCCGTGACGGGAGAGGAGATACTCTTTGCAGCACTCGAGGGAGCTCCATGCAACAGCAGAAGCAGTTCTTGCTGCAGCAGGAGCAGCAGCGAAAGCAGCTCCAGCACCTGCTGCAGCAGCAGCAGGAGCAGCAGCGTCTGCTGCAGCTGGCCGTGGAGAGACTCGAACAGCTACGGAAGGAGGAAGACAGAGACAACAGACTGCACCGCATGGAAGCCTGCAAGCACCCCCGGCAGCAGCAGCGCGTGCTGGCACTGCTGCAGCAAAACTCCCTCCGCATGCACAAAGAGAGGAAGCTGCTGATGCAGCAGCTACAGCAGCAACTCGACAGCTACCAAGCCCAGCGTCAACAGCTCCAGCAGCTGCAGCACCAGTACCTGCAGCAGGAAGATTATCAACGCTCTCTCCAGCGGCAGGCGCTGCAGCAGCAACAGGAACAACAAAAGCCGCCGTGGCACTAGCAGCCGCCACCGCTTATGTGCAAGCAGTGCCGTAGGAATAGGCCCCCATGGACTGCTCCTGGAAGATCCTTCAAGGGGCCCCTGCTGAGAACCCCGTCGGAATTTCCCGCTGCCTGAGGGCTGTTTCACTGTTCGCCTTCGTGACTTTCTCTTGAAAGCACGAGCCGCTACTTATATCTAAAAACTTAATTCGTATATCCCCCCAAAGCTCTGTCAGGCTGGTTGTTTGCAGTTGGACCGCCCCACAGACGGCCGGCGGTGGAAGCGCTTTTTAGTGGTGGCCAGCATTCTCACAAAAAAAGCGTGCGCTGCATGCAGCGACGAAGGGAGGACGCAGCCCGAATAAACGCACACGGAGCAGATGATGTGAGCGTGTGGGTATACGTGTCTGTACAAGCTCTGTGGCTTCATTTGCATGCGATTCTTATCGGGTGCCGGTGCATCGTATGTTCGACACGCGCTTTTGCATGCAGTACGGCTGCCTGCATATGCACTTGCATGCAACAGGGCCTAGACGCCTTTGGGGAAAACGGGGGGCGTGGGGTCGGTGCCTCCGATTTTGCGCTTGCCGTGAGGATTCGGATATCCCGTTCTCCTCTTGGTGAGTCGGGGAATCCCCACGAGGGTGGAGGGCCCCTTCTTCAGATAGTTAGGGTTCTCGTTGTGGTAAACAAAGCCTGTCTTGTTGGCGGAGAGGAGGCAGAAGGGGTTGCTGCTGCGCTTTACAGGGCGCACAATTGGCAAGGCCGTCGCGAAGAAGAAACGGGAGGAATCGGGAGACAAAAACTTGCTGCTGCCCCCTGTTAGAGATATGTCCTGAAGGTACTGCAGTTTTTCGCTACCTGAGACGGAAGTTTTCACAGGTGTTAAGCCGACTTTTGTACAGGAAACGGCACCCGTAGGTACACTGGAGGAGGGAGGCATAGCGATCAGTATACAAAAAATATATGTATGTTCATCCACATGTGAAAACGCTATACACGAGCCAAGCAGACAGCATCGAAAAGATAGGTGCGATTTCCTTGGGGGCATGGAAAGAAGGCCGAAAAACGAAGGGGAGATACGCACACAGGAGGGGGGAAATGAGGAGGCAAGCAATACGGCAAGGGGAGGCAGAGTGCAGCAGTAGAAAAGAGAGACACCCCCAGATATACCCTGAAACTGCCTAGCAGACATCCACCCGAAGAGGCTGCAAAAAAGGTAACTCGAAGCGGCAGGCTTGCCATTACAGGTGCCCTACTGCTAAGGCCTATATACATACATATATGTATATGTATATATACATTTATATATCGATGTGTACACAGGTGAAAATAGCGACGTATAGGCGAAGAACGAAAAAAAATTTAAGCTCACCTTGCTGATGCTGCATAAGAGCCCGGACAGCCAGAGGGCCCATGTGTCGTTTGTAGTGCCACTCAAAGATCTCCCACTTCAGCTCCTTCATGAAGGGTTTGAAGCCGCTTCTGTCTAGATGCACACGCGACTTGACGTACTGGCCCTCCCTACGAAAGCGGAATGCCATTTTGGAGTGCGTGCCCTTCTTGTCCTTAGCCTCCTTGGGTGTCTTGCTGCTGCTGGCTTAACTGCGTACCCCGAAAAATTTTCCGAGTTGGCAAGGAAAGTGAGGCTGTTTTGTGTGAGAGCCTGAGCAAGGCTGTGCCAGTACACTGGGCAGGAGCAACGGCAGGCAGATGCGGCGAGGAAGGGTGTTTAGGCAGTGCCGGCAAGGAGTGCCTCAGAGGGGGAAAACACGTAGGAGCCTGGGCAGTGAGGGCGGGGAAGACGGTGGGGGAGAAACCCACGCAGCTACATGCTGCGCGCTTCATGCAGTGCCCTTTAAGGGCTGCAGCCGCAGCAGGAGAGCCCGTAGAGCCTCACCAGAGGGCCCTGGAGACTTCCTGGGGGCCCTCGTGAGGAGGGGAGGGGCCCCCCAGCAAGGCCTCTCTCGCAAGAGAGGCCCCACTCGGAGGCCTTTAAAGGTCGAGCCGCGCACACAGGAGCCTTTACGCGAATGCCAATTCGCGTAAAGGCAAACCCCTTTTGTGCTGACGGAGGGCAAGAGGTGGCGTAGGCAGCTGTCCAGAAAAAGCTGAGCCTTTAGGCGTCCTGAAGCCCTCCTAAAATGGCGAAGGCTGACAGAGCTCTGAAGGAAAATCTTTAGTTCTGAGATCGAATGCCTGGAGGGGCACCACCATCACCATAACTCCACCTGTAGGTATTACACGGGTGGACAGCTCAAGACTGGAGCCTAAGGGGCGGTAGAGATGCAGCCTTCATCATGCCTACCAGGCTGATGACCAACTTAGCAAGGGAGCAGAAAAACGAGAATCATTACCTCGAACCTTCAATCAGGGAACTCTCTCCGCGCTGCTCTGCGGTTTAGGGCTGCATGCGCCAAAGAGGCAGTCTTTAGAGAAGCTTACGCGATTTTGCCCGTTGCCTCGCCCTTCTTGCGGTATTCCTGCTGTCACCCGCCCTCTGAGATTTCTGTGGGGAGAGACTCATCTCCAGACACAATACAAACATATTATGAAAAGTTGTTGACTATCTGCCGAAAGAGCCTCCTCCCCTGCTTCCCGCCTTCCCATGCTGCTCAGAGTTCTTTAAAGGGGGCAAAAGGGACAGCCTGAGTGAGCGCTAGTTACTGCACCCTCCTCCGCGCAGTCCGAGTATTCAGAGGTAGTAGGACTCAGTATCCAGCACACACGCACGCAAAACTGCGTCATGTTGATCAGGGGAATGCTAATCTGCAGCAAATCCCATAGACCGAGGCAAATAATCAAGCGATTCAATACTATTTTTCAGTTACGTAAAACTGGTGTAGTAGGAAATGCCGAATTGTTTTCGTGTAGCCCTCCCACGTCGGTCCGTGGGTTGGGGGATTCCTGAAAAAGGCGTGCTCCGTTGCTGCATATTTAGATATCTGCACGCGAGGCCTACACCGCGAATCCAATTATCGTAAGATCAGCAACTGCTTTCTTAACGTAATAGCCAGCATTCTAGTCAGCGTGCACACCAGTTGCTCTTGGCTGCTACTGCGGGGGAGGACGCATGCTATTCAGGGTCCAACGTCACGGGCAATAAGCTCCTGAAACCTGGGGGCTTTTGCCAAACAGGGCAGTATTTGCAAGCCTGAGAAGCACTAATGCGCTTCTCAACACAGAAAAGATTCGCGCTTTTTCAGGCGTTTACGCCGTATGAGAGTGCACCGCTTTTGTTTGCTTGCACTACACATAGCTAAAAGCCTCCGGCAGACAGCAAACTAAGGGTCTTGATGCACCGAACTGAGCACCTTGTGGAAGGCTTCGTTGACGTGAGTTTCCTACCTGTTCAGCAGAAATCCTGGCAGACTTTCTTTTGGGACGAGTCAGTTCAGACGCCTGTACGGCCCTCATTTGTCGTGGCAGCACGACTGTCCGTCTCTCTATAATCAGACAAAGGAAGCTTTTCTGGCGAACCAGTTCCTGAGACAGAGACCTGCCAAAGCTCACAATATTATGTCCCAGGTTCCCAGGTGTCAACGGAGAGTGAGTACGAAGGAGAGTTGCGTCACGCATTCCCCGCCCTGGGGTACGCTGCCTCGGACCTTTCCCCACTATGTAAGGCTCCACTACGTATATATCTTCACAGGGAGACCCACTAAGCCTCAGAGCTGCCATAGAAGCGCTCTGAACATCCACGGCCAGTTCCACAAGATAACCTTTGACCCACAGACACTCTACATTGAACCTTCTCACAGTGAACCAACTCGATGCTGCAGCCGTTCAGGTGAACGAGTGCCAAGCCAAGTAATAGTTAGTGCGCTACTTATTTTCCAGCAAATACAAGCAGTGTACTGGAAGGTGCCGGGGGCTGTACAGAGACGTCCCTGCTCGGCACGAACCTGGGGAAGTGACTTCCCCCCTTCTTTCAATGCCAGTCGCCCCCTTGCTTTCACTGCCGGGGGTCGAGCCGTTTTCGGCGCACTCCGCGCATGCAGTGGAGTCTCCTGTAAATAGCGGGCGGGGCACTTTCCTTCGCGGTGCTCATAACAACTTAGATTTAGTCAAGGGCCGACCGTGTCATTTGGTGGTTCGTACGTCCCGCGGTGTTGCAGAGGGGGGAAGTCTCACACACAAAGTACAACATGGCTATCTTTTGTTGCCAGCCAGCTACCTGCTGCTGCTTGCGAACTCTACCAGTGCTCAGAGGGTGCCTCAGCATTTTAATTACCTTCCTCTCCGTCTCCGTAAGATCTGGGATAGGGGCCGCTTTGGGACGACACCGTTTTGTAGGCTGCATCTCGTGGCATAACCAGGGTCCATTCGCATAACTGGGGGTAAAGAAAAGAGCAGAACTATCACGAGCAGGGCCTGCCACTAAAGGCACTTCTCAGATTGTCATCAAAGCAACTGCATTCTTGCCACCAGCTTGACAAACCCATTTGAGTACTGAGAGCTGTTTTGGCAGCTGCGGTTTAATGATCACCCCCTGTTGCGTTGTCGTGAAGGCTTAGCCAGCATGTACCTCTCTGCTCCTATTCTGCCTCTCCTTCCCTCTCTCCACGTGTCTGTCTGTGTCTCTTTCGGTCTCTGTATGTGCCTTTTTCTACCAGTCAGTCTGACTGTCTCTCTCGCTCTCCCTCGATGTGTTTTGGCCCTTATTTCTATGCACAAGCCCCTTTTGCCCCCCCTCTCTCTATTTCTATCTGCTTGCTTGCGAAGTCTTCCACTACTCTCCTGCAACAGTGGACTTTCCGTGCACTGGACCTCCGTTGCTGCTGGCCCGAGTGTCTCTGCACTTAGACTGGAATCTACACCCCTCAAGCCTGCCACCACGATGCCCCGCACAGCCTGCTGGGAAGCTCCCAAAGCAGAAAGCCTTCCTGAAAAGAAGTACAATGAGCACCAGGGAGACCACAGCCCCTGGAAAACGACGCCCACGCACCCTTTTTAGGGACCCCACAGCAACAAACAAGACACAGGGGCTTCAGCCACGTCGGCGATGAGCACCCTGATGCCTGCTGACACCAGTGCTGCCACCTGCATGCGGAGCAGCGGCAGCAGCCGGTCTAGGCCTTTCTTCCTCAACGGAGAAGCCCCCAGTTACGAACTGCAGCAGTACAATGACGGGGAGCACCCACCAGTACCGCTGCAGCAGGGACGGTTGTTGTTGCTGCTGCTCCTGCTGCTGATTCTGCTCATGCTGCTGCGGCCCATGCGGCGAGGCGGGAGCTTGTTGCGGTGTCGCAGCGGCGGGAAGAAGAACTGCAGCTTGGGGGTCCTTCGGGGGAGTCGCTAGCAGCAAAGCGGGCTTGGAGGCATGACAGGAGACGTAATAGCGCGTAGACTCCTGCGATTTCTGCTGTTGTCGCTTCACTATCTCGGTTGCGGCGGCAGCATGCAGCAGAGTCACTCCAATGGGGTGCAGCAGCAAACTCCCCAAATGGATCTGAAGGGAAAAAGGGGAAGAAGCGCTGTCTGCACATGGTGACACCTCTGCATGCGGTTCGTGCGGCTGCTGCTCTTGTTGGTGCTGCTGCTGCTGCAGCAGTAGAGACAAGGGCATGGTGCTGAGTACAGGCGGTCGCCCCTGCTCAGACTCAACCTTCAGTGAAAGAGCGGGAAAGACTTCTTCCTGCTCCAGACGATGTTGCTGATGCTGCTGCGCCTCAAGCAAGGCCGCCGAAAAGGGCTCGTCATCGAAAGAGGCCCACTCGGCTGCAGGTTCTCCTGTTTTGGTCGTTCTGAGTGTAATCGTGCCGAAGGCTGTCCACTCGCTCGCGCTGCTGCTCCCGCTACCCCTTCCGGGATTCCAAGGATCGAGAATGCGAAAGGAGACTCTCAGGGGTCTCGAAGAGGGTGCCTTCCCACGCACATGAGCGAGTTGCAGGAAAAACGACAGCCCGAGGAGCAGCGGCAGCAGCAGCAGCCGCAGCCGTCGCTGCGGTCCCACACGCCACACCATGAGTCTCCTGCAGCTGCTAATGCGGTTCCTAAGGTTCTTGCTGTGGGTGGCTTGTGCCGGTGTTTCAAGAGCGCTGGTGTCTAGACACTGCTGGTGTATGTAGTGGCGGCGTTATTACGCTGTACGGCCGCAGCAGCAACAGCTTCAAGTGCGGCCGCCGCGGCCGCTGTTGCCTGCGCTCGCAGCAATTGTGTTTCAAAGCATGACAATTGTTTCTTTTGAGGGTAACTGCTGCTAGTGGGCTACTCCAGGGGGCGGCTGAAGGTGTTCACAGGCTGGGGCTTTGTGGAAGCGGAGGAGGGCCTGGAGGTGGTAGTAGCGTCATCGGCAGCAGCAACAAGAGGCCAGCTTCTCTGATGTATACTTTTTGCTCTAATTTTAGTGAAAACGTACTTTGTGCTGCAGGCATAGACCATCCGTACAGGCGGCTGACCGCCTCGTCGTGCCGTGTCTTGAGGCCCCTGTTGGTGTTAGCGGTACCGCTGCAGCAGCTCCTATAGCCCGAAAAACACGCGCCTGTTAGACAAGTTATAGCGATTGAGCAGCGGTGTGTCGTGCTGTCGAGAAGACCGGTTTGCCTGGGGCTGCAGTAGAAGTCTTTGAAGGCGCATGTGTGCTTCCAAGTGTACTGCCTGCATCATGCTAGGGTAGCCTTCAGCCCGACACTTACCACTAAGCTAGTCACACTGGACCCAGAATGAGTCCGAAATCGACTTATTGGTTTACCAGGTCGTGTACCACATTGCTCAAGAGTGCTGCTACGTCGAAACGGAAAGTGGTGAGGCGGCGTGCAGTCGCGCCAGACGCTGTCAGAGCCACTAGCTCTGAATGCTGGGAAATCTTCACAACTGAAGGCACGCGCACCCTAGACGGCCTGCTCCCCTGTTGTGGAAACCTTGAGGAGGGCCACTGGCAAGCGAAGAAAAACCTTTTTTTGAGAAACACCTGATGACTTTCTGTAAGGCTCGTATTACGAAATATATGCAACAGCTGTTTCCCCAGGGGAAACTATAAGGTAGGCTTACAGACTGACTAGTTGCACTGGCCAACGTAACGCTACACCTAAGGTTACCGAAGTGATAGTACACGGATCTCCAGACTCAATACGAACTTCATCGAAATTGAGCACCTTTTACAATTATGAGCTTGCTTCCTCCCCATTCACCGGGCCCTGGACACTCAGGGGTCCAACGTAAGACCAAAGTGAGGGCAGGCCAAAGGCTACGCTGCCCACGGCTTTGCTCGTTTTAAACTGTCACAACACCGTATTCACACCTAGTTGCACAGAGCACTCTATAGCCCATAGGCAAATGAACATCATTCTTGCCTGCTTGTGCTAACGGAAATGATAGCCAAATAGATGTCTTAAGCAGCCAAATTACGTAGTCCAGCCTCGGCATACTCTTGTTCACCTATAGCCACTGCGGTATCAAATGTGCCCCAGTGCAGCTTCGCCCTCCAGAGGGCAGTTTAACCAGCAAGCCTACGGTAGCAGGCTGGGTATCGTTAGTGTTAACAGATAGATATCAAAAAGCAGTCAACACAGCAGTGAGAGCTCTGTTCTACCATTCGCCATCCCAAGGTGTCTGCTGCCTATGGATCCCTGGCTGCGGCTCATTTCTGCCTTTCCGCACTGGCGGCTGCCTGCTTCCGCTCATTGTTATTGCGTGGCACCAGGTGTCTTGCATGTTTATCTCTCCCTTTATTGCAAACAGTGAATGCTGAGCCTATCCCTGTCCTTCTATTGCCTCTTTGTACTTGATCTCCTAAGGGACTCTACACTTCGGCGGTGCGCTGTACGTACATCCCAAATGCTTGGTTAACCGGAGTCCCTCTGCCTGCGTCAAAGGAGAGAAGGCTACGCCTTATGTTGTTCCCCAACTAGTCGTTTGCTCCTCGTATGGCCATTCTCATCGGGGACCCAAATATACACACCCGCGAAGGAGTATGGCGTGGTGACGCAGCTAGCCACCGGACCAGCTAGCTAGCAAGCTAGCCGCTTCTACAGGAATAGATGACTCAAAAGAAGGCGCCAAGTCGCCTTTCGTATCTCGCCCAGCTCGCCAACTATGCCACTGAGAGCTATTTACACATGCCCCGCTAGCTATCCTTCGAGGAGTTAGCTAGCTGGCGGGGCGCTTCCGCAAGAGCTCTTCGATCTTACGGGCGTCCTGCGTGAATAAAAGCAGCATAGAGCGAAACCCCGATAGAAAGCAACACGAAACAAAGCAGGGAAAGAGGCAGAAGTACCAGCACCAACGGAAACAGTGCACACAAGACCACCAAAAGTATGCGCTGTAACGAGCCTGAGAGACGCGATATGCGTATGAGCACCGCGAGCAGCAAGACTCAAAGCAGCAGTGGCAGCGACAACAGCGACTCACCGCTTGGGGACTAATGCGCTGCAGCAGAAGCAGCAGCTCTGCCCTGTCCGTTTCGTCCGTGAGGTCTGCCCCTAGGGTAATGCAGCTGCTAGCGAGCAAAGACAGTCCCTGCTGCTGCTGCTGCTCTTGCTGCTGCTGCAGCAACAGCAGCCACTTGACTGGCAGCAGTCGTACAAACCCGTGAATTGCCAGCAGACCCTTTCGCTGCGGCAGCAGTGGCAGGAGCGGCTGCAGCCGCAACTCGAAGAGGTGCTGTAGCAATAGCAAAAGCGAGACAGCAGGCGCAGCAGCAGCAGAGGCAGACAGAAGCAGGAGAAACGCCAACGAATTAAATTCATCCTCAGCTGACTGCTGCCGCGAAGAGGCTACGCGAGGAAAGTGAAGCTCTGTACGGCATTCAAACAGCAAACATGAGCTAAATATGCAGGTGGGGGTGTGGTTATTAGCCGTAAATCTTGGGGGCTGGAGGCAAGCACTTTCGGCTTAGGACTTACATGCATGACGATATGCAGCATGAGCTTCTCACTGAGGATGCCTTCGAAGAACGCAGCGACCCCAACTGCCTTCAGTGTACGGTGCACATACACCTCAGTGGCAGCTGCAGCAGCAAGCCGCTGCTGCCGTTGCTGCTCTGCTTCAGGGCCTCCGGTCTGCTGTTGCTGCTGCTGGTGCAGCAGCTGCACCGCGCGCTTCACGCAATGCACAGGCAACTGGCTTTCTATGGTGCTAATGAGTGAAGAAACAAAGAGTTGCAACATCTTTGTGACTGCTGCCTCTGTTGGGGGCCCCCGGAAAAGCAGCATTTCTTGCAGGAGCGCAGCCGCAGCAGCAGCAGCAGCAAAGCTGCAGCAATCCATCTGCTGGAGGGCATGCAGCGCTCGAGGGAACACGACGTCCTTGACAACGTGCAGCAGCAGATCCGAGAAAGCAGCAGCCACCTCGCTGCTGCTGTTGCTGCTGCTGCTGCTGCTGAAGGCTTCCATCTCCTGGCAGAAGGCAAAGATATCCTTGATGAAATCAAAGTCAGCGACGTCAGGGCCGTCCCTGATGATTCTCCCGCTGACGATGGAGCAACTCCGTAACAGCCCGCTTCCGCTGTCCATTGCGCCTGAGGCAGCAGCAGCAGCAGCTGCTTGCTTCTCGTCTGCAGCAGCACCCCTGCCAGCGTTGCTTGACTTTTCTGAGTTCCCACCCCCTGCGTTCTTGACGCCTTCTTCTTGCTCAGAGGGCTCAGTCGCAGCGTCCTGCTCCCGCTGTTGCCGCTGCTTAAGCCACTCGACGGCCGCTGCAGCAGCAGCGGGTGTGCTGGAGGCGAAGGTTGTCTCCATGGGGAACCACCAGAGCAGCTCCCACGCGGAAACCGTCTCCACGCTCTGCTTGAGCTGCTGCACCAGTGGGAGCTGCTGATGAAGCGCAGCCATGTCATCCTGGCAGCTGCGGCAGACTGCAGCGAACTCCTCCACGATACGGCGCGCCTGCAGCAGCAAGAGCAGCAACGCACAGTTGTGGCGGGGCATAGGAGTCGAATTCGGAAGGCCTTTGTATATAAGGAGGGAGAAAATAAAGGGGGCCAGAGCGATTGGCGAAAAGAGGGCGAGGACGAGACTCCCGACAGGGAAGAAGCGAGCTGCAGAGCGATGCACGCTAAAAGGAGAGCAAAGCTATGAACAGAGACAGGGATGGCAAAGAGGCCATAAGAACGCACCTCCTTGTACTCTGGACGCACATCCTCAAAGATTTCAGCTGCCGCATGCAAAAACTGCCGCTGCGTTTTGTGCCTGCGTGTGCTGCTGGAAGTGCTGGTGCTGCCGGGAGGGCCCTCCTCATCGCTCGTGAAAACTGCACTGTCGAAGACTTCACCCCAGCATTCGCAGCATCCCAGAGCTGCACCATCCACTTCCCCCCCGTCCACAGCACTACCTTCTCCCGAGGCTGTCATTGCGGACGAGGCTGCTGCTGTCATTGCGGCCGTTCGAGCTGCCGTTAGCGCTTCTATTGCCTTTGGGGAAGCCGGGTGGGGAGCTCCCCGCAGCTGCTTCAGCACCTTCCCCAGAGGCTGCTGCTGCTGTTGCTGCTGCTTCAGCCTCGCTCCATACCTGCGCGCATGCTTGCCAGACATGTACGTCCATCCATCGGACAAACTCCTTGCAGCGCAGCCCTTCTTCCTCCACATTCCTGCGGCTGCGCGGGAGTGCAAAGCACGTCGATGCTGCTTTTTCACGCCGCATACATCCATCGCGGAGTTCCCCCCTTCCCTGCTCCCTAAATCGTCTCGTGTCTTTTCGGCAGAAGGGGGGGAGGGAGGGGGAACGAGAAGTCAGGAAGCACGCAACAGTGCGCGGAGCTCCCTGCGGACAGTTCTGAATAGGGGGCAATCGAAGCGGCGGCTTGGGTTCACTCATTTACCTCCTTCTCTTCTTTTGAAGACTGAGACTGCGGCCAAATTCATCGATGCGCTCCGGCAGGAGAGGCCCTATGTCGGCTAAGCGGCGTTGCGTTCTGCACAAAATCCCCCAACCCCTCCAAGCGGAGTCTCAAAACAAGAACCTTCCTCATGCTTGGGAAGGCAGCGTAGTGTCGGCAGCAGACGCATGCATCGGAAGACTCAACACGTCGGGCGTGAGGCCTCGCCAAGGTACATAAACTGCCAGAAAAAAGGGAGGCTGAACACAGAGAACAAGGAGCATAAAGACAACCTTACGTCCTATCAGCGTCAGCAGCCTCGAGCTCCTGCAAAGCCTCCACAGCCATCTTTACGGCGGGTTTCTTCTCATCTGCACACAAACAAACACACACAAACAAACACACACACATACATACGCATACATATACACACATACATACATATACACACATACATACATATACACACATACATACATATACACATACACAGACATACACACGCACACAAACACATACACACATACACATACATATACAGACATACACACATAGACATACACAGACATATACACAAACACATACACACATACACACGTACACATACATACACATACACAAACACACACACACACACAGACAGACATACATTCAGACACACAGAGACAGACACACATACATACACAGACATACACACACATATATACACACACAAATACACACAGATACATACACACACACAAATACACACATATACATACACAGACATACACACCCGTAGAGCACAGCTCCACCATGGCAATAAACAGTCTCCCCTTAGCCTTGAGTTCGAAGGGCAATCAAGCAGCTCGCACGCGCGCAAAGCTAGTGCTTACGAATACAGCCGCTGAGATCCTCTACAAACATCAAAAACTCCTGCAGACGCTGAAGACGCCGTTCCGTTTCTGTGCACAGATGCAGCAAAACTCCAAACAGGCAACTCATCATTCCTTCGCATAGGAGAAAACACGCACATACAAAGAGGAGTGTGCATGCAAGCCAAGCGTAAGGCCACTTCAAGGAAACCCTGGAGATGGATTGCTGCTTACTCAGCTGTTTGACTTCGAGAGCAGCTAATTTTGTTGCCGTTGCCTTTTTGTAATGCACTTGTTGTTGTTGTTGCTGCTGCTTCTGCTCTTGTTCATCTGCCTGGAGCTCTGCCTGCTCCTCAATCCACTTGACTGCAGCGGCTGCTTGCTGCTCTGCAGTGCTGTTGGTGCTGCTGCTGCCTGTCACCTTCTCTCCGGTCCAAAGCTGTGCGAAACAGGTTGCTGCAGTGTGTGTCGTTGCTGCTGCAGTTGCTGCTGCGGAACGCTCTGGCTCCGCTGCAGCGCGAATCAGGTTGCTGCTACTGCTGCTGCTGCTGCATTCATCCTCACCAGGGGCAGCTGCTGCTGCTGCAACGTGCTGCTGCCCCACAATGCTGCTGAACGAATTGAGGACGAGCTGCTGCTGCTGCTGCTGCTGCTCTAACTCCATCTGCTGGCGCTGCCGTCGCTCAAGTTTTTGTTGCTGCAGAAGCAGCTGCTTCCTCCCAGCCCCTGTACAAAGCAACATCTCAGCAGCAGATGCGTAGAGCGTTAGCCACTGCCACTGTCGCTGCATGCGAAGACTACTTGGTCTGCGGCAGCGAGAAGAGCTTCATTAGTAATTGTCGCACAACATACACACCTTTCATGATCTGCTCCCTCTCCCACGCCTCGAGAGCCGACTGCTCTTCCGCATCCGCGGAGAGCTGCTGCAGAAGGGGAACCCCCCTCAGCTGCAGCATGGCCTCCCTAGCCAGCCAACTGCTGCTGCTGCTCGAGCTGCTGCTATTACTGCTGCTGCTGCCTCCCTTCGCCGTATGCTCGTCGTCTTCAGTGTACTCCCCAAAACAAGAGACACCCGCTGCCGCTGCGGACTTCCCTCCAGTGCTGCTGTTGTTGGTAAAATCTGCAACACGAGCTTGCTGACGTGATCGCCGCGCAACTTGCGCGAGGGCAGCAAACGGCAGCTCCCCCCCATCGTCTGCCGCCTCACCAGCAGCAGCAGCAACAACAGCAGCCGCAGATGTCTTCTCCTCAAGCTCAACCATGGAAAAGATTCTCGAACCAACACTCAAAGCGCTCCCTTCCCCTGCCCGTAGAGGCACTTCTCTTGCTGCCCCAATCTTTCCAGTAGTAACTGCAGAATCTGCCCCTTTTAGCGTTGAACGGCGGCTATTGCTGCTGCTGCTACTGCTGCTGCTGCTATTGCTGCTGCTGCTATTGCTGCTGCTGCTATTACTGCTGCTGCTCATGCGCTGACCGTCAGCTGCGTTCCGGGAGCTGCAAAAATACCAACATAAAGCTCGCAAAACAAAACGTTCAGCCACAGCGCCCTCCAGCAGCAGCAGCTGCCCGATCAGTTGCTCAAGTGCAGAACGTGATTTATGGGGGGAGGGGTTGGTTGATGCATGCAGGCTGTCTTACACGAACTCGTGACGCCTGCTGCTCTCTTTGCAACTGCTGCTACCGAGCTTGCTGCTGCCGCTTGCATGCGTGGCTTTGAGGACGATTCCAACGCTTCCTAGCGGGTTAACAACGAGTAGTGATTTGTCGCTTGCGGCTTTGTTGTTGCTACTACTACTACTACTGCTGCTGCTACTACTGCTGCTGCTGCCATCCCTGCTATCTCTACCATCTCTACTGCCACTACGGCGGCTGCTGTTGCTGTCCTTGCTGCCTTCCTTGCTTCGTCCTTTGTGGCTGCTGCTGCTGCTGTGTTTTGCAGGCTTGCTGCTCGGCAACTGCTCTTCCAAAGACTCCCGCACAGCCGCTGCAGCCCCTCGTTGCTGCTGCTGCTGCTGCAAAAACACACGAAACACACGCGCTTGAATACTCTTAGCGGGAGGAGTAGCAAGGGGGGAGGGGAGGCCAGGGAGGGAAGGGAAGACTACGAGGTTGCTGAACAGAGGAGAGACGAGACAAGAGCTGACCTGTGCGCTCTTGTCTCGTCTCTTTGCCAGCTACATTTAAAATGATAGGATTCAGCTCACCGAGTGTGACGTATCCTCATCAATAAAGCCGAAGCTAAGACGCTGTGCCCTTGTTGCCGCTGCTGCTGCCTGCTGCTGCTGAAGCAGCAGCTGCTGCTGCTGTTGTTGCTGTACGAAAACTCGGCTGCTGCCGACAGCACATGCACCAGCAGCCAGGAGCTTTTTCTTCGGCTGGTAATGCTGCTGCTGCTGCTGCTGCCAGCGGTGCTGCTGCGAGTCGAGCTGCTGTTGTTGCTGCTGCAGAAAATGCTGCCGAGGATCACCCTCGTTGTCCAACTCCCTGAGGGCGTCTTGAAAGGAGGCATCTACCAGCTGCAGTTCGGCAGGAAGTGCGGCAGCTACTGCAGCCGCTGCTGCATGAGACTTTGCCGCAGTTATGGCAGCGCTTCGCCTTATTGAGTCTGCTGTTTGCACCGTTGCTGCTGCTGAGTGTGGCGAAGGCAAAACAGCAGCAGCCGCAGCTGCGGCTCTCAAGGCTGCTGCGCGCGATTGCTGCTGCAGCTGCACAGTCTGCTCGTTCTCTTCGCGCGCAGTTTCCTGCTCATCGTCACTGCTCTCCGTCTTGGCCTTCCGTGCTTGTTTCACAATGCCACGGCGCGCAAAGAGCGCCATTCTCTGTGCTGTAGTGGTGGAAGCAGACGAAATGCTGCAGAGTGCCGAAGTTTGCCGCTTCCTGCTAGGGGCCGCTCCAATGCCCACTGGGGGGGGGGCGTTAGAACTCCCGTGTTTGCATGAGGCTGAGGAGAGCTCTTGCTTGCTGGCTTGCCTGCTTGCTGCTCTTGCTTGCTTGCTGCTCTTCGTGCTGCCTCTCCCTCTCCTTTCTGCTGTCAATAGCGTTCCGCTGTTGTTGATGGTGACGGTGGTGTTGCTGCTGCTGCTGCCGCTGCCGCTGTTGGCGGTGTGGCCAAGCAGCAGCAGGAGAAAAACTGCACCAGCCGATCTGCAGTAATAACTCAAAAGCCGTGAATTTCGTATAAAAAGTGCAGCTTTAACGTGGCAGCGTTCGGCCTCCGTGTGGCGGCTACTGCTGTGGCTACTGCATGCATGGCCTCGTCAGCCCAGCGCCTTGTGCTGAGTGACAAGGCCTCTAGGACTGCGTGGAGTTCTTTTAGACATTGAAAGTAATTTAGAGAGTGTAGAGGGAACTGGGAGAAGAACGATTGTGCAGCAGTTCAGCATCGATATACTGCCCTATCCCGCCGAAAAGGAAAGCCGATCGGGGTGACCTGGCTTGTACTTACGTCTGGCCTTCGTCAACGGCACGGGGTATTACAGCGTGGGGAGTGTAAAGAAGATTCGTTCTCAAAATAGAAGGTCCCTCCCAGGTGCCGCTCAACCCTCGAAGCTCTTTTTCAGGACCAACGGCAACACTTACACGAGCATCAAAGCGCCAGGCATGCCTTGCCAGCCTTGGCCCCTTTTCCGCCTCCGACAGCGAGTATCGACAGATATCGCGGCAGCAGCAAGACCAGCGCATTTCAACAGCAACAACAGTAGCACAGCTCCTCCAGGAAGAGGAGCCTTAGCAGGCAGCTGCTGCTTCAGATTGCATGGTTCTCCGATGCCATAGCAATGTACATCATCGACACACTGCGTACTCCCCTCTGATTTCAGGAGGGCCATGAGGCAGTCACAGCAGCAGCAGCAGCAGTCGCTGCTGCAGCAGGCCGTGAGGGATATTCATCTGGCGGAGTTTGTTGCCGTGGATTTAGGTTCGTTTTAAAGCATCCCTCAGAGAGATCGGGGTAGAAGATGTGGCGATATAAGGCATGCACTGCGTGCAACGTCTGCGTTCAAGGGGCCTCTCTCGCACGTCGAGTGCTTTTTCCGTGTATAGCTCTGCGCGGCCATCATGGCAGAGGGCTAGATTGCTAAGGAAACGCGGCAAAGACAGAAAAGGGGGAAGAAGGGGGGGAGAGGGGCTTTGGTATTCCTCGCGCGTAGAATCGCCGACAGGAAGCAGGCGGACAGGTCTGGCGGCCTGGGGAATTTTTTCAAGCAACTGTAACAATCGAAACTGCACACATAGGGTGTACTTGTGTGCGTTGATGTACATGCACCGTATCTCTCTGCAGAATTCACGGGTTTACTGCTCGGCGCACGGCCCAGGCTGCAGTCTATGGAGCAGTATTTTGCGGAATGCCAAAAGGCTGTGGGAGAGTTTCTTGCGCGTGAGTATCTCTTTTACGTACACACCGCGCAGAAAACTCAGGTCTTGCGGTCGCCATAACGATCGATAAGGGACTTTTAAAAATCGAAGCGCGTATCGGTGCCGCTTGAAGCGTTGGGGCACACCTATCAGCAAGTACATATGGTTTGTGATGCAGCCCAAATTGGCATATGCTGTGTGCGTCGAAATTCGACAAATGCCAAGCAATGGATTCTCCATCCGTACACCTTCGATGCACATCCCCGCGTGCGCCTCCCGTTCTCTGTAGTAGTCCTCCTTCACTCGATAAGAAGCCCTAACATTCAGAAAATCCGCGTGAAGAATAGGAACACGCCCCTTTGAACGGGGGAAAGAATTCCGCACACGCGTCTATATACAAGCAGGGGCACAATAATAATACAGCCCTATCGGAGCCAGCCGACCAGCATAAGCAACAAAAACGGCCTGTCTCAGTTGCGCTGCGTTGTGCCTTCAGCGGGGCCGCAGCGTCTTTTCAGTAGATTTGAAAGCCTTGCGCTTTCTTCAACGAAACGGTTTTGATTTCAACAAGTGGCTAGCCAACGGGTAAGCACGACGAGAACCCTTGCGCCGTTGTGTTGAGACAGCAGATGTTTCTCGCTCTTAGAAAGAATGTGTTGTGTGCGTCGATGCTTCGAGACTGATGGGCGCGGCTTTTCATGCGGATGCAGACTGGACTATGAGCGGCTTTGCGATGTGCAGCAGCAGCAGCAGCAGGAAGATGCCCTTGAAGCCCTTCACGCGCAGCTAAGACAACGGCAACCTAACCAGCCTACAGAACAGGAGCCGTCCACGGGAGGAGGCGAGCGCAGTAAGCATCTTAAGGGGGGGCTAAACGGAGTGGAAGATGACCACACCAAGAGCAGTGATGACGAAAACATGGGGAAACGCAGCGGGGAGCGAAGTCGTGCAGCAGCGGACACATCGGTCGTACAAAACGCAGCTACAACAGCAGCATCAACAGGGCCAGCAGCAGAGCTTGCAGCCGCTGCTCCCTTAAGTGCCGGTAAGCAGAAGGGAGGCTCCAGCAATACGGCTGTGATGGCGGAGGGGGAGGAGGATGCAGACGATGTCAGCAGCAGCGCTAATAGCCTTGGGGGGTTGTCGGTGCTTGCGGAGGCCCTCATCGAGGCAGAGGTGCCCATTGTGCTGCACAATGGCCTTTTGGATTTGCTACACTTGATGGAGAAGTTTGTCCAAGAGATTCCCCCCACACTCCCACTCTTCGCCAGCGAGGTTGCTAGGTAGGTGGGGCTCTTAAAGTTGGGATGTAGGCTTCCGCCCAACTTCCTTCCTTCGCATGCAATTTATTGCAGCTTGCAGCCTGGCTTTCAGGGTCTTTCGGTGCTTTCAGGCTTTTCATTGGCGGCATCTTTGACACGAAGTACATTGCTACACACCTGACGCCGTGCAGCACTTTTGGCCGGTACTGACCTGAAGCGCTAAAGTCCTCCCACCCAACCTTTAAAGCCTAGGCTTCACAGTTCTCTTTCAGTCACCTTGTACTTGTTGAAAGGCGGCCTGTATGTGGGGCGTCTTCCGTGTGTACACACACGCGAGCAGGACGCGCGTCAGTCCAGCGGCGGTAAGTGTTTCGTGTGAACGCGCACAAGTTGAAGTGTCGCGAGGTGTTGTTACTACAGCACGGCTCTGCAAGCTCTAAGGAATCACCTGCTGGCGGCCCCCGGTTTGAACTGCTGCTTCATCATCGACGAAAGCTGCAAGAGCGCCTTTGACTTCTCCTTCAAAGTAACTCTAAACCTTAAAAGACCGAAGTTTAGGAGGCTTACAGGGAAGTAACTGTCTGGCGGGCGCTGCTGCGGCCGAGAGGACAGGCATGGTGAGGGTATATATATATATATATATATATCTATGCATCTGCAGGAGCTAAACGTCGCAAATGAGATGCCCGACGCGCGGAGCCACGAGGCGGGTTTCGACGCCCTCGCGACAGCACAGGTGCCGTATACGCTAGGGTCCCATTTTTCTCCTTTCCCCATCTCCGTAGCTTGTGGACTTGAGGTTCGTCGAGCTGTTGGTGTACATCCAGTGAAGGTTTGAAGCCTTGTGCGTCTATTTGCTGCACGGGTATTCCGTCTGTTGCCCTCAGGTGTTTGTTTGTTTGGCAGCTTTTGAGGCCAAAGTTCAGCAGCGAGAGTAAGGCACGCTTCCTAGAGGATGGCTTTGGGATGCATAGCCAACTCGGGATGCGGAGCAGAGGTTGCCTGGGGTTAATAATCTTAGGAGGGAACTACATATGAGGCAGCGAGCGAATGCCTGCGACTGAGTTGAGCTGCGCGCACAACTCTGGATGTGCCACTATGTGTGTATGCATGTATGTATGTGTATCTGTGTATGTGGCTATACGTGAGTGCATCCAATGCACATGGAGTCTATGTGTGTCGGCTTTGGCTGCAGCGTTTGCATTTCCTTGCTGAGCAAAGCGCGAGACATCATTGGGGTGGCAGGAGTCCATCCGGGATATATAAAGCTGCAGAGCTACCAGCAGGAGGAGCCGAGGGCAGGGGTTCTCAAGAGAGACAGCAGCGGCGGCAATGGAAATGGCAGCATCAGCAGTACAAGGAGGAGCGAAGACAAAGGAATAGGAAAGGCACCGCCCAACGGCATCGACAGGGCAGCGCCAGAAGTCAAAAGAGCCAAGAGGGATAGAGCTGGCAGTGCCTCTCCGCCGCGGATCTCCGTTGCAGTGGCAGCAGCAGAAAGAGGAGAGGGAGGAGACCAAATAACTGCCTCTCCGGGACGGCGCCGCCGCAAGGCCCTCTGATTCAAATAGGCTGTGAATGTTCTAGGTGGGTGGTGTTTCAGTGTATGCAGGGAAGGGGAGGGAAGGGTTAGGTTTATTCAAATCAATGCCTCGCATGACTACTCGTCTGCAGCCCTTGTTGTGCCTCTATTTTGGAGCTGCGGCGTAGCCTTTCTCCTAGCGAGAAGAGGCTATGAGGCCTAAATCTATAAGCGTAAGGTGCCCTAGGCTCTCAATCCAAAACACTGCGGTGAGGGCAAGGCCTTGGTTAGACTGCATGGACCGCTAAGAGCACCCTGGCGAGTGCCTTGCCGCTGCCCAGTGGAACCTCCCATTAGGGAGAGGCCATCTGCGGGGCTTCAAGGGGCCCTCTGAGGCCACATACCTAAGGCTACGATGACAACGTGAGGGCATCAACACTAAACGGGTTCTATGCTCCTGTACAATAATGATAGGCGTCTTGCAGGGAGCGGAAAGACAAGGGCCTAGCCTAAGGGGGTCCTCGTATAAGTAAGGACGTGTGTGGCTAAACGCCGTCCTCTGCGGCTAAGCGCAAGAAGGTGGACCTCACCATGGTGCCTCCGTGATTTGCGTCATACTTCAGTTTGTAGAAGCAGCCGTCTGCAGTGAGGGCTGCGAACGCACGACGACATGCGCACGCGTGCAGACCTACCTTCACGGGCAAAGACTAATAAAGGTTCTAGCAGACGGGGGTCCCCCAGGCGCGGACTCTGTTGGGCTGTAAGGCAAAAAAGAGAAGATACGCACTAGTAACGACACCAGCACCGGGTCAGAAGTGTAAAGGGTTTCTTGAAAAAAATTCTTGGGGAAACTTGGAAGTGCGCAGAACCTTTGTAGACATACCTAAGATGCTTTGGGGCTCTTGGCCAAAAGCGCAGACCGCTGCGAAGTTCTCCGAAAAGTGGAACCTACACATAAAGCATCTGACCCTGAAATGTTATCCCCTGAAGCCTCTTGAGTGTGCGAAGAAATGTCGCTGCTGTCTCAGAGCTGCTTAAGGGAGCGCGTGGCGTTAGTTTAGGGGAGGGGGAGGGGGGCCCCATGGGAGATTCTGAATTTCCACAAAGTTTAGGGAGGGAATAGGGGGTATTAATCGCTTGCTTGAATTGTGCCATGCTCCACTCCGACTGGAAGTAGGGGGAGATCTTGGAGAGGAAGGGCCAAGAGCTCTTAACGTTTCTTCCTCCCGATGCATTCCCATTGTTGTTGGGGGCGATGCTGCCATCCCCCGCGGTTGCAACAGCAGCAGCAGCAGCAGCAGCAGCAGCAGCGGGGTTGTAGCTCGTTGAGGAGGCAACTGTTTCCCTTGTTGCACTGCTGCTGCTCGTAATCCAGGTGGATGTGGGAGCTGCTGCTCCTGCAGCTGCGGCAGAAGCAGGGGTCACAGCAGCTGCAGCAGCAACCGGCGCTGCAGCTGCTTCTCCGTCTCCTAGCCGGTACAAATGAAGCGTGCCAGTGTTGCTGCAGACGGCTAGCAAGCCGTTACAAGGGCTGATGCAGAGACAAGTGATTAGGGCCGGATTCACCCCTGCGCAGCGGAAATAACACTCTGCGACGCACGCTTCCTCCTTCATCGATTTCGTGAAAAAAGCCGAGAGGGATTAGGCCTGGCAGGCAGAGGGGCGAAGGGCCATGGGGCCTCCGTAAGTCAGCCACGTCGACATGGAGAAGCACATGGGCAACAGTAGGTCAAAAAACACGGAAGAGTATATACGCTTAGGACTGACACTGACCCCTTCTGACTTCCTTGAGGAGCTGCCCCGACGCAGAAGAAAATATCCGCACCAGCGTGCCTTTCACGGAAGCGGACGCCAGCAAGGAGCCGTCCTGGCTAAGGCAGAGGCAGCATAAGTCGTTCTCGTGAGCAGCTGCAAAGCACAACGCACAAGGCTGCAAAGGCGCGATCAAGCATGCGGGCTTTACCCATGGGCACTGGGCAATCTCAGGCGGCCTCTCTACGAAGAAGGGCTCGACTAGGGCACTGTCTGTTATTTTTACAGATAGAGATGCTTTGTATGAGGGAAGACTCCGCCTCCGTTCCTTCAGCCTCTGCTGCAGCGCACGGCACATATCTCGGTATACTCCATTCGAGGCCTTGGGTTGCAAGCCACCTGCAAAGGGATGACGGCAAGCACTAAGGCTACTCCTAGATAAAAGGGGCGGCACTAACTCATGTCTGAATGCTGAAGAACGAACCAGCCGGCATCCCTTGGGAGTCATCGGCAGAAACGAGATAGAACAGAACCTGCACGGTGCCCTTCTGCAACGCTGCGGAGGCAGCAGCGCAAGATGCAGCAGCGCAAGATGCAGCAGCGCAAGATGCAGCAGCGCAAGATGCAGCAGCGTGCAGCCTCTCAGTGTCAGAAGGCCCTTTTAGCAGCCTCAGCCGCATGTCAGCAGCAGCACTTCCAGCAGGAGGGGCACCACACATGCGCCCCCTACCCGGGCATGCAACGACGAGCGTCTGCTTTTGTTGCTCTTGAGTGCTAGTGGCAGTGGTAGCCGCCACGCATAGACCTGAGGGGTTCGGTGCCGTAAGCACGGAGTCAACTAGGGAGAGGCCGCGTAGCAAATAGATGCAGACTTTGTTCTCAAGGACCACCAGTAGGCTAAAACACCACATACACACACCACAGATCCGAGATGCGCTTGCATTGCATGTAACAGGACGTCAAAACTCTTCTTCCCCTTTCTTTCGCCCCTCTTCCAGCTATCAGTGAGATCCCACTAAAGACAGCAGCAGTAGAGCAACGGCAGCAGCGAAAAGAGACTCTTCAGCTCCCTCGCCAGATCTCTGCTCCTTCAGCGGCAGCAGGAGAGAAGTTCACAAGAAGGAGAAGCAGTCAATGGTGGCAGAGGAGGAGGAGAGCGAGAAATACGGACGCCTCTCGGAGCATGGTGACCCCTATAATGCGGGTGGCGAATCGCATCTCGACAATCGAACGCGCTTGTCGATCATCCCATAGCACACACACATTCTCCTGCCATAGCTCATCATTCCCGCCTGCAGTATAATGCAACACAGGAAGACGCACGGGAGGCCATCGTAGGCAAAACGACGGCAGGGTGCAAGGTGATCCGGGGGATGTCGGTATATGTATGTTAAGAGGCGTGTGGGTGCGATGCCTTCCCGCCTTTTCGCCTGTCGGCAAAGCTTCCTGCTGCCCTTGCCGCTAGAATGTGGAAAGAGGAGACAGCAGAATGAGCGAGGAATGGAGGACAAAGCGGTGCATCAAAGCACGGGGGAGAGGATTCACGGGGACGGAGGTACACCCCAGGCGGCCACAGCGCCTTACTCCCAACGACAGCTAAGATATTACACGTATAGAGCATCTCCACCAATGCAATGCTGCATGGCAGCTCCTCTTCCAGTCCCTCTTCATTTGCCGGAATCAAATCTGCAACGCAAAAGCCACAGAGCTCCCCTTCTCAGCCACAGGGTCTATCTATATAGGGGCAAGGCAAGCAAGGCCTTATATTCAAAAGCATCGTCAAGCAGCTTACGAACCCCCGTTTTAAGGGCTGATACACGTGACAATCGCTCGCCAGAGACCTCAAAAGCACTGCCCTCCCTCCTGACCATCTCCCGCCATACCAGCCGCGATGACAGACGTGCAGCTGGACTCGCAAGGTTCGTCCCACCCACCTCTTTGGAACGTCTTTTTAAAAGGCTCCGTGCTGTACACAACGAACCCTCGTCGGGTTGCCGCAACAATGCAACGAGAATTCTGATTAAGCGCTGCAAATCCTAAGCCTCCGACACCAAAGGAGGCCTCCAGAGCGCCCCCAGTAGCTCGAGGCGAAAGGTCTGGCCCCCTAGGGGAAGATATACGGATGCCACGCACAGACATTTAGGGAAGCCGGAGGCTGCAGCGGCTCCTGCTGTGCTGATTCCACCGTTGCTGCGTCTGCTGCTGCGGTAGCCGATGCCACTGCGCAGACTGCTGATGGAGTGGTCTCGCCCCTGCAGGCCGTGCGTGCCTGCACGCGGCTGCTGCTGCTGCCTCGGCTGCAGAGAAAGGACTGTCCGCCGCACGAATGTCTATGTGTAAAGGATGGCTTCGCGCCACTGATGTCGCAGAAAGGGGCAGTCAGAAGTCTGCAGCATGCGGGATGCCGCCGCTGCCTTTATGGTGTTGCGATAGGAGACGCTGGGCGTGTCCGACACTGCACGCGTCACGATCTTGCTGTCGCAGTTGGATTCCTTCGGTCGTCTGATTTTCTTCCGTAAAGGTTCATTGTCAATCAACGTGTGTTGTTCGAACGGCTGAACCGCGAGCCACTGACCGGGACCTACAGCTGTCGGCCGGTGCGATTTGCTGCCCCCCTTGCGAGACGTTTGGGCCGCATATAAGGTAGATATTGATGCAGAAAATGTCAATACACGTAGCAACAGGTGCTGCGCCGCTCCAAGGGAAGCGCTAGCCTCTCACTCACGACGATCTCCTACCGCTGCTGCGGCTACTGCCGCTGCTGTTGTCGGCTGTGCACGGACAGAGCCGTATGCTGAATGCTTCTGTTATTCCAAGCTTCACTTCCGCGACTCATATTACTTGCTGCTAAATCTATTGTCCTATTTGAGTGAAGCTTCTCAGAGAAAGCTCGTATGACGGAACTGCAGAAGACAAAAGGCGTAGGCAGCGCACATCGCTGCCACCTGGGATGTGCAGCAGCTCCCAGCTGCAGCAGATAGTGACTGCTATTTGTACCACCTCACTTTATATCTCATCAAAGAACAAGATCTAGGCACTTAATGCACAAAGGCACAGAAAGCCCTGCAGAGGACTGTGCAGCGCCTGAAGCACTCACCACCCCACACAGGCATACACACAATACGAAGGCTGTTGCTGCAAAACGCCACCCACTGGATGAAAACTCCGCAGAGGCAGAGCTTCCAGTGGCTGATCGACTGATTTTGGCTCAGGCTACGACCAGAGCTGTAAGTCCGGAGACAGCGGGCCGGCATTTACCTCTTGAGCTGATCCGTTCACCAGATATCCATAATTGCACAGCTGGCCATCATGGATTTGTGCGCAGCGCCTCAATACAATCCTGCTTCAACGATCCATTCCCCCGCAGGATCCTGTGTCACTCTAGCATCAGTGATGATCTGCTGATCACGCGAGCAACACACTTGCTGCAGTTTATGGTGGGCCGTGGTACAGCTATGCACTTTCTACCACACTATGTACATGGAGCTGAGAATTCGTGAGAAATTGAGTAATTCGCTTGTCTGTTCTTACATCTTATTTATTGCAGAGTACTGAAGCTCGATTTAAAGAGGCGCATAGTCTCAATGTGTAAGGAGCTGGACGCTTTGCGCAACTGACTGTGAATGCTGGCAATGCCTGGAGCGTGCATCTGTGCGCGTTTCAGCTCTCTATCCCTGCCCCTCATGTCGGTAACTCTGAGGACCACGGGCATAGGCAGGAGGGACTTTTATTGAGAACGCAGCCAATAACTTTATAGCACGCTTGTATTGAGTCTGGAGTCGAGTGTTTCCCGCGCGTACACCTGAGAAAATGACTTACAATGTGCACCTACCGCTGAAAGTATGGGGAACTTAGTGCGCACAGCACCTCTCAAACACCCTAGCTTCCCTTCCTTTTCCCCCTCCTCCTCCGCCCTCTCCTAAGCTCATCACCTCTCAGAATTCCCGATCATATCCTTTCGAGTGAAACCTGAGCATAGTTTTTGTTGAGCTTCGTATTGGATTAGGGGAGAATCCATAAGAGAACCTGGAAGTATGCGCGTTACTCAGCAACTGTTGCATTCGCAAGCAAGGCCGCGCCCCGTGCTAGTTCACCAGAATGCATGTATGCTATTTGCTGTCTCCACTGCAACGATTGGCTTTGTTTCTACTGGTGCTACGGCCGCGCTTGCACTTTAAAAGGCTGCTTGCGTGCCATGGCCTTTGCCCTATGTGTTGCCTGCCCTGTCTATGGCTTTGAATGCCACTGTTTCTTCAGTTTGGCCCTTTCCTGCACCGCTAGTCCCACTGATTGGTGCCTTACCTTAACAACCAAGGGCAAACAATAACAGCTTCTTATGCTCTTATTGGGTACTGTTGATGTGGCTTGTCACAGCTACTTACGGCATCAGCGACCGCAGCAGCATCCTGAAAGTCTCTCTGTGTACTGCAATACCCAGTGCAGCTCTGCTTGCGTGCTTCCCTCTAGGGCTTCAAAAGGAGGCCTTGGGTCAAGCAGGACTAATGAAAACTTTTGAAAGCAATGATTTTCTGTTTCTGCCGTACGCTCCTCTTTCTAGTGCCCTACACAAGGGAGATTGGCGTGAGGGCAGGAGGTACAGACCGAATGGGGGCGGGCCGTTACCTCCTCTGATTGAGCTCTCCGGGCATATTCGATGCCAGTCTAACGCGTTTACTCTAGCGTAGAACCACCGCGTTCTTACCTTCGGTGTAAAGCGCGGCATCTTTTTGCAGCAAATAGATCTTAAGAGCAGCAGCCAAGGCATGCAATGAAAGCGCGATGACTACATAGTAGGGCGTGTCTGGCGTGGCAGCAGCTGTCGAAGTGTAATAGACCCAACCAGTGTATGGTTTCGGCAGCAGTGCGTTCTCCGCATTAGATAGCACACAAGCCGTTGACGGCCAAGGTCCTGCAGCTGCACGCGTGCTTTCCGGCAAAGGGGCGGAGTGTGCGGCTGTTCCGTGGACTGCTGCCATCGGTGCTACTGCATCTGTATCACTTTGCAAGCAGGAGCTTGTCATACGCCTTTCCCCCCGCAGCGTGCGCTACACCCCCGGCTCAACTCCCCTCCCTTCCCACCTCTCCCATTGGCTGTGCCGCTTTAGGGGGAAGCCGCAGTCCGGTACACATCATTGGACTCAAAAAGACACCCCTTTTGTGTAAGTCTCTTGGGGGGCTTCCGACAGGGGCCCCATGGTGCCCTAAGGGACGCAGCCAATGCAGTGAAGTTCTTTTGGCTAATCCTGCAGCTCATTGGCTTAAAAGCCGCAGCAAAATCGCGTCATCATCCAATAAAAAGGCACACATTAGTTGGAATGCTAGGCCTTTTCGTGTAGCAGTAGCGGTAGGTACATGGCCTCCTGCTGTGGCTGCTGCTGCCGCCGCCGATGGACCGCTGCGGCCTAACCGGGACGGCCTTCCTTGGGAAAAGCTTGTATCAGCCAGGCTGATACAAGCTTTTATTTCGCGTTCTGCTGCAGTTCCGAGAGTTGTAAGCCAAAATCAAAATTGGCGATTGCACCGGCTGCAGCAAGCCACTGGCGCCATCCGTTCCTCCCTGCGTTGTAGCGGTCTTCGCAACGCGTTTGAGGAGCTGTAGCCTCACGATTCGATTCTTCTGCACAGTTTCCCGTGCCTCTGCAGCGGCAGAAATATATTCTGTGGTAGTAACAGCTGGGGAAGCGCCGCAGCTGCCTGTACGGCGCCATTCACAGAAATCGCATACGCAGCCTCAGGAGAAACCACAGGGCCTAGTCCAGCAATGCTGAACACCAAATGAGGCGTCCCGACCCCGCGGGGAGGCCTTAGTCTGCAAAAGGAGGAGCAGCAACAGCAGCAGCCATGGCGGTGCGCCTTTTGCAGCAGGAACACCACCCCTGCCCCCTCCCCTCTTACCACTACCACCCTTCCCATTCGCCGCCTTTGCTGCCCCTGCTACTGTTCTTCCTGCTCAGTGCCACTCTGGGGGCCCTTGCGACGGGCGTGCCCTCTTCGGCTGCAGCCCCCTATCCTGAAAGCCCTCGCGCCGCAGCACCGAAAGCATCGCCAGCAGGTGAGGCAGCTCCCACCCTGTATGACGAGGATGTTGAGCCAGCTTCAGTTCACGCGTTTCTGCAGGAGAATGGCAGCAGTGCCCCCAGCGGCAGCGATCGGGGGCATCAGATCGTGGCCTCCGTGGGGGAGCACACACCAGCCACGTTGCACGCCATCTCCGCCTTGATGTACGAAGAGCTTGAGCATCGGCTGCACCGGCTGCAGCGAGTGCTGCTGCTGCACCCCGCGCAGCCCCTGCATCCGCGGGAGCGGCAGCAGGAGGCCGTTGGCGGTGAGTCGTCTGAGACCATCGCGAAGCTGCACGACGCAATGGACCGTCTGTCCCTGCTTCAGCAGCAGCAGCACAAGCAGCAGGCTGCCCAACAAGGATGGCAGAGCCGCAGCGGCTCTCTGGAAGGCGCTCTCCTGGCACACGCTGAAAAAGAGGCAACGACAGAGGACGCGCAGCGGCAGGACGAGAATCAGCAGCGACAGCAACAGGACCAGCATGCTGCTGCGTCGCAATTGCAGAAGGAGCTGAGCAACAAGGTCTTCTTGAGGAAATTTCTCGCGGATGGAGCCGAGAAGGAGGGCTCGGAGCAAGCAGAACCAGCGGAGGGGGAGTCTGAAAGAGGATCCTTGAATCAGGATAAGCGTCGCACAAATCTTTCGCGTTTTCTGGGTGTTCGCGAGGCACGTGGCCTCGGCAGTGATCGCAGCCGCTCGAGTAGAAGTGGCAATGGTAGTGGCAACGGCAGGGGGAAGAGGAGTCTCGCTGGTATACCCCTGTTAAAAATGCGTCTTGACGTCGAATACGCGCTGAAGGAATCTCTGACGACTGCTCGTTTCGCAGAGTCTCGCTGGAAGCGGCAGTCGGAGCTCTACAAGATGAAGGGGAGCAGTCATCACAGGGAGGGCTATGTCCTCGCTGACGCTTGCGTTGCGGTGGATTTTAGGCGAGCCGTTGCATCAACGGAGGGTCATGCAGAGGAGGCTGCGAATGCCTCGAAGCGCCGCCCACTTGAGCTTTCGGAGGACGGCTTGGAGGAGGAGGGGGCGATTTCTCAGGGTGTTCTTGTAGGCACTCCAGTTAGCGTGAAGAGGAGGTATGACTCGGTGCGCAACAGCTGCACTTGCCCCTCAGGATGGAAGCAGTGCAACAGGGAAGAGGCGCTCACCGTTTCCTACGGCTGGCGGCAGACGCTGCGGAGAGCCTGCAGAAAACGAGATCAACAGCAAGAAAACGAACAGGAGCAGCTGCTCCTACAGGCCCTCACAAAAGACCTCTATGCCTTTGACTGCAACGGGGATCAGCTGGCTCCTTCAACTGAAACTGATGCCGAAACAGCCTGCGCCGCTGCTGCTTTCATCCTCTGCAGAGAAACGAACCCGAGTTGCGGCGTCAGCGAGTGGTCAGAGGCCCCCCCTTCCCCTAAGCCCTTCGAACCCTTTTGGATTCCAAGTCTGTGACCATAGCTGCTGTGCGCGCGACGCTCTGCTTGCTTTATTCCCCCTCTTCAAGAAGAGAGCAAGGGTTTCTTCATGCGATAAGGCACGCTGCTGCTGCTGCTTGTTTCTTCTCAGGTCTGAATGGTCAACATGCTCCGCGCCTTGTGGAGAAGGCCAAACGTACCGGTACAGGCGTCTGCTGCTGCCGATCGAAGAGGATAAAGAGGCCCTCTCGCCCTCCACTGTCTCCAAGAGCTGCAGACCTTACCATCTGGAGGAGAGAAGACAGTGCAGTGCCCCCGTGGCATGTCCAGAGCTTGTCGCATCAGAACCCTGCTTTTGGGCTTATGCCAACTCCAATTTGTGAGGTCTGGGTGCAAAAATCTGCTGCTGAGGCGGCTCTGGCTGGCCTTCTTGTTCGCGCTTGTGTCGTTCTCCGGCTCGCGTTTACACACACTGCGATCTGCAACTACTCGCCTTCTTCTTACGTTGCCGAATGCGCTGGTCCCCCTGCTGCTGCGGACTGCAGGCCGCAGAGTGTTCACACCAAGAAAAGTTGCGTGTGCTCTCTTGAGGCTGAGGTGGAAGAAGTGTCGGAGACCTCTACGCTGCACGGGGAAGAAGGGGAATCCGAACTTGTCGCGTGTTCGGCTGCGGAGGCCGCCTACAGCTTTTCTCAGTGGAGAGAGGACATGCTGAGCTACTGCTTCAAGACTCTTAGACTGGCGAACAAGCCGATAAAGGTCTGGATGGCGTCTGACTCATGGCGTTGCTCGTGTGCTTGCTGCCGGCTGCTTTCGCCGAAGACAAGTCACTCCCTGCAGTCGCCTCTATAGGGGGTCTCTGAGACGCTTTCCAGGGAGTTTTAGTGCAGGCAGCTATGGATCGGACTTTCCACGTTACCGGGCGTGTGCTGCTGGTGGCAATCAATACGGCTGCTGCTCGTGGTGATAGGGTGGGGGAGATCAAATTTCGCGGAGACCGCTTGGATGTTTCTGCTGGCGTGTGACGCAGCTGCGGAATCTGTCCGTCTCACTGTGATGCGCGCTCTTGTGGTCGCTGCAGATTATAAAATACAGAAAGCGTGCAGGGTCAGTGCGCGTGGGGTTGGCGTCTTTGGGATACGTAGACTGCACCGGTACGTCTTCAGCTCCTTTCCTGCCGGTGATATTTGCTAGTGGCTGCCACGCCTCAAGAGCGCTCATCTTGGCGGGGACGCCGCTGTCTCTTACGCTGTTTCCTCTCTGACTCCTACGCTTCTGGTCTACTGCGGCGCTTCACGTCTTGCCCTTATGATCTCTCTGTGCATGCGATCCGCATTCCCATCCTGCCTGTCCCTCCTCCGTATCCCTCCTTATCTCTCCCCCCCAAACCCCGTCCATCCAGTCCTTGGCTTATCCTGCCTTTGGGGCGTCCCTACGTTTTCGAAAGCAGATGAGCAGCTGGCAGCGTTTTGCAGCACCAAGTGCTACCTGCTGTTCGTGCGGCTATCTCAGGTGGTTGGGGTTCTTTCGACGCCTCCTCAATGGCGAACTTCTGCGGGAAGGGCCGTCCGATGCTCTGCAGGCACGCTAGCAAGTCGAAGGCGGTCGCCTTGTATGCTGTAGATGGATACGAGAAAGCCCCCGTATCAGCCCTGCAGCAAAGTAAGACCGATATCTGCTGCTGCTGCTACTACTGCTACTGTGGTGGTAGTGGTAATGGTGGAGTTACTGGCTGGACCGCCTGCTCTCTCCAGAAAAGTGTTGACGCTCATTGGGTCGGCGTTGCAGTCGGGTGTGGAGCCGCCTCCTGACGTTTTCTGTGGGCTTCTTAGCCCTCTTTGGCCGCTTGTCTCGCTCGCAACACACACTTGCGTGCTCCTGTGCTTTTCCCTTGGTCCTTTTCAGCTTTATCGTATATGCATTCGCTGGAGGAGCCAGAAGGCCCAGTTGGCTCGTGGGCTGCTTTTTTGTTGGGGGCCTCCTTCGCTGCATTGCTGTTGCTCTTCGCGTATGTGCAAAAGCGGAAGCTCGCTGCCTGCTTTAAGCAGACAATTCAGCCTACTGCCGCAGCAGTAGCAGCAGCGGCTGCAGCTGCTGCGCACGGCGCTGGCGACAAAAGGAACTGGGAGAGGACTACGAGAAACGTCGTGGCCTTCGCTTCCAGGGCTGCTGTTGTCAGCTGGCTGTGGTTGAACACTGCGCTCCAGAGACTTGTCTCCTACCTCATGGTTTTGTGTGGCAAAAACGGCAGGCCCACTACCCGAGCCCGCAGCAGGAGGAGCAGCAGACTAAGTTGGGAGGCACCCAGCGACAGCAGCACTTGGAGTTTACTGCGAACTCCTAGCTTGCAAATGGAGTCGACATCATTTGCAGATAAGTCTGAGTAATTCTTTCTTTTTTATAGTCCAAAGCGCCGCACCACCGCTTGAGCAATTGCTGCTGCTGTGGGCACGTCTTTAAAGCGGAAAATCAGGGGCCCCCTTCGCGTGTAGAGTCTCTGCACGCTTCCCCTTCTCCTGCTGCTCTGCCACTTACGCGCTACCCCGGTGCTGCCCTTGCTGAGCTGTAGCTGCGCATGAACTGCGTTTGCCGCTGAGGATCGGCTAAGGCGGATTTACCGCTCAGCAGCAACATCCTCAGTGTCGCTTTGTGCGAAACGACAGAGGCACCGACAGTGGGTACCGTGTCGAGGTGGCAGCTTTAGTCTTGGGAAGCCCGCGCGGCCCCCCCCTCCATCTTCACCGCTGCAGCCGATGCTGCCGCGGCAAATGCTGCAGCCCTTACAGGGTGGGTGGCAGTTTAGATCACAAGTGGGGCGCGAAATAGTCCAAGATTGGCGCACAAAGTAGTCCCACCCTTTAAAGCTTGCATTCCTAGCCTTTGGTTGAACGTACGACGCTGTCTAGCCTCTTTCAAGGCCGAGTCAGCAGCTTGCATATTTGCACTGCCATGGCACACTGGCAGCAACAAGTGCTGCAGTTGGTGAAGCACTTGGGCTAGTGTACCCCTTTAGTGCGTCCACGTTCTGCCCTTTGCGCTGCGCTGTGTAGTATACTTCTCATCTTTCCTTTTAAAATCATTAAGAACCTACTGGCAAGGCTACATATGCGACAGCTGCAGCCCTTACCCATTGCATCCGCGCCGTCGAAGTACCGACGGGAAGAGCAGTATCAACCCCAGCGAGGGGTCCTTTAGTAGCCACTAAACTAGGGTTTACTTCGCTAAGGCCTTCGGATGACTGGCCCACACTGTGAAATTCTGGTGCCGGAAGTGTGGTGCGGCAGTTGAGCCTCGCAAGCTGATATTTGATGGCCTCCAGCAATGCGCTGGATCTACTTACCCACTCTCGCTGCAGGTGCAGCAATCTACCAGCTCCTCTGTCCTAGCCAGAGTGTGTATAGGCCGACCTCACTCGACGAGATGGCACACATCAGAAAACAGAATAAATTCACCAAAATAGATTCCCAGTAGAAAAGCGACGTCGGTGCGCCCTATACTATACAGGGCATAAAGGGGCTACAGAGACCCCTGAGAGGTCCAGCAGACCGGCGTCTCGCTCAGGTGGCTCCTGCGTACGCTTAGTAACTCACTGTACAAGGGGAGCCTGTGCTTCAGAAGCGACAGACTCACTCGTCAGATGCGTGCTTTGCGGTTACAGGAGCATTCTGCTCTTTGAACCAAGACGAGACTGAGGGGGGAAAGGCACGAAAAAGCTCCTCTTCGCTTTTGCCCGAGATCCAGCCTTCCTCTTCTTCGCTATTATCGCACTCTGTGAACGTCTCGCAAACAGCCTCCTCCCCTTCTCCGTCTGCTGGCTTAAAGCTCCAGCACCCTTCTTCCTCTGCCTTCTCCGCGCACTCCATGGCTGTTGTGGGGGCATTAGCAGTCTCAGTCACTGAATCGCCCTTAGTGCGAGCTGCGGGAGATGACCACCTCCTGAGTGAAGGCCCCGTAAACTTCTTTCCAAGCTCAAAGGTCCCTTTGGCGGACAGGCACTCACAGCACATGACACTTAGACTTCAGAGCAGGAAAGACAAATGAGGTCACTATTCCACACAGTAGAAAAGACTGTCAAAGGTTGCCAGCGCGCTGGCCCCCACGAGAGGCAAACCACCCTGCGTCTGTATCCCGCACAAAATTTTTCAAGCAAAGACCAGCAGCAGAAGAGGCACACTAACGCCAAGTCATCACGCAATGCCTGCACTGTGACTAGTGGAGGTGCTCACAAGGCAGTTGAGGCGTAGATCTGCGACCCGAAATGGCGTCCTCCTCAGTCGTGGGGACGACAGCACTGCTGTAGTAGCTGCACGTCTCGTCCTTGAAGGTCCAGGCAGTGCATGTAGGGCTCTCTGCGCAGGCTTCAATGCAATCGTTAACACTAGTTGCCACTTGCCTGCTCACGCTTGTTGCCCTGCTCGTGAAGCGCCTCCTGAAGGAGCTGGCGAGGCGAGGGGCCTCTGCTGCGGCAGCCTCAGCAGGAGCATAGCTGGTGTTGAAGAGCACCACGGGAGTCGGTCTCTCCACGTAGCCAGTGGAGTATCCAGAAGAGTCTTCTAGCGTCTGTTCGGCCGTCGAATACCCAATACACTGATTGCCTATGCGGTGACTCCACGCCACGCACTCCTGCTTGGAGCTGCAGAGACTGGCGCAATCCGAGAGAGTTGTGGCTGGTTCTGTGAGCACGACATTTCTAGTTTCATCGATACGGGTGTTGTACTGAACCTTGCCTGGCTCCAGGCTCGTGCCGCATGTGATATTGTGCCCATCTCGAACAGAGGCCGGGTTCTTATCGGACTTGAATAAGGTGCAAGTCACAAGGGGCTGCTCGTTTTCTTTAGAACTTTCCTCCACCTTGGCCTGCCACGCTTTGCAGTCACGGTGCGCTTGGCACTCGACCACGCACTCCTTGGGCTTCTCAACCGTAACAGTTCCTATGGGGTCTGAGAAAGTGCAGCTAGAGGAGCTCACTGCAGAAGCCACCGTCCCGCTGATGGCGCTTTTACCGCCCGTGACACTGGTTGCGGTTTCGAAGAGGTTGCAGTTCGTTTCCTCCCCCAGCACGAAGGACCAGTACAAGCACTTGGGCGTATTTAGGCACTTTTGCAGACAACGACCGGGAGAGTACACCGTGGAGGAGGCAATAACATCGCCCGTTAAGGCAACTTTATTGGATAACGGAGGCGACGCTTCAGAGCAAATTCGGGGACCTGACACGCTGTTGGGGTCAAACACGAAAGAGTGTGTGCCTGCCGGCAGCAAGAAGCAGGATTCGCCATTTCTGAAAGCCCAGTGCTCGCAGTTATCGACCTTCTGGCAGCTCTGGTAACATTGGAAGGCGCTGGTTGCATCTGCGATCTGCACAAAGCGTCGGAAACCACGCGTGCAAGTGCATAAAGGCATACGCAGGTCGGCACTTGCCGAACGTCGACAAGTCAAAGCCAATGAAACACGGTGCTCGCTTCACGCAATACTGGGGCTCGTTATCTGTCGCACGATGAGACCTAGCTCGACAGGTTGCTATAACGGAGTATCCAGCTAATTTAAGGCTGTGCAAACAAGGCTACAGCGCATAGCTACCAGGGTCTGTGCCGGCTGCCTACACCAATGATCTTGTCAAGGCTGTAGAGAATTCCTTCCTCGAAGCAGCTCGACTCCTGCTCCGTGTCGTTTACGCAGGTTCTTTCCCCTGATATGACACCCCGGATGGGTTTCGAAGAGAGGCTGACAGCGCCAGAGAAGAGTGAGCATAGATCTAAGTCAGAATGGAAGGTCCAGGCGCTGCAGAATGGGTTGGCAATGCACTTGGCGCCACAGGCCTTGTAATCCTCGATTTCCATGTGCTGGAGAGACACTCCAGTATACACGGCGTTCATGTGCATGCACCCTGAATATACAAGCTCGCCAAGCGCCCAAGCACATAAGACCGCTCATCCGTATAACCGGATGCAGAGCGTTTGACGCTTCTCCACTGTCCAGGGTGCTCCCCAACACCTGAGGTAGGAGCCGTGGGAGCATTAGAAGTGCGCAGGGCTGGTGAAAAAGGGATTCTTTACCATATCTGACGCTGCACCACTTGGGTCCTGAAAAGCGGCCGATGGACGTAGTGTCATTAACCCGGCCCAGGATAGCATTAGCATCCTTCAAGTAACAGCCCTTGTTGCTCCTAAGCCAGCTCCAATAGTGGCAGTCCGAGTTGTTGCGGCAGAGGGCCTGGCAGGCTGCGGGAGACTCCACTTCTCCTGTTTCATTCTCTTCCACGTTATGACCCACGTAGTCTGATTGCTCGAAGCAAACAGCTGCACGAGAGCGAGGACCACAGCCATGAATGCAGACTGGGTGTTCATGCGTAGGCACCGTGTGGACGCGGAAACCCTACCGCAAACGATACTATATTTATACATATACATATCCTCGACTATATGCATGGTCACTTACTCTCAGCCTCGCAGAAAGCCGGACCCGACACCAGGCCCGACGTGGAGTTGCCCTTTGAGTACGCGTTGAAGGAAGACCACAGGTTGCAGTCTCCAGTAAGGAGGTCGTACGAGAAGTGTGTGCACCCGGAGAAGGCAGCGCAAAAGAACTGGCAGGCATCAAAAGAATTGGCGCTTCGCGTATTCAAGCGAGCCCCCACAACGCCAACGTCTGCGAACTGACAGCCTGCGGCAGGAAACGAAAACCCTATTTGGCCGCAAAATGCAAGCCCCCACACCCGCCAATGGTTCCGAACAAGGTGTCAGGATCCACGCTCAATTGACACGAGAGGTGGGACGCCCACCTGGGAGAACAGGCACGCAATCACGGGTGCCGGAGACCTTGTCTAGGGTTGTCTCGCCCTCAAACCTCCCGTTAGGAGCATTTGAATTCTTCAGTGCACACGTGCGGTGCTGCGAGCTCCAAGTCCAGTAGTAACAGTCCCTCGTCTGCTGGCATTGTCGATGACAGACCGGGGCAGATTTGGCCTTCGAGGTCTTAATAGTGTGTCCACGGTACTCGACTCCTGACTCGACGCAAGAGGCGGGGGCTGTGGAGGGGTCAAAAGCCGCGGGGTAATCTGAGGGCCGGGGAGGCTGCACGGACATATTGTGGCAAGTGCGGGGTCCAGAGGTAACATCTGGGTCTTCGCGCCGATTCAGGACAGCTGGTGCGCTCTTGAGAAAGCAGGAGTGGGTCGAAAACTTCCAGCTGAAGAATGCGCACTGCGGGTTGCCTGTGCAGAGGCGCTGGCACTCTGCAGGGTTCATCACATAGCGGCCCTCTATTTTCTCGATGTCGTAGCCATAGTAATCTATGCCGGCTTCAAAGCAATTAGAGGAGAAGGTGCACTGGCGAGGACCAGAGACATATCCTTTAGCTGCCCTCCTCTCAGTAAAGGCTCCTGCAGACTTCAGGTAGCATATGCGGGTGAGGATGTCGTATGTCCAGAAGCCACAGCCCCTGTATGCAGCGCATTCATCCATGCAGGCTGCAGGGGAGCCCACCAAGGGGACTTGTTGGATGTCGTGGCCGTGGAAGTCATAGTCGTACTCAAAGCACTCGGCAGCTTGGACTCTCGTGTCACCGAGCGCGGCCCGAGGCGCCAGCAGGGCCGCACTCACGGATGCAGCTAATACCCGGAGATGCATTCTTATTTAAGCCACGTAATATGGCAGAGTACAGCTTCGGACACGGACAGAGACGGGAAGGGTAGCACACGGAGAGCACCCCGAGCCTCCACTGGCCACGCGCCCCTCAAACAGCTAAGGGGACTGACGGAAGGAAAACTATTTTAAAAGCTTTTTGAGGCAAAATCAATACTTAGTAAAACACAAATGTGGCATGGGACAGTGAGGAGAGGTTTCGGCGGCAGGAAGGGGCCTCTAACACCTGCGGGGGGGAGACAGGCTCGCGCGGGAGACGGACAGCTGTCGCAGACCGCATGGAGCTATAAGTTCGCAATGGTTGCTTTGCTATAGCAGAAATAACACTTTCAAAGGCGTAACTCTGCGTATTTCAGGCAATGAAAAGCTAGTGTACTGCACAGAAGGGACCATACCGCACTGTTCACCATTTTACCCACGCGGGAGGCACGACTCCGCACGGTGACCCTCCTGCAACACAACCGGCCAACTTCTGCTCGAAAACCCACCTCTAATAGACCCTACGCTCATTTGAACTTAAAAAAGCAGATTCGTCTGCTTTGAGTGGGCTCTAGAAGAGCACAGGCAAACCGAAAGCATGCAGTTTGTTGCATCTTTCTTGCCTCTTTCTGCATCGCTGCCATAGAGGGAAGGAAAGAACCTCCTTCCCCTCCGATTTCTGCGAGGATCTATGCAAAGATAATTCTTTTATACAGATAAGGTGCTCAAAGTGCCTCTTCCAGTGTATGAAGTGCTATTGAACGCCTCCTCAAGAAGTTTCAGCTCTGTGCAGGAGAAAAGACCTCCGGAAAACCGTGCAGGAGAAGAGACCCTGACTGTAGATTTGTATGGTTTTCAGGAAATGCCAACTTTAAAGGCGGGGACAAGGAAGAAACTCTTTGGTAAAGGGGAGGCACGCAAAGCCCGTTCTCAGCTGTAGCCCTCCACAGTGTTGTCGACCATCATGTACTGATGCAACTTGCCCCAAAGGCATCACGGCACATCGAAAGGGTTTTAAGAGCTGCAAATATCCTAATTAGCTAATCCCATATCAATAGGATATTTGAACCTACTACAGGTACATCGGGCAAGCAATCTATGGTCGCCCTTGGTGCTCAAGACCAGAACGGGTGCGAAGCTGTAGCAGGTGCAACGTGGGCAACCTCTTAAACGCCATTCGTTGTGGCTGGTACTAAAAAGCACGTTCTACAAACTAGGGGGCTGACTCATAGGCAAACGCTTTTAAGAGAACGAAGGAAGCAAATGCAATTAATGCAAAGGTATTAGAGCGGCATTTGATGCGGCGTCCTTCCCATCTGTAGCCTCAACCTTAGGGTACATTTTAAATAATGTAAGTGCTCAAAAGTTACCACGACACCATACACGCCCTCTCGGGTTCAGCGCTACGTGCTAGTGGCTCTACCTCTGAGGTTCAATGGAAGCCGTCTTGTGGGGGCCCTCTTTGAGACAACAGGGCCCGATAGGGTCTAGGGTGCCGCCATCAACAACGAATACCTAGCGTGTTTCAAACCACCATCAGAAACATAGAAAGTTACTGGTCTTGACCACACAGCAAACCCCCGCACTTTTGACTGTCCCAAAACTCCGGGTTTTTTCCAGGGGTCCAGCCCACCGGCCTCCCCTACATCGGACCTTCGTGAAGGTACCGCTTGACGGTCATCAGCGTTGCAAGCACAATTGCAGCAGCAACAAGAAAAGCCACGTAGCTCTTCCTGCCTGCACAAAGCCCCCTAATGGCATGCACGCCAAGGCAACCTATTGCTGCAGCTGCTGCTGCAGTGGCGCCGAAGACGAGACACGGCAGAAAGTGAAGGCGCCCTAGGAGCAGGAACTGCAGAGTTGTTGCAGAAGACGTATACACTACGCACGCAGAGGACGTAGCTACAGCAACTACGGGGTCCAACAGCAGCAACAGCATGGGAGAGAAGACGAGTCCCCCCCCAATCCCCACGAGGCCCGCAAGCACCCCAGTTACAAAGCCCACGAGAGGTGCAGCCAACAGCGCACACAGCATTTGCTCCGCCTCTGCTGCAGAGCTGCCTCCTCCTGCCGTTTCTGACCCAAGGCAGTCAGAGGGAGCTGCGGGGACATCTTCTAAGCACATGGGCGAGTGGGGGCCCCCCCGAGAGGCCCCCGCAGATATGGATTCCAACTCTACTGAGCCTCCTGAAGTCTCAGTCTCCAGAAGTGCTCCTCGTTGCAGCCCCCAGGGTGGGCGCCGTCCCTGGGGTTGCTGAAGCGAGCGCGCGGTACGAAGGACTCCCGCAATCACCAGTGCGACAAAAACGCCGATTTTGTAGAAGAAGCTGCAGCAGCGAACTGCCCAGCCATGTAGCAGGGCGACCCATCGAGACGCAGTGGCGGTAGCTGCAGAGCCAAGAGATGCCCCTGGATGCGCTGCCTTGAAGTGTCTTACGATAGCAAGAGAGATAAACGCTTGCACAGAGGCCCCCGCGGCTGCCGCAACGGCAGCGACACCGGCAGCAACCCCCCAACGACCCCGATCTATCAGAGCGTGGCAGGCCAGACTGCAGCAAACCACAAAGACTAGCAAGAGACATAGAAGGTGGTGCTGCGGATCCCTTACGGGGGAGGAGTGCAGCATGTGTCTGCAGGCGTCTCTAAGGCCTCGGCAGGCCGCCCCTGCTGCAGCGGAGCCACGCAGCAGAGCTCCCAACTCCTGTAGCTCCTGCTGTTGCTGGCGTTGTTCTGGCTCCTGGTTTGCGGAGAAGGGCCTCCTTGGTGACCGACCACCTTCACGTGGTGGGGGCTGCACCAGATAGTCGTCACAAGGCTCCCCCAATGAGCGTAGCTGAGGATTTACCGGGTCCATTTCCAGCAGAAAGTCTTCCCCGCGGGAGGCCTTGTCCTCTCCCGAAAAAAGACACCTGGCGCGTCTCCACCAGCCGTGAGCGCGATCGAACTGGGTGGCCGTCTGAGAGTGCCGTTGCGCTCGGACCATCTCCTCGTTCTCATCATCAGCGGCGAAGGATGAAATGTGCGTCATTTGCAGCAACTTGTCCTCTGAATCAAGGTAAACAACCAGGGGAATCCCCGCGGTGCTGGTAGGACCATCTTCAGAAAACACCGCGCTGGCCGTTCCCAGACAGTCTATGGACTGCTGCTGCTCGACATGCTGCTGCTTCTCCGCCTGCTCCTCGTTGCTGCCGCAGCTGTGGCTGTGCCTGTCGGCTGCAGCAGAGTTTGGGAAGGGGTGCAATTCCCCGGGTGCCTCCTCCGCTCCGTTAGCCAGCTCCTCTGGACACAGCCCGTGAAGAGGCTCTCTCCGCAGCAGGCTCGTGCAGCTGCCGCTGGTGTTTCTGTCCTTAGGAGCGCTGCCGTTGCTTCTGGGGGTGTGCAGCCCAGCATGCATTGAAGAGAGCTCGTCGTCTCTGGCACAAGAGGAGGCCCCCCTGCCCAAGCTGGGAGCCGCTAGGGGGCCCCCTTGAAGCATGGCCTGCGTCTGTAAGGAGACGACGTCGAATGGCTCAGTTACACGTGTCTCCTCCTCCTGCTCATACATGCGGGCAGCGGACAGGATCGAGCGACAACAGAGAAAGAGCAGAACTGCCAACAGCAGTGGGAGCAGCAGATATGGGGGTGACAAGGAGTTCACAACAACCCCGACAAGCGTTCCACTGAGCGCCATCGGCACGAGAAGATTCAGCCACATCTGAAGATGCCAAGCGCATGCACACACAAATACTTACATAAACATTATGCGACATCCAATAACGAATACTCGTACGGACACTAGAAAACCGCGAGGCAGCAGCAGCAGAATTATTAGCGCCCGAACAGGCACTCCCCGCAGAGCCGTCTAAAGGACGCTGCCATAATAACCAAAAACAGTGGAAGTCGAATGGCGGAAAATGCAAACGGGCAGCACTGAACGACCAGCAGCAAGATCACACGAAGAGCCGCTAAGTGTATCGACAGGGCAGACACCGGACCACACCTCATCGACAGCTGAGACACCATCGCGTATTTCTCTTCTGCGATGCATGTATGTTCCTGTGATGGCGGAGCAGCAGACCATCACCTAAAAAGGCATGAAACAGACAGACACACACACAGCACAGCATCCACATCCAATGCAAGTCGAGGCGGTAGCAGCAGCGAGAGAAGGAACGGCGGAGGCAGCAGCCTTGACAACCCCAACAGCAGCAGCAGGCCTAACCTTGCTTAAAGGAATAGAGTCCTTAACTCTCAGCTTGAGGGCACCCAAGAGAATGGCGAGAAAAATTGCACCACCACCAGTACCGCCAGTGGCGGCCAGTGCGCCTGTTACCAGCATCACTACGATGCTTCCGAACAAAGCAGCAAACGGAAGGGAAAAAAAGTCTCCCTCTAATCCAGCAGCAGAGCTCCGAGGAGGCGTATCGCCATCTTTGTGATTATCAGTGATGGGAACCTCAGGATGCGCCGGAGAGGAAGGAGCTGACGTAGAGGCCCTCTCATGGTGTTGTTGCTGAGTTGGCTGCTGTTGCTGCGCTTGAAGTTGAGGTGCCTGTTGAAATTCAACTTGCTCGTGGGTCTCAACCTTATGCTGTTGCGGCTCTTGCTGCTGCAGTTCAGCCTGTTGTTGCTGCTGTTGATACTCTTGCTGCATTAGCAGTTTAGCCTGTTGTTGCTGCTCTTGCTGCTGCGATTCAACTTGATGCTGCTGCTCTTGCTGTTGCGGTTCAACTTGTTGGTTCAGATGGGATTCAACTGCCTGTAGCTGCTGCGGCTCAGCTTGTTGCGATTCAACTGGCTGTGTCTGCTGCTGTTGTTGCGGTTGAAGTTGATGCTGCTGTTGCTGCTCTTGCCGCGATTCAACTTGCTGTTGCTTATCTTGTTGCGATTCAACTTGACGCTGCTGTTGCTGCTGCGGTTCAACCTGTTGGTTCTGTTCCGATTCAACTTGGTGTGGCTGCTGCTGTTGTTGCGGTTGAAGGTAATATGCCTCCTGTGATTGAGCTTGTTGCCGTTGCTGCTGCCGCTCAAGTTGCTGTGGCTGCAGAACTACCTGCTGGCGTGGTTGAAGCTGCTCTTGCGTCTCTCGTTGCGATTGCGGTGGAGTCGGCGGTGAAGGCTGTTGCTCATGCTGCTCATGTTCAGAAGGCAGAGATACACTGTGCAGTGTCACTACATCAGAGGGTGTGGAGGAGTTCAGCGTTTCTCTGGCCTCCTCTCTCGGCAGAGTTTCTCCCCCTGCGTGTGCGGCTGTGAGCGAAGGTGCTTCCCCCGAGTTTTCGGTCAAAACAGGCAGGGAGGCCCCCCCATCTGCAGCTTCCTCGAGAGCGCTCGCAGTTTCTGGACGCAATATTTCCGCTCTTTCTGGCAGAGAGAGGTCGTTGACCACAAGAGGGGGCCCTCCAGGGGCCCCGTGGGGGGCGGCCTCGAGGGTACTTTGGGAGGCCCCCAACTGCACAGAGAGGCCAGGGGGGCCTTCGTTCGGAATAGCGGCATCGGATGAAGCCTTGACAGGGCCCCTCGTGGTGTCGCGCCAGAGCTGCGGCGAATGAACCCCTGCGGCGTCTTTCTGAGCCTCCAGGGGGCCTCCTGGAGGCTCAGTGCGCTGCGCCTCCTGGTCTTCCGGAAGGGGCACGCTGGAGGCCTCATGTGCATCGAGAAGGGCCCTCAGAGGGGCCCTTATTATCCCCAAAGGGGCATGGAGGGAAGACCGGCCACCCTGCGCATGTGTGTGCAAGAGAAAGCTGGAAACAGCTGACAAAAGCACAACGAGGATGCTGCGCCTGCTCCAGTGGAATCTGGCTGCCAACATCCGACTGGCGTATTTTTATGTCTTTCAAGCTATTATTAATTCTTAGGGCTCGGCCCCCGATAGTGCTGGAACCCTGCCAGGGAAGGGGGCCCTCAGCAGGGGGTCACGCCTATCATATGCATAAATGAGGAGAGGCATATACGGGAGAGCCTAGAGTGATCCTTCACATTACAGTGACCGTTAACGCGTCATAAATGTGCTTGGCGGTGCCGATTTTCACTGGGAGCATGCCGTACAGCCATACAGGCTACTATGCAGAGAGGAGCTTGGGGCCCCCTACGCAGCCGCAGCAGCAACAACGCTGCTGCTGGGGCTGCAAAGGGGGCGCCAGGCTCCTCGAACGACGAATTATATTTCAAGTCCCTTTTCCTTTATCCCAGGAGTGGTCAACACCTCTACTTGCACCGACAGGTTTCACACAATTGATAGCTTCGACCCCTTCCTGTAGGAACTTAGTATGATCTCGCGCTGCTGCTGTCTTCTTACTAGCCCTTACAGGCACCTTCTCCGCTATCTTCTCTGGTCCTTAGAGCTCTGTGCGCAATTTGTGGCTGTATTCTCGATGGTGTCAACCGCTAGCGAGAAGGCGCTGTAGTACGCTGAGCTAGACTCAACCACTATCTGCTACAACCGTTCCTTTCTTGCTGAGACGAGAGTTAATAAAGAATTGACCGATTGCTATGTCCGTTTTTCGGTTAATTCGATTTCAGAGTAATGCTTGCTCGATACAAGAAGACGGAGTGCTTCGTACCTAGGCGCTAGATGCTAGTGCCAATTAGCTATGGATGCTCAGAGCTCATAGAGCGTACCCTAGCTTTCGCTCTCCCCACATGTTGTAAACTGTAAGGGGCGCGGGCGGGGAGACAGGGAACCTGTTCTGGAAACCACTCCACAACCTCTTTTTGTTCTGAAGCGTGTCTGGATTTGAACTGTCTCCCTACAGAAGCCTTCTACGGGGCGTTACAGCCGCACATTCATGCTTGCTTGCGTGTCTCAAGCATAGCAAAGGGATAGCCTACTCAAACATAGGTAGCACTGAAATAGCTGCCCTTGTTTCGATATGAATACAGAGTTCTTGCGCGGACTGGTTCGTGCGCATCCAGCGTTTATTTCCTACAGCAGAGGGGTATACACCCCGCCTTATTCCCTTGCTGCAGAACAAAGCACAATATATACTTATTTAGCACTCCACATAGGTATATGTACATATCCGTATATCTGCGCCCATGCATGCGTAAATGGCAGTAGGCGCATATGTGACCCAACCGAGCATGGACTGTTTTGCTCAACCACTCAGTAGAGCCACAGCATCACGGGTGTATAGCACCGACCGCGTACATTATGCAGCTCCGCCCGCTTCGCGTTCTCCTTGTTCAGCCCGCAGCTGAGACCTGAGAAGTCGAACCTCGCTGCCAACCTTTGGCGGATGCTGATTCTGCAATGTGGATGCCGACGGAGGAAGCCTCTGTGGCCAAGCCTCCCTGCAGCGCCCGGGGTTCTTTTCAAGCCTCGTTTTAGCCTTTTTGTTCTCTGGAGGTGTGGCAGATTTCGAGGACGAGAATACGAAGGCTCCAGCTACGTCCTGCTGCTGATACCCTCCAAAAGAATATACCCATATGGATGACACGCGAAGGAGCCACCCAAAGCGGACCCTAGGGGTCGCAAGGCACACACAGCAACGGAGGCTCCAGAGCTCTTCCGAGAATTCCTTGGACAGTGTGCGGCCGGCAGAGGCTTTACGGGAAAATTCCGAACTGCTCCTGTGCGCAGCTTTTCCAGCATTGAAATTAAACTACACGTGGGTGGACACTGGAAAAGAAGGGAAGGCCCAAGGATACGGGACAGCCTACCTACGCGGAGCCAGGAGGTGGCAAGGGCAAGCAAAGGAGGTGCCTCAGCAGGGATCGTACGTATGACGAGTGTTTGCTGTAGCATGTAAGCCTCAGGGATAAGAACACAGGAGGTGCGACCCAGGATGACGTTTCCATGAATGTGAAGATCGCAGAGAGTATCGCCTCTATCGTCTGTGTTGCTCATTCTAGGGAATGGGCTTTTGTCATGCTTTGTGTCGCTCTAATTGCCCAGTAGGGCAGTGCATGATTTGTTTGTGCCCAATACGGGGCCTCTGAAGCAAGGGCTGTCTGCTGGAACTCTGAACTATTGATAACAAACTGTTGCATTCAGAGTCCTCATGGGCCATACCCGGGGGACCTAGTGGCGGTTATCCGTACAGCCAGTGTAGCTAGTGCTGCGCGTCATCGCGGACCTGCTAATTCAAGGGCCCCCATCCTTCCCCCCGGTTGTGGCCAAGTGGCGCTATTGACTACGCTACGGCCTCGGCAGCGGCTCTAGAGGGCCTCCTCTGGGAATCTACGATAGAGCGTTCGGAAAGCCGCCCAAGAGAGGCTCTCCAGCATCGAGCAAGGCGTAGTCGAGCTCGCTCGAGGGTGGGGCAGGCGGCGTCGGCTTGTCAGCTGCAGAGGGGAAGGGGGCTTCTTGCCCTGCCAGCTCTTCAGCCCCTGTTGTACTGCTGAGGGTGACCGGGTTAGCCTGTGAGGCAGCGGCGGCATCTAGGGCAGCCAGATTAAGATTTTCGCGGAATTGCTGCAGGGTCAGCGGCGCAGATGCCCCTTCAGAAAAAGGGTCGGGGATCTTCCAAGCCGCGAGCACTGAGGCTCGAGGAGACAGCAACAGTCCGATGTCTGAGGCGCACGCTCAGCACAGGCGTCAGAACAGGCAGTAGTGACAAGGCGAGCAGTGACAGGAGCTAACAATCTGGTCAATGCTAATGGGGAGGCATGCCGAGGGGGGAAACCGCGTGTGGCAGGCGTGGACACAAGCGCTGCGGAAGGTGGTCGTCTTCTGTTGTGGCAAAAATAGCTACAAATTCCTCACACACCCCGCTTTAGCACAAGCGAGTGACCCCGACTAAGAGACAGGAGTGTTTCTCGGGTGTCGAGGTTCCTCGCTGCGTCCTCCACTCTGTACAGCTGCTCCTCTCTGGCGTGCGGCTGCAAGCGGATAGCAAGGGTTACAAGAGCAGCCACCGCATTAGCAGCAGAGTCCCCAGCCGCAGCACAAGAGGCAAGCGACGGAGCACACAGTCTAGCGCAGGAAAGCAGTAAAGGCAAAGATCCCCCTCTGGGGGCAGCTTTGCAGCCTAGACAACATCTGTACAAGACATGGCAGGCAGTTCCCACATGAAGTCTGGCAAAACGCAGGTTATTCGCCAAGCAGGCCGGCTAGAGGGGGGGAGGGGGGGGCGCACACTCCGCAGGGTATAGGCCTTGCCTGGAGCAGCAGAGAAGAGGCGACAGCAAAGGCCTCCAGAGGAACCGTCCGGAGGTCTCCCACACTGAGTAATTTCGAGGAGAAGGGGGAGAGGAGGAGCGCTGAGCCGGCATCAAGAGGGGGCCTCATCATCTTTCCCTCGGCAGGGAGAGACGGGCGGCTACTGCTTCTGTCTCCTTCGAAACCTCGCTGAGCTTCGGTGGATAAATCCACATGCGGCCTTCCCCTTTCCTCTAGCCACACGGCAGCAGTGGTGCCCTCCGAAGGCCAAGGCTCTAGCGCCTTCGTCTTCTTCTCCAGGAACACTAAGGGGGCCTCCGATACTTCAAAAATCCACAGTCTCAGCGCACGAGAGCAAAGGGACGCGTTGCTCGGAGTCATCACAGCCAAGGCGCACTTTGCGCGCACTCTAAGGCCACACTCGGGCTGAGAGGTATAGCACCAACTCTACAAGCTCGTGCAACTCCCAAGAGGACAAGTCGCCCTTCGGCCTGTTGAAATTATTCTCCTAGGGCAGCTAAAAGGCGGCTTCAGCGCCGAATGGGGTGTGGGGAAAGTCAGAGGGACGTGAATGCGAATGTGCAGGGTCGCAGCAAATGGCAGAAAGCAAGACTTCGAAGGGGCCAGGAGAGAGGTTATAAGGCAAAGATCACTCAGGGGGCTGATTTAAGAACAGCAGGGAATTAAACCCAGTGGAAGAAGGACCCCAGAATGGGGTGTGCTTGCCTTACTCCGCGCTGCCGTTAAGAGGCTGGCAACCCCCGCTAAGCCACTGAATGCAATGCAAAGACCACCCGCGATGGCTAGAAACCAGAGCAGCATCGTTGAAGGCCCCGGCTGCAGCAGCCACAATGCAGCACAAACCCTCTCCCTTGCGCTGTGGGTCAGTGCTTTTTTCCTGCTGACTGCTTTTCTGAAAGATCTTCAGGACCAATAGGGAACACCCTGAGGGACTAATTGCTGCAACCTCGCCGCATGGGGCTTCTCAATATGCAAGCGTGCCTTTGCAGCACTCGACATGGCCTCAGTAAGACCTGTGACGGTTCTCGAGTCACGGCGCCTTACCATCTGACGTCCTCGCTGCGTTCCCCCTAGGCTCAGCATACCGAAAGCGGCGTCCTCTTGAGGCTCGTGGAGAGACTGGTGGGGCCTTGTGGGGGTGCCGCTCGAGCAGTCTGTCGGAGCCTTGTCCTTGAGCGAGTCTCTGTTTTTTCGTCCTGCCTTACTCCAGAGCTTGGGGGCAGCAGCAGCCTCGTGGTTGCCTGTGCTTGGAGGCATCTTTGAGCTCCCAGAGGAGGAGGCCCTCAGAGTGGTGCCCAATGCGAAGGGTAGAGAAGAAAGCCGACCTAAAGTGGCAGGAGCAAGCAGTGCCGCAGAGTTGTCGTGCAGCAGAGACAAGAACAGCAGTCCGAGGGGCCTAGGGAGCTTCGAGGAAGCATTTCTGCGTTTTGCAAGCTGGCAGAGCAAATCGTCACGCAGAAAACACGACTCTCAGGAGGGGGAAGCGCACGGGAGGGAGGCAGACGCGGCAGGAGGCCTTTTACACTTCGGGGTTGGCTGATGCTGCGGGCCCTGGAGATGGAAAAACAGCAGCTGCCTGCTTGCGATGCAGAGATATAAGCAGATGGCTTCAGCTGTACCTGCGGCTGCTGCTCTGGCTTATGAGGCTTTAGCAGGACATGCCCTGCAGACGCAAAGTGCTGTACAGCAGAGCCGCCAGCAGCCTGGGGCCCTTTGTGCCAGGTTTTTGCATCCTCCAGCTGGGATTGGCTATGTGGTAGGCTATAAGAGGAGCACTGCTGCTTGACAGAGATACTTGTTAGTGTCTTTCCAGTGCAAACGCTGCTGCTGCCGTGGAAAGCGGGGAGACTACAGTTTTCCCCGCCCTGCTGAGGCATTCTGGGGGACTCTCGCAGAGCTGTATCTTTTTCAGCATCCTGCCGCGGTTCATGCCTGTAGAGCTGCTGCTGCGGCGAAAAATGCCCAGCGGAGGAAGTTTCTGACCTGGAAATCCCTTCTTGAGGCTGAATGGCAGCAGTGGTACCTGCACTGTTACTGTTGAGGCTCCTGCTGGTTCTCCTGCTCCGCCTGCTGCTGCTGCTGAGCCTGCTATCCCTACTCCTACTGCCGATAACGCTGCTAGGACTGCTCTCGATATTGCTGCCGCTACAATTGGACCGGTTCCTTCGTTCACTGGAGGGCGACAGCTCCGCAAATTCAAGAGGGGAATGAAACCTTTCGAACGCAAAGGGGGGGTTCTCCACCTTTTGAACTTCGTCCCTAGCGGCATTAGGTGTCCTCTTAAAGCTAGGCCCACCTGTAAGAGGTGGTTTAGGGGAAGATACACCCTGCATTGTACCTTGAAGGTGGAGGGAGTTCTTGCTCTACAGCTGTGGGCGCAACACTGCGGGAGTGCCCACCATAGCTATGACTCACGAACACCCCCAGAAAACCAGTCTCATCAATGCTTGTAGGGTCCCAAGCTTTGGTTCCGTATGCAGCCGAGTCAATTCGGCCTATTTGTTTGAGGGCCAGCTCGGCGTCTAAAACGGGCGCATCGAAAAAAGCAAACAGCATGACATACCACAGGGGATTCAATGTCGCAGATGGCCTCCACTAAAAATAGGCCACGGAACTTGAGGTTAAACAGAAAATGGTGTCTGAGGGGTTGTGCTGCCTGTGGTATACCCAGCGGCTGTTCGTGTGGGGCAGCAACTGCATCAGCGGCAAAGCAACGAGCACGGTGGGACTTTCTCTATTAATATGCTTGGAGACACTGAGAGTGCTCATTTAAAGAGAAAATGCGAAAAATTAATATAGATAATGTGTTTGCAGCTCGCATTTCAGTGTTGCTTTTGGCAGAGAGCGACAACTACGGGGTCACTTGTGCCGTTAGGGGTTCTCGTGCAGCTGAAATATGAGAAAATAAATCTTCAACATTCCCCCAAATCATGCTGAAAGTCATACGTTTCGATGAATGTGCCACGATTGTAGGGTATACCCGTTGCCTGTTCCATATGTGAGTTCCCTGAACGAAAACAAACTTCCGCAAAGGGCGCTTGCTAGCTTGTGCCGCATGAACTTTCCGAATCTTCTCATGTGAATAGCAGCTTCTGCCAGAAACACCATACCACGCAACGACATGTTATCGCCTTGCCGTGATTAGTGCTCCCTGCGCAGTTCTACCTCTGAAAGGGACAGGCAATTGTGTGGGCTTGGCCTGAAATTCTTGCGCAGCGGCGAAATAAAAGTGCGGCGGCATCATGAGGGAGCAGGATGCGCTTGGAGAAAACTCCGGAACTCGTAATAGGGAACAGAAAACACCAATCTCATGAGAGTACCTCACGTACATAACTCTTCATCGTTGTGGGGACGCATAGAGGGCTTCACACTCCACTCATTAGCGGAAAGACCAGTTAAGATCGAAGGCTCAGAGTCAGCAAATATGCAGCTTCATCCGCTGCTCCTCGCGATGTCATTATGTGTGACTGTGTGACTTCACGTGTTCTCCTTAGAGGAAACGCAGATTTGATGTGAAAGGCGCGAAAAAAATTGCCACTACAGCCGCCTATTTGGCTGCATAGAGCCACATATTTCTGTAAAGCGTAGCTGCGTCACTTTGAATCCCAGTTGTCTCTACAGATGGTAATTATTGACCATATTGCAATATGATTCTTAACTGTGCGACCATCAAGCCCTGCGATACTTGGAGTCCAAATTATTCACGCGATCAAGAGAAATGGTAGGCAAACGAGTTCTAGGCCAGAACTGGCTAGCCACGGCTAGGCACAGCACATCACGCGGCCTGATTCCTATGGGCGTTGACACCAAGAGCCTCGGTAGCTCTGCCTGTGGTGACAGTGCGGCCAGTGGGTTACTCATGCAAACGGCTCACACAGTTATGAGATTAGAAGACGTCTCTGAACCACCAATGAACCCACTGGCTTAAGGTTATTTTCGGCAACAGGCTATTTGTGAGTCCTCTTGCCACCTTTGCGTTGACCCACGCGGCCTGCAGCTACGCCCTTCCCTCTCACGTTCCTTCCCTTTCTCCTGTGAGGTCTGTGTGCCGGCATGGACTTGTTGCTGTTGCGCGCCTTGTTTTTGAATGAGTGGCCATGATTTGGCTGTATTTGTTTCTGCTCCTTCTCATTCCCGAGAAGCCACTTATCAAATTCTTCTTCTGCTTCTCCCTGGGCAGCGCCAGTCCGCCGGGCTGCCTGTCTCTCCTCCTTCCACTTATCGATAGCCTTTAGCTGTATGTTCCGTTTTCTCGCCTCTTCTTGTTCTCTAACCAACTGGTGGCCGCTTAGTTTGTTGAACTTCTTGTTCAACCGCTGGTTCCTCTTCTCTTCGAATTGGCGTTGCTGCTCCTGCTCTGCTGTAATGCGGGCCCTAATGCGGCCCATCTGCTGCTCTGTTCTAAGCATCTCTGCCAAAAAATCAGGTGGCCGGGAAAACTGCAAGCCTACAGCGCGCAGGCGCGCCAAGGCGATAGGCACGGTGCTCTGCAACTGACGCACGCTGCACGGAAACGCGCGACACCACACGCCAGCCACATTCGAAAAACAACTATGTAGTTCGACGGAAAGCAAGAGAGAGAAGGCGAAAGACGGTGCCGAAAGCCATCAAAAGCAACAGACAGGGCACCCACCAAGCAGGCTGACTGACACCCAGCTGCACCGTGCGGCAACAAAAATGGAGGAAGTTGCAGAGATGAAACAGCACCCGTCGCATCTTGCTACGCTATGGTGCTCTATGCAGCCAATACTAAAGCTTAGAATGACTGCCGCTGCCCCTCACAGGTCCTGTATGCGTCTATGGCTTTGGCCTATCCCCCTCCCTAGGTAGAAAGGGAGAAACATGAAGAGTCAACAGCAACACATGAAGACTTACAAGCTGGCCTCTCGCTTGAGGTCTTGAGAAGCATCAAGGGGCATAGAATCGCTTGACTCCTCTTCCCCAACGCCCTCGGGAGAGACAACAATCGCCAGAGTCTCCACGAAGGGCACGCGACGCATTCCAGGGGGAGGCGCATACTTTAGCTCCTCCAGCTTTTGCAACAAACCTGAACGCGCCAAGCGGCCCAGCAAAGCGCCTCTCACAAGAAAATACTGCTGGCGCTGCCACGGTTGCTGCTGCAGCTTCTACTGCCACTTATGCGAGAAATGCACAGGGATCACACAAGTCCTAAACCGGCGAAGGGCATCCGCTAAGCAGATATCGTGACGGCAAGGCGCAGCACATACACAGCATACAGCAGCAAGGACCGCGATAGCCATCCGAGAGAACACACCACGAAAGAATACACGGGCTTCCTACCTGCCTCGTCGCACACCGGTACTTCATCAGCCCCACTTTCCACGCGTATCGGCGATGCGGCAGGGGCACCGGAAGACTTGCGAGCTGCGGAGAATACGCAGCACGTCGAATCAGCACAAATGTTGAAGGTCTTGTGAGAAAGGAGTAAGAACTCCCAATGACTGGGAAGGGCCCCGCGGGTTGCATCCACAGGAGACGGAACCAGGCCCCTGTGACGAGGGGAAAACCAGGGGCGGTCTTCGCCCCTCCAGTCGCCTTAGGCCAGTGTGATGAGATCCCCCGTTGGCTCTATGGACAGACAACAAGTAGAACCGGATCACATTTAGAGCCTTTGCGCACCTTTGCTAAGAAGTCGCTCGTTGGGTTGCAGCTCATAGCCCAGGGCTTTCAGTCGGCTCAGGTCTTCAGGATCCGCCTCACTCTCAAGGTCTGCACTTCCTCCAGAACTCTCCTCGTTCGAAGCGTCACTGCCAGCATCGCCAGAGTCGCCAAGGGGGCCCTCGCCAGAAGCCCCCCGTCGGTGCTTTGCGCGAAATCGCGCCAGAAGTAGGGCCCGCATGTCGTCTGCAAACTCGTCATCCTCGAGAATTTGCAGCTGCAGCCTTTCTAGAGTAGCTTCATCTAGCTCAGATGTCACGGGGGACTCCTCAGGGAGGGGGGCCCTCTGAGCCTTGAGAGCTCCCTGCTGGGGCGCTCCGCGAGGGCCCTTTGATGGCATGGGCTGTCTGTCCTGGTGGCTGCTGGGGGCTAAGTTGCGCAACGGATATCCCCAGGGAACTGTGAGCTGAAGGAAAGAAGGAAGGCTTGTCGGTAGGTAGCTGCCTGCTGCCTTCGGATGTGGCGGGCCAAGGCAGCTACTGTACAGGGAGGCGGAAGACGAGGCAAGGAAGATCCTCTGGAGGGGCGCTTGGATGATATCAGAGCACCAATTCTGTGGAATTGTAGCAACCCGAACGGCCGAAGGAAGAAAAAGCCTCGGAAAGAGCAGCGGCGCCACAGCCCCACACGCGTTTAGGCCTGAGGCCACCACTGGCCAGGGGCCCTGGGGAGGCTTTTCGTCAATTTACGATCTACAAGACCATCAGAATCTAGCTAAGTAGCAATGATAACGCAATTTTCCTTTAAGAGACCTCATCGAAAGGCTTTGGCTCTCCCTTTAACTTGGGCGTTAGTAATCAGTAGGAGGCATAACTTCGCGGTGGTGTAGAGCGCCGCTAGTGCTCCAAGACATCTAGGCTCTTGTTTGCTAGTTACTTCTGCCACCCTTAGTCCATGTCTCGATAACCCAATGTATTCGGGGGAGTTTCAGTACCGCTCTGTGGAGGCGGGCTTGTAGCCGGGTTCCTGGGTTGCGACCAGCTGAGTGCAGCTTCGCGGAATCTAGATATTTTCCCTCCTCCACCAACGTGTCTGTTGCTTTTCTTTCTACCGACATTCATTGGCAGCCCCGTATAACCCGTGCTGGGGGCTTGACTCGTACCGCTTTCAGTGATCAGAAAGCTGGTCACTCGCCTGAGGTCTCAGGCGGCGTCGAGGGGCACAGAATCGCTGGACCTTTCTCGTCCCACGCCTTCGGAGGAGGTAAAGAAGTAATTAAGTAGCAGTGCTGCGAGGAGAAAGAAAACAGTAGGCTTAGAAAGAAGGAGCCCCCCAGTCTTCCTCCACCGTCGTAGACTTGGGCCGTTTGCGAGCGTGGTGAGACACACGCCTCCCTTATCTGAAAGGCTCTCTCTAGGCTCCAGAAAAATGGGGATTTGCCCTCTAGATTCATCTTATGTGGAGCCGTTCGCGTATCGGTGAGTGTGCGGCCTCTTGAACACAGTGCACTCGCACCACACAGTGTATTTGGGAGCACAGCAGCTGCCTATCCACACACTGCTGGCTATAGGAAGCCCTCTGTGGATAGGTACGGTTAGTCACCACATGACAGTCCCAGCCGATTGTTGGCCCTTGGATAAATGCTGGATCTAGCGCCCTTTCTAACCCCGGCACAAAGCCGTATGCCCCCTTGTCAGTGCAATATGTAAAAGCTTCTACGATCGAGGCAGGCCCAGTATTTAGTCGCAGTGGACCCAACTAGTCGTCGTCTCTGCGATTACAGAGCCTTACGGGGTATAGCTGTAGTAGAGTCAAACAGCTAGTCACTTAGGCCGGCACAGCCTGGGAAATTCAATCAATTGCTGTTCGCATGCGTGCCTTTTGTTCCGCTCACTCTATATGCCCTTGACTGTCCCTGCGACCTCCTTCGTCTTTCTGCGCTTGATTTGCCATCCAGCTTTTCTGCGCCTCATCTTATTCGGCAGACTGTTGCTGCTACTCCCTGTATCTCTACACTGTGAATGCATGCACCGGTACATTCAATTTCCAGGGGGCAGTCTTCCTTAGCCCTACACAGTTTGAATCATTGACGGCCTTTGAGCTTATTCTTCCAGAAGGTCGCTCACACGGCACGCAAGCATCCAGATAGCTACCACATTCGCTAGCAAAGCAGGCTACATAGCAACAGAGAGCCTTAGAAAGCCGGAGGGCACTGGCTGCAACTTGGCAAAAGGATAAGAAGAGCATGGAGAAGCAGCGCGCTGGGCTGCGTGGAGAGCGGCGTAAGCAAACCCCTTGCAGGTCTCCCTTGGGACCTCTACAGGGGCCTTTTTACTTTCTTCCGGGCTATGAAAGACCCAAACGTGAAAGGACAGCATGACGCCAAGTGGCAGCGTGTAGACTGGTAAGGGCGGCATCTGCTGGAGATTGGGCTGAGGCAGCATTGGCAGGAGCATGCGCAAAAGTAGCATTCTCAGTACCGTCACATAAAGCGCAACAAGTTTGGTAGAAAAAGCATCCACGCAGAAAATAGGTCGCACACCAGCAGCACACACTTACCTCGAGAGCACTTGTAATAGGCGAGGAAGTTGGTGCCTGACAGAACCACGCCCACTATTGCCATCATAGTCTGCAAGGACAGTAAAGGCGCATCTGGCAAGCCAGATGATGAAGCTGCCGCAAAAGGGATCACAATGCAAAGGCGGGGGTCGCCGCTGTGGGACGGACGGTGCAAAGTCTGCAGACGGCGGGGAGGGGTGAGATTCTCATTCCATGACATTGAAATAAATGCTACATGAAGGAGAGAAAGGGGAGCAATCGCACCCAAAGGAAGTCTAGGCTGATGATAGAATTGATGCAGAGGGCCACCCACAGCAGAGCCCACGCAACAAGACCCCCCCAAAACACGCGGTAGTCCATTGTGCAGATCCGTCTGCCCTCCTGAGTACAGTAGCAACAGCATCGGGGAGACACGATGTGCCAAGGCAACATATTCAATGGCAACAACGACTGGCGATTTGGAGCTGGACCTCCCGGCCACGTCTGGTTACCCCAAACATAGACGCCAGAGGACTGCGAACAACACACGAACTGCAACAACAGCGGCAACATTGCTGCCAAAAGAGCTTACAGGCGCTTTCTGAAAAGTCCACTCCCCGCTTCCATCTGGAGCTACGTGGTGTTGCCAGCAGAGGCCCACAAGCTTCCTGAAGAAAGAACACATGCAGTTCGCCAAACAGGCACACACGGTGAGTACATAGATGGCTGTCGCCGCCCCGCAGAGCAAGAGCGCAACCACGCAGAACAGGACCCAAGCAGCCCACGCAGCGGCAGACGGAATGCAGATCAGTATTAATAAAGCCATGGTGTCGCAGTGTAGGCCAAGGCGCTTTGATGTGCGGCAGGCAGCAAGTGGCTGGCGCACCTCCCCGACACATTCTTTACAGTCCAAAAGTCCAAAGACAGGAGGACGAGCGTAAGGATAAAGGAAATGACAAAGTCGGCGTCCCCGTAAGAAAATCCGAAAAGGAACGACCCAAATAAATAGCTGAAGAGCAGGTGCAGAGGGGCACAATCCGTGGATAAGCTAAAAATATAGGGGCATGCAACTTTTAGGTTGCGAGGGCGACTTGCAAATGTGCTATATACGGATATGAGCATTTCAATCCGCAAAGTAATAAAACCGCGGAAACATTTTTATCTCCTATCGAGCGCTGTCCCTGCATCGATCTCGCTTCTCCCTCTAAGGCGCATTTCTGCCTCTCTTTGCCCCCCCTTTTCTTCCGTCTCATTATCTGCATCGGCCCCTCCCTCTCATTTTCTGCATGCGCATCTAATTCGCTAGGCATACAACAGACTTTCTCCAGATTCGAGGGCGAGTGACAAAGACAGGCCATTAGCGAGGCTGCCGACCCACCTAATCAAGGCGAGGACCTTGAAGAACAAATGGAAGAAGCATACACCGGGATGCGCTGCTCCTTGAAAGAGGTCACTCATAGGAGCCAGGATGAGGCTTCTTGGACCGGCAGTACCATCCGTGGAGGCCTCCGAAGGATGCCCAACACGAGCAGGGCCCCCTGTTCGTGCTTCAGTGATTCGAGTGAGCTGTCCAGACACCAGACTCTCACTGTCCGCCTTCAGCGGCAGCGGGGGAGGAGAATATCCTTCCTCCAAGTTGATCATCCCGTCCTGGTGGATATTTTGACACTCCTGGTGGTAGTCCTCGTGTATGCTGCTGCGGTAGAGCCTGCCGGCTGAGGCGGCTGTTGTGGTCTTTCGCGTGCTGCCTCAGTCAAGTTTCACCTCGCTCGCTTCTAGTGTGAGTTGCCCCCGATTTCACACGTGTGTCTGCAGAGCGGCGCATGACTGGAGCTCCGCAGCAGCAGCTGCCACCGCTTTGGCCAAATGCTCCTGTCCCCAGTGGTCCAAGTACTGCCTGCTGTCTGCTGCCTCAGGGGTATCACATACACTGGTTTCAGTTGCTTGTCGGCATTCTCAACTTGCAAAAAGCACTCCAGAGGGCTTTATGTCTTCCTGGACGGCCATTAGGGTGACGTAGGCGTGGGGCCCCCGAATCATGGGGGCCCCATGGGGGCCAGGCGGTCAGTCGGAGGATGGCTCACTCGACTGTCTACTCGTGTCTGCCCGGATTTCGCGATTTTTCGTCCATTGTAAAGGATCCCATTCGGCCTGAATCTTGCTGAGGCCTCTTGCAGTCTCTGCTGCTGAGGAACCCCGCTGTATTCGCGAGCAAACGGCTGAGGAAGGGGGAACAGGGGCCCTTACCGGCGGCCCTCTAGGGTCCCTAGGGGGGCCCTCCCTCTGCGCTTAACAAGGGGGAGGCACGCGCATGCAGGGCCCCTACATGTAACGCGTGACTCCGCCACAACCCCCACCCGATGTGTCTCACAACATTTGGTGTACTATGGGTTCTGTAGCCCTCCAGCAGCAGCAGCTTCTTCTGCAACTCCCCCTGCTGCTGCTGTTGTTTTTGTCGCTTTCCGTCGAACACTGCACGGCCTTTCGACTGAATGGGCCCTCCCTAGGCAGCGGCACTGCTCCGCAGCAAGGAGGTTTTCCGCCTCCTGAGCCGTGTGCCCTCAGGAGAGGGCGCACTTCCTTCGAGAAGCTCGCCAAGAGACCAAGAGGCCTCCGACGTCTGAACAGAGCAGAGACATTAGCATTAGCTGCAGCCTCTGGGATTCCTGCCCCTCCCACAGTTGATCCAGCGACTGGCCATGAGCTCAGTACCGGCGTGCTTTGGGAGATGGAGGGGACCCCCAAAGCCAGATGGCCTTCTTCACTCAGCGAAATAGCAATCTCTTCCCGCCAAGCTTCTTGCGATACAACTGGAACTGCAGCCCCTAGTGTAGCTACAGCATCAGGAGCGACAACCAATGGCAGCACTCCCTCCAGCCGCCTGCGACTGACACTCACCCTGAGTAACAACCATGTATATGCCTGCATCACAGACAAGTCCCGCCAGCACACATTCGCCTTCGCCTCTTCACGAGACAACGCTCTCAAGGATTCCCTCCCTTTGGTCAAGAGGAAGAAGGGCAAGCCAACTTCCACTGCTGCTGCCATGGCTGGGAGGTCGCTGCTGATGCCGCCGTGTCTGCTCTAACTGCCCCTCAAGTTGCATTCGTTGCAAGCAGGACTACACATCCTCATTCTGCTCTGGTTGTTGCAGGATTAGTGGCAAGGCCACATGGAGGCACGCTGCGAGCAGCAGCTGCCGTGGGGGCCCTTGTAGCCGCCCGAGGCCTAAAGGCGGGAATTAATAAAGTGTATTTTGATAGAAAAAAATACAGGTAAGTGCGAGAGAGGTTTCTGGGCTCTACTGAAGGGGCCTGTAGCTCGTGACTCCACTACCTTCCAGAGGATTCGGGGCGACCCTCATGAATGGGATCGTCCACTCGTTTAGTTACTTGAAGAAACGTATTTTTTGGTGTATCTTTCGTGGCTCTCAGATATGCCGGAAGGGTCGCTGCACTGGCAGACGCAGCTAGAAGCGCGGGACTAGAGTTTTAGGCATGGAAGTGCTACCCGGCATGACTGCAGGAGAATGGCATCGTCAGTAGTTCCTGATGGCGCTAGACCCCACGTCTGTGGCTCCATCGTCTGGAATTCCTGTGATCGTGGCCTTAGAGAGCTAGTCCTGCTATTGCAATGCATGGCTGCTCATCCAGCAACAGCAGGCAGCGAGACGAATGATTCTAGGCCCGCTATGTAGCGCCATAGATTTATTTCCATTAAACCCTATCGCACTTAGCCAGCAGCCCCCTTAGTCGTCTGTTGTTGCCAACTTTATTGGCTTAGAGGTACAACACTGCTCTGTAACGACTTGGAAGCTCTTGAGGGAGTAGCTCCTACCCCGCAAAACTCTGCAGAACAGCAGTTCTGTGTGATGGGCCTGCAAAGTTGCTTCATATCCCAGGCTTCTTGTTGCAGCGTTTGGGAGACTCTTAGGGTTTAGAATATGTGCTCTTGGCGAAGTGTCATAGACGCACAGTAAGGTGGTGAGGGCTCTACCAGGCTAACGCCCATACGGCGAGTAACATTCACAGGTTTCCGCTTGCCTAGGCGTTAAAAGACAGAATACATAGCGTTTCCCCGTTTGCTCAAGGTAATAGTAGACACAAAAAACAACAGAAAGAGGGAGCAACAAAGTTTCAAATGGCAGTGATGGTCATTCAGACCAATGTGTGGACAGCCGACCTGTGAGGTAGCCGAATACCGGAGGCCCCTGAATGCCGCAGGGCCCCCAAGTCGGAGGGGCTTCGTTCCATCGAATGGATTTTCAGCTTCGCACATTTGAACCCTTTTATCAGAAGAACTTAGAGAGGGGACAAGAGACAGCATCGGACGCCAGGGCAGTGCTTTAGCACAGGGTCTCTTCAGGGGACCGGTGGAGTCCATTAAGGTATCGTCTTCCGCACTTTCATTTCTGAACCTTTCGTCTTCATCAGGTCGGCAACTTCCTCTTGTATGTATTAATATTGCTGGCGCATTCTTATCCAGTGGGGGTTCTGGTGTCTCAGCTTTCTCTCGGGTGTCCGCCGACTGCACCGCTGGCTGCAGCTGCACAGTTCACCCCCAGTGCCTTCCTCTTACTTCGCGTGCAGCCTGAGAGCCTCCACGACCTGGTGACAACAAAAGACTCGAAATACTTGTGTCGCTAAACCAAGCTCCTAAGAGTACTAAAGGCAGGCAGCCGTAGAAGAAAGCAGGGACTGCAGCAGTCTCTGGAGCCAGACAGCAACAACGAGAGCAAGCACATTGGTGTCCACAGGCCGAATCCCAGGCAGTATGAGGGCTGAGAGACACACTCTTTGAGAGCATCGCGCGTGGATTAAGAATCTCCGCCGACGCCCCCAAAGGACCTCTTCTCAACGTGTACACACAGGCCTCCGACCTGTCTCAGCCATGAGTTTCTTGGAGCAAGGCTCTCATGAAGGGCCCCCAACAAGCTGGCGGCGACCAGCTGTCGTGCTTAAGGGCAGGGCAGAGTCTCCAGCGCGCCTAAGCTCGGAGGCGTCGGAGGCAGCAACTGTCGCCACTGCAGCTACAGCGAGCACGGGGAACACAGCAGCAGCAGCAGCAGCAGCGGTAGCCATGGCCAAGCAGCGTCAGCACCTTCAGCAAGAAAAAGAGTTCTTGCAGAAGAAGCAGATGCAGCTTCGGGAGCAACACGAGCAGCTGGAGAGGGACAGGATGTTCCAGAGTCAGCAAAAGGCCTTCCTCGAGAAGGAATTGGAAATTTCAGACATCTCAGATCCCCTAGGCCTCCCCGCAGAAGGAGGTCTCCAGAAGCCTCAACGCTCCAAAAGACAAGAAGCGAACAACTTTGCTGGGTTGCCCGTCTCCAATTACATTGAGCCGAGTTCCCCAACGCCAAACGGTCCTGCTCACCACCAACCAGTGAGACTCCCACGTACTTCCACAGGAAACGCAAACGTCTGTGCAGAACAGGGGCACCAGTGTGAGCAAGTCAAGCATCAAAGCGACGACGAGTTGGTGGAAAAGCGCACTGGCAGCAAGTCGCTAAAGCAGCTGTTGGGGCCGCTTCTGTATGCGGCGTACAAGCGGCTGCAAAACAAGAACATCATGGAGTCCTCTAGTATTCCTCCCGAAGTGCATTGCCTGTCACTCCAGGAGGACCGCGTGAAATCTGACGTAGTGCTTGTGAGCGTTTCGGCTCGGGAGTCGTGTTCAGTGCGGCAATCACCAGATTCAGATGCAACCGCCGGAGCTACAGCAGCCCCCATCCAGAGGGCTCCTACTGCGGAGCAGCAGTTTCACCCCGGCACAGTTAGCCGCGGCAGCAACACAGGCAGTGGAAGGCCTGAGTCTTTTCCATCGGCTTCGCTATGTTCTACGGAGAAAACAAACTCCCTAGAAAGCAGCGATTCTGCCGCGTTAGTGTACAATCAATGCGGTACCGAAGAGAAGGAAGCCCCTAGCCATAGTCCCCAAGCCCCCTGTCGTCCACTAGGCTGCGGCACGGTCGGCTTTTCTCAGACTGCCCTGCCTGTAGAGTCTTTTGAAGGCCGTGATTCAGATGAGCGGAGCCTCTCCGAGGGTATACCCACCGACGCAGGAGCACGCAAAACGTCGGAACAGGTCCCATGTAGGGATAGCTCATTTGATTGGACAGAGAGCTTGAATGTTGGCGATCCAAAGGAGATAAAAGCAGTGCTCCTCCCTTCCCTGGGTAGACGTTCAACCGTGCTGGACTGGGGACAGTCAACGGATCACCAGGGAACAGCGGAAGACGGGGTTTCTGCAGGATGGCTTGACCCCCATGACAGCCAGCATGGCCTCGTGTCAAATATCTACGAACTGCAGGCTCTTCTGGCAACTGCAGAGCAGCAAGTATGTTTCGTGGAGTCTCAAGGGCTGCTGCACGCCGGCGGCGTAGCATAACTCACTCGAGAATTATTGGACATGTTCCCCTTTAGTGCGAATTCCAGCCTCCTCTCTGTGTCTCTCTCCCACTCAACAGATCCAGCTCTCTCGTTATGACGGTATCTACGTTGTCTTTCTGATACGCAGATTACTCAAAACTTCGTGGGTTGTCTTCAAAGAGAGATGGCTTTGCGCTACCTCAAGCAAGAGCTCCTCAAACAGCAGCATCGGCCCTCTGTGACCGCCTCAGACAGAGAGGTTCCCCCCTTGAGGTTGACGAAGCATGAGATGGAGGCTGACACCTCTGAGCAAATGCAGCGCAGGCTCCGAATGCTAGAAAACGAAAGAGAGGTATGTGAGCTCAGCAGAAAAGCTGTATTCCTGTTTGGCGATCCCCTTGAAGGTTTCCTTTTCGGGTTCAGTCATTCGTGAATTTCCGTGCATTTTCTCGAAGGCTGAAAAGGCCTCGTGTTATGACGGGAGAAAATAGCTTTTGTTTCTCTGTGACGCGGGTTTGTGCAGTACCTGAAGGAGGCCCTCAAGAGGAAGCACTTCACTGAGATGGAGCTGAGGACGAGGCTCTCCTCTGTGTCTGCCCTAAATGAACAGCTGCAAGCAGAGGTATGCATTGAATGGGTCTAGAGATTTTAGATAGAGAGATGTGAAGGGCAGAGCATAGGGGGAAATTTTCGCCGTGGACGTCTGGCCTGTGTGCTGCGTCGCAGGCTGCCACTTTGATGTCATTCCATCGACTCGCTGAAGCACATGGACAGGCGGCAGCGGAGAAGCTGCTGCTGCAACAGGTAGAACTTGTGTGTTTTATTTGGGTGGTCTTGCTGTTACACGCTCAATGGGTCTTGGTGTCACACTCTTCTCAGCTGGTGTTGTTGCCGATGCTGCCTCTCCCTGTGATTTCCTTTTTGCTCACACCCTTCCCAACTGTTTCGAAGTTCGTCCGTGCGTGCTCGACTTGCTGAGTCGCTGGCGGAAGCGTTGCTGACGGCTTCTGCGGTGCAGCTCCGAGCCCAGGCGGAGGGGCAGACCAGCCGGGTCAAAGAACTGCAGCGCTTGCTCAGTAGCAGGGAGGTCCAGGTGTCCGCCCTCACAGTACGTATTCAGCTACCAAGTGCCCTTGAAGCTTAGGCTTGAGTTTGCTAAGACCTGAAAATCATTTGTTTCTAGGTAGCGCGCTCAGGAAAACAGTCCTGAGCCACTGCAATGACTCTGTGCCGTTGTTGCTGCTGGGGCGCTGCCACAGAAAGAGCTCTACAGCTCCCGGCGGGCGTTGGCAGTCGTCGCCACCATTCTGAGGAAGACCCCTTTAAAAAAGACTTTTGAGCCCTCGCCCTCACTCCTCAGAGGAGAGCGCAGCACGCAGACGGAGGATAACGGCCGTGTCACACTCCCGGATTTTGACGACCTCCCGTGAGCTTGCTGAGCAGAGAGCCAAAAGGGCCCGAACCCTAATAAGGGATGACTCTTGGGACATAAGGGCCTCTCACACATTGCACGCAGTCTGTATCGAGGTCCAGAGGTGCGTGTGTCTCTTTGGGCTGCAGGGATACCATGTGGCGCCGACTGGTAAGGGAAACGCGAAAAGGGGCCGAAACTCTTCGTTGGGTACCACTGGAGCAGCTAGAAACTAGCTTAGCACATTGCCTCGTGTATTATTATGAGCTGAAACAGGAATCACAGGAGCCAGAAATAACGTAATTCGTGATACTAGGGCGAGTCACGAATGCCAGCTTGATCTGTCCGTTTTGTGGTTTCGCTCGGTTGCCTTCCCCTCAGACAGCAGTCCCTCCACGTCGCTGCACTTCAGGTGCTACGTGCATGAAGGCACAGGAGAACGTTTCGCTGTCTGCGCATAAGAGCATAACACAGTAAGACCCCGAATATAGTCTGACTCGCTGTTCTCTAAGTAGGGCTTGCACCTCTTACCCATCACCCCCAAGGAGGGGCAAGCGCGCAGCCAGCCGTTGTGGTTTTCTTGTGGGGCTTTAGAGACAAGGACCGCAAGCCACTGGCACCCGAGGCCTTTGGGATCGTCCAGGAGAGTACAGAAGCTTTGAACTCTCCAAGCGAGGCCTACAGTTCCCGGCAGACCTCCGCACAAGCGCGCCTGCAACGCAGCGGCCTTCTTTCAGACAGCCTGCAAAGCTTTAGAGCGGTACCTGGCACCGCTAATTCTGTTATGAGGTTCACTGTATGCCCCTCGCAGGGCTATGAGCCGCAGGGTGATGACTCTGTGGACACCGCAGTTGCTGCTCTCAGCAATGCCAGGTCAGCCCACGATTCTGCGCTTTGCTTAGCTACCTTTTTGTCCACCCTGCCCCTGGTGGCTGCTAGCTTTGCCTGTTGCTGAGGTCCGGTGCTTCTGCGGGGAGCTCGATAACACCCGTACACAAACCGAAAGCTATTACCTCGAGAGGAGTGACCTAGCTCCTCTGCAAAGCACCAGGAGCGCTATACTCCTACCAGTAAGAGGCTCCATGTTCGTTGCCGTTTCTCGGGTTTGTTCTTTCTTGCCTATCAGAGTTAACAAGGTCTTGTTCACGCGGCTGTGCAAGGGCGTCTACCTGTACGGCCACTTGGCGGTATTAATGAGACTCAGTCCATCAGGGGAGCTTCAGGTCTCGTTTGAGGGGAAGGATTACACGGCTGCGGAATTTATACGCAGTTTCGAGGTAGGACAATTTTTCCATGTGCCTGCTTTCGGTCTAAACCCAGCGTTTACATACTGTTGTGGCCCCTCGGTATGGCTTCTTACTTATCAAAAGCTGCTTCGCCCTCTCGCGCCCCTGCCTCAAAGGCTAGTTCTTCGGGTTCTTGTCTCTCCCTTGAACGACCACGACACTCAGTCCGTGGTATGTGGGGAGTGTTAACCCATGTCTCTCGCTGTTGAACCCCGAATACGTCGCTCTCTTTTCTCTTCCTCAGGAAGAGGAGTTCCAGTATCTGACGACCAAGCAAGAGGAATCAGGGCGCGCCTTATCCCTTGAGGTCTGCCCAAACAGTGCCTTGCCCGTCGGTTTTTCCAGAGACCACAGTCAAGGCCTTGTCCACAAGCAGCATAAGCAGCGCCTCACCAAACAGGCCCCGCAAAGCCCTATTAAGTCGGAAGGGAGACGCTCTTTTTCAGAAGGGAGAAAGAATACTTCTAGAAGAGGCAGCACAGCACCAGCAACAAGGACTCCTAAAGGCTCTATGGGACGCACTGGCAGCCGGAGTGGAATTCAGGAGGCTGCCACATGCAGGCTGGTGTCACTCCGCATCGCACCCCGCTCCCCCTCCTTGTCTACCCCCAATGCTGCGGCACAGTATTCTTCAGAGTCCCTCTCAGGCCACGACCGACGGGCTTCGCGCCTCGCTCTCCCCGTCCCGTCGGATCCACGAAAGGTGGGGCGTGTCTCACAAACTAAAGCCACTGTTTTCAAGGCTGCTGAAGGCGCAACGCCAGTTGCAGCTGCGTCAGCAAAGTCATGCAGTCTAAAGGCAACCGGTACTTCTCTTGCGAACAAAACTGCGTCTCCCTCGGGGTCGCTCCGAGGAACGGCGCAGAGGCACAGGCTCCGGAGCTCCTGCGGCTCAGCCCAGCAAACTGCCCACCCTCGGAAAGAAAGTGCTGCAATCCGTCAGGTCGCCGGTAGCGGGAAAGCAGCAAGCCGGAGGGGTGGTGTGGCTGGAGGCCTGGTGGGGCCAGAGGTCCGGAGAAAGGTGGATTCCTATCAGCATCATGGCAGGTGATTCGCTCAAGCACAGCTGCATGATACTTAGTCGTAGATACCACCTGGAAGGTTTTGAAGAGAGGGCTCTCAAATTCCTGGAAGCTTCGGAAGTTTGCTTATCGCGAGTTTCGCTTTTGACAATTGGGGTTGGGACATAGGGGCGGCGTGGTGTAGCTCCATAGAGCAGTAGCTGCGCTTCCTGGTACATTCTGTAGGGTTCGTGGACTTCAGCTCACAGAGACTGGACTTAATCTTGTTAAAGGATTGCCGGTGTGGTAACATAGTACCGTCTATTCAGTCGATGGCATCAGTAGCTGTTACTCGTTAGAACAATGTCTGGCTAGCCTAAATCGAAAAATATGCCCTGAGAAACCACCTTTGACACTCTTCTGGGCTTCCGCGAAACTTCCAAAAGCCGTAAACTGCTATACTGTCTTCTTCTCAACAGTGAAATAAAAGTAATGCGATGCTTTCCTAAAATAATCATATTTATGATAAGCTTGTCGCGCAAATTCCTGAGTCCTGACGCAAGACACCGATACGGGGGACCGCAGAGAAATAAAGAAGATCGTTTCCAGCAGGTCACGTATTTGGCGCCGGACACTGCGCTAGCAGGTGTATGCAGTTCGGATACCGGAGGATACCTCTGCAAACTGTGCCCTTTCTTTTCCCCGACAGATATCACGTTCTTCTACACGCAGCTGCCTGCAAACTGGCGGATGCCTCTGAGAGCAGCATAGCCCCCCTTAGGACCTTTGCCCCTCCATACAGAGAGCTTTAACCTCTAGAATGCCATCCGCGAGTAGATCAATACAAACATGACTGTTATCGCCTTTTGTGCTCGAACTACTTCACGCAGCTGGGCATTATGATATGCTCAACAGCTGCTTTACGGCTCCTAATTTCCAAGAAGTGCTTGGTGAGTCTGATTTAGCAGAACGACCCTTAGCGCTGGGACTTCAATAGAAAATTCTGTGGCTTTTTGCAGGAGCTGCTTATCGATGCAGAGGGCAACTGCTAGTGAAAATCTATATGAAAACATTATCCGTGGAAATCGTAAGGCTATCCTGGGAAGTCCTGCTTTCAGTTGTGTAAGCTGTATGCTTTTGCTGGGGTGTCGGTATCAATTGCTTCTTTTGAGACCTGAAGCGTTGCTAGCCTTCGCCCTAAATCGGAATTTTTCGTTGCGTTCTTGGCTATACAAGTGCTGCGCTGTGAGAGGAACCTTCCGATGAGGACGACACGGGAGTCAGTCTAGGCCGTATTCGACTATATGGGTTGGTAGGAAGACGGGGCTTCTCAGTAGCTTAGTGGGTTAATATCAAATTCAACAATATGATGGATCGGGCTTAAGGTCCGTGGTGCTGAGTCTCAAATAGTCCCATGACGTGAAAGCCCGTTAAATGAAAAAAGCTCCAATAGCAGCACAAATTAGTGGCTGGTTCCTGGGTGCAGTTCAGCACAAAAGCAAGGGTTGTGCGGTCTGTGCGCCTTCCATCGGCATATCGCGAACTCTTCGCTGTGTTGTACGGGTGCGGCTCGAGACCCACAGGATTCAGTGTAGAATGTGAGATCTAGCGACGTAGGTTAGCTACTGGCGATCCGTGCAAGTAGGCATGAGCACATACTGTTACTATGGAGTGCAGCTCCGCTCGTTTGCCTCATGAGACACACCAAAAGCAACTCATCCTCTGGTCTTACAGAAGGTGGCTACCTCGTGGCGGGGAAACGCCGCGAGAAAAGGTGCAGTGGGCACAGGCCCCCGTAAAGTCCATACCACGCAAGCCAACGTAATTAGGAGCACAGAAGGACAGCTCCCTGGGGTGTCCGAACGTCGGTTTGCAGAGTGCTCATGTGGCTTTCTGCGGGGTCCCATAGCCAGCGGGGGAGGAAACAACAGCTGCGAATCGGCATCAGCCGCAAGCGGCAAATAGCTCGCAAGCGTTCCCCGTGGATCTGCAGCAGCTCCTGCTCACCAAGAGACACTCGGGCAACGCACCAGAGGCAACCCCACTCACTCATATCACTTGATACTGAGCTTGCTGGGCTCACGGGCGAGGCACTCTGAGGAGACGTTGTCTCGTCAGCAATCGTCGTAGCCGTCCCGGTCCTCAGCATGCCTGGCTCCTTGTCTGCTACAGCGGTTACGCCACGATCGCCGCCTGACGCTTGAGGCTCTTGTATAGCTCTTCTTCTGTGGTTCTTCTTATGTACGGAAAATTGAATCACCAGGAGGCGTGTAAATACCGGTAGCAGAAGCTCGAGATTGTGACTAGCTGCACTAGCAGAGAGTAACGAGTGGAAACTTAATGGAGAAAAAGAAGCCTGGCTATCTCCCCGAACAGGGCGCTCCAATTGGGGACCTCCGTGGATATCATCATATGAACCCTGTGGCTCCGAATGCAGCGCAAACGAACGCATTTGGTTGTGATGCAGGACTCTCCAGAAGGCCGCGGTGAGGTGCCCCTGTGCAGTGCTCGCAGGCACCTGAAGTTCGTCGACCGCGGAAATCGCTTCGCTGAGCGAACGACTGGGGACAGGCACTTCAGGACCGATACGGCTCAAAAGGGGGCTTTTCGGATCGCTGAGCTCTAGGAAAATCGGATGCTGCAGGGTAGACATAAGGACAAAGCAGGTCGCAGATTGAATGCAGATGTGCCAGAGAGAGTGCATCAGCCAATAGTCGTCGCTGCTCTCTTCAACGCTGACACAGCCAATGCCTGAGAGAGGTCATAATATGCAACAAAGACAACAAAAACGATGCAGCTAAGTGGCAACTCTGTGCCCACCGTAAAAGCTAAAGGCAAGGAGTCAGCGTCTTAAAGGAGGCGAGTTTAGTACGACGACGGCAGGGGAGTTGAGAGGGTAATGTATTCCTACCAAGTGTGGCCAGCAGGACGCCTAGCCCTAAGAACTCCAGGTGTGGTGAGACGCGTGTTGCAGCGACGCCAAGGCACGCGACCCAGCTTAAGGAAGCGTCTGAAGATGCCCGATATCCATGAACGATATTTGAGGAATCCATTGTGCTCGCCGGTTCCGCTACCCCTGGAAGCAGCGCGTTGCCAGTGGTCTTCAAACAATAAAGGAGACTTTGAAGGCACCCCATTCGGGGATCCGCAGTGCAGCAACACAGCTTACTGTGGACCTTCCGTGCTACTTCGAGGCGAGCAACTGCCTGGCCAAGTGCCTTGAGACACATTCGCTCCCGCGCCCTCTCCATCTTTTGTCTCAGCAGCTGCTGGAGTTCATGGTGGCTGGGATGCATATCATCTGCCTCCGGCGGAGCAGCTATTTCTTCTCCGGCATCAGATCGACCCTCCAGCCACCTGATGTCTTCGGGTCGCCAATCCCTCAACGGGGCTTCCAGTTGCAGTTGCCTCGCCTCTGCCTCTTTGCATTGCTTCCAGAGGGCCAAGGCTCTCACACCGACGCTCACAAACGGAATCATCACGCAGGTAATCACAAACCAGGAGGCGCTCTGCTGATCAAAGGTCTCTGGAAGCCACTTAAAACTCAGAAGCAACAGTATGGCTACGTGGGCCAGCAGCTCTGCTGCAATACACCCAATGTTTGTGAGGGCCAAGGCGGTGACAAATAGCGCATAGTAAGAAAACACAAAGTCTAAACTTTGCAGCACCGGGACCTCCATGGGGAGCCGAGCAGACGCATCGACGCACGAATGATAGAGGGCGGACCAGAGGACTGAGGCAGAAGAACAACAGGGCCACAAGGTCAATTGAACTTCGACAAGTGTGTCTAAATTGCTGATGATTTTTGTCTGGAAGCTTCTGGTGCCGCTACGCGATTGCCACTTATCTGTATCTCTCTACACTACAGTAGAACAAACGCTAGCCTGCCTGACTCCAGTGTATTGCAGCAGGGGGGAGAGGTGCTTACAAGCATTGAAATAGGCGAAGGCCCTAGACAAGTAGAGGATAAAGCAGGAGTGCGCTTGCCATATTCCAACCTGTCCACTTTTTGCGTGATGCATATTTATTTTGCAGAGATCGCATGCAGCGGAATTCCCAGGGATGTTCAGATGGCGCACCGCGAGGCGAAGGCAGAGCAAGAAGCTGGGGAGCATGGCCACATTGGAGAGAACCAGTGCCCCCTGAGCCAGTGTCCGCATCCACGCATTCATATATTCCGACTCGCAGTCAGCTCCGGTGAATCCGTACGCACAGCGACACCCGAAGACAGCAAAGCCGTCCAGCCTGCCGGTTATGGCACAGGAACCCCTTGGCGGGCAGTGCTGCGGAGCAACGTACAGAGTAGGGGCTCACAGAAAGTAAAATGCAAGCTTAAATAGGCAGTAGTACCGACGTAGTCCAGGGTAAAGGTAAAAAGGGGAATGAAGCAGGCGCTTAAGAGGCCGGTAGGGTTGAGAGCAGCTACACAGGCAGGCATGGACAGAAGCATGATCCATTGTAGCGCGCTAAAATATATTAGAGCTCAGACGCATGAGCCTAAGGCCAGGGAGGCGTACTTTGCTGCACAGACTGGATACATCTGAGGCTGCAACTACATGCAGGGACACGTCTGCATCCGACTGCATGGGGACTGTCGTTTTTTGAGCCCGCGAAAGCGGGTTTGTTGAGGAAGTTCTAGCGTAATTCTCTCCCTCCAGGAGTTGCCACTGTAGTAAATAGGTGGTTGGGAGCATATCGAAATCGGGGGGGAGAATTTCACTTTTAAATATCCAGGAGGGGCTGCCTGTGAATTGAAGTGTTGCTTCCACGACGGAGGGTGCGGTGTACGCTCCCTGAAGGTCATCTGCTGAGTCTTCTGGGTCTTCACAGAAGACGGGAAGGCGTACAAGCCCCTTCCGTGTTGTAGTTGAGTTGTGAGCGTCTACAACCCTGGAAAATGCGGCTGGATTAGCTGTCTCCTGCAGCCCAGCCCCCCAATGCACGGGCTGCTGCGGTACCGCATCCCGAGTTACCTGGACAGCTAGGGCATAAAAGTATAGCCGGCGGGAGCCGAGTTGTGGTGGGCCCTCTGTGTGAAGAGGATGCAAGAAGGGCGCACATCGGCGTGTGCGAGAGGCAGCAAAGGCCACGAAGTCCACAGTGACCGAGAGGCTCCGTCCTCCCGAAGCAGTAGCGGGTGTCAAAGACAAAGAGGAGAAGACAGGAGAACCCACAGCTCTCCACTGCGCCTCAGCAGGGCTGCCTGAGTCTGAATCGCCCCCGAGGGTCGTGTCTGCTGCAGTGTCCAATCGTCGAGCTTCTGCAGGACGCACCAGGAGAGACGCCTCCCCAGGAATAGAAGGACTGCCCAACTTAAACGTGAGCTGGAGCCGTTGTGGGTAGAGGGCTGAACCGGGTGTGAATGCCGCAATCGGCTGGCTACACCAATTACAGTCTCTCTTGAGGTCTACCAGTTGAGGATCCCCAAGCGTGACACCACCCGTGTCTGTGAGTGGCTCAACGCCACAAGGAACGGCCCTACTCCCAGACGGTCCAATACCTGCTTGTTTCGGGAAGCTTCCGAGGTAGATCTCTGGAAGGCTCTTTTGGGTTTCTAAATAGTGCCCAGCGCCACGCCAGGTAGGGGCGTGGTGGTGCTGCGCTTCTCTCTTGGTCCTTTCAGAGTACGCCATTGGTACTCTAACAGCCCCGAGAGAGGCCCTTTCTGTGTGATGCAGCATTTTCTTCCCCAGCCGCCTTTTCGCCTCTGCAAGAACAGTCCTGCAGGAGCGTTGAATAACATAGAGGGCCAAAAAATCCGCAGCTGAGCCTTTTGCCTGCTCTTGCAACCCAGGGAAATCTTTGGAGAGCCTTCGAAGAGACAAGAACCATTCGCCGTAAGCGGGCTCTCGAACCTCAAGTCCTTGCTGCAGCACCCACAACTGGCCATTCTGGCTCTGGTCTGGGTGTCGCTGCTCTGCCAGTTGTTGGGGCGCTGCCCTGTGCGCCTGCCTGTTAAAGTCCAAGGCTCCCTTTTTCTGACGGTCTGACGGACCTGTGGAAGTCGAAGACACCGGAACAATTAGCTGGACATGGTACACCACGGAGCCTGCGCCTTCCAGTATCTGGGAGGGCAGCACTTCCTTGGGCAGCAACCAGGAGACCCCCTGAGGCCCAGTAAGGGCCTCTGGAGTCAGTAGCCCCCGCTTTGTTGCTGCGGCCAAGGCCTTGCAGGAGTTTAGCGTAAAGTCGTTGGAAGTCTTAGTCACTGCAGCGCCATCAAGTGCAGGGCCGGCAGGAGGGTCTATAGAGCCCTCCGGACTTCTAAAGCCCAGCAAGACACAGGGGCTTTGGCCTCTGCTTAGTATATCCCAAAGAGATTCTGTCATTGCGTTGGTGAGGGAGGTCTCCCGTTTGTCCCGCGATGAAGTGCCTTCACCCTGTAACAACACCAGCTGCCTCCACAGAAAGGTCACCGATGGCTCTTGCAGGAGCTGCCTGCCGCGGAACTGCTGAAGGGGCGTCGCGTCTTTCGTGTCGTACGTTGCGCTCTCTGTCGCAGTTTCACTGGAAGCAAGCTGATCCTCTGGGGTTTTCACCTCGTCGGCGGAGGGAAGAGGCCTACGCCAAGCCTTGCTCCAAAACGCGCGGGCCTTCTCAGGATTGAAGGCTCTGCGGCTGAACGCCAGCGGCTCGCTGAAGTATACATAATCTGAGTAGGGGGTAGCGCACTCTCCAGCTGCCGATGCCAGGTGCAACTGCGGCAGAGTACTATCAAGGGGCACAGATGTTGCACTGGCGGAAACCTCGGCTGATAACGCATGCAAGGGCTTAGCGGGAGCCGCGGATGGGATCGTTGGTCTTCCCCTGTAAGGGCCGTGAAGCAGCGACAAAGCCTGAAACTCCCCCTCTAAAACTGGAAGCTGTGAGATATTCGTGCATGCTTGCATTTCGCGCATGTTTCCGAGCTTTCCGCCTTTATCTTTTCCCACCTCTCTTCCGAATGGTACATCGCTTAAGAAATGCACCTCTGAATGAAGGTAGCCCTCTGATTGATCTTCAGAAAAACGCAATTCGTTCTGTGAAGTTTTCGCCGCAGCAGAAGTCTGTCCCGCAGGCTCTTCAAGACCCTCTAAAGAAAAGATTTGTAGTGAGGGAGTCCCCGAGAAGACTAGGCAGAGCGAGTGCTGCATGAAGCTCATCGGCCCTAGTCCATCGCTAGAGGTCCCACGGGGCGGCGAGAACTGTATGGTGTAGTATAGAGGCACGGCTGCTTTGCGGGTTTTGATGCTGTTCGCCTGCGCTTTTACAGTGGACATGCTGCCGTTCCATGCCGGATTCAGCTGTGCCGACCGACTCTTAGCTGTCTCCTGTGTATCCGCAAAAGTGAAGGTCCTACAGCCCGCAGCACCTTCAAGGCGCTGGAAAGCTCGAGGGTTCTCAGAGGGTGCCTTTTCACTCACCCTTCGGCTTCTATAAGAAAGGGTGGATCCACCAGTGCTTGCACGGGCTGCAGGGCGCAGTGGCTGCACTGCGCGGCTAGGGAACAATAAAGGCTCCTGCAGCTCCACTACATAGACGCCTTCCTCCCGAGCCTCTAGAAGATAATCATACTCGGTCCACGTGCCTGCAGCAACATAGCCAGCATATTGATATGTCACCTCAGGGGCGTGGACGGCCAAGGCTGCTGCCTGGTGAGTCCTCACGGCGCAGCAACCAGAGGCCCCGCTTGAAAGGGCTGTGGTGAAATATATATATAAACACACTGGAGAGCTGTTGGCTTCCGCACTCTAATGGCTCATCTTCTTTGTGTCTCTTCCCTCCCCCTTAATTGCACAAAGACCACATTTTCCCCCTCCAGGATTCTGAATAACATTCGGTAAGGGCCCCCAATTACCTACTTGGTTTCCCCCATCGAAATGCGTACAATACCGGTGCGCCTTTCTGCAATGTATCAATGTGGACAACCAGCTCCACGCGGCTAGGGACCTCCAGGAGCTGAGCTGTATCAGCCACCGTGCTTTCCGGTTTGTCAGCAGGCCCGAGAGAGGGTTCCCAAATCCAATCCTGGAAGCCTGTCCGTTGCTCGGTGGCTGCCTTTTGAATGGGCTGTGTAGAATCATTCAGTATATCTATGCCTCTTCGATGAAGTGAACCGCTGCTGCCAATCCGGTTAGAGAGACGTGGGGTCCCTTGGGGCCGTAGGGTAACGGGAGGTCTAGGAATGATTTTCCCCACAAACTTTTCGGCCAAAGGCAGTCTCTGCCCCTCTATAACGAGTTGCACCCACTCCGTGTCTTCTTTTGCTGCTATATTCGGGGAGGCTGACTCTCCCCCTGTTTCTCCAGCTGCCGTATTTGCTGGGGGGTCCGGTGGGAATGCCGCAGGGGCGGCAGTATCCCCCGGTAGCCAAAAACGCTCTGAGCCTTGCCCATCCACTCGAGAGGAAGGCGCTTTTTCTTGAAGGAGCTCAGCAGCAAACAGATCATACAGTGGAGGCTGCAGAGGCCAGCTATTTCCCTCGCCGGGGTCCTCTGCTCGCGTCCAAACGGGCTTTATGTTTGCAAGAGGGTCCTTCGCTACCGCCGCGCGCACGAGCACCAGCGCTGCCGCGAAGAGCGTCAGCGCTTGGGGCCAATACATTGGATCTGGAGGATATCTTGACGATGTCGATAAGCCGAAGACAGAGGGGAGAGAACACGCGCGGACAGAGAAGAATGTAAATAGACAGGCAAGACTTGAGCGAAACGGCGAAGAGGATATGGAGCTACGCGAGAGAAAAAAGGCGCACTTGATTATTTGTCAGCGGCCCACAAAGTCGAATTCTCGCAGCAGGTAGTACGATAGCATCATGGAGGGGCCTCTGGTGAAGTACAGCTGGGCACTGCACAGGACTGCGACATCCCAATGGCTGATGCCCTTGTCAACACGGATGCCACAGGATCCAATATGGTTTGAGTGCGAGGGGTACCTCCGGAGCACTGGGGAGGCTGAGGCACTATTGGAGGCGATGGCGCCCCTGGCTGAGGGTGCGCGGGAGGCGTACAAAAAGGGCCTTACAGTGGCTTCCCTGGGGATCCCTCCAAAGCACATGCGGTTAACGCACTGAAATGCAAGAAAAAGATGGCAGAAGGCCCCTACGGAAGGAGAGAAGCATACGGGGGAGTGGGCCCTTTAGGCGAGGGGACTGCTCTGCTGCTCGTGGTCACCTCGCTCGCCCCGAAGCGTCATGTTGTACGTACACCTGAAATAAGGCGAAATTAAGCTAGAGAAGCATTCCAATGGGTGTATATTTAAAAGGAAGGAGGAGATTTGGGGAGAGAAAGGGGCCTTCATGCCTCCTTACATGACTAGGAGACGGTGTTCCCGAGACGGAAAGGGGGGACCCGCTCGGCAACGCCGCGGGTAAGCCCATGCACACATCTCCCCCCCAGTACTTGAAGCTTTTATTATGCTGCACTGAATATAGTCTGCTAACAAGATCCCTAGATGTTCTTCGACGCGACCAGACGGACTCTCAAGCAGAAAAATGCACATTGTGCGTGTGTGTGCAACACGCCAAATACACGGAACTCATGCCGGTTTCGTTAAAGTAGGGCTACATTAACGGCGCCTTGGGAGCACGACCCACATAGCTGAACGCGTTTTAGGACCCCCTCAAGTCAAAATGCCTTTTAAAGTTGGAAATTATTACCTCGCACTCCCTTCGTGTCCCGCTGAGGCCTAATCAAGGCTCTCCATGATCATCGAAATATTTTCTGCGCGCCAGTCAGCGCTACAAGCGATTCTAGCGGCTTAACGAGAAGCCTCATTGATAACCCCATGTATACAGCTGAGAGCCCCTCCTCTGTAAAGGCAACTACAGACGACAAGGACCCGCGTATCTTTGTCAGTGCCCGCCTGCGCACTCGCTTCTTAGTGACGCCTTTAGCAGAAAAATCTTGGCATTTAGGCCCAGGTTGCTCAAGGTCTATTGCTCCTTGAGGAGTATTTATTGCCATGAACCCATTCCACACGGCACCCCCTACTCGTCGGTGCAGAGACATCTATTCAACTGTCTGCCCATGCCGCTGCACAGCCTCTCCTTCATGCGCAAATGTGCATACACAACCGGAGAGATAGAGGCACAGACCCTGTAATGGTTGTTCCTTAATCTTCGTATTTGCGTGGCGTTTCTATGTGCCGCGCCTCAACGCATCCCAAACAACGCAGTGTTCCTAAGGAAATACCACCTGGGGTACTTCACTAGAAAGCACACTGTCAAAGAGGGCCAGGGACCACCGGCATTTGCCCCATAGGCTGTTGCATCACTTGCTGCTGTTGCTGTGGCGGGGAGGCAGAGGGGTGCTGCTGCTTTTGTAGGTAATGCTGCTGTTGCTGTTGCTGCTGCTGCTGCAGCATTTGGCGTTGCTGCTGCTGCATCGCCTGTTGTTGATGTTGATGTTCCACGAATTGTTGTTGCTGCACGAGCTGCTGCTGCTGTAAAATGTGTTGTTGCTGCTGAGTTTGCAGGGATTGGGGGACGTGCGGCTGCTGCTGTAGAGCCTTTGCTGGATGGCGGAGCTGCTGCTGTTGCTGGTCAGCGGCTGCGTTCAAGTGCGGGGACTTTGGTGAGCCGTACGTACCTGCAGGCCCAGCAAGGCCTGGCACCCTATTTCCATGAGAAATCTGAGTGGAGGGTGGAGCAGCAGCCAGAGGTACAGGGAAGCCGGAGGAAACGGGGTGGCCAGATGCAGCAGCAAAAGCATCTGTTGCGGTGGGGGGGCAGGCACCAGCCACCCCCGACACGCCACTCGCTGCAGCTTCCTCATTGCCGTCTCCTTGGAGCGGCTTTCCCTCTGGCGCAGCAGAGACTGCGGCAAGTGCAGGGGGACCCGCAGATACCCCTGCCGCCGTCCGCCCTGCAATAATTGCCTCATGCTGCCGTTGTAGCTCTTGGATCTGAAGCGTGAGGAGGAATGCATCTTGCATCAATCCAATACTCTCTGTCTGAGCGCCAGAACACACACAGCAAAATGCCCGATCGTGGTGTGCTGCTCGCGAACTCCCTGGCAGCTTCCCTCGGCTTTCCTTATCACTCCCTGCTGCTCCCCCAGGCCCCCAGGCGCCCCCCTCCCCCTCGCAGGGGGAAAAGAGTGCGATGTTGCCGTGGTCTCCTCCCCCCCACGGCAACACGAGCTGTTTGGTGTTGCTTTCCTCTGGGGCAAAAGCGCAGCAACAGCATCTTCATCACAACAGACAGACGAAGCAGTCAGGGCCCCTGAAGAGCGGCGGCAGCGACTGAGCAACCTTTATGCAAGCTGCCAGGATCCTGCGGGCGAGTCCGTTGGCGGTTTTTGAGGGAGGCTCAGCTTGCCTCCCTCAAAAACGGAGAAGTCGACCAAAGTGTGGGAAAGAAAACAAAAACACGCACCTGAATGTACCCCTGAAGCCCCACATAGAGCTGTAACTGCTTCTGTTCCGATTCATTCGGCTTCAAGAAATAGGGGCTAAGGGGGTGGGGAGGAGACTCCCCGACGGGGGCCGCCGTCAGTTTGTCGTACAGCCAGTCTGCCGGCTCGTGGATAAGTAGCTCATCGTATGTCTGCAGCCAGAAAAAGAATATCGAGGTCAGCGCTTTGGAACCTTTAGAACCTTGAGGGGCAGGCAATGGCAGGGAGAGGACACGGTAAAAGCAGGAAGCAAATAAACAAACAGAAGGCTCAGCAAGGCGATATCGACACGCATCAGCGAAGAGGCAGCATGCCCAGCTGCACTGGGTAGAAGGGCCAAAGAAGAGGGAGGCCGCCACACGAAGCACATCGGAGCGGCGAGGAAGCACAAACGTGATGCGGCTAATGGAGAAGACACACACCCAGAAGCCACCCATGAGTAGAGCTACAGATGTCACATAGCCAAAAGAACCCATAGAAAAAAGCCACCGTGACAGATATACTGCACCTCGGAGGCCACACAGGGGCTTTGAGACGCGCCAGGGAGATTGAGCTGAGGACGATCGAACCACACACATACACACAGAGACACACCGAGGCACACACATATCTACATACACATAGAGACACACAGGTATGCATACGGTGGGCAGGCCGCAAAAGTCGTAAAGCTGCGCGTCTCCGCTTCTGTGCCAGGCTCTTTCTCCCCACCCCACGAGGCCCCCCGATCACGCTCTTGCGTCCTCTTTTCTTCTCCGCCTCTTGACGCATCTGCTGCCCATCAGTGTTTCTCCCTTCGCGTCCCTTTAGCGGCACCCGTAGCTAGCTGATTAGGCTTCCCCTGCTGCCTCTGTCTGGCAACAACTCCTCACCTTAAGAAAGTGGGCCATCTCCACAGGGGGCAGCGCCTCGTCAACAAGGAAGATCCTCGCAGTAATGTAGAACTCTCCCCATCCTGCCTCCGAAACCTCGAACGGTGGGCTCGTCAAGGCTGCACGCAGGGGCATAGGGACCTTCATGGATGCGAATGATGCTCCCTTTCCCCCCCCTTCTCGCTTATGCAAGAAGACGAGCAGCGGAGGAGCCAAAGGAGGGGCGGCAGGGAGCTTCTACGGGTAGACAACACGGGGGCCTGAGAGAATAAAAGGCCTTCTCTTAATAATGCGCAACGTGGCTGCAGATCGGTATATACACCGAGAAACATGGAAACGTGTGGTTCGCAAAGGAAGCGCGTAGACGACTAGAGAGTGTGTGGTGCCTCCCTCGAGTTTATACGTACTTCTGCGAGGGTTTACAAATGAGGGATCAAGCTCGAAGATGACTTTCTTGATGAAGTAGGAGATATCCTCTCCATCGGGGGAACGTAGCAGACAAGTCCATTTGTGCGTCATGTCATTGTGACGCCGTTTCTCCTGAATGCACAGAGAACCCGCAGCACGGCTCCCACAGTCCGCCCTTGCCAAGCCCACCGATCCGCAAACCAGCCCATCAAGGAGTCACGAGCACATCTGCAAGAGGAGGAGAGAGAAAAGCGAGCCGTTTGCCCCCTCCATCTATGAGGAAGGAAGGGGAGGAGGCCTCGTGGAAAGTTCAGAGCACAACAGAGTCCTCTAACGCACGGGGACAGTGTGGCTTTTCTCCAGAGATCTATACGCAGAGATGGTGTCAAGAAGAATGTCTTACCGCCTGAGAGAGGCGAAAGGCATATGTCCCCATAACAAGGGGCTTCCTTATGGTAAGGCCCTTGCGCAGGCTCTGGGAAGGGGTGGCGGCAGCCTGCGCACTACTCGGTGCCGAGACCCTCATGACGCTCCACAGCAACTTGTTCCCTCTGATCTTGCCGCCGTCTTTGTCTAATAGCGCAACGCTACTTACGACGATTGAGAGACACAGCGGAGTCTGGAAGGCCTTCTGGGGGGCACAGTCGCTAGGGGGCGACACGCCTGCCTCGGTTCTTCTGAAGAGCGCGCTAAAACCGCTGGAAAGCAGCGCACCGAGAAGCCGGACAGAAGAGAGTCGCAAATGAAAGGAACAGGCAGGATGATAGGATGGACCCTAGATTCCACCTTTGGACGTCTAGCATGAGACTTCCTCCCTACGGGGAGGCCGTCGAAGGAAACCCACGCCGGCTGCAAGTTTCCCCTTCGCCTCCCAAAGAAGAAGAGACGAAACAAGAAAATTCTTCTGATGGCAGCACAGGCAGAGACGGCCGGGGGGCCCCGCTAGGGCATGTTTTCCCCCCGCGTCTGGCGGCCCAGGGGCCCTTTGGGGGTGTGTGGATACGAGAGGAGAGAGAGCGATGATATGTGGAATGAACAGAGGCCACCACAAAAGCGTTCATTAAACGGCCCATCATCGTGCTCCAGCAGCTCCCTTTGGGGCTTTGGCATGCAAGGCGGAAAATCAACTGGACCCGTCCTCACCCCCGCTAGGAGGGCCCCTCCCGGGGGCCCCCAAGCTGTTGCTCCAGCTCTTCCAGGAGAGTCCTTCTGGAACTCGACTCCACATTCGCGATTTCTGCGCCTCTTGAGACACTGATCCTCATCTCACAGCGGCGGATTAACACAGCGAAGGCTAAGACGCGCGCACACCAGCAGCGCTGCGAGGCCCCTACAGCGCCAAGGGGCCCCCCGCTCTAGGCACTCTCCTAGGCAGCACCCAAGCCTCTCTCTCCCTTGGGTGTCCCTAAGAGTCTTAGTTGCAGCATATCGGATCCACCAAACCCGCTTTCTCCCAGGAAGCCCCTTGCAGCTCCGCAAGGCTGGAGCGCGTGCGGGTGTCTGTATGTGCGACTGAGAAAATCCTTCAATAGGCCTCCCTCGGCTCGGAGGGGGCCCTTCCAATGGAGCTGTGGGGGGTTGAAGGGTGACGCCATGGGCCCCCTGTTCTTCGAGGAGGGCACTGAGGTCCCCAGCGGGTTTAGGGCGGAGGGGCCCTGTCGATTGCACAGTGGCAATGAAGGTGCTTCGGAGCAGCGCTTCCTTTGCTGCGAACGTCACGCCTTCTTTATCGTGAGCTGTGGCGGCGTCGTGTATGCCGTGGGGCCCCCCACTCCGCGTGCACTGTTCCCCAAGGGACCGCATCGAGCGCCGCTGCTTGTCTCTGCAGCGGCAGTGTTGCTGCTGGCGTTTTTCTTGCTGCTGAAAGCTGAGGCTTCTACTCTGCCGAGGCGGCGTCAAAGCGGTCTTTGTTCGCAGAATTGGGGGCAACAGAAGCAGCGAAAGCGTCCATGGGAGCTCTCCAGCCCCTCGAGTAGAGGGTGGGGGATGTGGCACCGAAGCGTGGAGGCTCCCCTTGATGTGGCAAAGAATGAGGCTTCGCCAAGCCAACTTCTGTGCGGTCTGAATTCCGAGGAGGACAGCCTTCCTGCAGATCGCAGATACTATTCTCGGGGATGCTTTATCGCCTCCTGTAGAGGGTACTATGGCTATCGCGGTCTGCATTTACCAACCCTACAGCGCCTGCAGCCCCTCCAAGAGGAGGCTTCTAGGGGGCTTGCACTGGTCGCAACGGCAGCGCCAAAGAGCTGCACCCGTGCAGCCTCAGTGTATGCAGTATCACCTGGAGCAGGAGCAGCAGAAGCAACTGCAGCAGGAGCAGCTGTAGCAGCAGAAGCAGCTATTGCGAGAGAAGCAGCTTTATCAAGAGAAGCAGCTTTAGCAAGAGCAGCTGCAGCAGAAGCAGTTGCAGCAGAGACAGCAGCAGTCCGCACGGCAACAGCAGCGGCAGTATCAGAAGCGGCTTTGCGGAGGTCTAGCGTTCCCGTTGTCGTACAGGCGGATCTTCCAGGTGATCATATCCTCACACGTGAATACCCTTCTTTTGAGGATGTGGCAACACGCCTTCCGCCTAGAGGTGTAAGCGATCTTCCTCAAGGATCTCCTGAAGCACCTCCTGCATCCCTGGGGACTGCAGGAGTCGGCGTGGGTGCCCTGGGGAGGGGTGGCCCCCTGTGGAACGTTCTGGGAAGTGATCAGGCTGCCGTCAATGCAGCGATTGAGGAGGAAAAGAAGTTCGTTGAGGAGCGATGGCTGCAGCGCCTGGCGGAGACTCACAGGCTGACGAGCAAACAACACGACTCCGTCCGAGAAGAACAGGCAGAAAAGCTAAAAAGGATGAAGCAGCCCAAATGTAAGGAAAGCGTATAGCAAGACGCGCGATCCGATGCATAGGCGTCACCCCAGCGTATTGCCTTACCCGTGATGTTTTCGATTCCAGAGAAACCTTTTATCCACTTCTTTGCTCCACGAAGCTCAAGCCACAGAGCTCTGCAAGGCTCTTGAGAGCTCTCAAACGCCTTTTTCGCGGTCTCGAGGGTGGGTGCCCTCTTTTCTTGATCTCCTTCCTGCTGCGTGCCGTTCGACAGGCCCCCTCTGCTGACTGTGTGTTTGTCTCTCTCTCTCTCTCTGCCTATGTGGCCTTCTTGGCTAGTGTCTTTATGTGTGTTTTTTTCCATAAGGGGCCTTTGCCGTGGATCATGAGGAAGTAGAGGCCCCCGCAGCCTTGTCCTACGACTTTAAGACCTATGGGCCTCACTTTGAGGCTTACATTGTCGGTCCACGCGCGACTCCTGAGTCTTACTCCCTTTTGCCGTTGCCTCGCAGTCGCTCTTTCCTCGACCCCCTCCCTTCCCCTCCTCCGCTTCCCATGATTCCCAGGCTGCCTGCATCTCGGGGTGGTCAAGAAAATGCTATTTTGCAGAGACCCCATGCACTCAAGCTTTCTTCTGGTCGTTTGGTGCGCGTCTTGCTGCAGGACGAGACGGCAGCGCAGGTGACGTCCTCGGAGCTGCACTTCGATCTGGCTTCAGAGTCTTTCGAGGAAACACCCCTTCTCGACTCAAGAGAAAGAAGTGCGAAGAGTAGAAAGGAAAAGGGGGAGAAGGAGGAGGATCTAGAGCGCTTCCGCGCGGCTTCTGCTCATGCCCTTGCTGCCGGCGAGGTGTATGGACCGTCAGCAAGCGGATTTCGATTGAAGCAGATAAGCCCGCCTGTAGCTCATCGCGCAGGCATCAGCTCTTTCTTCTACTTCCACGCCCCCCACTCAGCACCCTTCGTCCCCTTTATTAACGCGTGTAGAAGAGAGACATTTGGGCTGCCCCGTCCCGCCGTCACGGCTCTAAAGATCGAGAACCTGGATTCTTTTGTAGATGCACCGCCTCTACAGCCACCCCCGCCAAGCCAGGCAAACATTCCAGACTTGCATCAGCATCCCCTGCAGCAAAAGCAGCGGCAAATGCGGGGTCTTGGGGCCTCTACCTTCATGACTCGGCTCCCCGTAGAGTTCGGCATGTGCGTCATCGGGATGAGGGAAGACGTCGAGGACCTTGTAGAGAACCTCCGGCAAATAATCTTCAGACGGAAGAAGAAATCCCGCCGCCCCTCAAAGGCCTCAGCAGAGGAGCCGCGTCAGGGCACTTACGAGAATCCTTGGGTTGCATCGCTCTCCGTCAAAGGCCCGATCGCCGCTGTTGCAGGAGATTTGGTGCTACCGGATGAGCTGGAGGTGGTCAACAAGTCGCAATACTTGTGCACGATGAATGCGAATTACTACCTAAACTTCAAGGTGAAGATAGAGGAGATCGAAGAATTTGTCCTGCCCGAATTCGGCTATGACAGCCTAAACAGAGACATAGACGCCGATGGATTCTTCTATTTCGCGAGCTACTGCTGCCCCGTGCCAGTCTTCGGCTTTGATGCTCAGAGGGTGCCTGAGGCGACCATTAGCGCTGCAACTCCTGAAGCGCACAGAAGGGCCTTGCAATATTACGGCACGGTATCGTACGAGGACGCTCAGAGACAGAGATACGGGAGGGACCCCTCGAGTGATCCTGTGCTCACGGAATACGCGCAGTGTCTCCCTAGCGACGCCCTTAGGGGAAGGGGGGGAGGCACTACTGCAGAGGGAAAGAGGCCTTCTTCTGTACCTCCGGATGCCTCCTGCCCACCGAGCAAAGCGACGCAGAACACGCCCCCCGAAACTCCAAACGAAATTCAAACAGGACAAGAACGTAAATCCTCCGGGGTTCCCACGTCTGAAACTGCACCGCCCTTCCCGTATGAATCCCTTGGCGAGATCGTGACAATAGAGGTTCACACGGACGGCTCTGCAACTCCACGAGAAGCGTTTCTGGAGGCCATTGAGAGGGTAGGCGGACTCGCTAGTGCTGTTGGCGGGGCCCTCCTCAAGAATTGCAAAATCTCCAGAGACGGCTCCGTGGAAGAAGAATTCGAGGACCCCGACATGTATCAAGATAAACACAGGTAAAAAATGTCCATACCCTAGGAGCGCCTTCGCTAAACCCACCTGCCCCTGGCCGCCTCTTGCCTCCTTAAGGGTGTCGTGTCCTCTCGGATGTGGGCAGTCCAAAGACTCGGTCGAAAAACCCCTCTAAGTCGAAACTGGTTTGTGCACGCATTAGGGCCCGATTCTGTCACCTCAAGGGTCTTTCAAGATCCCCGCTTCCGCGTCTGCCCCAGCCTCTCGCTGAGCCCTCTGTATGCTCCTGTGTTTCTGCGTTGATCAGATACACCGGCGTGCCGTGGAACCCCCATAAGGATTCCCTCGCCAGGACCCTGGACCGTCATAAAACGTATTTTAGAAATGACATGCTGCGGCAATACAGTCCAGTCAAGGAACAGCTCTTGCGCCGTAGGGAGCTCTTCGGCGATGAGAAGCCAGCCCCTGAAGGGGCACTTCCAGCTCGGTCCACAGAGAAGGCGAAGGAGGGCCCTTCTGGCCCCCTAGCAGAGCAGTCAGAGGGGCCCCCTCAGGTGGCGGACGGGGGTCCTCCGGGGAGCCTTAGCGATGAGCAAGAGCGCTTGCTTGACGAAGAAGAGCTCGAGGATGAGCTCGTTCAGCGAAGTCCTACCCTGCGTGTCGAGAGGGAGAAGGAATACCAGGCGGCCTTGAAGCTACGCGCCGACATTGAAGTGGGCAAGAAGCTGCAGGAACGGGGGGATGGAGAAGGACTCCCGAAGTTTCCCATTAAGCACAAAGGCCTCGAGATGCCTCCTGACTGGGTCTTTGAAGACTTCATGGCGCAGCGTGTGCCTGTGGGGTGGGTTACTGGTTTTACCGACGACTGAGCCTCATAGTGCGTAGGGTGGGGCTGCTCACACTTCACTGCGCACGTAAGTTAAGACAAAACTGCATCCAACGCTCCTAGAAGGTCTAAGTGGGGTTTCCCAACAGGCCTGTCACATCCCCATAAGATGGCCATTCCGCCTCCCCAGGGGCGGTCTGCAGCTCTTCAGGAGATTCACCCTAGACATCGCGGTGGGGGGCCGTTAGGCCCCAACGAGAACCTCCACAGCTCGTCGGAAACCCTGAGGGCTGAACCGTACATACAGAGCCTGTATTGCTCTGGCTATATCAGCATGCGTAGCGGCCAAGTATCTTGTACAGAGTGCCGAGCGGGGCGGAGGGCCCTGGCCTAGTCTGGTGTGCTGCAAGATTTTCCTGAGCAGAGAACTAATGTACCCGCGTAGAATAACTCTCTTGACAGCCTCCTACTCGTCAACGCTAGAAAAATGAGCTCGGATCCGTAGGGAGCTGCTAACTAACCGAAAGAGGTCTGAAAAGCACCCCCTAATTGCACTAACATCAGCCCGGCGCGTCCAGCGCCCCCTCTGCATAGTTAGATTTTTGCGTGGGGCCATCTGAGGGGCCCTCCAGATGGCTCCCCACGTAGAGAAAAGACACGAGAAAACGGCCGGTGACGGTGGCTAAGCCGGAGGGGAACAAGCTTTCCAAGCCCTAGAAACCCTCGAGAAGAGCCACATGCGATGCCCCACAACATGGGAGATTTCAACCGCAACGAGTCTCGTCAACCGCTAAACAACCACGACGGTGTTTTTGCAAAAAGCCGTAGGGTGTCCACGAGCCCCGGGGGCCCTCTTCCCACTGAAGGGCTTTTCCTGCAAGAGCATTTCTTTCTCACAGGAAAAGCAGCCGAGCCAAATGAGAAAATGTCACATCTGTTCCGCGGCTGCCACAAAACCGGATCCGTGCAGCTCCGCCCCCTTTCCCAAGGATGCGGCTACAGCAGCAGGCGCTGCAGCCACACGGCGGCAAGAGAAGCACAACTCGCGCTTCAACTGCAGCGCCCTGGCAACGGGAGTAAGAGTGCTCTCATATTTAACTCAGGAAGTCAACGAGCGAGGTTCTCAGTTTCAGGTCGTCCCTAAGGGAAACCTGCTGCTGCTCAGAGTTCGCCAGCTGGAAGATCCTCTCAACCACCGCCAATTCAGTTGCTGTTGTTTCCATACCGCAGAATCCCGTCCAGTCATTCACCATGAGCCCTGAGAGCCGATCGCAGCACAGTGACACACGAGGCAGCAAGCAAGTCCACACGCAAAACGGGAGAAGAGTAGGGGGCGCTAGGCAGGTAGAGGACGGTGAGAGGCGGCACTCAAAGCCATACACCCTTAAGAACCCCTGCGCAGCCCCTCAGTAGCGAGAGCCCCCTAGAGGCCCCCACCGAACGCCGCTCCTGTGCATGGCTAACGAGCATGTGTATGCTTTCATACGCCCTCGAGGTTACCTGCGCCGACGAGATCCGAGCCTCGATTTACTGTCCCTGCAGTGAAGGGCACTTGCACAAGTTGCGAGAGATCCTCCATCTCCTCTACGGGAGTGCGCGAATGTACCTGAGCCCGCCAAAGAGGAGCAGCCACACGCAAAAAATAGCCGTGAGTTGAAAGACGCACACGCCAGCAAAATGGCTACGGCAGCAAAGGCCTCGGGGCAGGAGACTCTAAGGAATCGCCAGAGAAAATGCATCCAGCAGGACAAGGGCGAAATTCTAAACAAGAGCAAGGTCGAGAGAGCGCCAAGCAAACGCACGAGTCCGCCTCGATTCGTAAGTTGGCAGTAGCTGCCCACAAGTAGCTGCCCTCCAACAATCGATCGAAAGACCTCCACCTACGCAAACAGACACTGCGTCATCGCAAACAAGACCCTCTTTATCCTTCCTCCGCTATACAGCAGGGGCGCGTGCGAGCAGTGAAGCAAGACAAGCCGTCCCTCATAAACGTCTCAATGGAATATTGCGTCGCCCCCACGCGCGAACACCTGCCAACAACGGGCCCTCTCCAAGCCATCACGGCAGCCAACAACTCCCCAAATTCCGTTTTCTCTTCCGCCGGTTCATGCTCTGCCCTCTCTTTAAGTGCTGTAAGGGCCGCCTGTGCCGTGGGTGTGACCCATGTACGGCCGATACAACGACTGCTACACCCTCAACATCCTGCCTGCTTTAGAGCACCTGTTGTGCTCCTCTCCCTGTCTGCTCCTCGCGTGGTGTACCCCCGACGAGGGCAAGGAAGAGGGAAGAAGGCCCTCTCGAGGACCCTTCGGGGCAGGCAGGCAGCCAGCCAGCCTGCTTGCCTGCCTCACCTGCAGCACGTCTTGGATAACTTCCGCCGTCTCTGCATCCAAGTCTGCATGCACGAGGGCGGTGTAATCATTCGTTGCGATACAATTGCCAAGGGCTGACAGCCTCTCCTCTACCCGGCGAACGGCCACTGAGTCCGGCAGCGAGTTCCTAAGATGCTGAAGCTCTGCATCCGACGTAGTCATCGGCACTAAGAGGCCATTCTTGTTGCCTGCAGCACGCGCGGGGCAGTCGATCAACTCAAGAATGAGGGCACAACGCTTATACAGAGTGAGCAACACCGGGAGGTGAGCTCTTGCAAGCAAAACGGAGCGGAAGCGCCAAGATAAATAGATCCACGCGAAGAACACGCTCACAGAGCACTATACATATGGATATATACACATTCAGGACCGTAAAGAACAGCCGAAAGGACCGCCAAAAAGTTCGCGGAGAGCAGCCACGCATTAGGGATGCTCGCCAGGATACAGGAAGAGGGAAAAAGAAGAATCACATGCCAAGGAGGTTGGCGAGGGCAAGGAAGAGGGAAAAAGAAGAATCACATGCCAAGGAGGTTGGCGAGGGCAAGGGAGAGCGAAAAAGAAGAATCACCCACACAAACAGCGTGCATGTAATAATGCGGTAGCAACAAATGTCAGAAATGCAGCAGCCCTGACACCCCTAGAGTGCAGGCCGTACCAACGCATACGCGGCCTATGACGGTAGTGCCTCCGACGGAGGCATGAATTACGGGAATGTGGGGACCTAATTCTGCTTCGATAGTTGAATAAAAGTGTTCGCTGCCGCCAGAAGCGACCAGACAGTAAGAGTTCGTGAGTTTTCCGAAGACCCCAACCTCGTTTGAGGACTCGAAGTGAGTGCCTTGAATCAGAAACACGCCGCACAAGCAACACGCGGGGACGATCGCTAAGGGTCGGATTTTTAAAAAAACCGACACAGTGAAGACTAAGACCAGCACTCCCGCTATGTGCAGCGTAACTCGAACCCCTGAAGAAACTTGAGCAGAATTTTTGCAGGAGAAGTAAAGAGTGCAGCGATAGGCAAGTCAGGGTTTTCTTAGATGCTGGCACCCGGCGGGAGGGAACGCACGGATTGCCATGATGGCGACCTGCAGGGGCACAGAAGCGCATCAAAGAGAGCAATGCAGTCAACGCACGGCTCAAAACGCGCAATAGCACCTCTGTAGTGGCTGCTGCCTCTGTCAACGATCGCAGCCGCTTCGGTAGGAGGGCGCCGTGCTGGGAGCCTTGCACAAGGGGGAAGTCAGGGGAGAACGGCGGAGGATCAAACTCACGGTGGGAAGAAGTGGAAGAACAATCATACAAGACGAAGACCTCGAAGGTCAGGCAATCTTCAGCCAATGCCGCAGCACCGGCTGCAGCACAGCAGCGGTGGCTGCAAGGAGATCCCCCTGGCTGGAGTAGAGTGCTGCAGACGCCTGTTTGTGTCCAGTCTTTGATAGTTCACCCTTGTGAAGAAGGGTCGCTGGGAAAGATTCGCTAAGGAAGCAGAAGATCCGCAGCAGCAGAATCTTGAGGCCTGAGTGCCCTGTGGGGTCGCGCGGCAACAGCAGCCGCAATACAAGCAGCCGCAACAGCAGCAGCGCAAACAACAGATAGGGGCCCTCAAGAGGCAGAAAACAAAGGAACACGGCAAATTAGGAGGCTGCTCCGGCTGAATGGCCTTGTTTCACTGCCAGGGTCCAGAGGCATAGAAGCTAGTCAGTGTTGCATGCATCCGACTCTAGAGGCCTCTCGTAAGGGGCCCCCTAGGGCCCCCAACACCCTTGGTTGCACCCCGTCGCATCGTAACCCGAGACCAATAAAATTTGTGCAGCCCTCTTTTCCCAAGACTTAAATGTGAGGGGTCGCGAGTCGCACAGTTAGACAAAGGCTGTGCCAGGCGGGGCAAATCCTGCAGCAGGAGGGTCGCCGCTACGCTTAGCAAGAATTTGAGCTACACAAGCGTGTGTTACGTTCCCCCTATATGCGCGCACACTACAGGCGTTCTTATGTCGTGCCAGGAAAGAGGTGGTGCGCTCACAAAAAGCCTCATGAGCAGCCCACAAGGCTTCAGAGACTTGTGCGTATACTACCCAGCACGTCCAAAAACCGCCTTTCACAATAGGAAACTCCTGCCATTGGCGCCTTTGAGAGCCATCTTCTGCTGCTTATGCCTCTATTTCTGAGGCCTTGGCCGGCAGATATGGCAACAAGCCCAGAGGTCACTTTTGGCGGTTCCTTTCACAGGTCTAGTAGAAGCTTAATCTGTTCAGGGGTGTGGGTAGGGGAGCCTCTACCTTCACTGATAATAAAGGTGTATAGTTTGCTGTACCCATCTACAAGGGCTTCCAAGGCAGCTGCACGGACCTTGCGCCGTAGGGCTCCTTGAGCGAGGGCCCCGAGGAGAGGCATTTCGAGAGCTGTATCTCCATAAACTTGAGTCATTAAGGCAGCTAAGAAGTCTTCCACCTTCTCTGCTGTCAGCAGTTCTGCTGCGATATCCTTGGACATTCCTGATCCCGTAGTGGGGGCGTCCTGAGGGGTCCCTAAAGGGCCGTGGCTCACGAACTCCGGCGCAGGATGATCCTCTGGAGAGGGAGGGCGTCCATAGGCATCGACTGCCTCCAGCATCAAAGTCAGGCCGCATTTGGTGCGAAGGCGTGCCCCCTCCATTTGTCCAAGTTCCTGTGATTTCTCATCTATAAGCTCCGTGAGGAGGCGGCGCTGCTGCTGCAGCAGGGGCAGTGCGAGAATCTCCTGAAACTGTTTCTGCTGCTGCTGCTGCTCTTGCTGCGCCTGCTGCAGCTGAGGCGGCAGCGAGAGAACCTCCGACTGCAGCACGGTGCGGAGCGAACACAGGGCATTCAGAATATACACACAGCCGCCGATTCCCCCCATTAGATGGCCTAGTTGAAGGCAGAAATTAACGCAGCGAGGCACGTCCCTCCCCACAAGGGCCTCCAGCCGTTGCAAAGACGTCTCACGCATCTGCATCTGCTGCGCTTCCTGCTGCGTTACGACGGAGGGCAAGAAGGATGCGTGAGTGAGCAGCATGTCTTGCAGCCTCGCAGCAAAGCGACTCAGGAACGAGGGCGTGCCGCTGCTTCTACGGGCCTCCTCATTCTCACCGCAAGGGTTCCACCGTGCTGCAGTTGCTGGAGACAGCTGCGGCAGCTGGAGCGCTGAAGAATCCCACTGAGCCTCAAACACCTCAATCGCCTTTTCGTGCAAGTCCAGCACGTGGGATACCAGGAGCAGCTTCCTCGGGGGCTGGTTCTGCTGCTGATTTGTCTCGAGACGCTGCTGCGGCGAGATTCGCAAGGAAGCAGCAACGGCCTCTTCTATCGCCGCTGCCTCCCCTTGCAGCAACAGAGCGACTTTGAGGGCGGAGATGCCGCCGTCCCCGCTTTTTTTACTGCTGTTGCTTTCAAGCGCAGTTGTCACGAGAGCAGTAAGCGGCGCATGCAAGACCTCCAGCGCCCCGTCCAGCAGAGCCACAGGATCCAACAGCTGCTGCAGTGTTGCCGCACTGCCTCCAGCTTCAGCCGGAAGCGTCGGCGCGTCAGACATCGGCAACCAGCCCTTTGTTGGCTCGTGCCGCTCGGGATCTTCTTCTTGCTGCTGCTGCTGGACTTGCTGCTCTACGAGTGTAGGTAGCTCTTCCAGAAAGGGCCCCCCTTCGGCTGCCTCCTCGGCGGACGCCCTGTTGACGTGAGAGGCCGCGGAGCTCATGGGGGCCCCCATCGACTCCACAGGCGACTCAGCAGCCACATTCGCACGCCTTCCCTGCTGCAGCTCCGCAATCCCGAGCGCTGCTGCGCCCCCCTTCGCAAAAAGGAGGTCCAACACCGCGACAAAAATTTCAGCCTCCTCCGCTGCAGCATGCGACAGCCATTCGACGGAGCTCCTTAGAGGCCTCGGCGTGTCTCTGCTACCAACAACAGCATCTCGGGGTGTCCACGCTGCCCGTTCGAATCCCTGGCGCAGCAGATGCCGCCGCAAGCGTAGCAGCTGTTGCAGGCACTGCAACAGATATGCGGGATACCCGTGCAGGTTGGTCAAGGCCTCCCACAGTACGGTGTCTCTGCTAAAAGGCCCCTCTGAAGGAGCATCTGCTTCAAGGGTCGCCATCGCTCGCGGTGCTCCTCCTGCAGGAAACCCCGAGAGCTGCTGCTGCTGCCGCGCGAGCCCCAGCAGCGCATAAAATGCTGTGTCAACGGAGTCGCTTGCGCTGCAGGGTGGTGCTCCTGAGGCAGCGGCTGCAGCTGCAAGCTGCTGCAGCCGATGGAGGACGAGCAGAAAGAGGCGCTCTTGCCCCAAGTCACTGAGTTCCCGTGTTTGCAGGAGCAGGCTCTCTATTAGCGGGAAGTCTGCAGAGGCGGCTGCAGCCAGTTTTTGCAACAGGTGTCGCCGCTGCTGCACCGTGGCCAAGGCGTCGACCGTAGTGTGCAACTCCCTAGAAACTGCATGCACCTCCTGAGGCTTCCTCCCATCGGGTGCTCTGGCTGCTGGTAACGACGCTGATTCTTGCGGAGGCAGCGGACGCGTCAGAGCCTCTAAGGCTTGGGGTGGTACCGAGAGGCGCTCGAGGATCGCCGTACATGTTGCCTCTTTGTTTGAGAGCTGTTGCTGCTCCTGTCGCAGCTTTAGCAGCTGCTGCAGCAAGGGCAACAAATGCAGCCGGCTCTTAGCGAGGCGCCCCAGTGCTGTGGCCAGCGTGCTGTTGAGGCTCTCTGCCGCTTGCTGAAGTTGTTGAAGCAGCGGAAACACTCGACGGAAGGCATGAAGCTGCTGCCTGTACGTCTCGAGCCGCTGCCGCCGCACAAACAGCGAGAGGCCTACTGTTGTTGGCAGCCGCGCAGAGGCCCCTGCTGCTGGCGGATGTTGCCGCCAGCCGTGGGTATCGAGGCACGTGAGGCTCTCAGCTAGCAGGGAGATGTCGGCTCGCCCCTGTTCTTGCAGCAGCTCCCGCACAATCTGCTGCAAGTGACCCTCGACGGCTGTGCCGGCTTTCGCTAAGGCGGGAGTTCCTTGACCTCCCGCCTCCCCGTTCAGTCTGTGAAGCTGCTGCGGCTGTAGCGCCTCTCCCTCTTGGGGCCGTGCCTGCAGATCCAGCTGCAACATAATAGTGGAGGACTGCACGCGGACGGAGCAGAGGAAATAGGGGGGAGAAGGAGCCTCGCTTCAAGTGGGAGTGGGAGCCTCCAGACAACGAGATCAAAACGTGCAAGGGCCTCTTCTCCCCCCGCCCCCCCGCCTCCCTTCGTCCCCGTCCCCTTTCCCTCACGAGACCTATGGCCTTGCGACTGTTGCGACGCGTGGAAAGGTACTCTGTTGCTGCACTCCAGCAACTAGCGCTCAGGCTTTGACAGAAACAGAACCCTTTCAGTCGCGTGTAGGGGCCGCAACTTGTCAGAGCGAGCACCGATAGACTCACCAGCGACACACACACACCACGCGCGCGGCCTTTGCTACCCCTACAAACGTGGCAGCGCCTACCACCCCGAGACGCCATGCAGTTTCTTTCAAACAGAGACGCCGACACTGCTTATGTCAAAATCTATCCTTAGATCTGCCAGTGTGAAAGGAGAAGAGCTCAGAGGCCCTGCTGCCTACCCGCCGGAACCCCAGCCGTCGGCAGCCTGCGCAGGAGGCGTCGGCTCCCACGGGGGGGCCCCCGCAAGGCTACGAAATGAGGGAGGCACCCTGTCCAGCGAGCTTTGGCTGCCCTGTCCATATTATACCTTTAGATTAACTTCTCTGGAGGTTTAACTCTGGAGGACTGACTAAAGAGGGGCCTACGTCTCCTGCATTGGGTCTTTCCTCTCTCCTCCACCCTCCCGTGGGGGCCCTCTGAGCCTCTCTGACTTCCTTGGCGCCGTGCCGATCCTTAGAGGCCTCTACGCCATACCCTAGGCAGCGCCATTCGATCTCTTTACCTCCCCCAACGCTTCCTGTAGGGCCTCTCAGGCTCGTCTGCAGCCCTCAAGACGAGGGGGCCCTCTGGAGCAAGCGCCCTGTTGGGGCCCCCTCGTTGCAATGGGGGCCCAGGGCCTCGTCGACGTGGCCGTTGAGGGTGGCCAAGTGCATCAGGTTCTCTTTGCAGAGCTCATCAGGGGGGGCCCACCATGCCTGGTTCTGCTGCTCTCCCGCGTGCTAAGGGTCTATTCAGTGACTGGCAATGCAGGGGCCCCCAGAGGCTCCCAGAGCCAATTCCCGGCAGGGGCCCCCCTGCGGTTCCTATGTGAGATGCGTCTGGGAGGTCCCGCTCTATTAGCAGCAGTCATTCCTTCCAGCGGGAGGGGTAACACCGGTGGTCTTCTGAGCGGCTCCAACGACCATGGAGCCTCTGCTAGCGGAGATGATGGCATCCCAGGAAACGCTTCTTGCGCTGCTTTGGCTGACGCTACTTGTTCTCCAGCGCAGGCCGCATGCAGCGGGGCCCCTGGAATGGGCGACCTTCTGCTTCTGTTGCTCGCGGGATACCGGGCCGTGATCTGTCACTACAGTGAAGAAATTGGGGGCCTGCGGACCCTCAGCATGCACTCATTCGCCGAGCTAGGGCCCCGTGCTGCTGCAGTCAATGCGCTCCTCGTGGGGCCCCCGCATATCAAGCTAGCGGATGAGGGGCCCCTCACAGAGGTGGACGACGGAACATGGGGGCCTCAGGGATCCCTGTCCATCCCAGCAGGCCAGTTGCCCGTCACCACGCTGCGTGCCATCACAAGGGCGCACGTCTTTGACTTGGAATCCTTCGACGCGAGGGGCCCCTTTGAGGGCCCCTGCGGAGCTCTCGGAGAGCCTAAGGCCAAGGGGTTCCTCGCGCTTTTCAGTGTGGACCTGTTACATGTCGTTTGCTTGCATCTTAGCCTCAGAACAGAGGGCCCCTCTTCAGCGAGTGCAGTCGCACCCACCCCACCGCCAGCAGTGGCGGCAGCACAGGGAGACGCCACAATTGATGGGACCCCCCTTTCGCCTCCTATGGGCCCCCATCCCTCCACCTTAGGGGCCAACAGATATCTGGAAAAGGCCCCTTCTCACGTGCAAACGTCTCCTGGGGGGGGGTTCCTGTGTCCTCCTTTCGCCGCAGCGGGGCAAGGAAAGAGTTCTGTGGCGGGGGGCCCCTCTTCGTGCTCCCCATGGCCTCCAGAGGCTATGGGGGCCTCCCCTGTGTTGGAGAAGGGGACGCCGCCGCCGACTGCGGGGGCCCCTGGGATGTTGGGGATGGGTCACCTCAGTACCTTGCCTCCAGTAGCCTTCCTTGCAGCCGCAGTGCAGCGGCAGCAACAGCAGCATCAGCAAGCAGCAGAGGCCATAGGGAACCTAGAAAGCTTGGGAGAGGGGACCTCTGGGAACGTTGTTGCGGATGGCGAACCCCAAGAGTCCTCCTCCCTGTGGGGTTACCACAACGTGTTGGGGACTGGCCTCTCTGTTGCTTCCTGCTTTTTCCTCTCTCTCGCTACCGACGTGCCTTTGCCCCCTGCAACTGCTGCTGCCGTGGCTGCTGCTGCTGCCCCGGGTGCTGCATTCGTCGACGCGGATACTGCAGCTGCAACTGCTGCCGCGGCTGCCACTTCGGCGGCTGCGACTGCAGGAGCAGCAGGTCTGCCTTACCTGTTGCTCGACATGGTACCTGTCGCTTCACTGCTGTCGCCTTCCGCTGCCTTGCTGATGGCTGAAGGGCCCAGAGAGCTCGGCCTCATGCCCTTTGCAGGGTCCCCTGGAGCCGGGGAGGTCTTCGCTCTGCTGCTGGCGATACACCCAGAGGAGCGAGACATTCAAATCATCGCCAAGGTACGAGACTAGCGGGGTGCCGGCCTTCCTCAGATCCTGCAGCGGCGGCCGTTGCAGGCGCTGGCGTGCGCCGTGAGTGAAGTCGCCTCCTCCTCCTCGGTGTTGTGTCTTTTTGTTGCTGCCGCTGCAGATACCTTCTCTCTTAGGAGACACATTTGCGCTTCTGTCAGCCCCTTCTCATCCAGACGGCCTAATCTGCTTGTCACCTGACTCCGTCTCGTTCCTTTCCTTCAGCGGGGGGGGCTGCGGCGGTGGAACACAGCGGCTGGGGGACGCTCAGCAGCAACAACAGCAGCCAGACAGCCTCAGTGGCAGGACTGTAGGGCTCACGCACATTGTGCATCCTGCGGGTCTTGTGCGGAAGGACCTTTTGCATCTGCCTTCGGTTGTCTTCGACTGCAGCAGCCTTAGACTCAGGCTTGAGGGAGCTGCAGCGGCCTTCCTCTCGGGAAGCTGCCTTTTCCTTTTGTCGGCAGATGGAAGACCGGCCCTTGCACACCTGGTGATGCAGATGCTAGTGCTGTTGTAGTCCGCGCTACACAATACAACTGCTGCGGGGCACATGGGTGTCGCTGCTGGCGAGACAAAGGGTTGTTCTTTATATGAAGAACAATAGGGCCGGTTGGGTGGCAGAGAGGATGAAAGGCACGGGGCTTGTAGCGGCCGTTAGGATGCGCGGACAAAAGCTTGGCGATGCACGTCTGCCAAGAGGCGAGCGACATCCTAAGTACCAGTGTGCTCACAGGCTATCTCATTAAAGAGGCAGTGTGCTGCGCATATGCGTGTGTGCATGTGCTGTTTCTGCTTCAGATCAGAACTGCGGGTAAGGGGATCACAGACTTCCTCTGGACGTCCGTAGAGCTGCTCTTCCCGGCTGGAGGGGGGTCCCTAGACTGTCATTTGCCACAGGCATCGGAGTGTCTCTCTGGTCAACTGTTGCTGCCACGGTCGGACTCCCTTGCTGTGTGGAATCTAGGATCACCAACAAATAAGGTAAAAAATCCTATGCTGTCGTTGCTGCGTCTGCTGCTACTGCTGCTTTGAGCCGCGCCGCTGGTGCCCGAAAAAAGCCGGCCTCCTGCCAAGGATGCTATGTCGTGGTGCCTGCCAGTCGGTCTGTGTTGTGAGTGTGTTGCTAACAAGGAGCCCTCAAAGTAAAGCTGTCTGAAACACGAGAAACACTGGACAGACAACTCATCCTGGGCACACCCAACTCGAGCTGCAACAGCAGCAACAGGTCCTGGATGAAGGAGTGCCTCCCTAGAACGATGTGCGTTGATGGATGCGGTTGTTTGTCTGTGCGTTGCTACAGGCTGTGCAGCCCGTCTCAGTGGACAGCAACAATCGATACTTACTTGCGCTTGGAGGGCGGATACGGGAAGGTACTGGAATATGCCTTGTAGTGGCTGAGCCTCAGCAGGTTGTGGCACCGCGGAGGCCCTGGGGAGGCCCTCCTGGCGCCTCCCGCGACTTGCAGTGGGGCCCTTCTTCGATTTTTTCGGATGAGAGCGCAGCGCAAGGTCTTGCTTCGTTAGAAACTTGCTGCAGCTTTGTCCCTGAGCTGCAGCGAAGGAAGGGCCCGCAGGCAGAGCAGCAGCAGCAGCCGCAGCAGCAGCAGGAGATGTATACCACTGATGGCAAGCAGCTGATAGAGATATTTCCTGATGGTTCTGTCGAAGTGGCACAGCAGAGAGCCCCGATTCTCAGGCACGCCGAGCTGCAGGAGGAGGACGGGCCTCTCCCTCAGTCTTCCCCTCTTGGGTATCTGCACTGGTTAAGGACGCAGCAAGCTGCGGCTGCATCTGCTGCTGCTGCAGATACAGCGGGTGCGGCCGCGTCTTCTCAGGACGCTGCTTCTCTGAAAAACACTGCGGACATCCCTTCGTCGATTGCTGCCGCAGTTGCTGCACTCAACAGCAGCAGCAGCGAGCAGGACGTCGCGTACCCGGTGATCGATCACCTCGGCCTTATAGTAGGGGCCCCCGAGGGCCCCCCCCTCTTGCCTACTTTTCGCTTTGTCGTGGCAGACCGCCTCCCACCCCAGGGAATTCCAGCGCCCCGCTGTGTGACGTTCCTTCCCTTGCCGCCTTGGGAGCTCCCCACAGCTGTCTCTGTGGGGCATCAGGAGGAGGAGCAGCCGCAGCAGCTGCAGCAGCAACAGCAAGCACTCGAAGCCTTCTGTAGCAGTGCTGGAAACAGCAGATTCCTCACAGCTGGGGGCCTGTGGCCCCATGGGGCCCTGGGGGCCCTCCAGCGGGCGGTACCCTGTCGCCCGCTGATTGTGGCCCCTACAGATGAGGGCAACCCCAGGATTTTGTGGGCACTCCAGCAGCAGAACCACCAAGAGCATGGGCTTCTCCTGTTGAGCAGTGACCCCCGCATGGGTGTTGGGGAGACGCGCGTGTTCTCACTTAGGGACGGATACTTGATGGATTTAACCGCAAGAGCAGCTGCAGCTTCAGCAGAGGCCAGCAGCACCCTAGACACCGTAGGGGCTGCTCTGTCTCTGGACGTTCCAACGCTCTTTGCAGCCTCTCTTCTGGGGGGCCTCGCGATGGTGCAACTGACAGCCGAGGAGCTGCGGGTGCTCGGGGCCTCCGGGAAGACGCTTTTGTGCCCTCCAATAGACATGAACGAGTTGCCCGCAGCCCCCTCGCCACCGCTGCAGCAGCAACCAGAGGCTACTGGCCCCAATGCAGACGCAGCAGATGAAGGAGGCTGTCTGGCAGACAGCAAGTTCCCAGCGGATGCATCTGCGGCCATGGACGTCGATACCGAAGAGAAGCTTCTGCGTGGACGCGCTCAGCAGACAGAAGACAGGAAGGGCTCTTGTGAGGAGCCGCACGAAGCCAGGGAAGAAGCTATGACCGCCCCTTCCTCCGGAGAGGCTGCGTGGAATGCAAGAGGAGGGGCCCTGCCCGGTGCGTTTGCAGCTGCTGTGCGGGGTAGCGCGGCTGGGAATTGGGTGTGCGTGGTTCTGGATGACTTTCGCCTTCGCCTTTGGCAAATTGATGACGCAGCAGTGGCTGCAGCGGCAGGCCCCCGCAAGGGTGTGCCGTCCGAGCAGCACGGACAGGTGCAACAGCAGCAGCTACTGCATGAGGTGTCTCCGAGTGCAATGCCCTGCTGCATGCGGGGCCGCGTGAAGAGTGCACAGCTTTATGTACACCCTAGGGCACCCACGGGGGGTGAGGACGAGACTGGCACTGGGAGCCTCCAGCCGTCCGAGGCTTTGTGCTGTCTGGTGACTCTGGAGGGGCCAATGAAAATACAGGCTCTCCACGTGGTCTCTCTGCAGCGCATGGAGTGCCTCTTCAGCACCGTAGATCTGCGCCTTGTATCTCCTCTCCTTCGCAACTGTGGGTCCTGCGCCCAGCGAATGCTGCACCACCAGGTGCAGCAACAAATGATGCAGTCGGAGGTGTTGCTCGTTTCCGGTGTATCGGCAGCTACAGCGGCGGCAAGTTGCGAAGACGTCCTCGGAGACCCTGCACAGAGTGCCAGATCCTGTGACGACCTGCTGCGCTCTGGCGAAATCACGGAGGCGTCCAACGCAGGCCCGCCTCACCCAGTGAAAGCAGCAGCAGCTGCAGCTGCCGCTCTTGCTGAGGAGGGCATACGAGATGCACGGCGGTCGGTGACGTGTCTAGGTGCAACCCCACTGCCCCTCATACGTCCAGCACATGACGGCCCTGCTGCAGCCACTGCAGCTGTCCTAGATGGCACAGTCTCCGAGGAGGCTGAAGCGGCAGGGGTAATGGCAGCGCCAGAAGAGCTGCAGGAAGAAGTGCTAAATGCTGAGCTGGTGCTGCTCGAACCCGAGGGAGACACCGGACCCACTCTCGTGGTGTTCCTTACGGGAAGGCCACCCCTCATCTATCGCGCATTTGAGGCTGCGTGCACTGGCGGTGCCTTGTGTCTGGATGACGGCCAAAAGACGCCTGGTCCCCTCTTTCCCAGGAAAAGGAGGTGCCAGAGCCCTCAGGCCAGTCCTCTGTTTCCCTGGTCATTTCGACTGGAGCCTCATAGCTGCACGGACTGCATAGCATCGATCCAGAGAGCTGGAGCGGCAGAAGGCGATCACGCTGCTGTCGTTGAACCCTCGGTATACTTTGCTGTGGCCTCAGGATACACGACAGCGTCGCAACAAGTTCAGCAGTGGGGTGGCGGTGTAGCTCTGTTGGTGCCTCCCCTCTCTCTGCCTGATTCTCAGAGTTCTACCCAGCAGCAGCCAACGCAGCTGCCAGTGCTGTGGCTCTGTAGTAGCCGGAACCGGTTATTTGTTCATCCGAGTGAGAGAAGAGACACCTTCGGCGCTGCCGCGTTTACGTGGCCGCGAGGCCCCCCTGGATCCTTCGCATTTTTATACGGGGTAGGCCCCTCAGTGTGCCTGTCGGAAATTGCTGCACCCTTCGACAAGACGTCCTACTTTTCCAATTTGAGACGATCAGCAGCGGCAGCTGCGGCAGCGGCTGACGAGCTCCCCAAGACCACGGGGCCCTTCCGGCTGGATGGGCCTCTTCCCTTCTGGTCATTCTCCCTAGGGGCCTCCACGACGCACGTGGCTGTCTCAACAGGCACTTCGTACATATTGCCGCCGCAGTATATGCCAGATGCGGCGGCACCTGCAGCAGCGGCAGGGGGGCGTCTCGTGGGAGTTGCACTGCACCACCCTACTGAGGAGAGTGAGCAAATACGGCAAGTGCTGGAAAGCCGCAACGCCTTGCAGAAAGCACAGCTGGCGTTGCAGGGGCGTGCGGGAGCAGCAGCAGCAGCAGGTGCAGCGGGTGGAGACAATGCGTATGAGGAGGGAGCGCCGCTTCCCGGCTTTTCGGCTGCAGGAGGGGCAGAGGGAGAAGGGGGCGTCCATCCGAACCCATACCTCTCTGCATGTGCTGACGGCCGGGTGGAAGTGGAGGGCGAGGCGGGCAGGCAGTATGAAATCGTGCTCTTCCATCAGGATAACCTCCAGTGCCCTTTGGGGTATGTGTGCCAGAGAGGTCGTGCTGTCTCCCAAGTTGTTGAGAGACCCTTGGGGAGCCGCAGAAACTACCGGTTGGCCCCTGCTTGCGTGGCGCACCTGCAAGAAGGCAGTGATGTAACTGTGGAGCCTTCATACCTCTTGTCTTGGGAGCTGCACAACACAGGGGTGTGGGGGGGCTTAATTTGTTTCACTCAAGTGCGTTCTCTCTGCTTTTTTGTTTGTGTCTTCCCGAAGGTCTTTTCTGCTGAATCCTTGCGAAGAAGTGATGTCATTACAGTTTGTGCTGCTGGATGCCTTGGAATTTCTTGCTGTGGGAGTTGGACAGCCTCTCAGCGAAGGCGTGGAGACGATGGGCCGTCTGCTGCTGCTGCGCTTGCCACAGCTGCTGGCGTACGGACGTGCCGCAACTGCTGCTGCCACCGCAGCGAACGAGATGCCGGAGGTGAGCGCAAGGATGGAAAGGCCGGTATTTTTTCTCTGCTCCTCACCGACGCCAAGCCTCCGTTACAGATGCGTCCTAGCCGGCGGTTATTGACTATTTCTTCCTTCCTGGTCCCTCTGTGCGGGGGTCAGGAGCCCTGCCTGCCTGCCTGCCTGCCTCGGCGTCTCTTTCTCTGCTCTTTCACGCTTTGTCTGCCCCGTGCCTCAGCCTCTTACCGCTTTTTCGCAGGGTAGGTGCCTGCGTGGGCGGCTGCAACCTCCTTTCCTCCCTCACTAGCTCCTGGGTCCCTGCTGCCTCTGCTGTCTCTGCTTTAGGGCGAGGGATTTGGCCTTTTCTGCAGCTTCGTGTTCGGCGGCCCCGTTTCGTGCGTGGGGGACTTTGCTCCTTCGGCCGCTGAAAGGCACTACCTACTGCACTCGGTTGGGAGGCGTCTCTTTATTCATGTACGACGGCTGAGCTGAAGGGAGCGTCGCAGGGATGGAGGGATTTGAAGCTCTCAGAGAGGGCGGAAAGCAGCATACATGCGCGCAACGGGGGACAGGGAGCACGGATACGCATGGCTGCATATGTACCGCCAGGTGGATCCGCGGGGGCAAGTGTCAGGCGAGGCCTTTCAGAGCACGGGCAGAAGAATTCTACAAATTGACGGAGCCTGCTGTTTTTCTGCGTGCAGGAAATGGATGGCGATCTCCTGGCCCGCGGGGCATTTGCGGACGTCGGTATGGCAGTTACGGCCGTTTCTACTCTAAAGCACTTCGTCATCACGGGGGATCTCTACAGAGGCGTTTCTCTCCTCGCGTATGCGACTCACTACTCTCCTCCTGCATCGTACTGCTGCTGCATCGGCTGTGAAAAGCCAAGCCTGGGTTTTTTGCTGTCGGCCTTCCTGCTGCCTCCTGCATTGCGCACGGCCTTCGTCCCTATCTCCCTTTCTGCTAATCCCCTCTACGCCGAGCGGCATTGCCATCGTCGCTCCTGTATCAACACCTCTCTGACTGAGAGGCTTCCCTGACTTTTTTGGACCGCTGTTGCGAGATGGATCTGCTCTCTCGGCGCTGCGTTTGACGTGGTTCGATGCGTAGGGGTGAATGCCAGGCGGCTTTGCGAGGAATGAAGTGTCGCTGGGTTATGCTGTGGCTGCCAATTTGCTGTGCAGTTGGCGATTTGACTCGGCCTCAGACTCGCGCCGCTTGGAACTTGTTAGCCGCACCGTGCCTCACTGGATGCTGCCCGTGGCTGCGTGCGACGCCGTCACCGAAGGCGGCACCTTAGGTACACCATGGCTATCCCTGCTTACCACTGGCTCTGTTCTTGCTCTCGCGTCTATTTTGGTGCATATATTTACGCATAGGCGCATATGGCTTGGGGCTGAGAGCGTGGGTGTTCGGCTGCTGCTGCTATATCTACAGGGATTTTGGCTGCCGACCCTTGGGGTAACGTTCGCCTCTTTTCCCTCAATGGCACACAGCAGAGCTCGCCGCCAATCTTGCAGCAGCTTCAGGTAAAAAAACTGCTGCTGCAGTGCTTGAAGCCCTGCTCCTGTATTGCTGGCTGTGTAGCAGTAGCTGCCGCTATTGATATGGCTGGCTCCGCGTTGGCGGGGCCGTCTGGTAAGAGTCTAGCTCCGCGGAAAGGTACAAAATGTGGGCTGGCGTGGAGTATGGACGTTTTGTGCATCAGGTTTTGCGTTGCGACTCTGAGTCTATGGAGGTGGATGCTCCGGTCGTTGCGTTTAAGCAGCTGTTGACGGAAACTGGCGATGTGGCGTCTGTAAGGGCCACTGGTCCAGCTGTTTTTTTCTGCTCCTCCATGCATCTGCTGCACCCGAATTTGCCCTTCCTTCTCCTGTTCTTCGTGGAGTTGTTATGTGCCGATGCAACAGCGGAGGAAATGTTGTTTGCTGGTGCGCTGCTTCAGGCTGCCTGGTCGGCTGAGGGAGGCCTTTTGTCATTCCGTTTAGTTGATGAGCCGACTGCGGACTTACTTCGCGAGCTTCAGGTGTGTCTGTCTCTTTATCCCTGTCTCATTCAGCCTATTCTTTGCTGCCTCTGCCACTGCACCCACCTCCCATTGCTTCTCCCCGTACATCAGCCTAGCTCTCCCGTGAAAGCCCCACTTTCCCTGCCCCTCGAGCCCTCCCTCATTCATGCCTGCTGCCTTCTTCCATTTTACGCTCTTTCGTGGCTTTGCCGCCTTCCGTTGGCGGTCCTGGTGTAGGTTTGAGACGTTCCGCCTCCCCCTATTCTTGCTTTTTCTGCTCAGGGCTGGCTGGAAACCTGCCTCCCCTCCGAATGTGGCTTGTTTCCCACCGCTTCAAGGATGCCAGCGGGGCCCCCATCAATTCACTTGCGTTTGTGGGTTGCAGAGCAGCAGCGGCAGCTACAGAAGCAGCTTTTACAGCAGTACCGCGCCCAGGACGAGGATGCGGCGGCAGCTGCTTCAGCAGTAGCTGCCGATGCCGCGATAGAGGCTACAGATGCTGGCATGTTGCTGCAACAAATGGAGTACAAGGCCCTTGACGCCATGCGTTCTCGCCTTCCCGTCTATGCACCGGTGCTGCGGTTGTTACCTCTTCTGTCCCTCCCCGTTCAACAGCAGCTGCTGGCAGCAGCGCCATCGGGCCTCTTGCATCTTTTGCAGCGCCACTTTGGGAGCTCGAGCACGGGGACCCCTCAGAGGTCCCCTTTCTCCTGGGTACGGCCCCTGTGTACGCACGAGTATTGCCCATGGGCCCTTCCTGGCTCCATTCTCGCCTCTCCGACCAGTCATTTGAGGGTAGAGTCTCTTTGTTGAATTAAAGTTTGGGGCTGCATCGTCCTAATACGTCTGTTCTTCGCAGGCTGCACTCCGCAATGCGCTTGCCGGGGGCCCACTCAAGAGCTTGGACCTACCAGCGGTGCCCCCTGCATAGGCTTCCCCCTTCACTGAACTCCCCTGGACCTCATTTTCTATTGCTGGGTTCTGGCTCTGCCCAAAGCTTTTCTCCGAGCTCGTAAGACTGGTTGCTACGTTTGAGAAGCAGAAGGATTGAGCAGCGTAGGTAGATGCGTATACGGCCCCAATGCACCCCGGTGGACACTCGTTTCCCTGTCGTTACTCCATGACAGACTAATTCTGTATAGGGGGGACGCTTTCGCAAAGCAGTCAACGGGGCTCTTTTAGCGTTGAGGCCAGTAGAGAGGATGGAGTAAGCCACACATTTCCTCCCCCTGGTGTATAGCAAAGGGGGATGGGCAGGAAACGACGCTTGCTAGAAGTTGCGTCACGGAACTTACGTGTGCTGACAGTCCGTGCACCAACACACAGAAAGCTAAAAGGCATGGCAGAGCCGTGCACATGTGCAAGGCCTAAAGGCCACAGGAGAGTAGCATAAACTTGAGGGTTGTCTCCTTTCGTGCAACCAGATAGTGACTAAGGCGGCCTTTCACATGCTACGCGCTTAAAGTTTCAATAAACACACCGCAGGCGGAAACCTGCAACAGGCGTTGAGGTGTTCGGGTTGTTTCCAACCGTCCGCAGCCACCATACAGGCCCTTTGATAGGGAAACATTAGATGGACACTTTGCAGCGCGGAACTGGAGCGGGAATAAAGGGTCCGTGTCCTTCTTACTCTAGCGCAGGCGGCATGTATTAGACTGAGGGTCCTCAGCGACGCCTGTTCTGTGTGTAGTGAGCTTGAGAGCTTCCCGCCGCGAAGTAAAAGACAGAGGTGTGACCTAAAGGCACTGCAACTGCTAGGCCGGAGGGCAGAAATTCCCATTCGATGTTGGTTCTCTCTCCCAAAAACTGAGCATGCCCTCAAAACTTCTTCACTTGAATACAGGAGATGCAGCGTTGGACCAGCGAAAAGAGTCATCTACCGGGGGGCCCCTACCCGACCAGAGGCCCAGCACCAAGGGGGGGCCCCATATGTGGGGCCCCCGGTGGGTCCCAAAACTCGTTCAAAGTTTCCAGCTCCTGAACCCCTTGAAAACTGCAACTAATAGTAGAAAAACTGCCTCTCATCTCTGTTTTAAATTGATTTCTTGCATGATGAAAAGGGGACTACGAGGTATTACCGACGAGGACTAGGAAGATCGGGGGTTCAAGATTTCTGTGATACCAGCCAGGGTATCGAGCCATGGCTTCCGGCTTTTGCGCTGCCCTACCTCACTTTGGTATCTGAGAGCATCTTTTCCTAAGGCTGAGTGGAGGCCGTTTCGACTGTGGCAAAGATTCGCCGAGATCTCCTCCGGATCGGCTAGTCCCCCCTGCAAGCCCCCGCCTCGAACTACCCGCGCAATGACTGCCGGGGCAGCCACGACGGTTACCCCTCTATTTCCACCTGCCACCCCTCTGCTCTGGGAAGCACCAGCCACCACCTCTATCAGGGGGCCCTCAAAATGAGTCGAGTATCCCTCTTCTTCTCGACCCGACGAGGCCTTGAGGGCCCCCTCCTCAAGGAGCTTCAGGCCCTCCCCTGCTTGGCCAAGCTCCCTCCAGCTGTCGCTCGAACGCCTTCAAAAGTTTCACCGGAAGGAGCACTCGCTGCAGCAGCGGAAACGCCTCCTGGAGCAGCAGCCAAGGAGCGCCATGCCCTGCATGAAGGCTCTGGGGCCATGCAGTTTGTGATGTCACCCGGGGGCGTATTCCTTCCCCGCATCCCGATTCGTCTTGTGCAGGAGCTTTGCTGTAGCGTCCGGACAGCTGAGTGTGTGTGGCTCCGACTGTGGGGCCCCCTGCGTTGTAGCACCCCGGAGCATCTGCAGAGCGCCCTCAGGAAGATCCCGTGGCAGAAGGTAAGGGGCTCTCATAGAAATTTCCCTCCAGAAATAGGACTCTTACAGGTGTCGATGTTTGAGTATAGTAGAAGGGAGGGATTTGGCCTTCGTCTCCCTCTAGGGGCTGAGCTACTAAACCTGCAGCGAGAGCCGCCTGCACCTTGTTCTCCGTGGCGATATCCCACGGCGTATGTGTGCCGCTCCATCGACGGCTTTTTGCACTCACATTGTCTGCTGGCGCTGCTGCAGTACATTAGCCCGCTGGCAGCTCTGCCGCTCTTACCGCTGCGCGTTGCCTCCGTGAATTCGCCAATTGTGGACAGCCCCTCTCTACGGGCTGCCCTCCGTACTGCTCTCGAAGAAGCCGCGAGCGCCGGCTGCACATCAGCAGCGTCACCTTCAGGAGCCTCTGGGGTAGCTGCTGCTGCTGCAGAGACAGCCCTTGTTGCAGCCACGCACAGGCTTCGAATCGTGTGTGTGAAGGAGCGAGCTTTAGCCGACTTACAGCTCTCTACGCCCTTGGACCCTCGGCCCTATCGATACCTTCCACACCTCCCTGCTGCAGCGGCAGCAGGCACCTCGCAGCGTCCAGACACCGCTAAGGCACCCACTGCAGTAGAGGAGCTGCAATTCGCTGCCGCCGTTGCAGAGCTGCAGCGCAACGTCCGACGCGCAGCAGCCGCAGATGCCCCGTGGTCTCTCTCCTCCATTTCTGCCGAAGTTGCTGCTGCTTCGAGCTTCTACAAACCTCTTAAGCCTCTTAGCGCACCTACAGAAAGCGCCACTGCCGCCGTCCCTTCAGGCGCATTTTCGCTGCACCAGCCCGAGCAACCGCTGCAGCAGCAATCACAACAAGGAGACGATGAGTTCCCAGAAGGCACTGCTGAGAGCGATTTCAGCGCGCATACGAGGATCTTTTCACGGCAGCCCCTCAACAGCGAAGAAAACACACACCGGCAAGAAGAGAGGCTGGGGGCGTCGGGGAACTCAGTAGTGCTCCGGGATATGCTGCTGCCACGTTCTGCCGCAACCGTTTCCATGTTGCGTCTGCTGTATCTTAGAGGCGGCTGGGAAGCAGAGGCCCTCGCAAGCGGAGCAGCAGCATGTGGTGCAGTGGCTGCAGCAACGAGCGAAGCGGCGGCAGCCACGGAGGGTCGGCGAGGGTATGCTGCCTCTTGGGAAGCGCAAGGCGCACAGATTGAGGAAGGGGACGTCTCTCTTGCCGCCGCTGTTGCTTCAGCTGGCCTTCGCAGAATCCTGAAACGGGAGAAGCGATTGGTGGTAAGGCGCGAGAAGACACGGCGATACTTTGGTCAATGAGATACAACAGGGCACAACGTTCGCAACACACGTTCCCTCCATTACCCCCTTTCCATACATTGGCATCTTGTTGCTGAGTGTCTCTTTGCTGCCACTGCAGCTGTGGGATCCTTTCTGTGGCAGCGGTGGCCTGCTGCTAGAGGCTGCTCTGCTGCTAAACGGCCTGCCACCTGCCCTGCCCGCCATCCCTTCTGCGGGCGACATCATCCCTGTGCTCTCTGCTTACCGTGGCGAGCAGCAGGCACAAGAGGACGCACAAGAGCAGCAGCGTCCTCCGTTGTCGCCACAGGGGAACGCTGGGAGTCTACCAGCAGATGCTTTTGCGCCGCTGCCTCGGGGTGCAAGCCATGGGGTTCCCAGGATCACTCTGGTGGGAACGGACGAGAGGCCCCTGTTGCTGCAGGCTGCGCGGCAGAGACTGCGCAACTTCTGTGGCTTTTTTTATGACGGCCAGATGCCAATGGATCTGGAGAGGCAGCAGCATGAGCTCGAACGCGAACTGCATCGAGAAAGGCAGCAGCACGAGCAAGAGCAGGAGCTGCCTCAGCAGGAGAGCAGCTCTCCCGGGTAAGGTTGCCTGCAGTGTGTCTAGTTAAAGCATGGGAAGAGGAGGCATAGTGGGGTATAATTGCAGAGCAAACTGTAAGGCGGCGAAGGGCCGATGAAAAAGATCGCGCTGCTGATGAAGCGGCAAGCAGCCTTCCCTTCGGTCGCTCTGGTGGCGTCAGTGAAAAGCAAAGGTGGAACAGGGGGAGAATTCCGAGATTGGACACGTGCAAGCAAGCCCAGTAGCAGAACGATCTGGCGTGCTTTGTAGCACACCCGAGGCACTTGTTTGTCTTTCTTCTTATGTGTCCTTTTGCAGGCCCCCCTTTGCCATGGGATTTCATGTGGCTTCTCCGTTCGATGTATCACCTTTCGTCTCGGGGGGCGTCATCCTCACAAGGGTACCTTGCCCCAGAGAAGCTAAGGTGAGTACCGCTGCAACAGCACCGCAGGTTCAACCGCAAAACGGACTGGCCAGCGCTACTTTCAGGTCCCGGTTGCTTTCTCACACACTGCACCGCCTTTCGAGCGAAGAGAGCTGCGTGCTCCTCCAGCAGCAGTGAGTTTTGGAGGGCTGTGCGCACTTTTGAATGCCTGTGCAGCGATTCCGATCCGCTCACGGAAAGGCCTTTGACTTTTACGAGAAGTTTGGCCACATGATTGCCTCGCGCGATGACTGGAGGGGCGTCTTTGTGATTGTAAAGGTGAGGCCTTTCTGTACACCTCAATTGCCTGGGAAGAAAGAACGAGCATCAACCAGGCTCCCCTCAGGCAGCCAACGCCTTTCCGCCTTCCGCTTTCTTAAGTCCATCGAGTTTTTGCGGCATCTGCTTTCGCTTCATGTCTTCCGCATCTCTGCATATGTGCTTGCTGACGGCGTGTGGCAGTCCGGAAGGAACGCCGACTCGTGTGTTCTCCTACACTCGCCATTCTACAAGCGTGCCCTTCTCTTTACTGCGTACATATATATATGTATATATCTGCCTTTACCAACTTGCTGTGCGTTGTTGAACCTTGTGAAGCCTTGCGAGTGGCTCTTTCTCCGTCTCTAGGAGTGTTTATCAACAGCCCCTGCTGCTGCCCTTTTTCTCTCTCTGTGCTTAGTTGTCTACGAAGGCACCCGCCCAAAACCGCCCCTTCTTCCCTCTTCCCCCTTTTCCGCCTGCTGATCTCCCTTCGCAGTGCGCTGATACACTGTCCCCTGCCTCTCCTCGTTTGTCTCTTTCTGCTAGGGCACCGCTTTTCTCCACTACTCTAGGCTGGAATGGGAGCCGATTCTCAGGTGGCGTGACGTGAGCGGCCGTCAGGTTTCCTTCTTAAGGTCAGTTTATTGGGGGACAAATTACATGGGAACAAGTTGAGGGTTTTTGTTTCATTCGAGGGTCGGAAAGGCATGCAGGAGTCCTGCACACAGCCGTGCTGTGGTGAGGGGGAACGCCTTATGGCGAACGCCCTCGGATTGCCTCGTAGCATACAAACAGAAGTCCTGTCGCTCCTGGATACCTCGCCTCGAGAATTTAACAGATGCGCTTGATGGCAGCACTATGGGCCCCAATAAAAGACTATGCGAAAAGCTGTGTAACGAAGGGCAGACCCATCAAACGCATGCCAACTAAAGTGTATCCTGAATTCCAAGGGCTTCGTGCGCTTTTGTGCTCCTGGGAGGGGCCCTTACTGATGATGACAGCAGTTTTTTGGATCAAAAGGTCAAGACCTATCATGTGTGCCACTGTGTGTCTATTTTTCCGATATGCGTGCGAAGGTGGACTGGCCGCAAGCACGCGCTACAGCGCACAGAAACATACCAGCAGCGACTCGCTGCCCTCGACGCAGCAGACCTGAAGACCTTGCCCTTCATGGACAGTTAGGCTGCAGCAACAGTGCCTGCAGCAGCAGCAGTGCCTTGCTTCTACACACAGCGAGGAGAAGGGCGTGTTCATGCCTATCATGGCAGCGGCTGCGCAGACAAATTGCGGTTGTCAGGCGATAAAAAAACGACCTTGCTTGTTACGTGTGGCCTGAGGGGTTGCCCGCAAAACCCCCGAGCGAGAACACTCTCCTCTGAGACTTAATCTCTGTAGGGGGATGTCACTGCTTGTCTTCTGGGACGGGCTCGTCCGAGTATATGGACAGTGCATGCACGCCCCCCCTTAGTTCCTGCTTTAGGACCTCGTAGATCAGGCGGTGCTGCTGCACGAGGCTTTTGCCCTTAAATTCCTCGCTTCTGATTTTTACGCTGCACACGCGGATGCCGAGATAGGGGAGCCTTTCAGCTCGCAGAACAAACGAGCCGCCAGCAGCCCTTCTTAGCGCTGCCTCAGACAGAGGGGCCTGGTGGTGGTGCATTAAAGCGAAAATAGCGAGTTAGTCCCTCTGCCCAGAAAACATGGAGTGAGGTCCTAGAGCTTCTGCCTCTACGCAACACCGTAAAGCTGTGGAGTTTTTAAGGTATGTGTTCGCTGGGGAGAGGGAGATTGATGGGAAGAACAGAGGCCTCACGTGAAGTGTGTCTCATCAAGATGGGGAAAGGGGTTACCCGCATGGCCTTTATGGGCCCCCGACTGCGCCGGAAGTCATACACGCGAGCAGCAGCATTACTGCACAAAGAGTATATACACCCTATTTTGAATCGTTCAGCTGCCTCGGTGAGTCCTGTAGCGGCAGCTGCAGCTTCTACCCCAGGCCCCCAGAGAGGTGAGTGTTGTGCAGCTTCGCTCACGCACCTCGTTGGTTACTTCTAGAAAAACTGGCGCCAGTCTCTCGCGCAGCTGCACGCACATACAGACGGCCCACTCGCTTTTGCACTCTCTGCTGCAAGTGGGGGGGCAGTATTATGCCGTTGAGCTCCAAAGCTTTATCTGGGGAGGCCGTGTCTCAGCTCGCTAAGCCGCTGCGGCTCTCGCAGTCAAAAAGGGAGGGGGGACCAACGCCCCTCTGCGCCCTGGCCCTCTCTTTTTGCCCGCTGCAAGGAATTCTTTGCTGCGTCTTTCTAAATCTGCATTTGCACTCCTTTCTGGGAACTTTCTTCATCTGTCGCGCGCGCTCGCCTACCTTCCGTTCCATGGCCGTCTGCACGGGCCCCTTGGTGGCTGCGAGGCGCATCATGGAGCGCAGCATTTTGCGTTGCCCGGTAGGGAGGCTCTGAGTTTCGATGAAGGAGGAGGAACGCGCTGTGGTCAAAGGGAGAGAAATCACCGCTCCTTGTTGGCTCCTCTGCAGCAACGGGTTGCAGTGCGGGTTGAGGACAAAGGCGTAGGGAGGAGGCCTCCTCGGGGCTGCAAAGGGGGCAAGGGCGGTCCAACAACTCAGAACTAGCGCGAAGAAATTCCACGAGCAAGGGAATGCCATTTAAGGGTGATGAAGACCGCGCTACCTCCTAGGGGGCTGCCGTAGGGTGGAAGTATATTTCGCCTATGGGGATTGCAGTTGGGGCAAGGCAACGCCACCTTGACAAAAGCAGGAACCAGAAATATTGCGTGTAGGCGCCACACGCTTAAGCGCGGAGCTTCACGCTAGAGAAAGGCGATGTCGGAATGGCGATTTGTCTTTGGTACGAGATCCCGCAACGGGGGCCCTTGGGAGCCGCGTGAAGACTGTCTACCCCGTCCCCCTCACAGGTAGGCTCACCTTGCATCAAGAGGCCCTAAGAAAGCAGCGCGAAAGAGAGCAGCCGCACACGGAAAAGGTGGGGAAGGCGGCAAGCCGTTGAAAACGCTGACTGTCGGAGCCTGTGGTCCGCTGCAGTCGAAAGCGTCCACGTCCCCCTGAGCAGGCGAAACTCGAGCCACGTTTCCGCCACGCCCAACAGACATGCAAGGAAGAGGACAGCAATAAAAGAAGGAAATACATACTTATGATATAAAACGAAGAAATAAATAGAGGCCGTGAGGACAACCGATCGTCGGCATCCTCTTGGGGCTGCCAAGCGCGGATGTCGCCCGTCTCAGCGATTTCTTAGGGCCGCGTCACCACCACAATACCGCAGCCATTCTTCAATCGTTAAGGAGCCTTTGCGATGAAGAAAGGCGCCTGCGCTAAGTCGTCGAGTGCCCGGTTCCGAAGCATGTGCATTGGTCGAACAGGCCCTCCCGGATAACCTCAATTGCAGCACAGCCCCCAATATACTCCCCACTTCTGTCAAGCGCCCTCCAGACTGTTACGATGCTCTACCGCTCTCTGCATTGCTTTCGCTCTCGCACGCTATTCCGCAAGCCGTCATAACCCCCTACTCCATCCAGCCTTCCTCTCGCCAGACAGCCGGCGCAGCTCCAAGGGCCCTCGCGACTTGAGGCACCAAATCGCTGATCAAGGGCATCGGCATGCCGTCCTTGGCTGCGTATAGGCCGTCCTAAAGCCTCATTGTAGCTTGCCTGCTCCTCTACGGGTTCCCAGCCTGTCACACGGCTACCCAGGTGCCCGTCTTTGTGTTTCCCCAACCACGTGAATCGCTTGCCGTCGATAGGCCTCCAGGCGGAGTGATCGCGAGAAAGGCGGAGGCGGGAGAATGTCAGAATCTCACTACTTTCAGCCCTCTAAACGGGGGGAGTTGCACGAACTCAAGGAGGAGCTACACTCTAGCAACAAGGATAAGAAGAAGGATGCAGTCAAGCGGGTGATTGCAGCAATGACCGTCGGAAAGGACGTCTCGTCCCTCTTCCCTGATGTTGTCAACTGCATGCAAACGAATAATATTGAGCTCAAGAAGCTCGTTTACTTGTATGTCATCAACTACGCCAAAGTGCAGCCCGAACTCGCAATTCTGGCCGTCAACACGTTTCGCAAAGACTCTCTGGACCCTAACCCTCTTATCAGGTTCGTCTCTGGCTACAAGCCGCACGGCGCATTTTTTCTAGACTCAAACACCTTCCTCTCTCCTCCCTTCCCTCTCTCTATCCTTCCCTTTCCCCCGTCCACTTGCCGTTCCCCCTACACACAGAGATGCCGCCTTCTGCCTCTGACTTTTTAAGCCTCGTGCAAACGGCAGGGGCGTTCACTTTGCGCGGGATGGCATGGGTTTTTGGGGAGGCGTGAGGTATACATGTGGGTTTGCCGCTATGTGGCGGCATCTTCGCTTCCTCCGTGTTTCTTGTCCTCGCGAATATACGCGTTTTTTCGTGGGGCCTGTGGCTGTCTTCTCGCGGCTTTCTGCAGGGCCTTAGCCCTTCGAACGATGGGTTACATTCGTCTGGAAGCGATCGCAGAGTACTTGGTGGAGCCTCTCCTTCGCTGCTGCACAGATCCAGATCCGTATGTCCGCAAGACTGCGGCCATATGCATTGCAAAGCTTCATGGTGAGCTGCTTACAAACCCACGACAGCAAGGCCCCCTGCTCCCTCCCCTCTCTCCCTTCCGCATATTGCGTTCTGGAAGGGGAATTGCGGGAAAGGGGAGGGAGGGAGGGGTGGAAAGCATGGGAGCCTTCTCTCCTTCCTCAACTCTGTCTGTCAAAGTGCATCCGTTTGGTCCTTATTCGGAGTCCTTACGATGTGTCTCGCCTGCCCAGCTGCTTCCGGTAAGCAGTGCGCCTCTCCTTCTGCCGCCTTTCTGTGCCTTTTCCTCTCCCTCCAGACATAAGGGCTGATATGGTGGAGGCTGAGCAGTTGCTCGATGTTCTGAAGAAGATGTTTGCCGACTCGAACCCGGTCGTAGTGGCCAACGCAGTTGCTGCTCTCTCAGAGATCTCCGACGCCTCGGGCAAGAACCTTCTTAAGCAGTTTTTTTGTACGTATATCGCCTACTCCCTGTCAGCGACTTCCAGAAACGTCCTCTGACAGAGCTGCACATGGGGGAAAGGGGAAAAAGCTAGAAGGGTGCTCTTTAGGGGCCTCTGGTAGGGCCCCTGCGTGTGTGAGGCCCTCATTAATCTGTTGTTTGGTAGCTTTAAGGACCAACGAGGGCTTGGTGTCTTGCGTCTGCTGCGCGGCGTGACACCCTCAGCTGAAGACGAGAGCTCTGTAACGAAGCTGCTGACTGCCCTGAATGAATGCACGGAGTGAGAAGCGTCTTGCTCACGTTTTTCCCCTCCTCGAGCATCCTAAAATGGGCAGTTTCTCTCCGCCTACCGGCGGGGGCGGCTCATTCGGCCTCTGTCTCCAGCGTGCAGCAGCCTGTCCTACTCGAGGGTTTGCAAGCCATAATTCGGGTTCGATTGGACGGGATATGCGACCCTTTATGATGCCTTTGTTCTCGCAGATGGGGTCAAGTGTTCATACTGGACGCCCTCATTCACTTTGATCCGCCATCGCCTCGTGCCGCGGAGTCGGTCATCGACAGAGTTACTCCAAGACTCTCGCACGCAAATGCCGCTGGTGTGTGCGTGTGTGTATGCGTAAACTATGCATATGTGTATTTGTATACATATATGTGTACATGTATACGTATAAATATGTCTCCTTGAGGGGTCATGAGGGGAGGAGGGAGGCTGCATACCGCTCGGGGTTGCCGTGCCCTTATTGCCCTGAGGAAAGGCGTTGATTCTGCGCGCAGTCGTGCTCTCCGCGGTAAAAGTAATTTTGAAGCTTCTGAATAGGTAGGCTTCTTTGGCTGCCTTCTCATCTCTCAAGCAAAAGGAGGTTTTTCGGCCGCCGCTGGAGCAACATGGGATTTTTTCCAGCGTATATCCGCCGTCTTTTCGAGTCCTCCCCTTCCCGCGTTTCCTTCATTTATGTGTTTTCTGTTTCGGTGTAGCTTCTTTCGCCACGACGCGCGCCAAAAGTCTGTCCTGTAGGCTGGCTCGCGCAATTCTGACCGACTGTTTCCTGTGCAGCATTTCAAATGCCGACGTAATTCAAGCAGCTCACCGCAAGCTGTGTCCTCCATTGATCACACTCTTATCAGCTGAGCCGGAGGTGCAGTACGTGGCCCTTAGAAACATCGAGCTTATCGTCAGACGCCGCCCGTCTATTCTTGCAAATGACGTGAAAGTGCGCTCAAACGTTTGGAACGGGAGGCTCTACCCCCGTCCCCCGATGAGGCCCTCAGCTCGGAGTACAGATAGCGGAAGGAGGGAAACTAGTAGTTTAAGGCTGAGGGTGGCTTCGTGCGAAAGGGCGAAAAAGCCCCTCCCCCTTATGCCGCCGAATCGGGTGTTTTTGTATGCTTGTCGGGATGCCTGTGCGTTTACTTTGTAGATGTTCTTTTGTAAATTCAACGATCCGCTATACATAAAAATCGAGAAACTGGATGTTATCGTTGGCCTTGCGAACGACCGGAATTTGGATGCAGTACGGAGGATTTCTCCTTCTGCGCCCCTAGGCCAGCCTTCTGTAGCTGCCCCTTCGCAGTCTTTCTCGCGCACAATGGCTGCTGCTCGGTGGCAACAAGCGGAGGCGTGACTCTCGCAGCACTAGCAGGAGAGGCCGAGCCATAGCTGGAAAGCCGATGACGATTCCTTGTCTCCCTCATAAGGTTCTGGACGTGTTGCGTTTGATTGCTGCACCTCTGCAGGTTCTCGCAGAGCTGCGCGAATACGCGAACGACGTGGATCACGAAATGGCAAGGCGCTCTATTCGCTGCATTGGCCGTCTATGCATGCGACTTCCCGGCGCCGTAGACCGCTGTATACAAGCTCTCCTCGATCTCCTCTCTCATAAAGCCGCATATGCAGTGCAGGAATGTGCTGTCGTGCTTAGGGATATTTGCCGGTAAATACCGGAGAGCAGCACGTTTTCACAGTTTGCGCGACCCCTACGGTGCTACTCGTATTTTTTTCACAAATGACTTCCCATCGCGCCAAATCGCTCGCTTCTTGGTGTATGTATGTAGATATACATATATGTATATAGATAATATATATATATGTATGTATGTAGATATGTACATATGTATGCATGTAGATATATATATATATGTATGTAGATATATGTATGTATGTAGACATGTACATACATATGTATGTATGTGTGCTCTAGGAAGTACACGCGGGATTATAGTTCGGTTGTGCCTGCCATTTGCGAGGTGGCGGACCTCATGGACGAGCCTGAAGCCAGGGCTTCGATTGTTTGGATAATCGGTAAGTAGCTGGCGACGCGTTTAGCAGTGGCGGATGGAAGAGTGTGTTTTTCTGGAAAGGATATGCGCAAGAGATGTGTCTACACGGGGATGCCCGAGCTGACGCGAACGGGGGCATCTCTGCCGTAGCGGTCCACCTTCGATTACGGCCTGACTGAGAGTTTCCTCCACATAGCGCTGCACCTGATGCATAGCGGCATGTGGCAGATCTGTGATAAGCACCACAGCAGGTGCAGCAAACCGTGCAGCAGCGGCTAGGCAAGTGACAGACTCAACAGCGCCATCAGCGAGGCTGAGGCTTCAGCGGAGGAACTAAAGCCTCCTGCCAGAGAAGCTCTAGAGGGCTATCTGTCTCCTCTCGTCTATGTGCATGGTTTCACACCAAAGCAACTTTTGTGAACCGACAGGAGCATCCATGCGCATGAGCCAAGGAGGGCAAACTTTGGTCTGCTCCATTGGAGTATGCCTGTATATGCATGTGCATGTATAAACACACACCTGCACTCTGTGGTGTGCCCTTGTATGGACGCAAACGGCGCTGTAGCTAGGCCGCAACACCAATGGCTTCCTTTTGCTCTATCCCGCTGCTCTGTTGTGGCTTTTAGGGCAGTACAGCCAACATCTGCCAGATGCCACGGAGCTCCTCTCGACCTTTGCCAGTTCGTTCCTCGAGGAGGTTGGGTCTGTGCAGCTGCAGATCCTTACGGCCGCTGTAAAGCTCTTCATGCTGCACCCTAAGCATAACCAACAACTAGTTATGCAGCTCCTAAAGACGGCGACGGAGGAAGCGGACAATCCCGACGTCCGCGATCGCGGTAAGCGAAGCAGTGGGATATGCATGCAAGGGGCCTTTTTCTGGCTAGCCTATCGGGGCTTCCCCCCACTTGGACTGCAGAGCGCCAAGCCTTTAATCTGCGATCTGAATTGGGGGGAGCAGGGTAGGGGGGTAGGAGGGCGGAAAGCAATGGCTACAGTTGCGTTAAATCCGTGTTGTTTTTACATTGCTGGTTCCCTTGAGTGGGGGTGTCACATGCGGTCGCCTTCTTCACGAAATCTCTCTTCCCCCTGCCTGTCTTCTCTCTGCAGCTCTTATATACTGGCGCATGCTCTCAAGAAATCCGGAGGCTGCTAGGAAGGTCGTGTTCGCTCCTAAGGGCGAAATGAGTGCTGGGGGAGACGACTTTGATGACCAGACCCTTACGGCGCTTCTGTGTGGGTAGTGTCTCTACTAGGGAGTTTTAGTGGGGAGGGGGTGGGGTTGGGGTCAGAGTGTCTGGAGGAGGGATACAGTCAGGCGCAATACAAGGCGTAACGGCCAAGAAACACACCCCTTCTCTCCCTCTTTTTTACCCTGTCCAGGAGGCTTGCTGTGCGCTATGCTGCAGCTGGTGCATGCACCAGCTGCAGCATAGCGCACTCTACGTGCGCAGCGTCTGCTCACGCATGCGTGCTGCTGCAGTCCTGTGCATGTGCATCAGCAAACATTTCGATGGTGGCTTCCGTATACCACAAGGTGCCCGAGACATTCGTAACGCGAGTCCGGCCAGCGGCAGCTATTCGCAGCACCTCCTCGAAGAGTCTCGGGGGGAGCGTCCTTCAGGCTCAAGGCTCGGAGGAAGAATCTGGAAGGCAGACCGTGGAGAGAGCAAGGCGCGCAATCGAGCAGCAAGAGCAGCAGCACAAGAACGATAGCTCAGCTCGCAGCAGCAGCAGCAGCAGCAGGAGCCGAAGCGACCACTCCAACTCTGACTCGTGAGCGGAAAACAGCCTCCTGGACTCCTCAGTTGGCCTTTTGGCCGTCTGCTTTTCCTGATCCATTCGGGGGGGCTTCAAAAACTGCATGCGCCTGTCAGCACTTCGCGACTGTCTGTGCTCTCTAACTGCTTGATTTGCGGGCATTGCATGTGCAGCAGCAGCGACAGTGGCCCAGTAGACTTGTTGGATTTGTCGGAATCCTCGTCGGCTTCAATGGGCGTCTCGGTGCGACCCTCGCCACTTTTGAATAAACGAAACTTTTTGCTCTATTTAGGCATAGAGGTGTCAACAGAACTGGTGGCCGTCTTCTATATTTCTCTCACTCCCTATCTCTCTCTCGCTCTATCTCCCTCTCTGTCTCTGCTGTCTGTCTATAATAGAGCTCTTTTGTGGCCAACCGGCAGACTGAACGTCCTTTTTTGTGGTTGTCGCTTGCTGGTGCGCCTCTTTGCAACAACAATAGAAATGCCCTGAGCCCCCTCCAGTGGTGCTAACGGCAGAGACACCCGGCTCACGGCAGCAGCGCGGCCTAGAGATTCGCGCGGCTTTACGCAAACCAGAAGGCGGTATGTTATTCCAATTTATGGGCTGTTTCAAAGAGGACGCCGCTATAGCGGGTCGTATACGTGTGTACACGTCAAATCCGTTTCGACTGACAAGCCCCAGCCTGAAGCAATTTATTGCGCAGTGTTGTAGGAGAAGCTTACTCTCCCTGTCTGTGTGTGTATGTAGGTGTGTATGGCAGTCGTTTCTTACTATCGCTACTGTGCATCCTTTTCTAGCTCAAATGCTGCTTTTTTCTGGTGTTTCCAGGCTCGTTGCAGCTGTATCTAAGGGCCACCAACCGGACTGGAGCTCCCCTTAGCGACTTTGCCCTTCAATTCAACAAAAATTCCTTCGGCTTGGCTCCTGGGGGGCCCCTTACCCTCCCAGTCCTTGCACCAGGAACGTCAGCAGACACGGTCCTCACCGTGTTGCCCAACCAGCTCAACTCCAACTCCCCTCCGACATCCCCACTCTTCATCCAGGTAGGCAAGCATGTCTTGCTATTCCCCTACCGTCCTTTCAACGCAGCATTCGCACAGCACGGGCAGCAACGGGCACACATGCTGAACTCACCTGACATGCATGCATGCATGCATGCACCGCGCGTGTGGGGTCGAGTTTACCATGGGGCGCACGGGAAGCTGCCGCTTGTGTGTCTTTCAGGTCAGCCTTTTGGCTCGCATCCCATCGCATCCTCTGCTATGTAGGTAGGAGGACGAGGCCCCATTGGAGTCTTTTTTAAATGCTTCGGCCGTTGAAATGCGTGTCTCAGGTAGCAGTGAAGTGCTCCTTGGACATCTTTTACTTCTCGGTATCGTACTCATTAGCCGAAGTTCTTGAGGAACGCGGGCCTATCCACAAGGAGCTCTTCCGCCAGCACTGGCAAGCGCTCGGCGAAGCTAAACAGGTGGGCTAGGCGCTTCGCTGAGCGTGAAAAGCACAAGTACTTGTGTATGCATATCAAATCTGCAGAGGCCTACGCATGTATCTACGCGTGCCCGTAACACCACTATGTAAACCTAGGGGCTAAGCGCACAATTTCTTATTAATTGTGCGTTGGGCTTACGCTCTATGGGAGTATCTGTGAGAATTTAGATACGCAGCAGTGTAAACGGTGAATCCGCATGCGTCGTCGACTGTCCGAAGCAGATGGTTTTTTGAGTGTTCGTTTCATATTGCTTGGCGAGCTAGCAGATGTGGGAGGCATATGCTGCCTATTTCGTCAATTCTCGTGCATAGAAAGGTTCTAATGGGCATCCTGCTGGCTGCGATGTATGTGTTTAGATACCAAAAAAAGTGTATGACGAGTGCTTGCATCCGTGCGTGCATGCATTGGCTATATTAATATCGAGATGGCTTAATGTACTGTTGCAACTTGTGAATATATGTACAAATATTTGTACATATGCACGCCTTTGTGGCGCTTGCATGCATGCCTGCGTCTGAAAGCTTTAGCAGTACCGCTTGCCCACAGGCCGTATAGGCCGCACAAACGTTAGAGATGGACACACATATGCATAGAGGGGCATGTGAGTGTTTTTTTTGATCGACAGGGCTCCACGACTCGCCAACTGGCAAAGCCTCTCAGCCCTCAGGATGCGACTTCCCTGTTGAAGCAGCAAAGAGTCTTCCTGGTCGCTCAGCGTGCCACAGACACCTACGTAAGGAGCTGCTCACCTCCTGCCCAGGCTGCCCTCACGTCTGCTGCATCTCCCTAGCCCCCTTTTGACCTTTACACAGATCTCAAGGTCCCAGGAAGGCGGTTGCAAACCTGTGCTTGAGGGCTCTGTGGCTTCGAATTCGGGTGAAGTGTGTGTGGTCCGACGGTTCGTGTTTGAGACCGCCGTTGAGCAGAAGGGAGAAGACAGAGGAGGCTAAATAACTTGTGGAGCTAACCCACAGGAAAGTGCGAATGCGCGTTGTGTGGCGGTTCTGCAGGATGCCATCTACTTTTCGGCTGTCACCACTAACAATCTGTTGGTGCTGTTAGAGTTATCGATGCAGAGAGGCAGCCCGATGACGAAGGTGGTTATTCGCACGGAAGTGGCTGCTCTGGTGAGCGTGTAGCGCCTTTGAGTCTGCTGATCCAGCAGACGCCGTTCGGGCTGTGGGCTAGCGCATGATTTTTCGCGTGTGTTGGAGTCCGACGTTAGGCAAATTCTGCGAGTTGGAGGGTGGCCTGCACACCTTTCTGACCGTTGGTGCATTCTGGTGCGCTACGTGTTGTTGCAGGTTCCCCTCTTTGAGCATCTCGTAGCGTCCACCTTAGGTCTTTTGGCTTGATTCCTCCTTGCCCGTTTTAGAGCGCCGCAGATGCTTTCACACGCGCACCACATTTACGTTTTCGGGGGGAGAGGCACACGAAGAAGTCCCGTTGGGTTGCAGTTTTTACAGAGCTTGAGTTTGTTCCTGAGTAGCTGGAGAGACACCAGAGCGCACAAGTTGGCTGGTCTCGATGCATACACACTGGGTTCTCTGCAGCACGCTTCGGGATAGGGAGGCTTAGAAGAGAACCTGCATGCGTAGCGAAGTGGTTTGAGGAGCTATACGCTTTTGCACGCCCATCAGGCAGTACCTGTTCTGTTGGACTTGTGTGGCACGGAGCCTCAACTCCGTCCTCACAACGTTGGTTTGCAGTGATTCTGGCAGCGTATTGCTTTCTCGTCTGGCTTTGGAATCAACAGCAACTCACGTTCCTTCAACAGGAATTGACGCCATTCTGCAACGAAGTATGCGATTCGTTCCGAGGAATGCGCCATGTAGCTGTAGAAAGCCTTCGACGAGGGATGCAACGGAGGAGACTAGGGCAGGGATGAAAGGGGCCGAACCTTGACTACCGGCGCACTTAGACGGTCCCACATAGTCGGAAGAACGCAGAGGAAGCAGGAAAGGCATGTGCAAAAGTTGACACGAGACAAAGAGGAGGACGAAATCGACTCAAACACAGCAATCGTTACGATACACAGGATGATACTCTAACAGTGCAGATAGGTTACGGCAAACACCAGACCAGACGCACGATGAGATCTGGAGTCCTCTGTGACTCGTTTCTCGGAGAAAACTGTAATTGCAAGATACCTTTCAGGGGTGGTTCTTGCTTGATTAGAACGGCAAGGTGGCGCCAAGCTGCGTGCCGTGGAAGCTGCACGAGGCTGGGCCTTATTAAACATGGCTTGGGGTTTGTCAAGCGCAAACATAAAACAAGGCTTTCGGTCGCGGAAAAACTCCGACTTTTTTTAACGCAGGGATCCTGCAGTAGCTATACCATGGAACGTTTTCTTCGGCGGAACAGTGCACTCATGAACACCATCCACACAAAATGCACTCGGGTCTACCTGAACATGACCCTGCTGAACGGAGGACGCCCACAAGGTGCTGCAGACAGAAGTGCTTCCGCGGGTGCGTGAGTAGCTGACTCTGGTGGCATGCGTTAAAATTTTTTCCAGGTACATGAGGGGGCCTGCTGTGCATTCTGTGCGCGGGAGGCCTTAAGCTAGTGGGAACCACAGGCCTCGAGCGACTTGGTGGAATATGTTTTCCGCTGCGCGTAAGTTTGGGCATCATGGCGAGGCTGCCGGCGTCCGCCTGATGGCATGGGGTTCTGGCAGTCGCCGAATCGCGCTTGCACACTCGAAAGGTCCTCTTGGTTGGGCTAACGCATTGGTCCACAAAAGGTTATAAAAGAGCTTTAACTACCGTCTGCGTCTGCAAAACTAGTTGGCGCGAGAATGCCACCCATTAGGACTGCAACTGCATACAACAGAGATGGGGATATCAGGGTAAGTGTTTAGAATTGAGAGGGACAATCAGCCCTGTCTCGGCTAGACGTTATCGCTAGAGGTACTGCAAACAACTACGCAAAAGCAGTCATCTTGCAAGGAACTAGAAATGTCTAGAGCGTTCCTATGAAGCCTTCTTTTCGTGCTTTCAAAGGGCCAACACATTAAAAATCGCCTTCAGAAGCCCAGAGTGCCACTGCCGAGCTAACCCAGAACCGCCTCTACATTCCGTGAATCTAGGCGATCCAACCACAATGACTGAGCTTTCCAGAGCTGTGAAGCACAATTAGCCAGCTTGCCATGGCAGCAGACAAAGTGCAGCTTTCATGTGTAAAAGCCCATCTATGCTGTCCTCGGAGGCTTGTGTCAGTGACCTTTCTCAGTCGCACATGTTCTGGCATTCGCATGCAGTGCCGATTACACTGAGGCCCGTGCGTGCTTCAACCTTGGTGCCGCAACTGCCTGCTACGTTGGGTGCTGCATATATCCTTTTCCCTTGCCCCACCAGTAGCACGAAGCGGCAATCGCTCAACAGCACTCTAGTGCAATTCCCGTTGCAGCGCACTAAGCTCGTGTGTTGCTAGGCCCTCCCTTTGTGGGCATAGAGGAGTCTGGGGCGTCTCCGATGTTGGCAATGTCGTCCATCACGCAGAACGGGCAGTGTCGCAGCTGCTCATGGCTAAAAATGTCGCATTCCCTGCAGCACGCACCCCACAATGTCCTTATACCCTACACCACGTGTGCCTCTCCTGCCTGCGCTTTCCTATGTCTGGCAAGCGTAACTCGGCGCACTGTACCTGCAAAAGACGTTCCTACAGTCAGGACATCGCGATGCTGCACCGCAGCACACCCATCGAATACGACTGGAAAACTGCGTGTACACACAGAGCCCCCAAGGAGAGCACCCCTGGTAAAATTCAGCGTGCAAGACGCCCCATGGGCGCGAGGCGTGCAGACTATAGCCCGGCGTTGTCGGCCACCTGGACCTTAAGAAGATTACGAAGAAGCATGACCGACTCGGCAGCGTGTGACAGACCTCTTTCAAGGAGTTGGTGGCAGCAACAGCACTTGGCTCCCTCGGCGATCGCCTTTACCTGCGGCCGCACGCAATGGGAAGGCAGCAGCTGGCGCGGGCGTGCAGTTCCACTGCCGTCTGCTTTTAATAAGCAGCACCTGCCACCCCCCAGGCCCGCAGAAGTCGCGGTTGCAGGGGTGTTGTTGCTGAAGAAGCGGCAAAAGAGGGACGAAGGCTGGAAAGGAAACCCCTTACAGGCTCGAAGGCTTCCGGAAGGCAGAGGCTGTGGAAGGAGCGGGAGACGTCCGCGGGGGACAGGAGATGCAAGGAGCAGCACTGGGAGACGCAGAAGGATCCACAGAAGGTGCAAAGGACAGCTTTGACGTTGCCGATCCCAAAGGCGCCGCAAAGCAACAAGCGCAGCACAGCGGCTAGCAGGCACCCCACGCCAACACTGCCCTTCGACCCTTCCCTACAGACCGAGACAGAGTGCGTAGAGCGTCGCGTCTAGGAGCGACAGCCCAAGGCATTCGACCTACCAAACAGCTGCAAGGCACATCGCAAAGCTTGGCGCTGCAGAGGGGGCACGTGTATGTCCGAAAGCGAGGCAGGCTGTGGCAGCTGCACAAGGCAGCAGTGGAAGATTCCTTGAACGATGGAAACCCTACGCGAATCAAACAAGGCTGCAGGCCTTCCAGCCTGCGGAGCCGCAAGAGAAACCACACCGCCGCAACGGTTTCTTCCCTCACAGCAAAGTCTCTGCGTTCTGCAACACAAGGAGGGCATCCCACACTACACGCCTTATCCAGCACGGAGCGCTCCCGCAGGGCAGCATCCGTCTGCCGAAGTCGTCATCGCCATTGTGAATGGCAAAACAAAGGGCAGAGCTTTAGGCGACGTGTGAAGAGGAGTCCCACCATGCAGGAGGTTGCGTGTGCTGCATCAGCAGTGAACGCAGGTGGTCTCTATGAAGCGCCACCCCGAAACTGCCATCCGTTTGAGTGGCCAGAGCCTGAGCCGCGCACATACCGGAGACTCGGCGGCATCCTCATGCGAAGAACTCCCCACCCCCTTTCCCTGCCAAATGGAAGCCTAACCTGCCCATTTAGCCTCACGAACCCTTAAACCCTCTCCAACGTTCGCACGGATACACGGCTTAAGGGGAGGAACCGCAAGGACCTTCCGGATAAAATTAAACACTGCGCATCCATTACCGCATTTCCTCTCGTTGATCTACCCCTCCGGCACGCTCGCGTCCAAGCTAGCGGCGTTCATCAACCTCAAAAGACGCCTTGAAGACCCTAAGAAAAGTGCACCCTCAACCCAACCCCTTGGCCCCTCTCCAGAGCAGCCCTCGCTCACCTTGACTATGTGGACCTCCGGGGAGAGACTAACGATGGAGCAGCGTGCTCGCATCTTTTTAAGCTCTTCAATGGATTCTTCAATGCTTCTGGAACGCACAGAACAAGGAGGTCGGCCCCTCAGGCAGAAGTTGGTCCGGGGAGCTGCTACGAAGACTTCATCAGCCGCTGCCAGGGACCTGTCCCCACAGGGGAGCGGGGGTGTTGGTTTCGACAAAATTATTTCGCTCCGCAGAAAGCAGAGAGGCCCAAAGTATCAGCTGCCGCTAACGTGGCCGCCCTTCCGTGCACCCTCGTGTTGCTCGGCTAGCTCGCTAGGTGATTCACTCCGTGCAGGTGCGATGAAAGAAAAACGAGGGGGGACGAAGGGGGGAGAATCGCGAAGGGAAGAGCTCCCTAGCTCGGGAGAACAGCCGAAAAGACGAGAAAGGTCAAGCTTAGAGGCTGGAACGCACCCCACATCACACGTGCGAATGGATCCATACAGCACCAGAACCTCACGTGTACAGTAGGGAGGGACAGCTCCTAGGAGGGCACGAGCCCTCTGCAGCCAAACACACACATACCACAAAGCAGGGAGAGCAGAGTCACCCTGTACGTGAATTCGGCAAGGGCCGAAGGCGAGAGGACGCGGAAGACTGCGCATTTTCACAGGTTCCCATGGGTCACACAATCCAGCGTCATCCATCCGCGAAACTGGCGCCACGCTTGCAGCCGCACGCCAATAAGACCCTACATCTAGGCCGTTCTTGAGGGACGGCGCGTGGGCAGTGGGGAAGTTCCTGCGGCGTCTGCGAGCCACCAACGCCGTCACCAGCTCCTCCACGTTGCTGCTGAAGTAGCTGGACGTCCCTATCGTCAAAGAGCTTGCTCCGGGAGTCGAACTGGGAGCTCCCAGAGCTGCAGGAGAGGCTTCCGCGGCAACAGCGGCAGCTGCTGGGCAAAGGACCTCTGCTGCGGCATCCGCCATGAACACCAGCGCTATTTGAGCCAGAGGATTCTGGAGAAGAAATGACTCAAGGAAATCCTAAGGAGCAAACGCACCCAAAAAAAGCGGGAACCCCAAGCTTCGAAGTCACGCAGCGGCCTCAGTCTTGGGACTGCCTCGCTGTAACGTAAAGCTACGCAAAACAGCGCGCTTTTATTGCGAGCAATGCCTGCACTGCTATGCATAAGGACTGCAGGGCAGAGTACCGCGAGGGCTCCAAAGACAGCGCAAACACAAACATTACCTCTAGCAACTGCGTAGCGCAGGTCAGGCGGTCCGGCTTGAAGTCCGTCTCCCGCATGGCATCAGTTGCGTCTATGAGAATTACTAAACTCCTGAAGCGCCCCTCAAACAGCACCGTGTACTCCTGAGCGTGATGCGTCCAGCTAGCCACACTCCTCAGGGCCGTTCACGAGCAGCCCACCACACAGACCCCACCTCGTAGCTGTGGCACACCCAGCCAAGAGAGTTACCCCGCGTTCCCGTGTGCTCCTCCATGTGTCATGTTCCGTCCGTCCCCACCCCTCACTCCACCACCACGGCCAGGGCTTTGTCGCTAAAAACCAAAAAGCCCTCCCTCTTTCGCCCTTAGTGGGCAAGAGATATCCACGCAAAAGGCGTCTCAGCTTTGCACAAAATTGCACACTGAGTGGTCAGTCCTTGGAGCGCATCAGTGCACCCGGACTGCTGCACATGCGCTTCTGCTCTCAATAAGCAGAGGCTGCTGCGCCGCCTATAAAGGCGAATACATGCACGAGGGCTGGAAAGCTACTGAACTTGCCTGAGAAGAGCCCGCTTGATGTGGGAGTCTCTCGGGGGTCCTTGCCGGTCCTCCACGCCGCTCTCTTCTCCCCCCACAAGTCGCAGCTGCCCTTCAGCCTCAACCACGCATTCCCATGACCTGCAGCAAACAGTGTGCGCGCCTTGCACAGCCTCCCGGATGCACCAAACCGGACCGCCTCCCCTGTCTGTCATAGGCGCACAGTGCATGCTGGTGGCATGGCCGAGCGTGCCGCTACAGCTGGTAAAAGCTAAGCCCTGCCTTATCTTGAAGTTCTGCACGAAAAACGCCTCCGAACGATATGCAACAGGGAAAAGGGCAAGGAAAGTGAAGCGGGCCCAGAGAAGTGAGGCGCCTCCATGAGCAGGCACACCTTTCAACTTCCCTTTCCCAGGCGTACTGCCCGTAGATATCCTGCTCGAGAGCAGTTGCGCTCGCTGTCGCGTTGCCTTCCAGGCCCTGAAGGACTTCGTCCACTGACGGGTAATCCGCCTGCAGGCATCGCAGCACGCGCAGCAGACAGGCCGAACTAGCAAACCGTCCACGTCCACTTAGTAGCTTTGTAAAGCCCCTGTGCGTGAAAGATCGAAGGCAGTAGAAGCACGAGAGAGAGAGAGAGAGAAAAAAAAAAAAGACTCTCACAGGGCTGCACCCGACAACCGCACCATGAGCAACTTGGAAAGGGATCTGAAGACAGGCTGCTCCAGAGCAACACTGACAGCCAGAAGAACTAAATGGTCACTTTGTGATCTTCGGATCAAAACTAATGGCGCTGAGGCGCTACCGAGGCCCTTGACACCCTCGGTGCCTTTCCCTCCCCCCTCCCCCTTCTCCAAAAAAGGAGTCGCTGCAGGAAGGCCGCTCGAGGCCGTACCGGATTCCTCTGCTTCATGGTCTTTGTGCCATAAAAGGGCAGTCAAGGGTGTGCCAAAGCGTCCCAATGCATCCACTCGAGAAGAAGTAGGGGGGCGCTGCCGGTATCCCTTAAGTCCTGACCCGCCCCGAGCCTCCCTAAAGAGGTTTTGGAGAGAGAACGGCCCACGAAGGCGGCGCTCCAAGAAGCACCAGTGCGGGAGGCTTCTGCATGCAGCCCGGCCGATCGTCCGAGTCGCTGGGCACTCACGAATACGCCACCACAACGCCCACCGTCACCACCACCTCCAAGTTACGCATCCATCTCCGATTCAACAGCAGCCACGCCTACAGCCCCAGCGATGCGGGGTTCGGCATCAGCTTCTAACTGCGCAGACACCAAGAAGCCATACGATCAAGAAAGAGCGGAACCGCTCCACAGCTGCTCGCGGGCATGCGCGGTGTCTGTGGCGCGGGATTCCGGGGAAACCAGATCATCGACTCCTAGCCACACGAATTGCATGTAGCATCCTGTATAGGACATTTAGGGGAAGGAAGAGCATGAGTGCCGCTGATAACCGTGTGGGTACCCGCGAGGGGCCCCCAGGGACCCTCCCTACCCGTTCGCTCACAGGACAGGCAAGCAACCACCTGCAAGACTAACTGCTGCCTTCTCAGTGTCTAAACAATTTGCAGCCATTGATTCCTCTTAAAGATACGGCTGTGCAGAAACGGAAGAGGACGACAATCTTCACGTGGATGCGTTCCCCTTGTTGCCAAACGCGTGGCTACAGTGCAGAGGCATCGACGTGCCTCCGGGCCGCAATAAATTTATTCCGAGTACTGACAACACAACTCCTGCACAAATCTGATGAAGAATGCACCAACGCGTATATACACGAACAACCAAGCCAAGAAAGCTGGGAGAAAAGTGGACGGACCGGGGATTGATCCCGGGACCTCCTGAATGCAAATCAGGCGTGATACCACTACACCATCCGCCCTGCGAGCCCCACTGACTTTTCTTTTGATGGTGGCTATAGGCTTATTTCAGGCAGTGTACGTGGCTCAGCTTGGCGTTGCCGACTCAACTATCCCCGGCTCCCTCATCCTCTGATTGTTGGTTGTGCAGCTGAAACACTAGGGGTTCCAGTACGGGGGCATCTTCGTGTGTTTGCACGTCTAAGCAGTCACGAGAGTGGAACCACCGAGGGAGGCAGATGAACTGGAAACGCGGCCACTAGGCCTACTGAAGGGAAACGATACAAATTATGCCGTCCCGCCGCACCCTCCTGAGCACGACTACGAGGATACCCCTTTTCATGAAGGAAAATGTTAGGCTTCATGTGTCGAATGCATTCTACTCCTATTCCTTTAACTGTAACTGCACCGGCAGTCTACTCCTGTACAAGCTTACTTTTTACTATACGCTTTTTAAGGGCTCCCCAGGTGCACATGCCGGTGCTTGAGATGGCTAGGCTGTCTCTCCTTCGATTGGCTGCCTGTCCTAAAAACTATCTTGCCCTGCTGTATCCATAAGAAAGCTAGGACACTGTTTTCTTTGAGGAGCCATGCAGTAGGGAGCCCTGTAGCACTCCATCTCTACTGCCTGTAGGAAGACACTTAGCCCGCCACGCAATACAAGCTCCACTGAAAATTATTTTCCAAGAGAGCTCCTTCTAGCGCTTCCATGTCGTCATCAATCAGGCTTTGGTCATGGATGGATAAATACATATAGGGTGAGCATCGCTGCACCCGCTAATTCCCCGGCATTCAAGACGTGTTGTGCAAAGCCTCCAGCGCAAACGAACACACCATATTGACCTAATGCTACTCTGAAATAGGAAAATATTCGAGTAGCTAAACCAAGTAGCCAGTTTTCTACTATTTCCTAATGAAATATAGCTTCTGTACAACCAAGTGCCAGAGTGGGCTTGTCTCGCTAAGGGCCCCCGCTACCAGCACTACTAGGGGCAAGATGCACCTCGCGTGAACATGAGCCTTCTCACGAAACTCAGAGGGAAAGACTGAGGATTAACTTCACAGTGCTGAAGAATCGTGGGAGGCTGCGTAATGAAGGAAGTCCTCAGGAACCTTCAAACCCATGCACACTTAGGGGCTCTTCACAAGTTAAGGAAGGCTTTCCCCCCTTGTTCACTACTCTGGAGCAGAGCCTTACGAATCTGCTTTGGTAGTATCCAGCTCAACTATCAGCAGGTCCCCGACGTGCAGTAGGGGTACAGAATCTCTTTCTCCTCTGAGGCTGCAAAGTTAAACAAGATGACTCAGCGTAACAGGAGTACGAGTAATACTAAGGTTCAACCTTTACTGCTCTTAGATGAAATCACAGGCAGAGTCTATTCGTGAGGAGCGGCAGATGAGTTACGCTCTCTGTCTCCGCCCAATCCTTTGAATAATTCAAATGCTATTCCCACGTGAATCCCCTTATTTCCCAAGCATTCAGCCATGCCTCATCCTCTCCTGTAGTCCAAATGGGTAGAGTGTATCAAGTTGCTTGTATAACAGTTCTTGGACACAGGCTTTGGGCACCATGCTGTTGTGGGCCTTTGCCCTTTGTGCATGCTGGCTGCGCACTCTGTACGTCTTCACGAAGGCGTTTTCGTAGACAAAGAGATTACGATATTTGGTAGGACAAAAGGAAATACATTCGGGTTTCGTTAATGAGCCATGTGGTTGAGTGAACCTTAATCTACTAGTGGCAATATGTGGGGAAGGCAGCGATTGCTTTAGATCCTTGATGCGTTTACTCATCATTACGTTGTTGCTAGCTTGCTGGTAAAGTGGGTCTAGGGTTTATAGCCTGCAATTGACCACTTGTTTTTACAAAAACCTTTCGCCTTTTCTATATTCTCTAAGCATCGCTACTATTGTCTGCTTCCATTGCGTGCCAAGTAGTGTTCTTAAGAGTAGCGGCGAGCACACAAGCTGTCAGCAAGTGTACACCTTGAGAGTCTCAATAGCTTGAATTTCTTTTACTGGGCCATACTCATTATTCGCTCTGCAGCCGTCGGCACTCCATATCGCCTCGTGCGATGTGCGATCAAGGTCATTCGCAAGTGGATCTACGATATCTTTAAAAATATCGACAACTGGCTGCTACACTTCATCCAACGGCCTCTTGTCTTAGACCTGCATCATTTCAGTTCCTCGGAGTGGCGTTATACTAAGCCCTCTGTACAGTGCAGCCGACAGTGTGTGACCCTACAGCAGCCAGCGCATCGTACGTGGCTCTAACTGCTGCATTAACGTGATTGTTTGTGCATAATCTGCAATATAATAGCTGCTCAAGCACAGCACGAGGGAACGGGATCGCTAACAAACTGATACATCCCAGCAGCCAGCGGCCGGTCCTCCTCGGCAGTGTAATAGTATGACAGTACCCTGCAAACGCTTGTGGTGTGTATCAATGCAATATCTACCTTCCCCGCTAAAGAAGCTTGTATTATATTACATCTTCATCGGTGGTATACGTGCGCCTCAGCTGCCCACACATTCCGTCCAGGGCCCGCCAGCCCAACCAAGGGGGCCCCAGCAACGCCGAGAGGCATTAGGGTTTATGGACCCGACACTTCATATCTTCATGATTTAAATTTGTTATGTCTTTCCTTGTGTCCTACAGCGGCTCTTCTGTGGGCTCCACAGGGGCAGTATCCGCCCGGCAATTTCTGCAGAGCAACAGCAGCAGCGGATACATATTTCATCCATACGTTTCAGGAGGGCCTTTTCTATTTGGGCTGGCGGGAGTGGGCTATCTTGGAGTAGACCATCTGAAGCGCATGTCATTGTATCTAGGCAGCTGAGTGGCATCACGAAACTTGACTTATTCAGCGGTGTCCCATAGGGACTGTTTCTCCTTGTGTCGATCGCTGCTGCTCTTTGTGAAAGACCATGCTCGACTACTGCTGCTGCTTCACGCGTGGGGGAGTCCTTTTATGGAATTTTTGCTTCGCCAAAGTGCCAATTTCCCCCATAAATCAGCTCATAGAAAATGTACTCCTCGAGGTATGTGTATTTCTGTTGGACTCGAGAACGCTTTCTTCCTCACTCTTTTGTCAATCCTTCTACTGCATTCTCCCCCTGGACCAGCGTAGCTTCTCTACCTGTAGAAAGGGTCCCACTAAGCGCCAACAAAATGCCACGCATTGCTTTATGGCGGAAGTTGCAGACTACGGTGTTGAAGTGACAGTCTGCAAATTGATCAGACTCCTGCTGCCTTCAGTTTTCCTATATCGGATACGGAAATTTTGTGCTAGGTCTGATCGTTTTGCGTATTCCGCTGTGGGTTATCGGTGCGTAGTCTTTGCTATAATGGCATCTTCTTTGTTCCGTTTTTGTGGCCTTGTTGACAGGAGCGGGTAGGGAGCACCTGTGCAAGCATTGGCGGCTACTGCTTCCAGTGGTTTTGCGTGAATTCCTTACAACTCATATTTGTCGCCGCCTATCGCGGCGTCCGGACTCTCGCGGTTGTAGACCAGCTGCTGCAACAAACTGCGCAAGCATTTGAGCAACGCCTCAAGGGCATCAACAACTGTGGGTCGTCAGACTGGGTATTCAGGCCTTAGGCCGGCGGCGTAGAACTTAAATGTTCGAGGCGCGAGAATTCAGAGGTCAAGCGTGTAGCCAGTTTGGCTTTTTGTGTGGCACAGTGCTGGACTACCCCCTGCATGTAGGGGAGGGCCCTGACCCCTTCGATGATACCTTCTTGCGCATCCTGACAAGGGTTCAGCAGAAAGGACAGGAGGCTCCCCCAGCACGGCAACAGCAACAGCAAGAGGTCGCTAGAGAGGCGAAATACGCTAAGAGGGTCAAGGAGAAAGATGTCCCACAGAGTACCTCACGTCCATCCCTATAGACCGTCTTACTGTTACCCCCACCTATCTAGAAGGCTGCTCGCGCGACAGTGCCACACCTATTCAGAAGAAGAGCTCTTCAAAGAGCCGTCCTCTTGAAGTGGGATGTTGGGAAGGGCCGCATAGGCGCGTGTGTATTTGCGATGCCTATATCTTTGTCGCAGACAACAAGGGCACAGACATTCGCTATTGGGCTGGCGACAACAAAATCACCCGCAAAAGCATGGAGGCCCTAGATTACAGGTATTGAGGCTATACGCAGTCCAATGCGGAAGCCTATACATCTGGTTGCCTCTCTGTGCCCTCTGTTCGGTTTTTTCTTGATGCATCATACGTCTGAGAGGGCCAGAATCTTTGTGGACGCCAAGGAGATGGATCCTTGATGCTGCAGCCACTGCTGTGGCTGTCCCTTCGGGTGCTCAGTCTCAGGAAGAGAGCCAGCGGTACTGAGGAGGTTCACATGACTGAGCGGAGGACCTACGGTATGTGCCATCTAGCTGTTAGGCATGGCATGTGCGCAGTCGATGCCAGGGAGGTGTGAGCACGCAGTCTAGCGCGCCTGCAGGGAGGCAGGTGTGCATGCTTTTATGTGGGGTGGCTCTTTCGGTGCACAGGTGCTGACTCGGACTATGCATCATCATCTGAGGACGAGGTGCAACAAGATGGTGCCAATGAGAGCGGATGGTTCTCCTTTTTCCCCAAGGCCCTGCAGAACTTCACGGGTTCGTAGGGACCTCTGAGAAGCCACAAACTGGTTTTGGAGTGCTGCTGTTTCGGAATTTTTCGCCACGAACTGAGCGTTGTTGTCGGTTCTTTTCGAACTAAAAAGCGGCAGCAGTCCCCCCCGTGGGGCCCCCCCCGAGACAGATCTTTGACGGCCCTTTTTTACGAGAACGTGCCCCTCTATGCTGTGCCCCTGCCCACAGGGAACAAGTTGCTAACTGAGAAGGACATCGAGGATGTCTTGCCTTTTTTTCGTCAGCATTTCTCATGTAGGGGCTCAGCACCATGCGCTGCCTGCCTGCGAACACGTGTGCTTTAAGTTTTTCTCCCACGTTTCTCTGGCACTGCCGTTTCTTCTGCTAAGTGGTTTAGTCCTGCACCCGTGATAGCTGTGTGCGTTTCTCTGCAGCAAAGAATGTCGCTGAAGAAGTTATTGATTTGCTTTTAGCGAGTGTCCGGAGGAACCTCTTGGGGACGCGCACCGCCACCCTAACGTCTGTACACCAGACGGTTAAAACTGCAATGCGCGAGTCCATTGCCAAGCTGCTGACCCCTAAAAGGTAAGAGCTCGTGATGCACTGGGGTACTTCGCAGAGCTTGCGGAGGCTGATATGCTGCTGCAGCAGCAACGCTTGCAGAGAAGCTTCAACGTCCCAGTAAAGTCAAACTGCACCTCCTTAGTGTTGAGGGAACCAAATTAAATAGTAGTCGCAGGACTGCTCAGCAAACGCCGTCTCACCAAGAGAAGCTTAGGCCTTCTTAAAGACATAGGGTGCTAATGACGGCAGTTGCCAGTCTGGCTGGAGGCTCACGCAGTGCTCAACAGTGGTGGTGACAAGCAGCAGCATCCCGCGCCATGTGTTACTGTCTTCAGGTCTGTGGATGTTTTGCGCCTCTGTCTTCAAGCCCGCGCCGAGGGCCGGGTGTTTTCTATTGTTTTTTTGGGGATAAATGGCGTAGGAAAGTCCACAAACCTTGCCAAGGTCGCCTACCATCTTAAGCACGTACGTGTTGCGAGAGGCGCGTCTCCCCACTAGAACCTCCACGCGCCTCTGATTTTTGCTTCTGAGAGTTATTGAGCGAGACCTACTGACCTGAGGGGGGATAGGTACAGTAAGAGATAATGCATACGCCTGACACTCAAGCACATACGGCGAGGGTATCACGGAGAAAAGGCAAATGTTTCTTACACCTAGCGTTGTTCATGTGAGTTCTCAGAAGGGCGGCCTGAAGGTCCTCATTGCCGCGTGCGATACTTTCAGAGCCGGTGCAGTGGAGCAGCTGCGGACGCATGCAAGGTCTGAACTCGGGGCTGGTTCGGCAAGATGCGGGAAAGCGCTACATATTCGTTGTCTCTCTCCTGTTGCTGGGCGCCCCGTCGCGCTGTGCTGCCTCCTTTCAGGTTATCGACAAACGGGAAGACGTCAACCGGCAGGTGTCTGATGTGATTGCTTTCAGGTGTCTGGACGTTCCGCTGTTCGAGCGCGGGTATGGAAAAGACGCGGCGGCCATCTGCAGGGAAGCGATGGCCCATGCGCAACAAACTCGAGCGGACGTCGTCCTTGTTGACACTGCGGGTCGCATGCAGGTACTGGGCTCACCTCAAGCTAGCAGGCAGCATGCGCTTTTAGCCGCGCTATACAGCCCCGCGGCGCTGGGGGGGAGGCATGGACGTGGGGAGGAAGGGAGGGAGGGCGTTTTAAGATGTCTTATGCGCTTTTGAGCTGCTGAGTTACTGTATCGGCTAAAGAAGCGGAGGTTGCTGCGTGCTGAGTTGCACGGTGCATCACCCCATTTGCGCGTATATACGCCAGCCAGCCATTGGCGACTAGGGAGCAAGCGCATTTAAAGGGCGCCTCGGTTTGTGCCACTGCAGGACAACGAGCCCCTCATGAGGGCCCTGGGAAAGCTCGTCCAGATTAATAACCCGGATCTCATCCTATTTGTTGGGGAGGCCCTTGTGGGAAATGACGCGGTCGACCAGTTGAAGAAATTTAATCAGGCACTTGTAGACACAACTGGCCACGTGAGCTCTTTCGTCCCTCTCCTCTATTTCCTTAACGCCAACACCTGCTTTTGTCTGCCTCTGCAGTTGTACACCTGTTAGCAGTATGCAGCGGCTACTGCCACATCGATTTGCTCTTGATTTCCGAAACTGCTGTACAACCGTGTGCAGGGCCCCAACCCACGCCTTATCGATGGAATTTTACTGACCAAGTTTGACACTGTGGATGACAAGGCAGGCAGAGTCCTAGAAAGCGTCTGGCTCGCTTCTCTGTCCCCCCTCGCATTAACCAGTGCTTGATAGCTGTCAGCCCTTGCATTCGCGACGGAAAAGCCACTCATGCACACTGAAAATCTGCACATTTCGCGCACCCGTTGTGAATTCAGGTTGGAGCCGCACTGAGCATGACCTACATTACGGGTCAGCCAGTAGTCTTTGTCGGTACGGGACAGAAGTACCAAAACCTCAAAAAGCTTAGCGTGAGTCTCCTCACCCGCCTTGCTATCTTTTCGAGTCAAAATAGCCTATGCAGCACCGATAGTAAATGTTTCTACAAGAGTCCAGGGGGCACACCGATTGGAGCGGCGCTGTCTGCCTAGGTATAGATTTTCGGCAATTATATAGAAGCTTATCGAACCCTGGATATTTTTTAAAGCCAAAGTGGCTTGATGTTGTACGTGTGTATGTCTCTGGCTTTTGGCGCAGCCCGACGTGGTCGTGAATGCTCTTCTTTCGTAAATACCATTTTCATTGCAACTCCATGGCCGGCGGATGTCCTGGTGTAGCACAAGATTTCTGACATCGTTTTAAAAGTGTATGATCATTTCTTTAGGAATTCGGAGGGCAAAGGAGAGTCAAAAACTTTGTATGGCACTGCATCCAGAAGGTGCTCGGGGTTTCGGCTGTTTGGCTGATGACGTACTTTGTAGGACCACTGCAAGTGTGGTGGTTATTCACACTTGTGCTGCATGGTGGAAGCTCTGCTAATCCACACTGAAACGAAGAAGTATAAGTTTGCGGCTAGGTACACGCTTAATGCAGCTCTATATACGTAGTGTGTCAGGCTTTTCATGCCCCAAACCAGCTACAAGAAACATGTAATGGGGCGGGCCACGTGCTATAACAGTCGGCCGTAGAGAGAATACGCCCCTCATACCATAACCTGCTGCTAAAGCGAATTTTACGAGAGGTTTTTAGGGCTGGACATGGGGCGGAGGCAGGTTTCTCATGGCCGATCCGACGGAATCGGAGAAACTGGACGGAAAACATGAGTTCATTGCCTGGAGAGAAGGACCCCTCTATCGAGGAACCATGCATATGTAGGAAAAGAATTAACGTTAAAGGACAGTGGGGGGGGCGCCTGAATTACCCGGAATCCTTAGCTGTTAAGTATGCAATGCCTATTTGTTCAGCTGCAGTAGCGGGCTGTACCCCGACACGATAATTACTTTTATGGGGGCCCTAGTTCACTCTCACATCCGTTATTCCTTTCTGTCTTGGTAAATTCTTGATTAGGGATTGCTTCTCTCTTCAGTCTAGTCATTAGACGGCTGTGATGGAGGGCTGTGCAGAGTCCTCGTGGGATTCTGTAACGTCTTCGGCATAGGGATGCAACTTTGAGTAGAAGCGGAGTCCATCATCGTTTTGAGTTACTTCCTTAATAACTCTTTGTATTTATAGTCTCCTTTCTACTCCTGATAGCATACTCGGCCCCGTTGCGGCTCAATGATTGCTTACTGGCATCGAGGTTTCGGCACCGACTCTGAAGCCGCGGCGGTCTGAAGTCCATACTAGGCAAGAGCGTCCCATTCTTTTATGACTACCTTGTCTTCTGAAGTCTGCCAGCTATGGATGAGGCGGTGGAACAGTTTACAGAGCTGCATGAGTCCCTTCTCAGGGAGGAGGCAAATGCAGAAAAAGCTGAACTGGAAGAATTGTTACAGACCCTCTCCCTGAGGGAACTTGCTGACGTAGGCGTTGCCGTACCTCGTCTGGTGATTACTGATGTCAGCTCGGGCCTGTATGGTCGAACCGTTGTAACATTCACTTCCAAGCGGTCTGCGCTGCAGCGCCTCCACGGCAATGGCCCTACCAAGCCACCGGCAGAACAGCTCCAGCACCGACTATCACCGGGAGATATCGTAGGGCTATTCCGTTATGACAGGCCTATCACAGGCTCCAGCAGCGCCATAGCCACGGGCGTGGTGCACAAGATCCACGTTGCTGGGGTCAGCGTCGCTTTTGAGGAGCAGGATGGCGAGACTTGGGTGCAGGAGCACCATCCGAGCAGCGGAGAGTCTCTCGGTCTTGTTTACAACTTGCTGCTTGTTTCCAGCGAGGTTACCATCAACAGACAACGAAATGCATTACGCACTCTGCGAGAAGGCGCCTTCGAGTCTCCGGCACGGCGAATTGTGGCCGTGTGCTTTGGAGGTGCGGGGCCGCAATTTTTGCAGCTCCAGCTTGCTGTTTCAATGAGCAAGGGGGGAATCTCCCGGCCTAGGGAAATGGACGCATTTGCCTCCGAAGCTGCAGATAGAAGTGCGACACTGCGGAGCTGGAAGGACGTAGAACTCTCATCGGAGGAGCTGCAGAAGGGCTGTCTCTGGCGGGGATGGTTCTGTGACACACTGACGGAGTCTCAGAGGCGCGCTGTTTTTCTGGGCCTCATGTCGCAGGATGTAGCTCTTATCCACGGTCCCCCCGGCACTGGAAAGACCACAACGGTAGTGGAGGTGTTGCTGCAACTGGTGGCTGCTGGGTTTCGCGTGCTTGCCTGTGCACCCAGTAACATTGCTGTTGACAACATGTTGGAGCGGTGCTATGCTGTAGCCAAGGGGCTGCAGGATACGCAGCTGCTTCAGCAGGTAAAACGGTGCGTACGGATTGGCCATCCGGCGCGCATTGACGAGCAGCTCGTTGGTTTTTGCTTGGATCGACAGCATCTGAACAGCGACTCCTCCGGTATCATTCGTGGTCTCAAGGCCTCCCTAGATGAGAGCTTGCGGGAGCTAAGCGCGATGAAGAGGCGTACGAACCAGCAGCAGCAAGATGGGGGAGGGGGCAGTGCGAAGCGCGAGATGCGCGCAGAGGCGAGGCGGCTGATGCAGGACATGAAAGTTTTACAGAGAAAATCCGTCATGGAGGCTCTACAAAGCGCACCCATCGTCTTCGCGACTTGCGCAGGAGCGGCAGATGCATCCCTCCAACGGCTGGTTAAGGGTCGCGAGCGGACCAGCGGGGAACCAGAGCAGGCTGGACTGCCTTTTGACGTCGTCGTCATCGATGAGGCAGCGCAGGTGATTTTTGTTGAACTCTAGGGTTGTTGAGCTTCCTGCTTTGTTTAAGTATTTTTAGCACGCTAGGAAGCCATCTGTGCTCTGATTTTGCACCAAGAGTCGTGCTGTTAAACCCTGCGGCTTTCACGGTAGTGTATCTCAAATTCTGTGTGACGCACCCTTCTGCTCTTGCCTAGAGGGTTCACGTGCCGCTGTGCAGCAGCTGCACCTGTCTAGAATAGTTCTGAATGCGTCTTAGTTAATCTCGCTACATCCGTACAAACCTGTAACAGGGGAATTTTCGAGCCTCGCGCACGAGAATTTTCGAGCCTCGCGCACAGCGGCTTCTAGTGCTCGTGTGCGCGTCTCTCTCTCTCTCTCTCTCTCTCTCTCTCTCTCTCTCTCTCTCTCCCCGGGGAGGGGTGGCTGCAGTGATGTGCAATTGAGCCAATGTAGCTTCCGTATATTCCCTCGTATTGTTTGTGTGGCTGCGACGGCTGTGGATGCGCAGGCCCTGGAAGCCAGCTGCTGGATTCCCTTGCTGCTCGGGAGGCGCTGCATCCTGGCTGGAGATCACATGCAGCTCCCTCCCACGGTAAGAAGCACTGAAGCCATGCGTCGCGGCCTTGGCATGTCTCTTTTCGAGCGTGTCATGCGTAAATACGAATGCAGCGTGGCGCAACAGCTCACCTGTCAGTTTCGCATGCATGGAGACATTATGGCGTGGAGTAACTCGGTTTTCTATGGTGGCAGCTTGGTGGCTGCTGCATGCGTTGAGCGCCGGCTGCTCTGTGATACGTACCCAAACATTCCGCCAGACGTCGTGCCTTCCGTCCTGTGGATAGACACGGCAGGCGTCTCTTGGATGCGAGAGGACGAGGTCGAGACGCAGGAACTCCCCTCCTTGACGCTCAACAGGTCACGAAGCAACAGAGCAGAGGCCGCTCTCGTTCTCAAGTACCTCCAGGAGCTCGTACAGGTATACTCCGTGCGGGCAGCAGACGTTGGAGTCATCACTCCATACTCTGCACAGGCCAAGCTGATCCGGCAACTCATCCTGGACCTTGAAGAAAAGTCGGAGAGCGGAGAAGGCGGCGACCTTAGGGAGGTGACGGTGCAGACGGTTGATGGATTTCAGGGGAGGGAACGAGAAGTCATCATCATTTCACTTGTCAGGAGCAACCGCCACAAGGAGATGGGGTTTCTAGTGGATGCACGGCGACTCAATGTCGCAGTCACCCGCGCGAGGAGTCACTTGGTCATTGTCGGAGACAGCGAAACTGTTACCAGCGTAGGCACGAGGGAACCGGAGCCGTCAGGTAGGAGAGGCAGTAGCAGCAGCAGCAGCAGCAGCAGCAGCAGCAGCAACTCTTCTCGTCCGGAGGCTGTTGCGACTGCCAAGAAAACAGCAGTAGACGGCACACAACATGGCCAACTAGAGCCTGATGCCCGCAAGGCACTCACTGCCCTGTTTGAGACTGCCTCCTTGTGTGGTAGTCTGCGCACGCCTTATGAATTTATTGGACCATCCGACATCCCAGCAGTGGCTTCCCACCGCTCGGCGGCTGCCGGCCGCATGGAGCCAAAGACGCCGCAAGGCAGGGAGCAACGTGGCTCAAAGAATCCGAAAACTCCCAGTGAACGCAGCTCTGAGGCTCTGGTCAAGACCACAAAGGACACCCGCAGGAGCCGCGGTCAGGGGGTTGCTGCTTCCACGACAACCACTCCTGTACCATCGACTGCCAAGCTTCCAGGGAGCCTTGATCCTGAGACACAGCCACCCGCGGATGATCCTTTTGTGATCGAGACCAGGGAGAAGCTTGACGCCTTGTGCCGCCGGGGGGACGGCTCACAGGCCAGTGCCAGTGCAGTATCCTATACGCATGCGTTTCCTCCCACGCTGTCCCCTTACCAGCGCCTCATTGTCCATCGGCTCGCAGAAGAGCTCCAACTGGTGCACATATCGAAAGGCGAGGGCGCTGAGCGGTTTATCGAGGTCTGCGTGCAGCCACCACCCTCAGAGCGGCAACCTTCTCCTGTGCCCCAATGTTCAACTTCTGTCTCAGTAGCAGGTGCAAAGGGCGATCATTCAACAGCCAGCGGTCACGCGGATCTCCTTGCAGCACAAATAAGTACCAACAAGCCTTCACCGGCCGACGGAGAGCAAGATATGTCTCCCCGGAGCCTTGAGGCTGCATCGTTTGTCTGTGAGAAGAGCAAAACCGAGGCAGAGAAGCCCTCTTCTGTCAGCAAAAAGAACAAAAAGAAGTCCACAAGTAAAGGCAGTGCAAAAGTCACTGCGGAGGGGGAGGAGTCAGACGATCTCGACGCGCTACTCGAGGAGCACCTGGCGGCGGCAAAGAGATGCAGTGTGGGGGGCTGTAAGGACTCAACGGATCTCTTGGGGCGCACTTGTCCCTACTGCCGAAGTCGTTTTTGTTTGCGGCATGCTCTGCCTGAGGTTCACGGCTGTGGAGATGCAGCAGCCGCGGAGGCGAAGAAGGCCTTTCGTGCTGAGGGGAAAAACAACATTCGGCTGATGCGCCACGCCAAAGAGGGCACTGTAGGTACTCGGGCAGCCACAATCGCGGGTACTGTATTTGTGAACCCTTCAGTCGGCGGTAGCTCTCAAATGCGGGAGGCTCTCAAATCAAACCTGAGGAAGAATATCGAAGAAAAGGCGAAGGACCGCATTTCGCGGAAATCAACCAAAAGGGGAAAGTAAACAGCACCAGTGTCTTATTTTCCTTAGAATTCAGAGGGTCTTCTGACGTACGAGCTCCCAGGCAGCGTCTTTCTCTGCCGTAGTTAGCCGTCAGAATTTGATAGGAAAAGCTTTTGAGAGATATTTGCAGGCGTGCGCAGCGTTGCTGTGCCCCAGCGTTAGTGCCAGTCCAGCAGTTTCTGAAGTCAAATAACCTCGTGATAGGTTGTTTCCATTAGCCAAATTAACGCTGTACAATTTGTCTTGGCGCTAGCCAGCTTACGCCACTTGGCGCGTTTGTACCTGCCTTTTCCAAGCCGGTGTGCATGTCTCATGAAATGTACACCTGAAGAAGTTTTCCGGTAATTGTCGCTACCCTGCGAGAGTCCCCTGTATTTCCCACAAGGCGCCTCGCGCTCATCCTTCCTATCTCCCACCGTGAAATTACGCACTGTAAGACTTGAAGGCCGCAGAAGACAAACATAGTAAAGGCAGAAGACAGGGGAAGTGACAATTTAGGGCAATGGGACGCTCACGGGGCAAGGAGTCGCCCTGTCATACGACTTGAGCTAAGAAGAGGAGAGAATTGCAGCAACTCACGTAGTCAATGGATGTGGGGCAGAGCAGATATATCCTGCCAATCGCTCGAGATGTGCGGGATATCCTTGCTTTCGTGTTTAGAAGCCATGATCTCACTCCACACATGCCGTGACCGCAGGGGGAAAATAGGTTAGGTGACCAATCAAAACTGATGCCTGTGATTGGAGCTCTTACTTGCCGGATGTCTTAAGCACAGGTTCTTTATCAATGTTTAGCCCTTGAGTACTTGTCGAATTACATGTGGTCTCTCATTACCTACATAGTTCTGCATCCTGCTGGATTAGCTGCCACTTGACAGGCCGCAGGTTCATACAGCAGTTATCTGAGAAGCTACAGGTACCAACCTACCACGAGGCCACCAGAACAGGGCAGTATATCCAATTCCTTCTCGTACAAAATGTATATATATATATATATATATCTGAATACCTATATACACATATTCCTGGATGCCCCTCTAACAGCATAACTGACAGCTAATTTGTTCCGCCAACCGTCAGTATAATGCTCATTATGACTAGACGTTTGTAGCCACTGACGCTGAGCGCTCAACAGAAGCAGAGACAGCGACAGTTGAGGGAGAAGTTGATTTGAGTGGAACCCGACGCCAAAAGGGCATGAGACGATGCAGCATGTGGCTGTAACAGTGCTTGTTCACTAACTGCTTGTGTAGCCCTCTTCTTGTGGTCTCCAGAAGGAGACCTTCACAGAAAGTGTTGTTGTAGGAAACAGCTCTAGGGCCTTCCCTTGCACCCACCACTCAGGGTTCCGGCATGACAGGGGACGTACAGCGAAGGCGCGCGTTGCAGCGTCCATCTACCACCACCAGCATTTAAAACGGCTTTTTGAAAGTATCAAAGGCACGCGCACACCCACAAAAGCGACATCGAGTCTTTCCGTATCAAGTCCATTAAGCTATATATACGGACAGCCAAAACAAGTAGGCGACCCTTTACTAGTGCTTAATTTAGTACAACACATGTAGTAGGAGTGCCTTAAAGTAGCCTACTCCACCACAGAGGCCCGCAACCACAATGCCATTGGTAGCTCATAAGATTCCGTGAGACCAGGAAAGTTTTATCCCCGCTCTGCCCTTCCGTTGTTGGTATAGCTCGAGGCATAAGGAAAAGGATAGCGGTTTCGCATCTTGTTGCGACCTCAGCAGCTACTCTGCAAGCATGCAGTCGAGCACACTAATTTGGCACTAGGTAACACAACAACAGTCATTACAGTGGTGAATAAGCCCGCTGCATGCTATCGTGTACAAAATAGCACCTATAAAAATGAAACCAGTCATCATTATTCAACCTTGATTTCGTGCAAACGAGTAGTATGGTTACCTCTAGAACACCATGGCCCGCTATCAAGTGGGAACGACTCGTTTTGCCTATCACAACCGTGATCACCCATACACCTGTACCTTGACAAGCTACTTGCCTACATCGTCTGCCTGTCACCTCTGTGGCTAAGAGCATCCTAAGCCCCCCTTCTGTCGGTCTGTGCTCCAAACTAACCAACGATCCCAAAACGCTTTGAGGCGCTTCTGAGTGCGCCTCTGATGTGTTAATAACCAGTTTGAAGCATTAAGGCTTCTAGAGATCCTTGGATACCATGAAATATCTTTCTGCCTCGGCGGAGAGCGGGAGACGAGCCTCGAGTTTCTGGCACGACGAGGAGAAGGCAAACCTCGGAGCTGCGAATACACCGCCCTATACGACTGCGGCTGAGAAGGGGCCACAACAATGGCACAAGTACTCGAATACGCTAATGTTTGTTGGAAACAAAAACATACAGCCACGCACGCGGTTCGTCACAGACCGATCGCGGGGCTGGGAGCAAGAACGGCTCAGTCCTTCCGACAGGAATAAGCTGCAACCTCATTGTACTGTCCAAACTCACGCTCCGCTTTTTTCGTTTGCCCCTTACCTGTTATACTGGCTGTTTCGCTGCTAACCCATAGGCCGGGGAGTGCATTTTATAGCAAACCTGCCGATGCGCGACGTTGCCTGGCAGGCCCCTGCCGCTCACTGTGCTTTCCCTCACGCAGAGAGACCTGTCTGTTCCTCTTCTTGCATTCTGCTAACATTAGCAGCAGGCAGGGTGTACCGGAACCTTTCTACTCAGCTGGGTTTGATACGCAGTGCCGTTGCTTGATGGATTCTCGCAGTCTCCCTGCCGGCGTGACCCGCTCGACGTATTTCACGGGGGTTCCCCATTTTCAGGTAATGCAGTAAGGGGCTTTGTTCGGAGCTCTCGAAGCTCAGCCCTATACCTTCGTTCCTCGGGGTGTCGCATTTTTTCGTTTGCTGTCTGCATTGATCCTTATCCAGCCCCTTCCCGGGTCAAGGAGGGTGCGTAGCTGACTGTTCCACTGGCCTTCGCGAGGGGAAACAACTGCCAGTGATACAGGGAACACGGAGTTCCTTAGGCCAGGTTATTGATTCCCTGATATGGGCTCTTTTTCGTGGTCGGTGTTGCCCGTGGGGCCCCGTCGAGCCGCAGCGCTACTGCTGCTCCTTCTCGGAACCCACCAGCAGCAGCAGCCACAACCGCAGCATCTGCTTCTGCCCGGCTTTCAGCAAGCGCTAGCGGAAAGCGCGGAAGAGTTAGGCCATATCCACGGTGGCAATGGAGGGCCAGAAAGCAGCAAGGCAGGGCACGACCATATATATATTAGCGCGCCCCCAATTCAAGGAGGCAACGAAGGTTCAGAGGGTGAGGTGTTGAGTGCACAAAGCGGTTTGCGGCCATCGGACCTGCCACTGCGAGAGAAGCATGCAGAGGAGGAGACGGAAGTCGTAGATCACTCACTCTCCTCTGCCCATGAGCCGTCTGTGGACCCAACAACGGTGCCCAAGCCTCCTCCTGTCGCGCTGCAGCCACCCGTAGTGATGGACGGCGAGGGAGGCAGAGAGGAGGTGGGTGGAGAGGAAGACAACAGTGGTATGGCAGGGACCGGCTCATACCGACTAGGCGTAAAGACTGCCCGGCATGTAGTGGAGGCCATCAAAGAGGCCTCCATTGTGGCAGCGAACGCAGTGGCTGAGGTGCAGAGGGTCCTAAAAGGTGTTTTGGTATACAAGCAAGAGTGCGAAGCACGTTCCAGAGCCATCGGAGAAGAAATTAGTGAGCTTTTGCATGAGCGAGCGCAGGAAACCAGCTTAGGTTGTGGCTCTAGCTGTAGAGCTTGAGCTACACAGCAAAGGCAGGAGGGGCAAAAGGGTTTTGGGAACAGGAGAGTCTCTAGCTGGGGGGGAGGATTGGCTTAAGCATTGCCGACCTTACGCTGCAGCCATGTAGGGGAGACGGGTTCCTTGATGCGGCCGAACTGGAGGGCACCCGAGGTGTAGGCTATTGAGGAGAGAGCCCCTCAGAAAAATCGCACTGCTTGGGTGTCACATCGTGTGTTGCTGCAGCCTTGTCCTCCTCGAGGCTGTATGGCTTGGCTGCAAACATTGCTCGAGCTTCAGACGCCTTGGTGGAGATGAGGAACAGTGAGTTGACCAAATTCCATGATGCACTTGCCGAAAAGCAGCATTCGAAGGACTGGTCGGCCATGGCTCAGCATCAGCAGGCCCTTACTGCGAATCTCACCGCTATCAAAAGAGGCCAAGAAGAGGTACCATACAATGTCGCCTGATTCTGCGGCCCTTGCTGCTGCTGCTGTTGTTGCTGCTGTGCTTTATGGGTTCCTTTTTCTGGCGCTTTGTTTTGCTGGTGCATTTTCTATGCGGTTGCCAGTTCCACTGAGAGGTTAATGACGGATGTTGTTTTGTGTAGTACCACCTGGAGTTCGAGCGCATTTGGGGGCAGGAATCGTGCCGGTGCACACAGGCTGTCCACGATCTTGTATTGGAGTATATATCTGTGCTTTGAAGTTGGGAAGAACGGCCTTTTCCCGGGCTCAGATACTCTTACTGTTACAGGGGGATCTAAGAAAGTCACGTTCCTATTCGGTAAGCGCGAGGCTTGCTGTATCCTGTGGCTCAGACGGCGCGGGATCTTGACATGTTGAATTCCTCGTATTTGTCTTTGGAGGGCACCATACAGGAGCAACTAGAGCGGTTGGCAGCCTCCGCTGGGGAGGCCTCGGCGAACAGTTACAAGCTACTGGCCGAGCGATTTCGGGAGTTGTCGGAGGCGAAGGTCACGGAAATACAGCAGGCATACAACAGCCATCGCCTTGACGAACTTGCGGCAGACAGGTCCATCATGGATATTATCACGCAGCTCAAAAAGAAAGGCGTTGCCGTTTCGGACATATCCGACATCTTCCCCAACGAAGAATTTGAGGCTGTCAGGAAGGAATTCATGGTTCGAGTGGCGAAGCGGATCAAGGCATTTTTGTAAGCTGAGATCTGTGCTGTCACGTCTGGTCGCGTGCAAAGGCCAAGATGACGGCGGGAGTGTACGCTGCGTTGTAGGTTTGCCTTTGAGGGAGGCAGTTAGTGCTTTAAGCAGTTGCGCATAGGTGGTAGCTGGCAGGTTTGGAAGTCCACGCATTATTACTGTGCACTGCGATTTCTGCGGGTACAGTATGCCTGTCTTCATCGTCACGCAAACACCGGAGGAGTTCTCGGACTGGCTGTACACAAGGTATCACTTGGTTCCTCCAATGCGGCTGCTGGAGAGTATCATCGAAGAGTTGAGCTTTGTAAACGACAGGGAGGCTTACGCTGTTGTGCGCGTGGAAAGTGTCAATGCGGAGGTCATAATACGAAGCAGAGAACCCTCAGCAAGGGACGGACCTGGGATCGAGGCTGTAGCAGGGGATGCGGTTCTTCAGGGTAGTGCTGCTTCTCGCGAAGATGAAGCAGAGGAGAGGCAAAAGATGCAAACTCAGAGTCTCACCGCCGGGCGAGTCCTGCCCATCGTTTCGCAACCCTCACAGGAAGCGCTAGTAATGACTAGGAGCAACTTCTTTGGGGCGGAACTAGTAAAGCGCTTTGACCACCTAAATAAGTCCTACCTGCGCACTGTGGTGGGGGGGCAGCTAGCCCGCCGAGCGGTATTGATTCTATATGTGGGCGACCGCAAAGGTAAACCTTCCACTAATGTCCTTAGATTCCCTTGTTGTATCTTGTGGAGGATCGTGTAGCAGCGTGCGTCTCTGTAGACGGGGTGACTTACAGGCTCCTCTTGGCCGTCCTGTCTGGGTTGAGGCTTGTTCACATTGATTAGACATGTATGTCGTCGCAGGAGAAATTGCAAGACCATCCCCAAATCCTCAGGAGATCGTGCGAAAGCTGGATACAGCAGAGAAATTTTGCAACATCTTCAGTGCCCCTTCGCAGGAGGTGGCCGCCCTTTGGAGACAGATGGACGCGGAAGTCCCATTCTATTCTATCTTCTTCAGAGCGTAAGCCAATCACCTGGATCTCTTTCTTTCCCGCAGTTACACTGCTAAAACTATAACGATGTATATGAATGGAGGGCCTGCTACTGTGTGAACTGTTCCTCTCAGGGACCCCGTGGTCTTTGACTTGATCCCCGTATCCATCTCCTTCGAACCTGCAAAGTTGCCACCCTTACCTCCCTCCCCTCTTTTCAGGTTTGATTTACTGGCAGCATAATCACGATTTTCCTATACTCGTTGCCCAGCAAGTGCAGAAGCTCGTCGGCTTGTGGGCCGTGTATGAGGGATAGTTGTAGTCCTTTGTCAATGCCTGCGCTCCTAATGTTTATACATATGTCTTCTATTGGTTTGCGTTTAGCTAGCTATCTGGTTGACTGTGCTGACTTGGTAGTGTGCATGCAATTACAAACCGCCCGCCCCACAAGGTAGATCCGCTGTGGTTGTTCACTGTCGTGTGTACTGGTTTCAGAGGGGAATTTGGGGTGGTGCAAATCCAGGCGTCACTCAGTGGTTCAGACTGGCTCATTCCAGCAGCTCGCCCACTTCAGGCAGCAGTGGCCTACGTCAACAGTCACTCAGAAAGGGGAGGCGTTCAGGCAGTGGTCAGTGTTGTGGAGGAGAAGGGGACAGCTTTCTGGCGATCCCCTAAGCAGTATGGCGTTAGGGTGCTCATTCGGAGTTCTGATTCGCCCAACCTCCGGCTGCGGTTTAACCGGTCCCACGAAGCCTCTGATCCCGCAAATGGTTTGGAAGCTTCTTCCAGAGCAGTGGTGTCACTCTCAGGGGAAGGCGCTGTGCTGCAGTACCTTGAGCAGACAGTGGCCAAAGTCATCCTGCCAACCATAGCGGCTCGCGCCTCTTTCAGGCGCCTGCTGTTTCACGTTTGCTTCGCTGGCGAAACTTGCTAAGGCGAACGGATGGATGTGTAGCACGTCACCCCGGCCCTCTATATGGTTCGAGATGCTGGCAACATCGCTAGGTGTAATGTTCAGTAGCAGGCCAGGCCCCCTATCTGTCCCGACAGTGCCTATCTAATAGTTCCTTACCGGGATGGAATCTTTTTCGTGGATAGGGTGGTATTTGTGTGGAGAGGGCATCCCTCATTTTTATGGGATGCCGCCCCAGTGCAGAGGAAGCGAGCGGAATACCGAAGGGGTCGTAGTGCACAAAAAGTCAAGTCGTTGGCCATCGCATGTAGAAGCAACTGGGGAATCTGCCAGCATCGGATTGCTTTCCTTAAGCTGACAAGCGAGGGGTTGGCAGTCTGCAAAGATGATCGGATATCCTATGGGGTTGGCGACCCCTGTTGGAGCGCACATACTTTTGTTTGCGTTCGTCAGGCATTGGCAACGAGGATGGTTCTGGCTGCTCTGTGTATGTGATAAGCGAGTATCCCGCCTTTGTAAAATGTTGGGATAATGCATACTGGTCGGGGGAGAGGAGATTGAGGTGCGGGGAGCTCCATACACTTGTACTGTGGCAAGGCTGGACGGTTCTTCGCGTCACCAGTGTTATTTGGTTTCTTTCCTCCTTCACTGTGTGTTTCCCATTCCCTGTTAGCCAATTATCGATATTATTCGCTGCTTACTTTTTGCATTCTCAGTCACGAAAGAGCGACCAGGAAAGATGCCTTATAGTTTGTTGAATAGGGTTTTGGGCCTGGTCTTTGTCCCTTATTTTCTCGTTCTTGGTGCTGTCTCTTATTTAGGCTCTGTATTTTCGGTAGTTGACTCACCTTGTCGTTATAAAGACAAAAGTCCTCCTAACAAACATATCGTATTGGCGTCGAGGGAGCCCGATTCCGTGCCATTAGCGTTGCAGTCCAATGCTGATCGGTTCCAGAACTTCAAATGGGAGCCGCTCTATATACTGGCGGAACCCGTGAACAGGCACAGGCCGGGAATTTGTTTTATAGAGTTCCCGGCCTGCTCTTTCCTAAGCAAAACAGCGAACACGCGATCATTTACTGTGCCCTGCGATATACCCGTGGACGAGGTGCTACCACAGAGCTGTCGGCTGTCCTGACCCGTAGTTGGATCTTAATGTTGAGGAGAATATGTAGCCGTCAATTATTAAGGCACAGTTCGCTGTGGTTAGTGGGAAAATGGGCTGCTGGATTCCCCTCGCGCATTTTTGGCGGCGCTGGTGGCTTCGTAGATTGTCGAAATTTAAGCTGGAGCACCAAACCCCCAAAAACTGTTCAAGAGAAATTAAGGTTAGTTACGGATTTGCCTGTATTTCGGACTCATGCTTAGCCTGTAACAGATAGCAGCCTTCTTTCCACTGTACGCCGAAAGCCGACATAGAAGCCTGGACAAGCCCGAACCCTCGTAAATTACCGGATGGTCTTTCTTTCGCCTCCCCTTTGCTTCAAGAACCGCTCCGTTTTTGATGTGTGTTCCTGCTTCGCCAGTATTTAGTTCTCCTCTATACAAAGTATGCGAACAGCCGGGGCGCAGCAATCACCCTACGTGTCGGGCTCGAGTGGCTTTCAACAGAATCTCCCCCAGGGAGGGCCATATCGCCTCCTCTCCTTCATTCCCTTCCAAAGGGTCCTTTTTCTGTGGGCGTCCTTTCTATCAGCGCATAATTTTGGCAGTACTGGCGGCTCATCGAGCCAAATCTGCCGCCGTGGGGTTCCGGGGCAGTCACGGCGCCTGGGGCCGCAAGTATTTTGATGGCTGTAAAAACCCGCGACAGAGCACGGGCAAGGCTCTGCCGCGACTCCGCTAACATAGCTTGACAGGCGTGATGGGAGGCTCGCGGCCGCTGACTTTCGCTTGCAGCTGCGGCGCAAGCGGGAGGGGCATGTGAGAGGCGTGCTCGACGGGAATGCCTACTGTAGGAAACAGCTGCAGCACTCACGCATGAGCGCTCCGCCTTTGCCTATGCCCCACAGCACGGAGCCCTTCCCGTGGCCATCATGTCATTTGCTCAATTGCATGCAGCCGCCTCAGTGGCTGCTGCGGATGCCGCCTACTTGGAGGATGTACGGACGGTGCAGCAGCTTCTAAAGCAGCTCCGTCGGCATGCTTCAGCGGTAGTGGCACTGCGGCGCTTCTACGCAACGCACGGGCCCTCTGTACAGCAGACTCATGCATCCCTCGATGAACTGCAGCTACTGCAACACCAACACCAGCAGCAGCTGCAGCGCGAACTAGAAACTGCCAGGTCTTCTGCAGACAGCGTGCACAGCGCTCTCAGGCAGCTACAATGGCATGTTTCTGCTGCTGACTCATTGGTTGAAAAGCGGGAGCGGCAATTGACATACACGCAGCTCGCAGCCGCAGCAGGGCAGCTCGTGGGACAGCTGAGAGACGCTGCACAGGGAGAGGAATGGTTTTTACAGCAGCATCAGGAGAGACTGTTGCTTTTACAAAATGAGGAAGAAGAATCACGCGAAGGGTATCAGACTGTCCCCACCCCTTATCAAGGGGCCTTAGGGGCCTCGGGTATTCCATTTGGGGTTTCAAAGCCGTCGCATGCGCAGGGGAGCCTCTCGAAACCCATAGAACCCGTGCCAGCTAGTGTGGGAGCAGGCAGCACTTCTCAAGCTGAAGCTGCAACGCCTGATGAAAGGGGATGGAACGCCGCTGTGGAAAATGGAAGTAACAGCAGAGCCACCAGAGAAACTGGAGCCTCTCGTGCATACACTCAGGTTGCACCCCCAATGTCTGAGCCCACATATAGTGAGCCTGCCTTCGGGGGCTGCCCTGCGCCTTTGCAGCTGCAACACCAGCTGATGCGAGCTAACGCGTGAGCGAGATCGACATTATTGCTGTACACTCCCTACGCTCTGCAGGTTATTTTCTAGGCAGCGTCACTGTTGTGGTTCTCTTCAGTTGATCTTTGCCAGATACAGGAGGTTAGACGGATAGGCTTTTGGGCATGCATTCAGATCAGTCCCCATCTTCATTCCGGAGAGTCGAGTGGACGCTTCGCTACTACAAGAGAAACGCGAGAGTCTCGCGAAGATCCACCGCGAGATCAGAAGTAAACCCTTATACGCTGTCTTTCTGGCCTTGCCTCTTCTGCGGCCGCCACTGGCACTTCGTCCTTCACTATGAAAGGCAGTTTTCCTGCAAACGGCGGAAAGATAAGCAGCAAGTGGACTGTGTTTGCGTTTTGTGCGCTGCCCCTCTTAGGCATCCAGTCGCTATACGAGCAAATGGCGTTCTTCACGGCGGAACAGGGAGACAGACTAGGTGCGCTACATCCGTCCGCCCCTTTGTTAAGCTTCTTCTACCGGGGCAGCACCTGCCTCTGGGAGTCAAGAGGCATCCCTCACCATGGTTGACGAAGCCTCCTATATGTCGCCATAGGCCGCTGGGATGAGGATGTCGCAACATCGAAATGTAATAGTGCTCTTCCGTTTAAATGATGTTGCTCACGGGTTTCCTCCTTTCAAAGCATCATACTCCACAAATAACTATCGGCAGGCTGTTACGTGCCTAGCACACACAGAATTGCACGCGGCTCCTGGGGCAACGGAGCCTGCTTGAATGTTGGCAGCGACTTTTTAGTTTCTGCTTGCTGTTTCCTGTTGGGTGCTCATTGGTGGTTTGTCGCGTACAGATGACGTGGACCAGAGCCTCACGGGAGCTAGAGCAGAGTCGGCGCGTGCCGCTAGGGAACTCTCGGCTGCCTATCAGGAGAAGCGCAGAAGAAGGTGCCGGCGGTAAGACCCTTGTAAATGTGTGTTGCCCCCACGAGGTACACACAGACAAGCATCTAGGTACAAAGATATGTAGAGGCACAAAGCGATAAAGAGCCTCTCCATTGACCTGAGAGCTGTACAGTGATACTTTCGTGGGGAGGCCCTAGAGAGACTTGGCGGGTTTTCTTGCTTGCATATGATGTATAAACACTGCATCCCTACACCTGGAGTCTCCGAATGCTGCTGCGTCTGCACACCACCCTTTTCGCTGTCGTGTGGGTTTTCAGGTGTTTGTTCGGTGGCACCTTGTTTCTTCTGGTGCTCTTATTTGTTTTTGCCCTGTGGTGGAATGCAATGTCTTAACAGCGGAGCTGAAACTTGCGAGGTTTTCTCGTGTGATGAATCGATCTAGAGTTTTCAACTGCGCAAAGAAGTGCTCTGTTTATCTATTTCTCACCTTGGTCCGCTTCCCGCTGTCTGCCGGTCTTCGCACCTTTGGTCTTAGTGGCAAGGCGTGGACAGGAGGGCGTTTCCTCCTTTCCCTTTAATAAACCGTTGGAGGTCTTGCCGAACTGCAAATGCCCGGTGCTGGGCGTATAGTGATGGCGATATGCTTTCGCAGTACCGGTAGTGACACAAAGAAAAGCCCAATGCAGGTATGCTGCAATGCACCGCTTAGTTGGCTCTTACCTGAGCCATCTGAGTGAATTGTACTGCACTGTCCCTCTTTGCCCTACCTTGACCGCGCATGTTTGCCTTATGGTCTCTTCAATGTGCAATATTAAAGCTTTTACTCAGTACGCACTTGCTAGATGTAGTACTCTTGGGGATGCGGAGCCTCAGGCAGCAGCAAGTTGAGGTGAGGGATTGGGGCATGCAAGGGGAGAGGGAGAGGAAATTCGTCTTGTTTCGCGCACCCGAGCGTGCGGCCGCGTTCCCACTCATATGCACAGCGTGCAGCATTTTATTCATCATTTATCTGCAGCAGTATAGTGGCGCACTCCCCCTGTCCCATGCACGGGCGTACGTGGCCCTGAGGCGAATCGGAAGAGACTGAGTTTAGAAATGTCAATATGACTCACAAGAATATCTCGGGAGCCTTGTTGCAAATAAATTCTCGCTTATTCTTGGGCAAATTACCACCACAATACTGCCATGGTTAGTGCATGCACACCGCAGTTGCAGCCCTTCGTGGATGGACAATTGAAATTGAATGACGTTTACCTCAAATATATACCCGTTTGGTCGCTCGCCAGGCCTTAATGGAGTGCACAGCCAGAAATTCGCGTTTTATGGCCATAATTCGGTAATTGAGCGTGGCACTGTCTCGAGAGCAGCAGTGAGGGGTCGATAAGCTGAAGTGCGCCAACATGTAAAGCCGTTGCCTGTGAAGCTTCGAACTTGAAGAGTAAAGCAATAACCTGAGAGTCCTGAGCTGGCGTCTGAGGAGCGTGAAAAGCAAGCTTAAGGCAGCTAAGCCTCAAAGACCAAGCGGGGCAGAAGATTGCTACAAAGTCGTTAAACCAATAGCCATTAAAATAGAATTCGGGACAAACGCCTGATTTCGTTCAGCGAGCAATGCTCAGTACGTACAGTTCAGAAGCAAATGTACTAACCACAGCGTTGCCTCCATAAATGTACTGCTCAAATATTTCAGCTCAATAAAAAAGCTCCTATTGCGTCGGCATGTAGCAGCTTGTACGCCTAAATGCGCGGTTGAATCCCTGAGACCAGCATATAAGTAGCTTCTTAGGGCCAACCATGTTTTGCCTCTCTGTCCTCTCCTACGAAGGCCTCGTTTTTGCCCTAGTACCTTCAGATGGGAATCCTCATATGTCTGTTCTTAAACATAACACTCCCGTCCCTCCAGCTAGCTGGATGTGTTTAGTGCAGCGGACACATATGCTCAGCATGTGCGTCGCAGGTATCCGTGACCTGGAGCCAAGGAGTACCAGCAAGCAGGCCCTTCACCAGATCACCTGTCTGTTATAAAGCCGAGTGATTCTGCCTCTTAGGAGCACGTGCTAAGTTCAGCGCCACGAGACAAGCCTAGCCCCTGGGATACAGTGTGCAAGCTCCTAGAATCGACGTTACGTGGCATTTATGTGCTACTCGTTGCCCCTCTGCGATGCTCCACAGTTGCCAGTTCCGATGTTGCACTGTTCCACAGCAGTGTGCTACCTTCTAGAACGAGGGAAGGGAGCTGTTTAGTACACGTCCCTGTCACATTTTGTCTTTGATCTCACAAAACCCGATACGTTCAACATACAGAGGAACAAGTGAGACTGACCGGGCAATCGGGGCTGTCAGAGGCTGTTCTGCCTTCAACTTCACTTGCCACCTCCTGCAAGGGCGAAACTGTACTCCACCCAAAACAACATGTCTCGCAGAGAATCCACCAAGTATACTTAGACTTGAAGCTCAGAAGCAGGCAGCGATACAACGTTGCACTGAGGCCCCGTGGTGCCTTGGTAAGAGCAGTACCAAAGATAAAGAATGGAACGCGTTAGAAGAAAAACGATCGAGATATGAAGGGCTAACTGGGTGCCGTAGTTTCGCCAATCATGCAAAAACGAGACGAAGGAATAGTGCTTCTACTGGCTTGACGCCGACGATCTCAGGAGCTGAACTACATCTGAGTGGGGGAGTGTAATTTTGATGAACGCCAAGTGAGCACGCTACGGTGAGAGCGGCATATAAGACGCCAACGGCAAAGCTAAAACCTACGTGGGTGCCAGTGCCTGCCGAAAGCAGGCGGCACACAGGCCACTGCGCAAGACTCCCACATCGAAACAAGGAACCGCAAGTAACTGGGCCTTCCTGCGCCTCGTTTGCACACACTCTCCGGGGCTTTGTGGGGTGCCCTGCCAAGCCGGAGAGCGCATGGCAAAGAGGACAACATCTATTAGCTAGCTAGCATCTGTCAGGATAGAGTCCGCAAGGTAGCTGCTTGCTTGCCGCCGAGAACCCTATTTTCTGCCTTGCTCAGAGTCTCAAGATTCGTTGATACCGGGCTGCCAAAGCGGGCTGGTGCTCCGGCGTGCTGCAAGAACAAAACTCACAAAAGTACTTAAAACAGGCTCACCACCTGTTCATACACTAGAAAAGAGAAAACCAGCCCTCTTCCTGTGCCCTTATTCAAATCTCAACCATGCCTTGGACGCAGTGTACCTTACGGCTTCGGCAAGCAAGCAAAAGAGTATCGGACGGGAACCAGCAGCAGGATATACCTGGATGGAGGCAAGGATGCCTTCGATTGTTGCCGAGTCCGCAAGACCCTCGGATATAGAGATATCCACCAGCGCCTGTTCAGCAGTTCCACTACTCTCCAGCCCTTTAGTCCCTTCTGCGGCACCCATGATCTTCTCATAGAGCTCCTCCGCAAACGCATCGTGGCAGTTTTGGTGGCCGATGCTCTGCACAGCAAAACTGTTGCTGCCAGATGGCTTTTCTCCTACTACCTCGATGCGCCAGCCTGAGGCAGAAGAAAGGGGGGAAAACGCATTGGAAGGGTGGCGTTTTTTAGTGGCATGGCGAACTACCAAGGCAGACTGCAAGGAAGTCCAGGGGAAGATAGGACTAGCTACAAGCAAGCCGCGCATAACGTATCCATTCCTGCCCAGGAAGCAGCTGCGTACAGGATGATGCCTTCGTCAGCTTCATCGTGCCTTTCGTGCAGTTGATCTGATACACCAAGGAGTTGTCACCGACGCAATGGCTGATTACGAACGAGCCCAAAACACCTGTCAGTTAAGCATGCACATAAACCTTTGTCCTGTCTATGTTTCGAGGTGCCAATTTCCCTAAGTATTGCAGCAATGAAAGCAGGGCTCTTTGCGGTTTTAAGCGCTTAACTCAGTCCTCCCGGCATCACCTGTGGGATAGGGGATACCTCCACCCTTGCCACTCGCCCTGCTTCACACGTACTGTTCTGTGCTCCGGGGTCAAGCAAGGTGAGCCACCCGCTGAGCCTCGCGTATTCACGGCGGAGTCGCGTGCTCTTTACCTTTTCGTTCTGGGAGCTGCAACCGTCCTCTGCCTGCGGAGAGGCGCTCTTGCTGCTGCAGCATGGAGCAAAGTCACCCACTACTCGCGCGGAGACTGAGCTCATGTTTAGACCCGTAATCTGACGGAGAGCCGTCACACTGCGTAAAAGATCGAGGGCCAAGTGGTCTGCAAGAGTGCACAATTAGGCACACAATATAAGGCACTACACGGCTAGCCACCACGGCATGAGGCCCATTGCAGGGGTGCAGGAGCGCCTAAAAGTTGGTTACAGGCCTGCAGACAGCCCATCCGGTATATTTCTGCGGCTGTGTTGATCAATGAGTCTCCCGAACGGTGTGGATATGCTGCTAAATCTGTATATAGGCTGTACAGGAGGTACCCATGAACGCACTTCACGGTTGCCCATACACACAAATAAATACAAATAAGCACAGCGATTGACGTACAGGCAGCCCTGGGTAAGCAGCGAGCCAACGCAGAAGTGTGGCGTATTATACATCGATGCTTACGCTTAATATCATACGGCGCGAAGGAAAAGTGATGCTTCAGAGCAGTATCCGTCCCACACTTGAAAGACACAGAGGTAATGCGCCCCAAGGCAGACAGCTTGGCTGCAGCCTCCGTGAATGCCTCTTCTTGTCTGTTGTTCTCTACTGCATGCCATACTACCGAGTTGCTGTATGGTTTGTACAGGTTCAGGAGGGCAGCACCTTGAGCCAAGCTCATCTGGAGAGGAGACCGCGTTAGCAGGTGCTTCCTCACGGCGAAAACGCGAGGCAAGAGAGACGTCTGCAAGGCGTAGGTAAACACGCAAATCAGTAGGCAAAAGTAACTACATGTCAGCATTGAGAACGTTTTCTGTACAGTAGCAAACGTGGATGGCGAGTGGGCAGGCCGATACCATTAGCTGCATGTGCACGTCAACCAGCACTGCCTGAATGTCTGATCTTTCCAGCAAGGAGGAGAGCCCTTGAGACCCGCTGTACAGCTCAACCCCCTTCAGTTCCGTCTTCTCAACCAACGAGGCGACCTCCTCATGTTTGAAAGCGAACACCGCAACAATCTTCACCCGGTTATCCCGACGGAGCAGCGGAAGCGCCTCATACCTGAGAAGCAACACCCTCGATCCATCCAGCAACATATTGAAAGAATTCTGCTCATCCGATGCCCCCGGTCAGTTCCCGAAGCGCATTTGATCGTGCGAGTATGCACGCACACAAGCCAACCCAGTCGTTCTTTTCTCCGTGTCTTAATAGAAAGGAGCAGTCCTCTAAAGAATTAAACCGGGGAGACGCATATTGACTGCTCACTGGATCCAGTATCCAAGTCCAATAAGAGCGATTCGCACAGGGTTCATGCACATTTTCAGAGTGCGCAGCATGTGTGCAGCTTGAGGATATGAAGGATCGATGTCTAGGGCCTTCTTAACCGCAGTGATTCCTGCCTCAAAGTTGCCTTCTACTTTGTAGCAGCTTGCGAGATTGATGTAAGTCGACGGGTGCGTCAACTTCGGATCCAGGTCTGCGCTGGCCTGGGAAGAGGGCACGGCGTCACATGCAAGGCAACGCAAAATGTCGCACACACACACAACGCAACGGCTGAATGCTTTCCTGCCTCGTTCGTGGGTAACACCGCCGGCTGCGGGTGTTCTCAACAACCCCACAGGTATGGGGAAAGTGTTAAAACCCCACTGCCCAACGCCGAAGGCCTGAAAGCAAAAACTCTATCGTGGTGATCTGCAGCGTTGCAGCGCTGGAAATTAATCCTGCATTCTAAAGCCAACCCAGAATTATTTGTTCACCTGGAGAAATTTGAGCGCCTTGTCACATCGGCCAAGTCGCATGCAGATGTGCCCGCATACATCCGCAACATCTTCTCCTTTCTTGAGCTTGTACCAGTTTTCAAAGGTCTCGTCCAGATCGTTAATCAAGTCTTGCTCCGTACGCGGGTTCAAGTATGGGTGCACGCACTGACTTGTAAATTCATTCGAAAAGTTCAGAAACACATCCGCGTCGTGTGCCGAATACCTTAGCAACGAGATTAAGGACTTCATGCTGCTCCCCGGCCTGCTCACAGTACAAATGCATCTCATAACCCTGGATCATTCGAATGCCGTCTTGAATGAGAAACCCTTAAAACCAAGCCAGCCCCCGCACAGAGCAGCTTCCCGATAGGTTGAAGAGCAGCAGCTCGAGTATAAAGCTGGTACGGTAGATGAGCACTCTCACCCTCCCCCCGCAGACACCGTCTCCTGCGCAGCGCGTTGCCAGTTGATCAAAGCATCCGGTGCTAGGTCTTCCACGTCTTCAACAAATGCAGCAATGCTCCGTCCCATTTCGAACTCACTCCCACACAGCCAAAGACCTGCACCTCAGAGACTCCAGAACACGCTTCAACAATGATCATCCGCAGAGCTAGAGTCTCGCGCTCACGAGATCCGTCTCATAAGCTCCCTTCAGTACCCGCCTTTCGCCTGTTCTCTCATCTCTTCAAATCGGGCCTCCCGTGGAGGGACTCTTGAGAGGGGGGAGAGCAAAGGGAGAACCTGACTGCTCTGGGTATATACATATATATATGTGCTAGGGTAGTCCTACCCGTAACTTGGAAGGTGTCCCTGTATGGTGTAGCATAGGAAAATCCGCCCATGCACTCGAAGAATGTTCTGATGGCATGGAGGTTGAGCATGAAAGATATGGATCCATGAATGGCAATGTGAGGATCTCTGGACCCCAGAAACTCATCGGCCGTTGGATAGCCCTTGTCTCCCACTAGGCAGAAGAGACGACCCCCTCCAATGCCTCGCAAGTTGCGGAACAGAGCAAAGGCCCCTATCGGCAGTACAAAAGAGAGCTGCTTATCCAGCTGCCTGTATCGTAGCAAGACCTCCTTAATTGTATGATCTTGCTGCAAGTAGGCAATCTTTTCTCCAGGGCCAGAAACCTCAGATGCCAAATCTAAGTCGACTCCTCTCCAGTTCCATCCGAGGGTCATCCGCAGCATAATTTCTGGCGCTTCCAAGTGCTTCTCCTCTCCCGGGGAGTATATAGAGACAAGAGCTCGCTCGAATTCGTGTTCTTGCGCCCCGGGCGTCACTCTGTCGAAAATACCGCATAGCGTCGAAGGATGGAGCGCAGCATTGCATGGGCAAGCTTTGCGGAGGGAAAAGTAGTTTTCAAAGAGGCAAGCTACAAAATAGCTACTCGATCTGAAACAGTTGGCGACCTCCTAGAAGCTACCTTGGTCTGAAAGTGCTTTGCACCTGCCTCTACAGGTATGGCAGGAAATACTCGCTGCTCAGCGCGTGCGGCATTGCCACAGTACTGCTGCGAAGGTCATACCCCCTAAGAACTAGAACTGCCAGTGACGGAAAGGGAGGGAAATTACCTCCAGGCATCGGTTAGAAGAGAATCCAAGACATAGTTGCAGATCGCAATAACAGGAGCTGAGCCATTCTTTATGGGTTCTTTCTTGACCACCAAATGCACCTCCCTGTCTCTATTTCCATCGAAAACTGCAAAGTCGAGCCACTGCATTTTCACAAATGGCTGGAGCGCAGGATGTTTGGAGCAGAAGGCCACATTCGCCTCCGCAACATCAGAAAAAACAACGAGGAAGGGGCGTTCAGGAAGACCCAGACTGGCGAAGAGCCGCTTGTACCGCTGCAGTGCCCGCAGCAGCAGAAACGTGAAACGTCCGTGCCCGCCGCCTATCTCCAGGATGGTGACTGGCGTGCTGGGGTCAGCCTCGGGGCGCTTGAACCAATCTTGCAGGAAGTTCACAATAATCTTTGCGTATGATCTACAGAGGCGGCTGTTGCTTGTTACGAAGGAGGGCACGTAGTCATGCGCCCATGCCTCAATAGCCATCTTCTTATAGTAATTGTCAAGCATCTTCCACATGACTGAGTCGCACAAGGGTGAGTCTTTTTCCACACAGAACTTCTCCTCTGGGCTCTGTTCTACTGGGGCCTCCCCTCCAACCGTTGGGATTCCCGAACCAACGAAAGAAGCAGCCTTGTCCGCCATTCTTGAGACTTTAGGGACAGGCAGCAGTCAGCTAAGGAGCCAATGGCTATGTCGCTGGATAGTTTGGCCAGCCTCTTCTGTATGCGGCAAATGGGGGGCCGGGGTAGTGGGATAGATGAGCTAATGCAGCCGAAAATGCCCAGGACAGCAAGGAATTCCAAACTGCACGGGGTTACTATGGCCACAAGGGATGCAGAATTCTCGCGCACCATGAAACAAATACGTATGGCCTTGGTGGCGAACCACTGGCTGCTCCGGGCCGGTCACTTGAGAAACAGAGCACGAGGGTTTGGCACACAGTGACGGAGGGGTAAATGGAGGTGCCCTGCCAACATGGAGATAAAGTAGGTAAAATTAAAGGTAGAATGAATCTACGTAGGATAGCGCTGTGCGATTACGCATCAGTGCAGTGCTGCAAGGATCCCACATGGGAACCACACTGGAGTATACGAGCCACCCTGTCGCCTACGCAGAATCCGTTTGAACGCATTGTATGACTCGGCTCTTCAGTACAAAATCGGTTAATCCCTCTCGATTCGTTCTGTATGCTCACTAGAAAGCTTTATTTACCCCTTTGTTGCAAAGGGGAGGACTGGTGGCCGGCGTCAGCGCCTTGCACCGAATTGCAAGGGCCTGGTGGTTGTCCGCCACTTCATACTCTTGGCCATAGTCAGTGATATTTCAAAGTATACAAGGCCTATATTCGCCTAGCAAATAGTTTTTTTATGCACTGCGAGCTAGCCATGTCGTGGGTGAGGCGGATGTGAAGTAGAAACCACTGCGCGTTACTTATCCAAGTCTGTCTTTTCCTGCTCCTCACCCATCTCTAATAGGTTTTTGTTCTTTGTAATCTTCTTCATCATGTATACGTGCTCACCGCTCTGTTTGGATTGTGTGCTTCTGAACGCATTTGATCCACTATGATGAATGCCCCTTCACCTTGTTGCATGCAATGTTAACTGTTTGCTGATCTGGCTTTGTGTCTGTATAACTCGCAGTAAATCTGTTTGCGTGCATGTCTTCTTATCCGCTTGCAGCCTCCGTTCATTTCCTGATTGTGCTCTGAAGCACTTACTGGGGGCTCCTTTTCTCATGCGGCAACAGTGTTGCGCCTGATCGGCGCTGGTTCCTATCAAGGCGACAATATCTATTTGGCATTTTGATGCACCGTGTTACGCTGGCTGCCGTGGACAGTTTGGGTCTACACTATGCTGAAGGTAAGGGGTTTAGGAATCCGCATCTGCGACTGTAACTCGTGAACAGGACCAACGGAATTCTGAAAAACCTTCAACTTGAGAAGGCACACCTTACATTTATTGCGAGGCTCACAACTGCTAATTGCCGGAACTTCAGTTCATTGTTCACACTCGAAGAAATCTGAGAATTGCTAAAGGAGAGACTTATGCTCAAGAGTGGATTTGCGTCTCCTGACTGCCGCATTTCAATGCTTCAACTCGGGTCTGCACAAGGGGGACACTTTGGCACAACCAAATACAAAGTTTGACATCAAATTCTCAAGATTCCGTCCAAAAGAGCTCTCACTCCATCTGCTCTTACTGCACAGGATTGTAAGTTATTTTATTTGCTGCTTTTAGGAAGGAGATGCAGCTAGGGTCTGCACTCCTGCGCTTATTTACACCCCTAGCAGTTGCATATAATAATTAATGCACAAGCAAACAACATTGGTTCTAATTGTACTTAGTTGAGTCTGACATTCGAGAAATGGCCTAGACGAATCTCCTAAATTCGTAGTTAGTCCTCAACTAATTCTTAACTAAATATATCGTGTGCAGGAGAAAGTGTTGAAGGGTAGCTTAGCCCGCTGCAAGCATCACGTGTGACCGTGGAATGTAGACATCTTGCTTTACACTTGTCCACTGTCGTATTGTAGGTATTTAATTTATACTGCAATATGGCTAGTACAATGCTAAGAATGTAATTGGTGGAGCGATTAGCATCGCAAGAGTGAGGCAGCCGGTAGTAGAATGTTACGTTATACAAAATTACTTGTCCCTCAATGGCTTACCCCTTACCAACTAAATGCTATGGAGCGATTCTTTCTGATACTCTATCCACATTTTCACAAATAATTAGACGTGTAGGCGGATATGCACTTCAATCTGGCTGCATGCATATTTTCCGTGGCAAAGAAGGCACATCTTCGCATTTATCACTATAAAGTGGGTATGACTGCTAATGCCAGACGGGCAAGCACCACCGGCCATAGCGGATAGCTGCCTGGAGTAAATTAAAGATGACCGTGTCCCGAAGTGCTCTTAATAGTCAGTGATTTGTACATTCTTCACTGTCATATGCCCCTGTAGCTGACTGAAATGCGATGCTTGTTCATCCCGAGTCCTTCAGCTAAGACCTCAAATGGAATATGAAGCTTAAAATCAAATGAACACATCTGGTGATAGCACATTTTGCGTATGTTCTGCATTAGATATTCTGGGATAAAGCGAAACACATTTACCAAGGCTCTGTGCATACGTCTACCACATTCGGGCAGGATACATGTCCCTCAGTATTAAAGTTGGTGGGCTACCAAGCTATGGCCCTCAATTGCAGATTAAGAGCACACAGGTCAAACCGAAAGGTCTTCATATTGTATTGTGATAATAGATAGGGGGCTAGCCCAATGGCAGTTTTGCCTACGCATCAACATGTACTCTATTTTGGTTTTAGGCTTCTTCTAGAAGCAATACAACCTTTCTCTTAAGGGTTTAGTTGCTCATGTTTCCTGAGGTGTGCTAGCATGCAACTGCGTTGGTGCTGGCTGCCTGCCACATGCTGACTGCAATGCTGTGGCGTACATCCTGGTCAGCCAAAGAGTTTTTCTCCAAGACCTAGTCTACTCCCTTCTTCAAGACACATCATTTACAAGCGTTGTTGCAACTTCGTCATATGGCATGTTCGTGCAGCACCCTCTGAGTACAGATTTGAGTAATAAAGGCTTAGCAGAAAAGATTTGGAAGCTTTTCGGGCTCGAGCATTATGCCAAAGTCCATCAGAAGATGCTTTTTAAAGCAACATCGCTTGAACCCGAAGAAATTCTTGGATCGTCTCTGGGCTTCCAAAATTTTATCACTTCATACGCATTTTATATAGCTTGCGATGCGCTACTAATCATCTTTCTGAATGTACCCTCCAAACCACTGATCGCAAACTGCATGTTTTCCTAGTGCGCCGTTCACTACCTGTTGCACTGTGCCCTCCCCGTGGATCGTTCAGTAGATCTGTATACCGATAGCTGCACTGTTTGTCAATTAGGCGGATCTAGAACCCTATTTTTGCTTGCACTTCTTCCATTTTGGTGAGAAACATTCTGGAGGGTTGCGCAGAGCCCAGTGGATCCTGCATTTTAATGTGGTAGCCTAAATACTTCACCGATAACCCATGCTGATGAATTCCAGATCTCTCATCCCTTGAGCCTCGAAAAAAACACTGGATTTCCTTGTGTGCCTGAATCTCTAAAGCCCTGAAAAATTGCACAGATCTCTTTTGCCTCTTCTTACTTTTGTGGGCCCTTGTACCAGCTCATACAAGCAATCTGTGAGTCTACGAATGCTAGCTCATCGAACATTTGATGTTTCAGCAACAGCACTCGTACAGAACACTAAGAACGATTTCTCACGAGCATCTTGAAAGTGGCCGATATCAGCGCAGATGCATAGGCCATTCGAGGCTCTCTCTGCTTCCGCTGCTGCTGCTGCTGTAGTGTTTGTTCTCCCCATCTACATCGCTTTTCCATCATAGTAGGTCTGTGTCGCACCTTTCCTGACATGTATTTTCACAAATTCCTCGCGTGCTGCAAAGATGTGCCAAGCAAATTTCGTGGGCCATAAACCTGTACACCAACACATCAGCAAATAAACAAACCGTCGTGGCAGTAACTTTCAAAAAGGAAGTTAGCGGCTGGCCGCCCACCCTTATTATCGAGCACTACTTCATAGTTTCGAAGCAAATTACTGACCAGATGCTACACGACGGAAGTATTAGGGGTTATCCACCGTGGAGCAATCGTTAGATAACGGATAAGGATTTTGCACCCCAACAGCCATGGCAGCTTCTGGTTCTTCAGCTTCATCAAATCTTGGCCCTTCTAATGAAACAGAGACAACTGGTGCACTTCTTGAAGTTTCTTCAGATGCCCACACAGTTACTTCACCTGTGCATGTATCTTTGGCTTGCAAAGTAGCAGAATCGCTTCTTGGAATATGCCTATAGTCCGTCCTTGTGTTTTCATGCTCAACTGCTGCATCTCCTAACTCTTTCTGGGCTTCATGAGACCCCTCTAAAATATTTTTTGACAGCAATAAGGTATTCCTATTTGTCACGCAGTTAACCTCTGGATTGGCTCCTGCGTGGGTGACAAGAGGCCCAGCAGACTCTTTCAGCTTTTCTGTAGATCTGGCGCCCCCCCCCATCAGAGGCGCTAGCATGTTGGCTATAGAAACAGATTGAGGGCTTCCTAGCTGCGACGATGGGCTCATGTTTGCACTAGAACCCCGAATAAATTTTTTCTCTGTTACTGCAGGAACCTCGCCTTTGATAAACTTGTTGAGCCGTGCACAAGCTTTGAAAGTGCCCTCCGGCGCGCTTTTCAAAGATAAACTTGTGATTTCTTCTTCTAAATCAATGTTGGCCACAAATGTCTGGGTGAGAAAAGTAGCTGAGCCTGTTGCTACAGCATTAGGACTTCCAGGCAGGTCAGTAAGGTCTTCTGCTTTCTGCATGTGCTGCGGTACCGAAAGCGTTGATGGAGAGCTCTCGTTAGCCCCTCTGGCATTTTGTGCTGCCTCCATGGTGGCGTGTGGGGCTCCCTGTTGCCAAAGAGATTGCTCTCGCCTCTCTAGCTGAAGTTCTCTGTGATACTTCCTCATTGTATGCGGAATCCAAAGACCAGTGCGATCATAGAAACCCAGACCAGTGAGGTCATTGCGTTTCCTAGCGGCCTCCACGGCATTTGTAGGTTCAGTAAAGCCGAAGCGTCTGGA